CTTCTTCTTCTTCTTCTTCTTCTTCTTCTTCTTCTTCTTCTTCTTTACCTTCCTGGGCACTCTGGCGATGTCGGTTTTCCAACCTTAATCAACGACCTCGGGGGCGCCTATTCAGTACGTAGCCCTAAAGGGCTGATTGACGGGGTGGTCTTACTTAGTTGGGATCTATAAAAACTGCACCAGTACATTATACGGGTCTATTCACTACTGGAATTCGAATCATTGATACACATATCCTTTGTTCGTGTGCAGGACGTGTTAAGTCTTGAAAAATAACGTAACCACCCATGTGTTGAAGTAACCCTCACCATGTTCATCATGTTTCTCATGTCCATCGAACGCTGCAAAAAGACTTGAAAATTGCAATATCGGTGATATCCATAAGAGATTCGTCAAGGGCGTGAAAGCAGAAAGTGGGAAAGATAGAAATCAAATAAACAACATGGTCTCATAAGTCATGAAAAGCGTAGAAATCATGATGGCTCGAAACAAAACAACACTAGTAAGAGATCCGCGCTGCCTCATGAGCCCCATAAGGATTTCCATCACGATAAATCGGGGTATTGTCACTCCGAGATTCGGTCATCGAAGGCGCATATTCAATCTCATCAGGCCAGCGATGACGGCGCGAAGGTGCCCCATGGCTACGAGCGCGACGACGCTCGCGCTTAGCAGCACGTTGAACACATTCCTCCTGGAAATGTGTATTTTCTTTGCGCTTCTCCATAACCTCCTTCCATTCACTATAGGCACCCTTGATACCGAGGGCAGCGAGACCGATACTCACGGCGTCCTTGGTATTAGCTTTCATGCGGCGTTTGCGAGCCTCCTCGGGCGTAATCTCTCCCTCTTTCAACTGTTCCATCCGCTCTTTCCTCTTTTCCATACTACCGTAGACATTGTGCGCAGCGTGGATGGTGGCCACGCTGGCCAGACCTCCCGTCAGCAGCATGTCCCGCTTCAACTTCTTGCGTTGCTTCTTTTCATCAGAACTGTCACCTAAGTCAGAATCACTTTCGGAGCTCGACCCGTGGCCGCGGTCCTTAGAACCGGCACCTGGTTCACCGCGCGAAGCGCTGGTGGGTGCATATGGGGGTGGATTTCTTCTGTCCAATGAACGGTATCGACCTACATCTCTCGAGCCTTTGCCCCGTCTCGAGTCCCTGTTGTAATAATCGCTGTCCGCATCTGAATCCGAATGATCGTCGTCTCGATGTCCCCGGCGATGACGCCGCTCTCGGTCGTCCCGATGCTCCCGATGCTCCCGATGATGATCCTTACGACTGTCTCTGCTGTCGCGGCGACGGTCTTCTTCTTCTCCAAGTCCCAGGGCTGCCATACCCTTGCTGAGGTACTCTGAAACGCTCTTGCTGCGCTTGTGGGAGCCACGCTCGTCCTCGTCACTGCCGCGGGAATCGCTACGGCCGCGAGGCCGAGAACGAGATTTGGAGTATCGATCAAATATTTCCTTTCCGGCAGCGGCGATAGTTCCAGTGGCAGCGAGGTTCTTAAGGCCACTGCCACCTGAAGAGCGACCACCGTCTCGGCCACGAGATCGTGAGCGTGAACCGCCACCCATGAAGTGGCTGGCAGCCAGACCTGCAAGTGTAGACTCGACAACATGACGTGTTCCGTGCTTGCTGGGATCTTTATCGACAAGACCATCTGTGCCACCGGCAGTCACAGCAGCAGTGAGGACGCGCTTTCCTTTCCTGCCGGTCCATTCGCCGGGCTCTTTGCGCTGTTTGAAAGCCTCAACTGCGCCGGCTGTCAAGGCCGCACGAGCTGCCTGTACGATACGCTGCTCGCTCTTATCACGTTTGCTGCCACCATCGCGTTTGCTGCCGCCGCGATGACGGCTGCGACTGCGCGAATCTGACGATGATCTGGAATATGATCTATGGCGACGGTGGGACTGGGAACGGCCGCGACCACGGTCATCGCGGCTGGCCGAAGCAGCGGCACCCCCGAGGCCTAGGGCACCTAGGGCTTGCTCGCTGAACGACTTGCGACGTCTGTTGCGGGGTGGAGAGCGGCTTGGAGAAGAATCCGAATCGTATCTGGGGCGACGGGAACCTGAGAGATATTAGAAACAATTTTAACCATATCAGCGCTTTATCACTCACGTTTATCCTCGTAGTGTCTTGAGCGACGAGGTCCGGAGCTTCGGTAGGCAGCATCGTTGTGTGGATCGTAACCGCTGACGGAGGAGGCACGGCGCACATTTTCGTAAACAGGTCGCCGCGGCCGTCGAGAGGCATACGAACGCTCGTAGGCATAGTCTGAGCCTGGTGGATATTCGCGCTGTACTTCCTCGATCGAGTCGTTGCTGGGACGGGGTGCATATGAGTCTCGCTCGTGTCTTCGATAATGGCCACGAGGGTCATCATACGGATCAGCGTAACTGGCGGGGCGTGTATAGCGGTCGCGCGGCTCGCGATAACGGCGGTCCTCGTAGTACGCCATGGTTGAGGCAAAAGTGAGGGGGAGACAAATTGAAAGATGAAAGGTCGAGGGGTGTGAGCTGCTACCGTTCACTGGGAGAATGTGTGGGATGAAAAAAATAAGTTCGTGATCAGATATGTATGGCGGGGCTAGGGGTGGCGTGACGTCGATGTGGATTCAGATCAGATGGAGCGAAGGGTTTGGGGCTGAGAGACTTGGCAGTGGCTGAGAGAGATAGTATTCATGGAGGTGATACATAGGAGAAAGGTATAAAGTTCAACAAAAGAACGATTCTTTTACAGATAGTATATATACCTGCAAATCAAGGATTGCGGCAATGACGTACAAAAGAAGACTGAAGGCATGTTTCAACAGCGGATATACCCCGTCGAATGGGGATCTGGACCGATGTCGTGTATCAGATATCAGATATTGCTCCGACGTCATCCTGCATCTTAGCCCTGGAGTTGGGGATTTTTCAACGGCCCAGCCCTATACTATACACAAATGCAGAGAATTCGATCATTTCTGAGTGTTTTACATTTACATTTTTATGCCCAGAAGATATACAGATATACAAAATGTATACAAAATGCAATATCAAAATATTGATTAAGATTTTATGGAACGTAAACAATGGTTCCACGGGTCGCCTTCGGGGGTTCCCAGTGACTTAAGATCCAACCAACACGATGCTCTGGATGTCGTTGGGTGCAGAACTGGTTGCACACAATTTTTCATGGGAATCCCTGAAGGGAAGCTGGACAGTATTTGGCTCTCCTAGAACACATCGCCACAAATTTCAACCATCACACATAACACGAGAATCACATGATACACGAGGGATATAAAACAGGAAAATAATAAAGACACATAGTAACACGTATGATAGGCCTAGACGTCTCGATATTTTGAGACGTGCAGTCATGCAGATGAACGCTGAGATATGAAACACAAAAATAAAAAAACACATGTTGAGAAGCCAGAATAGACAGTCAGAAAAAAAGGACTAGAATGACAGAACCGAATCACACCGCACAGCAGTGGCCAGGAACAAGGGACCGACAGAAGAAGAAAGTCATATAATAAACAGCAAATAAAGTGGACGGTCGGGGAAAATCAGACTGCATCGCCCTAGGGCGCTTGTGGAGCAGGTCCTGGAGGAGGCCGTACAACTGCCTCCACGGGTTGACTGATATTGCGCTGGTGGGAAGCGGAAGCGTATGCCGAGCCGGGACGAGCCATCGCCCACCGAGCATCAGTCTCCGGCTCCGAAGTGGAGCGCATCTCATCCGAGTGGGTGCGGTGAGTCCGAATGTGCTGTTTCATATTGTCTTTCCTCGTAAAGGCCTTATTACAGATCGGACAGTGCACACTCTTTTCGCCAGTGTGCTTCTTGCCGTGGCGTGCAGCGTGGCCCGAAGTCGTAAACGTTGAAGAACACCCATGGCTCGCAGCGTAGGGGCACGGGTACTTGTTCTTTCGCCCTGTGCCGCGTGTCGCTCCAGTCTGAGAAGAAGCCGTCTCTGATGTGCTCGAACGAGTCTCAGGTGGCGTTCGAGGAGCTGCTGGTCCACGAGAAGGGAATTGGTATGGTTCCCGTCGCGGATCCTGCCGGGCATACGGGTGATAAGCTGATCGTTGACTGGTGAAGTAATCGTAAGCCGAGCCGTCAGACGACCCGGGTGAAACGGGCTGGACGACCTCAGTCACCGCGTCCGGGTGGTGCCTCGTCCCTCGTGGTGATGTTGCTGGAGATTCGGATGAAGCTTGGGGACGGGTGTGCTGTGGGTCGCTGGCGGGTGGGGGTAGTCGTTCTGAATGATGTGGATAGTGTGATGGTGATGTGTGAGTCCGACTAAATCGGGGAGCGGACCGAACCGCAAAAGATGGGTTGTCATCATTATTTAGAATGGACACAATACCCGTCCTACAGCTGGACATCTCCTCAAGGCCCCGATGTGCGGTCACCGGGGCTGGAAAACTATACTAAAAGGCAGAATCCAAGTTAGTTCAAACTGTTGGTAACCGGCTCAGCCGGGCTCTGGGTACTCGGAAGAACTCGAGAGATCACCGATCTGAGACAAAAGGAGAAAGGGGAGGAGGGTGTTGAAGAAGAGAAAGAACATCTCGCTCATTTCTTGCCCCCCGGAGGACACGACAAACGCACCAGCGGCTCTCGAAAGATGTTTGTCCTCTGTGTCGTGTAACACGTCGACAACATTAGACCCTAAATCGGCACTCGCCTGTAGATCTGAACGGAGGCCCGATGACGCGAGCTTGTGCCGGGCTCCGTGGTTTTTTTTTTTTGAGGCCCGGAGGTGACGAAGAAGTATCTCAAAGGTTGTCGAATGCTGGAGATACTCGGCAGCGATAGGGTAAGGCGAGGTCTGACAAATCTCCTTTCCTCACAGTGGAATATGTTCCGCTCAGGTCGTCTTGTTGTTTCCTTTTTTCTTCCTTTCTAATTTTGCAATTGGATGTGGGGAACACAATCCTCAACGGCAGTTGCAAACTGGCCTGGGGATGTTGCAGAAAGTCGAAGTTCAACGCCGGTTGTCTAACCGTGCAAAGTAACAGTTCTTCCAAAGATGTGCTAGGCCGTCTGGGAATATGTCGAAACGAAATGCGCTCTGCGCGTGACCGTGATAGAAGTCGAAGTTGAATATGCGAACCTGGATACGAGATAAGATGGGAGGGGCCCCGGGGAGTTAACGGGATGAGATAGAGAGATCAAAATTTGAGGTAAGTAATCAAGGAATATAGATCGAGAAGTAGAGAGAAGAGAAGAAATTGACGAGTAGCCATGGCCATTAACTAAATATACTAAAAAGAGCGAAAGAAGCCAAGCTCCAGGGTCTGTCGAGGCTCCCCAGAGGATACACTTCCATACCGAGCACGCTATTTAGTTCGGTGGAGAAATTAAAAAGAAATAGGATAAAAAAAAAAAAAAAAGAAAAGAAATATATTAGACCCAAAATAACCCAAAATAACACAAAATAGCACAAAATACAATACAAGACCCCTAATCCACCCTGTGCAGACCCGTTTTCTTCTCCGTTTCTTCCGGCCCGCCCGCGACTCCAGTGGTCTGTGACTTTTTTTTTTCTTTTTTCTTCTATCTCATTCTTTGGACTACTTTGAATCCTTTTACGGAGTCCTTTATTCTCAAATATATTAGGTGTATGAGTTGGAAGTGTTAACTCCGACTGGGTTGTCATCCAGCCTAGGGTTTCGGCTGGGCCAAGCGAAAACAGGAAAAGATCCACCATATCGGCAGAACTGCGGGCAATCATGAGACCATTGGACCCTGAGCAAGTTGAGCAAGTTTACTGGTTTTGGTTTTGTTTACTCCGTACGAATACACCATTGAAATGGCAATTTATTTATGGATTTTAGGGATTTGAATCTAAAAAGACCAGGGATGGACAAGCTTTTAGCCCTGTCCACATTATCCCCGATGCAATGTACGTACTCATACTCCGTACTTCGCACTTGAAATCATGTTCTTACTTCTCATAAGATGCCCCTACCTGGGGAAATTCAAAAACATACGTAAGTGATGATGTTAGTACCTTGGCCTGTTTGGGAACTCACCTCCGGCTTGGAGATTCTAGAGCGGGTATTGGCTTCAATTTGGGAATACGTAGGTTGATTGGTGGAGTTGTTTCTTAGTTTCTTAGTTTCCTAGTTTCTTACGAATGAGAGCTCTGTTTTAGGCAATTTTATTCTTTATTTCATTACTGCAGGGCGATCTCGCCTTACGGTGAAAATAGGAAAAAAAAAAAAAAAAACACAAAAACACAAAAACACAAAAAAAGATAAGACACAAAAATGGGCCCTGGGAATCTAAGGCTTTAACGCTTTGATAATCTATTTGCCCTTCACTATAACGTGGCGCCCTTGTCGGACTTTTTGTTTTCTGAAAAGAGTACTCTGCACCGACATTTTCTTTATTTTCTCCGACATTCATCTGGATAATCGTTTTCCCCTGAATATCACGTGTACGATAGATCGTACAATATATCTGCTGTCTATAATGGATGGATGCAGAAGAATTGTCTCCGCGTTTCGAGTGAAGATAACCTAATTAACTTAATCTGATCATCAGTCACTATCTGCGTCAATATTCCAAAAGATTTACATCCGTAGGGCCAAGGGGGTTGAAGGAGATTGGCCCGTGCAAAGATTCGTATTCGCGTCTATCCGCCCCGCTCCGAGAATCCATTCGCGGGGACTCGCCAGGGCTGACTGTCCCTCCCCGTTGGGGGCACACGTACTCTCTAACGTACTGTGAAACCAGACTTCTTTCTAGGAGAGATAAGATCTATTATCTTTCCAGAGACTGGCCTTAACTACATTGTGAATCAACCATGTATCAACCATGTACCCTATGGGTCATATGTATGTCAGAATTGCGTTTTTCTTTCTCCTCGCTTCTCTCTCCCGCAAATGCCACGCGTGGCACCGTCGATCAAGCCAAGCTTCACTCTTCCCGATCTGTTGGAATTAATCTTTGAAAGATGTCGTATAAACTTTGAGGGCTGAGGACGCGGACCGTTTAGGGCTTTCCCAGCCGACCGTTGATTTGCCTATACTCGATCTTAGACGGGGCATACGTATGCAGCCTACGTATATCTACGGTAAACGTATATCCACGGTAGCTCGGGTTGTCTAGTCCGGCTCCATCAAATACGCTTTGCTTGTCTGGACTAAGGATTTAGTGTTCGAATCAGTCCCCTTACTCGTCATTTGGAGCTTACGCCACAAGCTTGATTCGTCAGGACCCAGTATTCGTCGCTTTATTTTTACGTTCCTGGACGGACCCTGTTTTCTTTTTCTTTTTCTTTTTCCCTTATTTTCCCTTAGTTTGCACTAGGATGCAGGGCCTCGTGGCACGCTTACTACGATGAGACTAGTTAGGTGTTAACCAGTAGCATAGCTTCGCTATCATCACCGTTCCTGCTTAGCGGCATGGATACCCTAATTTACTACTGCACCCGCCACTTTTTAGCCCACGCGGCTTCTTCTATGCTTACGTGTTTCAATAGGGAGTACGAAGTATAGCGGCGTAACTTTTTAATTTTTAATTTGTTAACTTGGATTTATTTGAATTTCCTGCAATTTCTTTGATTTATTATAGACCTCACAATCTCTCCGACACCGGTCGGAGATTTTACTTCCGATACCCGACTTGAAAAAAAAGACCAGTTTGATCTCCACTGAGTTCCACCATCCTTTTCCCATCTTCGAATCAGAAAACGAACGTCAGCATTCAGCCACAGTCCCATCAAACTGCTGCCTGATTTCCAGAAGACATACGGATAGAATACGTAAGTATATAGGTTAATGCTCATAAATGACCGTAAATGACCGGAATTTATGCTTAACTCCATAGAGACGATCCGGCAGATGATTTCCCATCTACCAGCGTGGAGACCTTCGCTTCCACACTAAGGTCCCCTTGTGGCTCGTGTTCGGATACTTTCGCGCTATTGATCTTTTGATCTATTTCTAGGGTTCGGGGCGACTACCATCCCTGGATAATTATGGAACTGTACTAAGTTAATTTATATAGTATTTTAGTGTGCCTTGAAATGCTTCTTGGGTTTCCATGGACCCCTGCTGACAAAGCGGACGAAAATGCAGGCCCCGGGCCGACCTCGGGAGCTATCATATGTTACTGTGGACTCGTTATGGGTCATTTTGGCTTATAACCGACCTAATAACTAACTATGTTGTACAATTCTCCATGAACAGCTCCCCTGCAACGGTCTGAGCGCGTGCGTACATCTTACATCCACAGGAATCGCAGTCTAGGCTACAGTCAAACATTAGCCTCCAGGAATTTACTCCCTAATGACTATTGACTGATCTCGGTAAAACGGCTGTTCTTGTCAAATGCCCCTATAGTGAAGAGACCTTTTTTTTTACAAACATATTATCAATATCTTGAAGAATTAAATATCAGGTTAACATCAAGTTAACGAAGAATATACAACATGTACAACATAGTTACAAACCAGGAACGATTCACAAGAACTCGCGTGGTGTCCGTCATCTCTCAACGATTCCCCTCTTCCCCATTTATCTAAGTTTACGTTCCCACCTTGCCGGAGAGTTCGCGCGTCCAATTGTATCTAGCGGATTGCTGTAATCTCTGACGCTTGACGCTCGTACTAGTAAAAAGGAAAAACGCAATAGTCCACCTTCCCAAAATAAACTCGCTATTGATGTCGCGCCACGCGGAAGGGGCATAAAAGCAACCTCCATTATCATGCGCCACCTTCCAATAAGGGTTCGGCCGGAAGTGGTTCTCGAAGGTGGAGAGAGGGTATAGAAAAATGGAGTGCTGACGAGGGTGTACAACGTACTCTAATCTAAGTTCGCTAGGCGGTGATAGGTGGCTCAGACATGGACCAGGTAGTGAGTGGCTCAGACAAGGCGCAATCTGTACTTGGGCACTTGAACATGGTCCATGCATGACAAGGGCTTTCGTACAGTACAGAGAGATTCGAGTTTGATACTGAGATTAATTTACCTTTATTTTTGCTTATTTTTCGCACCCATCAACTCCCAAAATACTCCGTATCCATCAAGCCTATAGCCATATTAGCTAGCGTATCTGCTGTGAATCAGAGTGCGTAAGCAGAAACGTCATGTTGGTGGGCTATTCATGCTCCATGTTGGTGTTGCGTGCACGTTGGATGCCAAGTAAAAGGGAAATTACTTCAAACACTGATGGTTTAGCCCCTGCATATTTGGGTGGGGAGTGAGAAGCGATATGGCGGCTACCCAAAGATGTGTTGGGAGGTCCCGGAGACTTTTTTTCGGGATTTCACCGAGCGGAGAGGGAAGAATACGTGGAGGGGTTCGTATTGTTACTTCTCTTCATTATAGAGAGTGTTTCATGGGGATTCCCAATATCGTTTCTTCCAAGCCTAGCTTATGATCCTAAACAACACATATCTTCAGATAGGAGGAAGATTTTGAACTTCGTTCCATTGCTAAGGCTTTAGATAACGTCTATAACGGCTGGACCGTTGAATCATTGTGTTTAAGTATTGTAAATCAATATGATTATCGCTAACTAGTGTGTCGGTATCGATACAGCTACCGGGGGCCATTTGCAAAGACCCTTAAGTTACACTAGAGACTAGGCTGCATATCATACACGTTATTGGCTTTGAAAGGCTGATAAGGTGAGAGATCCAGGTGGTTAGAAGCTAATGGCGTCGGTTCTTAGTCCGAGGAATACCATCCCCCCGCGACATCGGCTCTTGCCTCGTGATGCCCATTTCCCACTCTATAGTCTTGATGGCAGATTATCAACAAGCAGTATCCATATAAAGAACTGAACTTCTTCAAATCAAGGCTAGCTATCTCCCTTGTATACGCTTGGAAAACAATGGCGAACTCATGCTAACATTCATTCATCAATCTTGTCAGACTCTTGAAAGACGAATTTTCACGCACAGTCCTTTATTCCCTCTCCGAATCATGCAGTACCTCGATATCTCTTTATAACCGCCTATCTGGGTTCCGGGTGACATATCATGCGGTCAGCTAAAGCTGATCATTCAGCCCGCCTCTGCCTCTACTCCTCTTTGTGTTCCCCTTTATCATCTCACCCGAGAAGGAAGCAAGTCCACCATGTTCTCCGGGGCTGAACCTAGTGCACATGTCATCCATCTTTGAAATGGAAGCGATGCTTCCAGGTGCGATACACAGGCACCAGCGCCCGGGTCCTGCGTGTGACGAGTGGCCACGCCGAAGCCTGCGCTGCAACATACATCAAACATAATGCGGGGTTTGTCAAGAGGTAGGGACTGTGTGTAAGGTGACACAGCCGCTTGAGGACGGGAAAAGTGTCACCTGGAGGTCTAGTAGAATGCGCGCGTACATCTAGAGGCTATACCGATTAGTTTTTTCTTTTTGGCGCAATAGGAATAAGGAGGCTTACATGGCTCTCCGAGTAGCAATAGGTTTCGCAACATCGGGATCGGGGAGTATACTCCACTGGCTGTGTGTGCCAACGGTGATGATTTCTATGCTAGAGCTCGAGGCATTGGGGTCCCTGCCTCAGTTGACTTTGCGTTCTTACGGACCCGTCTTATCGCGTGATGTTTTAAACTATAGACACAACCAGCCACAACCAATCCGCCGAGTAGCATGATGTAGGGGGGGAAAATAAGCCTTAAATCCAATTCAAGACAGTGAATGCAAAACATGACGAGATATATACATAAAAACAAAAAAGAAATGATGGTTTTAGAGGAACCCTCGACTTTGGCGTTATTAGCACCACACTCTAGCCAACTGAGTTATGAAACAAGCCATAGTCATTGATCCCATTTTGCCCTTATCAGGGAAGTCCAAAAAGCCCAGATTAGGGCGAAATATATACCAAGGTAGTTATATCGGAAGCATTTAAGTTGGAAATATGTTAGAAATAGAGCCTAGTTATTTCAATTCATAAGAAAGATCAACATACACAAACAGACAAAAACTTTAACGAAACAGAAAATCTATTATCAAATAACTTAATACCAAAATAATGTTCAGAGCATGGCCCCGCCCTTGAGAGGCCGATATTTGTAGTAGAACGTCTTGTCTTGGTCTCTAATTGGTCGACAATGCTCCTATAGTCTCTGAGATAGAATAGGCGCAGTACAGTAGGGCTCAGCATCAGTAGTATCAAGCAAGAAATCCAACTGAGGCAGCACAACACTCAGCCTTTCAGCTTCCATCTGGAACATATTCTCACGGGTCAGGTTGGCATGCTGAAAACCAGTGTCGATCCTGCAAGATGACCCCATCTATATACAGGGACACTAAGTCAGAATCAACTTTTGCCTCTCTAGCAGCTTCATAGGCTATGCGATATGCTATAGCTTTGACAAATCCCTAGGATCTTAGTAAAATCACGCGATCATAATTCTCCCCATGGTGAACTCCTGAAATACTGTCTATTACCCCGCGAAGCTCATCAAGTTTTCCTCGTTTGTGCCTTGCTAGAAAGGACGATGGGTCCTTTGCAGGCTGCATTTTGTATCGATTCAGGAGAAGCTCCGATGTCAATCCTAATATTGAATTTCGTTAGCACATGAAGTAAAATGATATGAAAGAAGAAAAAAAAGGTCCCATACTAATACTCAGCACTAGGGTATCTCCCTCTACGATTAAAATTCCAATCGTTTCCAACATCGACTCGATAGTATGATTGTTCTCAAACAAACCCTGCGCTCCACATCGCTCTGGGAGAGTAAAAAGACAGACTTAAGATGTTTTGTACAAAACAGCCTTGAAAATAGCCCCAATTGCATGTTGGGACGGGTATGTCAGATTCGAGCGTTCAAAGTACTGAATGCTCTTCTGGACACAGGCTTCAAAAACGGAGATATGGGCCAATGCATGCAGCACGGGGCCGTGTTGTGTACGGAAAGAGATAATAGGCGTGAATTTCTGATCTTACCCTAATATATGTCGCTATATTTTCCTGCGACGGAAACACTCCGTTTCATCGCCGGAATCATATGCAGTAAAATGCGAGAGTACCAACTCAAATACGCCAGATGGACGATAGAAACCACTTTCGCATATCTTTTGTCATATTCATGGCTCCCAAGAGGGCTGATTTTGGTAGGAGGACATGGCCCAATTTTGTAATAGCATGATCGGCTAGTTTTGATGTTGTTTGCCTGGGAAGTAGCCTAAATGAAAATGAGTATGTAGGTAAGTATCCTATTTTGTCAATCTGAGCATTCCTTTGTCACGCTATCGCACATCTGCTCTCCATCGCTGAGGCAAGTAATAGAGGGTCTGATACCACAAGTTTCGCCCGAATAATAAGCTGGGCAAAGACAATCCCAACTCGTGGGAGGCCTCTTATTGGCGAGGATGGTGGCATAATCCTGAAACAATTAATCTAAGGTCACAATATAAGGAGCATGTTTTTATTTAACTTTGCCCCACTGAGTCTAGGGGTATGTAGATCACGTCTAGCAGCCCTCTCCTCTTGTCGAACGTTTAGGTAGATCTGGGTCAGAAAGACTATCTACATACAGGATCCTGTAAACCCACTTTGAAAGTGATTCGACAATAACATAAAAATACTTTTCTGCGTTACGAAGAGAGCAATCCCACTTCCCATGCTATAAGTTAATTTTGTAGGAGGAAGTAGATATAAAAATGAGATTAGCAAGCTAGGTGCCTTTTGAACGTTACCCTTCTGGTCATTCTGCATTATGTGTTACGAGATAAGTGTTTGCGGTATGCATGTATCTCCAAACACATTTTTTATATCACTAGGTTTTATTTATGTGTGATCTACGTAAATAGTTTCCTGTCGTTGAATGAGCAACAAACTGGTGTAACCCAAAGGCCCCGTCCATGATGTTGTCGCTTATGCGCTACGAGAGTTAAAATCAAGCCGCAAATCACGAAGGGCATGTTCCATTTGTAGGATGGACACCGAACTACGAGGCTGTTACGTTAAGGGGGGTATTTACCTCTTTCACCAAAAGGTGATTTTGCATATCATACTCATGCATGCTATAGATCGCCGATCACGTATAGCCCAACTCGTTTCACTGCGCATACAGTATAATAACGATATTCACACGATAAGTAAGGAATCACTATTTCTCAAATATTTTGTATTATCGCATATATACCAGTGATCCACAGGACAATTCTATAGTAGCAGAGTTAGCATGGATCTTAGGTATAAGAGTGTGGGACTTTGCGAGTGTCAAGCAACACAAGTGTCGGAATACTTTCCAAAAAAGCAAAACAAAAGGATTCAGTACAATCAATAAAAAGGGTAGATGCTTAAAAAGGTGTTTAGACGCGCTGCACAAACAGACGGAATTGTCAAGGCCTACCGGTAGCAACTCGCTTTATCTAGATCAATCTCGTGTAACACTTGCGTGCCTGCTCCAAACTACTGATATCACATCTACTTTGATAACCATGCAGACCACAAGGCCACATGTTGTATCACCATGTTATACAAAGTCATGATCTGAATGCATGTACCCAAGAAAGTGAGCTAGCTGCTGATAACATCGAGAAGACTACCAAATACAAAATTCCAGCTATCCGGCGCTTCTATTTAAATCGCTGACTTGATCTCAAGCAATATATCCACGAACGAGTTCCAATAGTTAATCCAGCGGCTGTCAACATGTCCCAAAAACCGGATATCGCACCATTGATCTGTCATTGCTTTGCATATCTGGTCATCCTCCTCTATCACACTCGAAGACAGGTTCGAATTTATAGCATAAAGTTTTCTAAGAACAAAGCGTGTCTTTTCATACATATTGGGACTGGGATCACGGAATTGACTCGATACCATATCTCCAAAGCTCGACTTGCTAATGATAATATCCTCCCTGAGGTGATAGACGTACTGTCTTGCTTCATCTGGTCTTGTACCAGCTTGGTTCTCGTGAAGACTCTTCGTCGCGGTGATCCACGTACAACTCGACCCCCTTACCAAACAGCTGCATTGCTGCGCCCACTAATCTCCACCACATCGTACCTCCTCCAACTGCCCAACCTACACAGAGTGTCTATTTCCGCGCTCGACAGCTTCCTTTATGCCAGACTGGCGATCTTTTTCTTCGCCTATACACCCTATCTACACGGATATTCGTCCAGCACGATTTATTCGCTCGCTATTCCCCTGGCGGCCGCTTTCAGTATTCATGAAAGCCGCGTTCGCGGTGCATCTCTTGTGTTTATCCTTGCTATGGCTTACGTCGCAAAATTAAATGAGTGGGTGACCCATAGATCGAGAACCCTGCAGGGGTAAGTTATGGCACTTCGCTCTTCTTCGCATCATTTGAAGCTGTCCTAACTTCATGGAAAGATCTGAAACTAGGTCATATGTGGCAACGCTCGAAAAATATATTCTTGCTGGGTTGATCTATTTTGGATTCGCCGAGCTAGACAGGCTGCGAGAAGTTTCCAAGAGCAACGCGCTGAGGAAGCCTCTCAATGATGAATATGTACCAAAGCTGGAGCATAACATCTGATTTTGACTATCGCTAATGGTTATGAGAGGGACATGTGGTATTTTCCTCCACTTGCGGGATATCTTGCTACACTCTGCTCCAGCGAACCGATTTCAACGCACCGCTTTAAATATCCGGAAATTAAAACCTGGGAGCATAGATGAGGCAACGAGCTCTATAGAATTTACGTCAAGTGGCCTAGAAGTAAGCTTGGGTGTTATTCATTTGGAAAGTTTTGTTTTGATTTTTGCGGTACTAGACACAAGAATGGTCGGCCCCCATGCCTTTGGGCGATGAAGTGTAACATGCGGGACTTTGGTCGTGCTGGTTAATATTATCCATGTGTCGGCGGATATATACAACGTGGTTTCTTTTTCTTCTGATGGTAGCATGGTAGCATATGATTCACCAATTAATCAATAGACTTTTCTTCTCAAATAGATCAGGTAAAAGAAGGATTTATACTACAACGTTGAGACAGAGGGCCGGTTACCAACTCATTCAGGGTCTACCATAGTATGTAGGTAGGTGAAAGTAGCCCCCCGGCCCTTTAAGTTCACACCCGGGGCCCTGGCGACCCCCTGAGTCATAAACGATGGCGAGGGAATCAATCATACTTAAGTAATAATTTGCTGGTAGTAATAGCCAATGGGACCAAAGTCCGTGGTTGCACAATTCGTCGCCTGTACGTGCCTCTGTTCTACACTTTGATAGGACTAAATATATTTGACCTCCACCAAAAGTGCACTAGTCCTTATTAGGACATGTTGCTGGGTTACAAGGACATTATCACGTGACTATGTAGCGGTGGTGGCTGTTGACCATGACTAAGCAGGACCCCGCCATCATCAGTCAGCCCGCTACGGAGACCGAAGAACTGTTGAGAGGTACCGGTACCTAGTATTACATATTAACACAATACTGAAAGAAAGTACCAGTACTTGCCACGTTCTGGGACCTTGGTGGATCCTTAAGCCGAGAGTTTTCCTTTCCCCTCTATTCTCCTTTTCCCTCTTTCCTCTTTCTTTCTCATTCATACACCTTTGGTCAGTCAATTCCTACAATCACTTTTGGTCTTTCTCTCTAACGATCAGCAGTTTTTGAATACATATTTTACATAATGTCTGCCCCCGCACAGAAGTTCAAGGTCGCTGACCTGGTATGTCTCCCTCCATCACCGTTTTTTTCCTCCCTTCAATCATTGACCATTCCATAGTCGCTGGCCGCTTTCGGTCGCCGCGAGATCGAGCTCTCCGAGGTTGAGATGCCCGGTCTCATGGCCATCCGTGAGAAGTACGGTGCCGACCAGCCCCTCAAGGGTGCTCGTATTGCCGGTTGTCTTCACATGAGTATGAATTGATCCATCAGAAAAAAAAGCAAAGCCTGTGCTGACCGCTCCTCTAGCCATCCAGACTGCCGTCCTCATCGAGACCCTCACCCACCTCGGTGCCGAGGTCACCTGGACCTCTTGCAACATTTTCTCCACCCAGGATCACGCCGCTGCTGCTATTGCTGCCGCCGGTGTCCCTGTGTAAGTTTTGATTCTTTCTGAAATCTTGCTGGGATTTTATGGCTTTTTCTGAACTTTTCGTCTGACAATTATTCTCTGCAGCTTCGCCTGGAAGGGTGAGACCGAGGAGGAGTACCAGTGGTGCTTGGACCAGCAGCTCCAGGCCTTCAACGATGGCAAGAAGCTCAACCTTATCCTCGATGACGGTGGTGACCTCACCTCCCTCATCCACACCAAGTACCCCGAGATGCTCGATGACTGCTTCGGTGTCTCCGAGGAGACCACCACCGGTGTCCACCACCTCTACAAGATGCTGAAGGAGAACAAGCTCAAGGTTCCCGCCATCAACGTTAACGACTGTGTCACCAAGTCCAAGTTCGACAACCTTTACGGCTGCCGTGAGTCCCTCATCGATGGTATCAAGCGTGCCACCGATGTCATGATTGCCGGTAAGATCGCTGTCGTCGCCGGTTACGGTGATGTCGGTAAGGGTTGTGCCCAGGCTCTCCACTCCATGGGTGCCCGTGTCATTGTCACTGAGGTCGACCCCATCAACGCCCTCCAGGCCGCCGTCCAGGGTTACGAGGTTAACACCATGGAGGCTGCTGCCCCTGTCGGTCAGATCTTCGTCACCACCACTGGTTGCCGTGACATCCTTGTTGGCCGTCACTTCGAGGCCATGCGCAACGACGCCATTGTCTGCAGTAAGTTATCTTAAGCCAAAGTGTTGGTTTGAGGATTAATACTAACGATTTTTTAGACATTGGTCACTTCGATATCGAGATTGACGTCGCCTGGTTGAAGGCCAACGCTCAGTCCGTCCAGAACATCAAGCCCCAGGTTGACCGTTACAACCTCAACGGCAAGAACATCATCCTCCTCGCCGAGGGTCGTCTTGTCAACCTTGGCTGCGCTACTGGCCACTCTTCCTTCGTCATGTCCTGCTCTTTCTCCAACCAGGTCCTTGCCCAGATTGCTCTCTTCAAGGCTGAGGATGAGGCCTTCGGCAAGAAGTACATCGAGTTCGGTGCCGGTGGCCGCAAGCCCGTCGGTGTTTACGTTCTGCCCAAGCAGCTCGACGAGCAGGTCGCTCGCTGCCACTTGGACCACGTTAACGCCAAGCTCACTGAGCTGACCCCCGTCCAGGCCGACTACCTCAGCCTGGATGTCAACGGCCCCTTCAAGCCCGAGATCTACCGTTACTAATTTCTTTACATTTCCGTCTGCGTTCGATGATAATCTTGGGAAATAGACTTTCAACATGATTCGACGATGTTATGATTGGCATTTCGAGTTCTCCATCAACTTAGAACTCAAAAGTGGTTGTCCTTCAACGGCATAAAAAGTGGCCTGCACCGGAGGTGTGTTTCTAATGTTTTGTTTTGGCGTGGGATGACCTGGGATGGTCTTGCATTCAACACTGCGTGATGGGATTTTATTCTTGATACCTTATTTCGGTGTGTAGGCCTCCATGGGCCGATTGTGATAGTGTAGAACTTCAACAAATCGAAGCTATACGTCAACACTTTATTCCTATTGTAGTTCTCCCGTACAAGACTTCCTGTTCATATTTCTGGCTATGTCATTGGATCTATTTATTCCCCGTGGATCAATTTGACCAGTTCATCTGCTACCGCCACTGCAAAGCTGGGATCATTGATGTCACGCGAATCTCGCACGATGGAGATCCCACTGCCCTCCAATTCCCTCTCCAAAGTAGAAAACAATACCTCATCTGCCTCCGGATCCTGGAATGCCTGACCAGGAACATCCAACATGCTCACCCCACCAACAGGCAGAATCACCTTCGTCCGGCTCAATTGCCCTTTATCCCTGGACTCCCGCGACAAATTCGCTGCTATAAACTTCCCAATATCCACACATTCCTTCTTGGTGGTCCGCATAAGCGTAACAGTCGCATTATGCTCATAGAACAGCCGCCCCGCCTCTCGAAAAGCAGCAGGAACACTCCCAACCTCCCCAAAATTAACCATATCACACGCTCCAACACTCACAACCCTCGGAATATCCCGCACTGTAGCCGCAGTCAACCGTCCAGCACCAGCACTAAGAACCCCACCGACAACCTCATCCGCAATCTCCGTAGTCGTCAAATCAAGGACCGCATCAATCTGCCCCTCCCTCACAAGCCTTTCCAAAGCCCTCCCTCCAGACCCCGTAGCATGAAAAACATAAACCTCACAACCAGGCAGGACCTCCTCAAGACGCTCCCGCGCGCGGGTCACACCAGGCGTCGTAACTCCAAACATGGATATACCAATCTTCACACCGGAAGATACATCTACCTCCTTCTGACCTCGCTCCCGTTTCAAAAACGCATTCGCCATCCCGGCAATGCCCCCAGCAGCATTGTCAAGAACACCCTCCAAAACACGGTTCCGGCCCGCGATATCAACAACGCTGTACATCATGCTGATGTCCGTTTCGCCGATATACGGACCCACATCTCCAGCCGCCATGGTTGAGACGATCAGTTTCGGGAATCCGACTGGTAGTGCGTCTCGCATCACTGCGGCTGCGAGTGATGTCCCGCATGACCCGCCGATGGCGAGGATGCCGTGGATTTGGTGGGACTTGTGGAGTTGGGTTACTCTTTTTGTGGCGTAGGGTGTGAGGGTGGTTATGTACTCGGCCCGGGGGAGAGTTGTTAGATCCGGGATTGGGGTTGTGGGGGAGAGTGGGGCGTTAATTAGGGCGCTTTGTGGGATGGCGATTTCTTTGTGGGTGGTTGGGTTGCGGCTAATGTCCATTAGGAGGACTGTGGCGTTGGTGGATTCGATTTGGGCTTTGGTGTATAGAAGTTCTGGGAGTTTGGTATCACATGTTCCTAAGAGGAGGATTGTCGGGGTGTTTGCTGCCATTTTTGTGTTTGGTTTTTTGATTGGAATTAGATGAAGGGAACTAGGTAGCTGGTTTGGACTTGAACTTGCAATTTGAAGTGGAGGTGAAGCTGAAGTGGAGGTGAAGGTGGGGTGCAGTTGGAAGTGTAGCGGGGTAGCTCGTTTACTTAGAATATGCTACCTCGTTGTATATATGCTCAGGTAGGTACTCGAAATTACGATATGGTATTGGCAATTCGCTGCAATATGATATCCTGGACATAACATGTGCATATGCTCTTTCTCTTGCGCTGCCGTTCTGAATGATTCTCTCCCACAATGTCAATGGGTATGTTACACTGCTATAACCTAAAGTTTAGCAGCTCGAGCTGCCTTGAATTGGCGAATTCTGCATTGCATCAGCCACATAAACGAGTAGAGATTCCACATCTGAAACATACTTATCCTCATCCGCCAGCTCAAATAACACATCTTGTGCTCCTTTCCACAGTGTCAGCTTACCAAGCGCATGCAAGTTTTCAGACCCTTCAGTGATAGTTAAGAAGTGATTCGCAGCAAGGGCTCCCATCTTGCTTGCAAAGGCAACTCCCCCATAACAGAAAAGAAATTCCGTCTCCGAGATACCTCCGGGGTATAAAAGAATCTGACCAGGCGCAGGATGCGCCGTGTGATTTTCGAAGGGGAGGTTGAAGTTGGCCTCCCCCAATGGAATCCACATACCCTCGCCGCTCCATCGAACATGAATGAGCTTCTGGCGGTATGGGAGGAGAGAGCGGAACAATTTGACAGTCTTAGGGGCAGCAGACTCGAGCTTCGCGAGGAATTGGTACGGACCAGCCGTGATCAGAATGGTAGAGTCTGTCATTTGGGATTTAAAGGGGATTGTCAACAGACATTAGTTCTGTCATTCTCCAGTTTTGTTTTGAGGTAGAGATTCCTGATGTTTCCCGCGGTCTATGATTTAGCTCGCTTCTTGGCGCTATATCTATCCAATGAGCCCGTGGCTTTCCCGATATTATCCACTCGGGTATCGCCTGATTCCACGTATGGAGTACTGATGTGCTCTTCTATATATATGTGGGGCCATATCGCGCTATGTTACGGAGCGCGAAGTACAAGTTAGGGAGCTCACGATCATTTGTTCTACTGTATGATCGAGTTAAATATCTCCCTTGAAGCCCTGAAGTGACTTAAACTATCAAAGTGCATAGATATGCCAAATACAGTTGCTAGCCATGCAATATGAGACAACCAAGCACGCCGATAAGTGAAAAAGACGGTAGTCTCTGTGATGAGTGGTGAGATGAATAAACACCCTGCATTTAAGTCTAATTTAGGCTATAACAAAGTGTAAACTGACAGACAAGCAAGTAGTATGAGGGTGATCAAAATATTCAAACTTTCAGTCAAACTACATTATAGGTGCTGCTACTTAAATTTTCTTGATCGCCGTTTCAAATTCTTCAAGGAAAGCCCACAGTGTTTTCTCCCGCCATTTCTTTTCTTTCCAACCATTAGCCGACAAGGGAAACAGATCCACGCAGTTCAACAGGCTGGCATCGTGCGCATATACAAACCAGATATTGCTCTCTGCATCAGCCACCTGTGCTTTCTCAATTGTATCTATTGCCTGTTCAATATCTACCCCTATGGCTGGTCGGAAGAATGGCTTGTCCACCGATCCAGTCCGTTGGACTAGCAATTGCTCGTATACCGAGCCCCCAGGACATGGAAATGAAACAGGGGCAGTGAAGCTCGGTTGAATATCATGAGGAATGCGGAGGTGTTTCGACGGTCTGATTTCCCCACTGTGATGGCAAAGGTCACCTCCCATGAAAATGAATGTGTCGGGATTCGTCGTGGTGCGGGCTAATGCACCAAGGTGACCGACTGCATGACCGGGACTGTCTATGATATAGAACGAACTATCACCGAAATAATCAATAGCTCGGAACTCGCCAACTTGGACAGAGTTTGAGAAGTCTATTTCCCGTAAATTTCGGCCGCTTTCATAGAATGTTAGCCATGTTATAATCTTTGGCGGGAAACCCCTATAAAGAACTTACGCAAAGTCACTTTCACGTACAGGAGAATCCGGCTTCGCTGGATAACCAGGAAGGAACTCATCCTTGAAACCAGGGCCGACAATAAGGTCAGTGGAGGAAGGAAACCGCGATGGGTCACCAATATGATCCCAGTGCCAGTGGCTTTCCGTAAATATAAAATATCAGCACCATACGGTATTTGTATACATAACCTGAAGGAATAATGTACTAACCTCCAAATTATAGCGGAAATTTCGTTCGCCATGACGCCATGTTTCCTGAGAGTGTCGACCACCTCTTCTTTGACATCAATTTCCCATCCCTGTTCTTTAAAACTTTGACATACTATCGGCGGAAACGAGTTCAAGTCCTTCGGAACTCCAAGATCGTAAAGGATCTTTTGACCCGAAGGATGCTCGATAAGGAATGACCAAGCGGGAAGAGGAGTCATGCATTCCATCCCCTCCATTGGAGGTTCCATGAGAAATCCCAGCTTTAGGTTGCCAATTCTAGTAGTAGAATCTATGATTCGAATCTTGACGCTCTGGTCGCCCGGTGGCACGGTGAAGTTAGGGCTGGAAAAGTGTGACATGATGAGATGAGTTTGAGGATTGTAGAGACTATGCACAATCTCGAAAGACGAGGAGATACAAGAAGTACAAACTCGATAGTTTGATATCCCTCTATAAATACCGAATGCCGGGCCAAATACCACGCACTTTATCTGAGGTGGTTGGTAGTGAGTGAGATCTTTGGGGGACCTCGGGAGGGGGTTCGATTATGTACAAGTGTAGCGGTGGTGGGGTACCTTATCTCCATCAACCCCCTCCGATATTTCGCCCCTCTGATGCGCAGGTCTATTTTCTAAATAAAAGCTAGGTGCATTGAAATTGTAGCTAAAAACCTTCCCTCAGCTAATACCGAGTCCATGCCCTAATTAGCCTACTTGGGCCGAGTGGTTCCCCATGTTGGTTTCGGTATAAACAAATATATGGCCGAGTACCGAACGGTAATGCAACATCAACTGAAGATCTCAAATCAATATATAGAAATGAAAGATGGGTATGCAACATCCCACCAAATATTCCAGACTAAGTCAAATCTGTCTTCAACTTATCCTACTTCACGAGCCCCACCAAGTACAAGCTTGAACGGCACACGCCGAATTCTTCCACCACCAACCAAAAATGAATTTCATCACCGCGGCTAAGGCGATCGAGCCTTCATTTACCAAAGAAAAAATGGGGACATTTGATGGCGATGTATTTATCAACCGTCTACACAAAGACGAGCACATTTCAATTCTTGACATCAAATTTTCTCCATGTGCTCGAACACACTGGCATCACCACGAGAAAGGCCAGCTTCTGGATATAACCACAGGATCTGGATGGGTGTGTGATAAGGGACATAACCCTCAAAGAGTCAAAGTTGGGGATATCATTTGGTGCCCCCCTGGTACTGTTCATTGGCATGGTGCGGATGAAGGTGAATCTATGGTTCACCGTGCGATTACTTATGGTCCTGTGGATTGGTATAGCCCGGTTGAGACAAGATGACTTGCAGTGACCTCATTGAGAAAATCGGCTTGGGGATCCTTCAGTTTTGCCTTTCAGTGTCTGCTTGAAGCGAGGGTGGGGAAGAAGCGTCAGCTGTGGTGTGGGTGACGTTCATGGTTTCGACCTTCTGGCCACAACCAAGTTCAGTGTACATAGTCAGACAATTTAATTCGTTAAGAGATTGTTTCTCCAATACGCACGTTTCATCTCTTCCCATTGCCTCCGTTTCTTGCCTGGGAAGTGCGTGCCAGTCGGCATCTAGAGTGTACCGAGTGTCGATACTCGGATATGGGAGATGTGAAGATGTCGGGTGAGCTCAATCTTTGAATAAAGTACTTATGACCAACAAGACACACCGTGTGGAATTGGGCTTTGGGTTTCGTGAAAGTCTATATCTGGCAGCAGCAAAATGCTTCTTGGACTTGCGCCTGTAATGCATGTTAAGTGAAGGATCAGAGCCTGGAATCATCTCTGATGATAAGGAAACCTCAATTTTCGGGCTTAAGATGAATTATTGACGTCTATCGTAAGAGGTTTCTATACAGAGATCTATCCAATTTGTATGGGCCGCCTGGGTTACCTGAAAGCGCCGCCTATGTTCTTGATAGCAAGCCCTTGACCAGATATTAGCACTTTTCAAACAAGAAACAGAAGAGGGAATTTATGGCACAATAAATTATCTTTTAGAAATTTATCAAGGTATTGCCTTGTTCAATTTCCATGCGCTTGTGACTGCTGTTGGGGCAGCTTGTTCTTGGCTAGCTCCAGAATAGCATTGCTAGCTGTCAGGTCCGTAAGGCTGACACCGACGCTTTTATATACAATGAAGCTCTCTGAAATAAACTTGGTTGTCTTTTCTACCCGGTCCTGTGTTGGGCTTCCCTTGCCTTTCTTCAACGCAATGATTTCGCCAAGCTCAACAACATCCCTCGCGAGGATTCCGCTGTTGACTAGCTCACCACAGTTCTGCAGAGCAAAATCCCGATCATCAACCAGTACAACACCCCGGTTTTCTCTGGTGATAGAGTTGTACCCATCGCTAGCCGAAATAGCATGATGTAAAAGTGCTTGATCAAGTTCGACCATGTCAGGTAGCCAGGAACCGATAGCTGAAATGAAGGGTTGGCGGATGCGGCACTGGGTGAGGTAGCTGGCAGGAAAGAGAGGCTTCTTAGAAGGCGTCGTGCAAAATATAGCATCAGCGGTTTTCAGAAGAGCTTGAAGATCACGCTGGTAGTCCGTGGCGGTGGTGTCGATGAAATGAAATGATGCGTTTGAGTTCCAGCGAGCTTGGTTCTCTTTTGTGACAGTCGCAATCAGCCTATCAACTCGATCCTTGCCTGGACTAGCATATGTGATTTTCTGAACCTCCAAACCACGGAGGGTCAGGATCAATCGGGTATGCCATAGAGCCTGCATTCCACCACCGAAAATCACAATATTATCCACATGCTTCCTCCAACAGAACGGAACCATTGCGTTCATGGAGGTTCGGTACCCGGTGACCTCTTCGGAGCTTAAAATGGCCGTTAGGTTTCCCTTGCCGTCTGTCAACACGATAATTCCGTGCAGGGGATCCTTCTTCCCGTCAAAACCCGGTGCGGGCTCTACGACTATCTTAGCACCGACGCTTGAATCCGAGGTAAAAGGTCGGAAAAGAGTGTTTTGTCCATTGGCTCGGTTGGTAACACTAGGCATGGGCTGGTACTGACGCTCGCCACCGACTGAAACGTCCTCGAATGTTTGTTCGAGAACTTTTCGCAAGGCGATAGCCTCTTCCCGAGAAAGGTTGATCAACAAGTCATGGATGGTGGCGTTATCTAAGATCTCAATGTTTGCCATTTTGGAAGATTCGAGGGTTGGAGAGCTGGACGGCGTAGTGCTGTAATAGACCCCGTATAGCAAAAGTGTGATCGGGATGCGACAAGACTTCTACTGCACGGAAGAGCTATAAAGAGCTGACAAAAAGCCATCGGTAGGGTTCCCGGAAGCATTAATTAGATACAAATCTCGGAACCTCTGTCCGTTACCAAGCCTGGATCTGGTGCGGGGAAGAGAAGACAGGTAGCAGGTCCTAATTAAGCACAGCCTGACAGTGTTGGCATAAGATAATAGGCGCTCCTTGCCAGGCATTCTGTCTGACTACCGAGTTTCAACCCTGGAATGGTAAGTTGGCCCAATATCAGGTCGTTTGGATACACAGGGTTGACCAGGGGAGGAGTTCTAAGTTTGTCTTATTTGTGCAGGCGTTTCCATAAAGATCGATCACATGGGGATTCGGCTCCTTCGTGATAATTTATACGATAGATAAGATTATTCTACTATTCCCCGCATATGAAGTTGGGGTTCACTCCATTGGGTTCGGATACCCAGCCGACAAGGTTGACTACCACCGCATTTTCCTTCCATACATTCTCAAATACTTATCGGTACTCCATATTGTATGACCAATAGGAAGTCCCACGGCCTACAGGGCTCCTCCCGATGTTGTTTGTCTGCAGAAAATGGAAGCTCATCATAAATACCCAGCAACACCCTCCATATTTACAACGTTGGCATCCTTGAATATATTTTCTAGAAGGGATTGAAATCCCATTTTCCTTTCTTTCAATCTGCTTCCCTCGCAACATGGTGAGATTCAACCGCCATATTCAAGTAGTGGGCTGCCACTGCGCAGGTGAAGCCTGCGATGTCATTACCGGCGGTGTTATGGATCCCCCAGGATGCAGCACCATGTACGATAAGCTGGTCCACTTCCGGGACAATGAAGATCACATTCGACAGCTTCTTTTACAAGAGCCTCGAGGACGTTCTGCTATGTGCCTAAATCTCGTCCTACCACCTACCAACCCCAAGGCCGATGCCGGGTTTCTGATTATGGAAAGTGATGAATACCCACCCATGTCCGGAGGGCAACACAATTGCCACATCCACGGTTCTCCTGGAGACAGGCATGGTGAAGATGGTCGAGCCTGTGACCACGTTGACGCTAGATACGCCAGCGGGGCTGGTGACCGTTCATGCAGACTGCGAGGACGGGAAGGTCAAGGCGGTTGCCTTTGATAATGTCCCCTCATTCGTGTTCAAGCTAGACTACCAGATACAAGTCCCCGAGCTCCCAGAGCTTGGAACCATTACCCTCGACATTGCCTGGGGAGGCATGATCTATGCAGTTGTGGATGTAACAAGGCTTGGCATCAAGATCAACCACAAAAATAGCCCTAGGCTGATTCAAATCGGGGAAGCAATCAAGATCGCTCTTAATAAGTCCGACTATATCCCTATCCACCCAGAAAATCCCAGCATCAAGGGAGTGAGCGTCCTCGAGTTTACAGAGCCTATGAACCATGAGACAATGGAAGCCACAAATACAGTTGTCGTGTCTCCGGGTCGACTCGATCGATGTCCATGTGGTACCGGTAGCTGTGCAAGAATGGCTATCCTACATGCCCGCGGCCAGCTTGCTGTTGGTGAGCGTTTCACGCACCGAAGTATTATTGGGAGTACCTTTGAGTGTCACATCCGTGGAACGACGAAGGTGGGGGAATACGATGCTATCAAACCAACTGTGAAGGGAAGTGCTTGGATCAACTCGTTCAAGCAATACGTTTTGGATCCAACTGACCCTTGGCCCACTGGTTTCAGGGTTGGTGATCAGTGGCTTGTGACTGAGGGGTAAATGCTCTCCTTGTCAGAACCAATACACGAGAAGCACAGCATAGATAACAACGAAAATTCAACTTTTGAAGATGAATATATATATGAACAGCATCAGGAAGCCGAAGCATTATTCTCCCCAGCCATTTTCACAAATACAACACTGGCAGGGGTCATAGAATGTCGCAAGTGCACACGTCCAAGTAATGGGAAGCACACTCTTATGATATGGATATGGTAAGATACCAAGGTAACACTGCACTGCTTGACAATAATGAGTACGGCAATCACTACTCTATTGTTCAACAGAAGGATTAGTGATTGAAAACCAGACTGTGTACTCTTTGCCATGGAGTCGGTGTTGTCAGTAGCCAGTTCTTGAAAGCAAAGAGTGCACTCAATCCACGATTCCAGCAACAGGGAGGAAATGAAGACAGGAGTTGATGGGGTCGAACAATTATGTGGGTCTCTGCTCCAACCTCGGCAAACGATGTAAACAGTACCAACACAGCAAACAACCAGACTGCACTGCATTTCTAGATCCAGAGTGTGTACCAGCGTTGCACTATATACCCTACTAAGGCCTATAGTTGTGCAAAGTTTGAAAAATTGCACATGACATCCAGAAATTGACGGCCAAGTTTCATAACAGCCCGCCAAAGTTATTGTGGATGTTGAAGTTATAACCGGCTGAAGTCAATTCGGGCCGAATGTGGAATTTACCCGCGATCCCGCATTTCCTCCGTCACTCTCCAACGGGCAATTTTCCTCCGTGGGGATGGGGGTCAACTCTCGGCTAAATAAGAGAAGAGAGGTGAAAGAGTTAAAGAGGTGGGTATATCCTTCCTGAGTCAATCTCATCTTCTCTATTTCTCTATATCTTTCATTGACATCCAATATGGCTCGAGTACTTGAAGGGAAATTAGGCATTGTCACTGGCGGATCGCGGGGTAAATCACAGCCTTCCCCGCATACCAAGAGATCAAGCTAACACGCCATCTACACAGGAATTGGCGAAGCTATTGCCCGCAATCTGGCCGAAAAGGGCTGCTCACTACTTCTAAACTTCACTTCAGAGTCCTCACGCGCCCCTACCGAAGCATTGTGCTCCTCCTTAGCCACAACCCATAATATCAAATGTGAGAGCGTGCAAGCCGATCTCAGCAAGCCCGCCGAGGCCGTGGCAGCCATCATTAGTGCCGCACAAGAACATTTCAGCACCTCCGGAAAACTCCAAATCGATATCCTGATCAATAATGCTGGCGTATCGCAAGACCGGAACCTGAACGACGCCACTAAGGGCCCCATCGAGGCTGAACACTTCAACTGGCAATACGCGATCAATGTCCTCGCCCCACTCCTCCTCACACAGGCATGCGCTCCCTTCCTCCCAACAGACCGAAGCGGCCGCATCGTGAGCATCTCCAGTGTATCCTCGTCGCTCGGTTTCGTGGGCCAGTCGATCTATGGCGGTACCAAGGCTGCCATTGAGGCGATGACTCGCACCTGGGCACGTGAGCTGGCTGACCGTGCGACTGTTAATGCCGTTAACCCCGGCCCGGTTGTTGGCGATATGTACTTTGCGACCGGAGAGCAGTTCTGGAAGGATATCCAGGGCTACCAGGATAACACGCCTATGAGCAAGTTGGATGTGAATAATGAGGACACCATGAATCGCTTAACTGATGAGCAGAAGCGGTTGATTCAGGAGAAGATGGGTGGTCGTCGACCTGCTTTTACTAGTGAAGTTGCGGGTGTTGTTGGCATGTTGTGTACCCCTGATGGTCTTTGGTGTACTGGCAGTGTGGTCTGTGCCAACGGCGGCATGAAAATGGGACAATAAGACAAGGCATAAGTGACCGCCATTCTCGAATGCTATACGAACCAGTTTGCGTTACAAATACCTTTTGTTGAAAACCATTTCTTATTCTTCGTTTCTTTTCCTCTTTTCATGTCAGGCCCTTGAATCAGTAATATTTTGTGTTGGGAGCAAGACCCTCCGCCTGGTCGGCATTCTGAATAATTCATTTGTCAGTGACTCAAGGCTATCCAAAGCAAGAAAGGTAGACAAACCAAAAGGTTCCCAAAGCTCTTGACGAGTTCGGTTTCATATTCACAATAGGCCTTTTCCCGAGGACCCATCTTGCTGAAAGTTGTCGCAACATCAAAGTCAATCCACAAAATCCTTTTACCTGAGACAACAAGCATATTCTTCGGGTATATGTCATGGTGGTGAACCAGGGCATCATGGATCTCTTTGATGCCTTCAACTGCGTAGTGAAAGAGATGTTCGGAATAGTTCACACAGTTGAGTCGTTCTGCACTTGGCAAGTACTCAAGTAGAATCACCCTTGGTTGGAACCTATCGTTGGAAATGTGTTGAAATGGTGGATGAAAAGCCAATGGACCATGTCGATCGATAAAGCCATAAAAAGCCAGAACAAAGCCGCGATCGCAAACACCAAACTCATGGAGCTTTTGATAGGCGTTTAATTCATAGCGAAACCGATTCAGATCGCGACCTTTTTTGGTGTACCCTGGGTCGCCGTTGTCATGGAACTGATACGTCAGTGTCAGTGCTATCCTCACAAATGAGAATGATACCTACGAGCTTCATGGCATACGTCCTGCAATATAGCTGTATTTCATAGATCGTTGAAGCTTCTGAGCGACTGATCTCCCTCTTGATGTTGGTAGCAGAAGGATCTATATCCCGGAGACAGCCGTTTTGTAAGTCCATGGTTTTTATCTGCCTTCAGCCAAAAGCGAGCGAGAAGGTAACTCGTGAAACGAATGATGCAAAGCATACAACTTTGGAATCGGCCTCCCTTGATTACGAAAGCAATATCGGTCCACGGGTCATCCATGGATGCCCAGGTGTGATTGATAACTTAACCACCCCGCATTTCCTACCTTAACTACGGTCCTTAGCCTACTACAACATCTGCAAAGGACGAACTTGCGTTAGGATACCATTGAAATATGCCTTCGGATCAACACCAATGTTCAGAAAAACATTACTGCAGTGGTCTCGGATCTTCACGGCCATGCAGATCCATGGATATATATACAAGTATGACCAAGCGAAGGCCTCATATTTGCAATCACTAGGCGATTTGATGAAGTTTCTTCAAATTCAGCCTTTTGGCCCTATCACCTTTCTCTATTTCATAGGGTGATAGCGAAGACGCCACACACCCAAATAGGCCATCGAGCCTTGTCAGCGCTAAGCTTCCTTGGAATTCAGCCTCCAAACTGTGACTCATTACCGATGCTATGGTAGTATCTGATATCCCATGAAAGCAACTATAAAAGAAACGAAAATACACCAAAACTTGGAACGAGTTGTGTATTCTTTCTCTCTAGAATCAAGTCTCATATCATCAGACTACTAGACTACAATGCCGGGCTTCTCTTTCCCACCGGGCTTCACAATTCCCACCCCGCGCCTCCAAATCAGCCCCTTCAACCCCACCGACCCGACCCACTGCGCCTTCTTAGTCCAACTCTGGAATACAGACGATTTCATCAGCTCCTGCGGGAAAACAGGATGTACCACACCAGAAAAGGCATCTTCATTCATTGAAAACAAAGTCTTAAAAATCTACGCCTACTATGGCTACGGCATATTTCTGGTCTCGCGACAGACCGATAACGGCCTGAAGCCGGTCGGAACCATATCGCTTATGCAGGGGATTCCACCAGATCCACATTATCTTGCCCCGGATATCGGGTTTTCCATCTTACCTGAAGAAGGTCGGAAGGGGTATGCGACCGAGGCAGCACAGGCTCTCTTGGAGTATGCGAACAAGACGCTTGGGGTAGATGCTGTGTTTGGTTTCTGTTCGCCGGGGAATCAACGGAGTCGGGCTACTTTGGAGAAGCTTGGGATGGAGTATAGGGGACTCAAGTCTTTGAAGGTTTTTGGTGAAGAGGATAGTGCTGTGTATGCTTTGCCGGGAATGAGTGAGGACTTGACTATTTACAATATTGACTGAATCGAGAGCATTATTGTTCTATGGGGGGTTATCACGCATTGTGATACACTTATTTTTTTCAAGTAACTTCGTAGTATTTTACGTTATTGTAAATATCCCGCCAACCCTTTCGCTCAAATCATACTTCTCATTTGTCATGGCATTTGGCTATATATTCGGCCCCCATCTGATAGTGGCTGCAAAAAGTCCGGAGAGGGGTTCTTGAGGCAGCTGGTTCTTGTCAGTCCAGCTACGAACAAAATCAAAGTTCTTACATGGATGCCGAGTGTTGAAATAAACATAGGTGTCAAGAGAGGACTACGTCGAAGTGAATGGTGAATGTGAGATTGATTGAGTAGAGAGTTGTAGAAGCTAAGCTACAGAGAGACTATGAAATCTGACAATAGGGCTCCGTGTCTTCAGGGTAGATCCAGACTCGGCCCAACACTCCAGTCTCGACCGTGCACATAAGCTCTTGGTGAAGAATATCGAGTCAATATGCCGTGGGGAGATAATCTGTCCACGGTGCTATCACCAAAGGATATTTGAGATAGAACATACACATATGATGGTGAATGATATAGTCATTGTTAGTGAGGGACCCAGACCGAAACTTCCCGGATTGAACTTTCCCCAGCTCAAACACTGACATCAGATTGAATCTCTATAGCCATTAATAATGAAATCAACATCACCCTGCATGTCTCACATATCTCACTATACTATGAGTCTTTCACCGTGTGGTGTATGGTCAACGTGAAATTCCCTCAAGTGGTTGTCAACTACATGGAAGAGAGTATCATATGCATTGAGATGGCCTAAGCGTGATCGATCTGTCTAGCCAGACAAGATCAGCACTATTTGACCGCGGGTGATCGTCAAGGAATGTGAACACGCCCCTTGCGGACGGGATCCACGCGCGAGGTTCATCCATCATGCAAGTCTTCAAATATCCACACGGGAAATTTAATCTTTATTTTTGTACCTTGTATTGCGTGTGCTACCCCATCTCTTACAGCCGACTGAGATCATTATACACCCGATGGCTTATCCCCCGCAAGGCAGTATTATTATCAACTACACGTTTCCCCGGTACCCCTTGCAGCACGAATCCTCATCAAACCTCGCTGAGGAATGGCATGAGCCGACCTCAGACATTCTTGTCAAAAACTCTTAACGCTATTGAGTTGCACCTTGGAGCTGTATAATGTCAATTCTGGGGGCTGGAGGTGCACAAATATAAATAGAGACCGACGAACCGGGTTTCAACAATCATTCTCAAATAAAAATAACCTCGAGAACCTCAGAACCGCAAGAGTACTCTAAACACAACAATCCTCTCCTTTTTCTTGAATCTCTTCGACCACCTCCCTCCAAGATGCGCTACTCCACCATCAGCAGCCTCCTATTTTTGGCTGTCTCCCCACTAGGCGTCCTCGCACGTCCCGTAGACCCCAACGATCTGGCCGGTCAATGGGACCCGAGTGGACAATACCGAAAGGGTCAGTGGCAGCATGGCGTGTTCGTTCCCAACAACGGCGATGACCGCTACAGCCAAAAAGGCCAAACCAATCAGCATGGGCAACTTGAGAAAGACGGCCAGTGGGGTGACAACAATAACCAAAACGGCCAATACAACCAGAATGGTCAGCAAAACAGCCAAAATGGTTGGATCGATGGCAACGGTCAGTGGCACTCGAACAACCAAAATATTCAGAATGGACAGGAGGGTTGGCTCGATGCGAATGGCCAATTCCACGCCAACGATCAAAATGGTCAGAACAACAACAACCAAAATGGCTGGACTGATGCCAACGGTCAGTGGCACTCAACCCAAAAGCGCCAGGAACTCTACCGTTAGACAACCCCCAGAACCATCGGGAACGTCCATCGGAGTGAGGCTAGCGACAATAACGAAGTCAACAAAGCCCAGGTTACTCCCAGCTCCCAGAACAGCAAGTACCAGAGCTATGGTAACTAAAAAATATGGGTCATACCAGAACTACCCTACCAACGGACTGAACCACGCTCGGGACAAGGATACCAAGGCTATCACTGGTCAGCAGGAGTGAATTGGATACTTCTTCGTGGACTAAAAGTGGGATTGTTTGCTCATTTTGTCCTGTATTTGGAGGAAAGGCATGGTTTGCATGAGGACACGAACTGTATATGCTCATGAATGAATTTTTAACTAATGAATTGGTGGATTGGAAAGGATTGAATGAAGAAGGCTAGATCTAGGCAAAAGGCTATAGCAGAATGACAGTTGACTTTTGAAAAGATTCCTCTCCGTAATTTAGAGACACAAGTTCTATGTGTTACTACTATCTCTTTGAACGATTGATTCATACAAAATAGCTATCATAGGCTTTTGCGAATGTTTCTAGCACTAGTACCATAATGATAGGACTTGAAATAATAGATGTAATAGGAGCTGATTTAAAAATATCACTGTTGATTGAAAAGTCAAGGATCGAGCGAATAGGCGCAATATAGCTAGCGCAAAGAAGAGACGGGGAGCAGGTTCGAACCAAGCAAGTGGAACGGAGTTTTGTGTGCCGCAATGTACTTCCTCACAGCCTTCAGGTCTGCTCTCGTTTGGCTGTCGTATTTGAGGAATTTTATATCGGCATTGGCAGTCTTGTCATTTTCTCGAACCACCTTCATAATTTTGTCGAATAAAACATCCGCTTTGCTGGGTATCTTGCGGAGACGCTGAAGCTGCTCTTGGATGTCTTCGTCGACCTGGAGATATAGCCAGTTGGCCACAGTACGTGACCATTGCACCCATCTGTTGAAGTTGTGTTGGCCTTTAGCTGGCCGGGGAACACTGCTGTTGATCAAGTGTTGCAGTCGGAGTTGTCCCAGTGCGTATCTCACCCGGAGAGCCCATCTGTCTAGGTCCTTCGAGTTGTGTTTCAGTCGAGGCACGTTTGTAATTATGACTTGAGTCAACTTTGGTAGGTTGGACCCTTGTGTGTCTAGTGTACCCACGTCTGCACTATGGAGGAGGTCGTTTTTGATGTTGACCTTGTCATCTTCGGGATCGACGTCGTTAGAATCAAGATTCTCAACGTTTAGGAGGCTAGGTAGTTGGCTAGCCTTGGTGATTTTGGAGTCGGGTTCGGTGTCACTGGCTAGATAGTCGGTACTATTCTTGGTCGCCATTGTGAATGCAGGTGTATATTTGGATGGCGAAAGGAGTAGTTTGTGATTGGCTAAACCTGGCCCCGCAATATTGGAGGCTTTGTGGTACTGGGCTGTGGTTGGTTAAGCCAGTCCCACTTCCAAGATGTAAAATCTGCGGAAGAGGCTAGTGGACTTGAGTATGTAGTAAAAAGGAGAGGCTGACAACCTCTAGAGATGGTAGGATCTGATGAAAAAATATCGGTGTGCGTGTTGAAGAAAGTGAATTAGTGAGAGATGGGAGAACGATGAATCAAGATGAAAGAAGAGAAGATATGGAGAGAGGAGAGAGAAAGAGCAGAGATTAATTTTAATTATCACATCAGGCGCGGGATGCCTGAAGCTTCCAAGCTACTAGTACTATTACGGCTTTTATGCTCTCAGTATGACGCATGAAGTAAAACATCGCAAAAAGAGATCAACAAAGAAGATATGTCCTTATTTGTCACGATTTCGAAGATCTATCAGAAGTAATGAATAAGTGAATGCATTAGCACTACCTAAAGAAAGTCCATTTCAATATCATCGGTCATTTGCTCGAGGTGTCCGGCAACCAAAAGGTCCATTGACGGGTCAAATCTAAGTTCGAATGCCAGTCGGTCCAAGCTGTACTCCATGCTAATACACACCTGTTCTAGATACGGACCTCCGAATCGGGTGGAGAGCCACTCAGGCATTGCATTGCGGACATACACACTATCGGGGGTCTGCTCGACCATCTCAAATGCAGCCTCTTTAATTCGCTCTGCCTGGTGGGAAAGTGAGATTAGCTCTTTGCGAACATCCTTGATACGATCCACTCCTTGGCTTTCCGGGTCGTTTCTTAGTATCTGAGCTTGGGTCTCCAGACTGGCCTTGAAACTAAGGCACTCTTCCTTGTAGATTTCCTCCCAGCTTTGCAGTTCGATTGAGTCAGAGGACAACATTTCGGCTTGTGGGGCACTATAGAAAGGAGTCAGGGTTTCAAGTGAGACTGGTTCTGAGGGCTTACCTCTCCTTCGGACTTGGCTTTCGGGGAAGGCAGATTGATCGGTGTTGAACCAAAACTCAAGGCTAATACAGAAAATCCGCAAAATCCGATAAAGCCCGAGTTGAAGCATTGAGATGATGTAGAAGTCAATAAATTTTCGTCTGGTGAGTACTCGAAAAGGGGGCATCGGCAGTATTTATGCTATAGGAGTCGGCACTTATTTGATCTAATTCAAAGAACAACTACAGGGACAAAGTACAAAGACTATTGTTCGCTTTCTACCAAAGCAGTCGTCATTGACCTCACTGTGCGAACAACAAAGACTCAAGACAATGAAGCGGGGTCACCTGGGCAGCTTTGTTGCTTGATATAATGAAAAAGAGATTCCAATTCCTACATCGTATAGGCAAATATATTTTTGGGCACTTTTTAATCTTCTATCGGAAGGGTGAAATATGAGATAAATGGGAATATTATAAATCAGAAAACTATATACTAGACCAATACAAGACAATTGGCCGTACCGAGGTTACCGCTGGATTTATATATATTGTTCATGAATACCCCCTGCAATATGGCATAGTAAACCTTGCCAAGCATCTGCATCTGTATACAAATTCAGAAATGCGACAGCGAGCCACGAACTTGGAAAATGGCTTTCTTCAACATATAGTAGCTTTGAGTGGTTGTATCCCTATGAAAATTGCGTGAAACAATCAATGACTCAACTATGTTTATTAGCTCCGTTAAGGAGAAAAATTCGGTAAAGCAACTTGGATTTCCTGTCACGATATGGAGTCATAGTATTCGTATGCAAGATATATTGTTACAATGCCACTTGGATATGCAATCTTCCGGTTTAGGTTGAATTTCGCAAGCCCCATAAAAATGACCGGCGAAACCCCGGAAGCCCCATAAAAAAATTCAGAAACGAGGGGAAACCCCCAGGAGATACCCCGAGATTGAACTGGGAAAACGGCCCACAAAATCTTCAGCGCTTGTTCCTCTTACACGTTGATTCGGCCCGTGAATAGCTCAAATACAATCTCGTCGGAGGACCCTTCTCCGAGGTTCAGCCCTTTAGTACAAACTTTTCTGTGTATCTCCTATATACCTCTTATTTTCTATAGTTTGTCAATTTTTGCAAGTAAAATCATCTTGCATAGAAACAGCGAGGAATTATTGTAAGTGGATCTAATAAGTACTTGTAGGGTACATTCTATGATGTACCGAATACATAATAGTGTACCGAACAGATAATAATGGCTGCCCTACGTGGGTCTGGGCATTGGGAAACAAAATCACCAGAGGGCTAAGAGTTTTCTTTTCTTCTCTTATTTTTGTAAGTACTTTCTTCACACTTTCAACCCTGACCCTGGAAAAATACCCTGTCAGCCCCGTCGGCCAAACCTCACAAAACCGCAGTAATGGGATTAATTCCCCTCCAATTCAAAAATCCCCCGAAATATATGCTAGCATGCATTCTCTGCTCAGCAAATGGAATCCTCTTCGGAATGGATACGGGTATTATCGGCCCGGTGACGGACATGAAGGACTTCAAAAAGTCATTTGGTAGTCAAAACTCCACGATCCACGGCCTAATCGTCTCAAGTATCTTGATTCCGGCCGCGCTGTCTTCTCTCTTCGCTGGCTATGTCGCCGATCGGCTTGGTCGGCCGAAGGGTATCTGCATCGGCGTTTTCATCTTCGGCATTGGAGCCGCAATAGAAGCAGGTGCCGTCGCTCTATCCATGTTCATCGTGGGCCGCGTCGTGGAAGGTCTTGGAGAAGGGCTTTTCCTTGGAAACCTTGTCGTCCTGATTTGTGAAATCTCACCAACTAGCACTAGAGGCGCCCTGACAACGGGCCCTCAACTGGCTATTACCTTAGGATTAGTCATGGGGTACTTCATCAGTTATGGAACCTCGAGAATGCACTCGACACTCTCATGGCGCATGCCGTTTATTCTTCTTGCCGCGTTCTCTATGGTCCTCTGTGGACTTTCACTTCTTTATTTACCCGAGTCCCCTCAGTGGCTAGGACTTCATGGTCGCTACGAAATGGCCGAACAGGCGTGGGACAAATTGGGCGTTAGCCGTGCAGAGCGTGAAAAGGTTGTACTACAAGTGCGGGCACAGGAAGTCGGCTCTGATACTGAGAGGGTCAAAGACGGAACTATGGATAAGCTTCTTGCTATATTCTCCAAAGATGTCTTAGGCCGGACTATCCTTGCAGTGTTTTTGATGGGCATGCAGCAAATGAGTGGCATTGATGGTGTCCTTTATGTACGCCCAAGCCCTTTCTACACCTTGGTATAAGTGACAGTGGCTGACTTGAACTCGATAGTACGCTCCACAATTATTTCAACAGGCCGGTCTTGCCTCATCGGAAGCAAGTTTTCTGGCCTCGGGTGTGTCAGCGCTTGTGATTTTCGCTGTCACTATCCCGGGATTAATTTATGCCGATAAATGGGGCCGCAGGAGCAGCATTATCTACGGCGGAGTTGTAATGGGGATCTTGATGTTTCTGATGGGCAGTCTTTATGCTGGAAATGCCGTCCACAAAACTACTGGCGCCGGTCGCTGGGTTGTGATTGTGTGCATCTACCTTTTCTCCGCTCTTTACTCCGTTACCTGGGGTATCTCGGTCAAAGTTTATAGCGCCGAGATTCAGCCCCAGCGAACACGAGCATCGGCTACCACATTGGCTCATTCCAGTAACTGGGTCTGTAACTTCTTAGTGGCTTTGACGACACCCGTCCTGCTTGAGAAGAGCAGCTTTGGTGCATACTTTTTGTTCGGTGGATGTTGTGTTATTACCGTCGTTGTTGGCGTCATCTTCATGCATGAAACAAAAGGTCGGACTTTTGGGGAGATTGAAGAGGCCTTCAAGAGTAAGTCTCGAGGAGGGAGGATCAAATTTGGACGAGGCGTGTAGCTCTATGTACTGAATTGAGTCAACAGGCTATCATGTTGGAGCATTTTTCAAGATGAACATGGGCTTTATCAGTTTGTAAGGCATCCGGCGGTTCCCTAAGAATCGATACTACGGAGTACATATCTCGGTAATAATTTCGTCGATACTGTAACTACAGAGAACTCTAGTTTTAGGCTATTACACTTCAAATTCCTCTTCTTGAATAGCCCCTATTGTATAAATATTTACCTAGTGTCTCTTCTCTTTGTCAGATGTTACATGCCAGAGATCCTGTTCTTTCTTTGCCCAGGTGTTTGCTCCCGCTTAGTCATACATTGGAATATTTGCATGGTTTGTACTCTATACTCCGTAGAGCGCTCGGCCTTCTGTCCCCTTCGGGCCCCTCCACCGCTCTTCCCCTCTCCCCATCTCTTGATCTTGAACTAACTGCACTCTTCATTAGAGAACTAGCACCCAATAGACAGGACCGTAGTACCTAAGGCGTCGGTGCATAAAGTATTACGCAGTCCACATCAAGTTGGTGGGTGTCTGTCTAAGGAGATCAATGTCAATCCTGGATAAAGAGACCGTTATTATTTCAAAGATCGCGAATCACCGCGATCGAATATACTCCGGCTAATTTGTAGTTAGTGCATATGCACCCTATCCCCTTGATCGGCCAGGAATGCTTCAGAGGTCAATCTCACGGCCCTGTCACTGCACGACGCAAAGGGCACTATCTCTATTTCGCGTTCTCAGATTCACATAGGCGATTCTCGGGTTGTAGAACAAAATGCATGTGGGTTTGAGCAGCTGATTAATAGCAGTGCAGATAATATATTCCGCGGAGGCCGATCCAATAACGTGTGGACTTTGGCGCTGTTGTACTTGACTAGCACGTTAGTGTCAAGAAGAGTATAGATAATCAAAACTCGGGCTGTGTGCAGTCAGCGACTAGCGCACGCATTATATGCTGAAGATGTGTGTTGTGGAAGTAGGATGCTCCATATTGGTCACGGTGCATAGGAATGGAGCTGAAAGCGCAATTTAAAAAAAGGCAAATGGCCAAGTCATAGTTGTCATCGGCCACAATGGTTGGAAAGGATTGGAATCCCTGGGTACGACAACAAATTAACATGATCCGAGGTCCAGGGGCCTGGCGCTAGTAGGTATCTTGGCGGTGCAGGGTCGTAGATAGGAAATCTCGAGCAGCGCTAATTGAACAGAGGAGAGAAAAGAAGCCAAGGAAGCTTGAGTTGCTATCTGAAGAAATGGAAAGAGAAACAAGGCAGCGAGGAGGAGAGGAGGGCGGAGAAAGGAAGAAGGCGAGAAGGCGTGAAGAAGCCAGAAGAAGCGGTGTTGAATCTCTTAAGCCATGTGGATCCTCATACATACCCAGCTCACTCCGCTACGAACACGACCCTTAGAGCTTGTTGGATGTAAGGACGAGGCGGCTCTTGGCAAAAAAATCTTTTCGGAGAATTGTGTGTGCTTGGCGCGCGAGGCTCTCTCTTTTTCATACACTAATCTCGTAGGATTGGGGGCCACTTCCCCAAGGAGAATCTGTCTTCCGCAGATCGCAAGATCTGAATTCTCCAAACTTGCTTATTCCTTCCAATAAGCAGCTTGCTCAGAGTTGTATTGGGGCTTCCAGATTAGCGATTTTCATTAATCACTATTCATGATTTTTAAGACTCTTAGTTTCTCCTTAGTGCGAAGACTGTTCGTGTCCGGCTTTTTCTCTTCTCTCCCCACCTCAACTCCCTCCACACGCGGGAGGTTCCTTGATATTTGATCCACCCATGATCGCCTTGATCGTCTTGACTGCGTTGATTACCTTTATCCAACAAGAATATTCGAGAAGAATATGGCCTTTTCATCTTCCCGTCGAGCCCCCGTCTCGTTGGGCCCCTTTATCTGCACTGATAACGATTGTCGTAAATCATTTCTACGCAAAGAGCATCTAAATCGCCATTTGGTCGTACATACCAACTCGCGCCGACATAAATGCTTCATCTGTGGGCGAAGCTTTGCCAGGAGGTAAAAGCCGCTTGCTGGTCGCTTGGCGTCTTGGCTGTAGAGGATCGGCTGACAGATCTAACAGTGATATTCTGAATCGACATGTGCTCCAGCATAATGTACCTCCAGACGGCCCAAAAAGAACCCCGCTAGCATGCCAAAATTGTCGTCGTCGTAAAACAAAATGTGATTCCAACCATCCCTGTTCTACATGTGCCGACAATGGGGAACTATGCGTGCGTGAACCATCTAGTATGCATACATCCATCCCGGGAACCCAATCCAGGCCAATCGAAACTACAGAAGAAGTAGAGATCGAGTGCGCTGCAAACCCTATCATGCCAAATGCAGAGGATACATCCCCCATCCGACTAGAGTGGAATTCCCCAATGAACCAAAGTGCGAGCAATAGCGCCACCACTCCTCACTCTCCTTCAGGAAATTTCGGAACAGACCAAGATTCCTTGCGACCGCTAACCGATCCATTGATGGGCATTATTTCCGGGATCAACACAGCCACATTCACTCCGAACAAAACCCCTCCTTTGTACTTCGGCGAGTCATTTGATAATATGAGTTTTCCGTTTGACGCATCAGTGCAACAGTCTTCAGAAATGGGAGATCACTTTTCTACGGACCAACCATATCAAGTACACATGATCGATGTACCAACTTTTACCCCCAGCCGCAGTTTTTCGGGTCAGTTGAAGCGACAAGCTAGTACATTCGAGAACGACTATGATCTGACTAAACAGACATAGATACCTCAGTATTTAGGATGACAGGCCCTGAGGTATCTACCCCTACATTACCAAACGGGTGGCTGCAGATGCACGGGGCCATTACGAGCCAAGTCCAGTTCGTTACTACCCAGGTCAAATCCATTGACTTTGAAAATTTTCACCAAGCGTGGCCCTTTTTACACGTTCCCACTTTTGCTCCCGAAAAGCAGAATAATCTGCTGACAAGTGCGATGGCCAACCTATCGATGTGGATGCAAAACGCCAACCGTCACCATTTAGTTCCGTACGCAATCAACCAGGAACTAACGCGGGCACTAATGCCCACGATAGTAAGTGTCGCTTGCATTCGAACTAAGCTTTGCAGTACAAACATATTAATATTAGAATAGACGGGAGAAGCCTTAACAGAAAAGCCAGCGACAGATATACCATTACCAACCCTACAAGCATTGGTCATCACCTTGATTTATGCGATTCTTGGAAATGTAGGATCTCTTCCTCGATAGCCAGGATATCGGAACAAATTAGCTAATGGTCCCAGGCACCTGCTTCTAGTTTGAATTGGGCAGCACAGTGGACTGACATTGCAATATCTACGTTGCGACGACTCGGAGTCTTGGATAATCAGTGGCATCCTGAAGAACACCTACAATCTGCTGATCAGCAATGGGTGCAGCTTGAGGAGATGAAACGGTACAATCTAGGCCTTTCCACATATCTACAATCGCCCATTTCCTAATACCTTATTAGGCTAGCATACGCGGTTTTACGCATTGATACCTATTTGTGCATCATTCTTGATCGCCCCCCTACCATGCGTTATCAAGAGTTCGGACCATCACTGCCCGTGTCAGACAATATGTGGCGAGCAGAGACCAGGGAGGACAGAACCAATTTCCACTGGTACGAACCAGCAGGTAGAACGAAAAGTGCATTTTCTACAATGGTCCGCGATGGACTCGAGTCACGGGGGTTCATGACTGGGTATCTTCGGATGCCTCACCTAACCCTTGAGGATAATCATTTCAGTCTCTGTGCGTTCTTGTCGGAGCTGTGGGCTGTTTCGAAAGAGGTACACGAAGAACATCATCGAAACTACCGCTCACCGGAATTGAACCGCACCACAGACCGAGTCGAGCTTTGGAAAGGCTATCTTCAAGACTGGCGAGTCCACATTGAAGAGACCGATAAGCTCGAAAACGCATTCTTTGGGGAATGCATAAGTGACTGCAGCCATTTCCTCGGTCTCGACCTTACACTGTACCACCTTCTTTGTCTCAAGCTGTATGCCAATATCCGGTTGCTCGAGCACAAGAAATGCTGCTCGGGTTGCCAGGAAGCCAATATCGATAATGTCATCAGTATCTGGGCCCAATCTCCCGCCGGTCGCCAGGCGGTTTACCACGCCGCTCAACTGAAGCGCATCTATGAGCGTGAGAGCAATATGTACAAACCCAACGACCAACGCCTGTGCAACGTGCTAGGACCGGCCGGTTTATTGACCAGTGCTATTATTCTCTGCACCTACAGTGCCAAAGCGTCCGGAGGTAACATGCCGCCTGAGGGCGACGCCGTTATGACACCGCCGGGTGATGCAATCGAGCTGGGTCAGTCGAATTTGGTCGGCACGCCTGAATTCGAGAATTGGATCTCCCAAGGTGGCTCTGCGACGGTGGATGGGGTCTTCTTGCATCCTTTCTCGGTCCCGCGCTTCTCGTCCTGGCATCGCGATCGGTTAGAAGCATGTCCTCTCTACTCGTCGCGGTTAGTCGCCTTCCTACTCACATTAAAATTCTGATGATCAAACAAAATGTATGTAGCTCGCCATATGATGCATAGATTGATTATAGTAGATCCTCCAATTGGCTTTTCTCTCGCCTTACCAACATACCAGGATTTGTTTAGCGGCAGAGTATGCCCGTATGTATCCTCTTTTTTTGTATGGCTGGCCATGGATATATGTAACACACGCCTTCTATTCTATATATAGGATGTGGTTTTTCAATATCAGGTTCGGACTATGGTATTCAACTAAAAAGTAGGGTCATTGCACTTCGGAGCCAAAGATCTCAAGTACGGTGTTCAGTTAATTTACTATTTGCGCTGTGACCCTATTCGTTGGGGCGATGCTGATTTCAAAATTCCATGCTGATTCCAACCCCGACATTGCACATTAATTATTATATGAGAGATGTCCGATGCAAATGCGAAATTGTCATCAGGTCAATAAGTTAATAGCAATGGTAAGCCAGCAATACCCATGCATTAAATATATCAGACTTTTTTGCTACTGAAACTTGCAAACCTAGGTGAATTGAGTTCAATGCTGATTGTTTTGTTTTCGTTTTAACTAGCGCTAGGCGGAACGGATTTCTATACCCGGAGGATATGTGGAGATCCAAAAAAGAAATGGACGGGCAGCGATTCGAACGCTGGACTTTTCGCATGCAAAGCGAACACTCTACCAACTGAGTTACGCGCCCAATGGAAGATGAACTTTCGAATGCATCTATGACATATAAAGTTAACATCCATGAAGCAATCTAGGACCAATTCAATTAGACGCAGGATTTTACTTTGATAAAATTGAGAGGACAGTATATAGCTGTGACAAGTGCCCACCATAATTCACGGTTTATTTTTTTCCACGCTCTGTTGGCGGAATCAAAAGGGGTTGTTGACGGGTGGGGGCATACTTATTGACGTACGCGTACTGGAGAAATGAAGTATGTATTTGGATGGGACGACAGGATCACTTGCCCTAATAAATCCTTCCCGGGGTACGTTTGGTCGGGACAAATAACATTGCGTAATCAAGCTTGGTAATGTGGGTATAGAAAATCCGTAAAATTGTTAATCTTGCTGGTATAGATAGTTATTTTGACATCAAGTCACGATTTGAGTAAACTTGAAGAGAAGTTAAAAATACACTAGATATTGTTGTTTTATCTGAGGGGCGATGGTATATATACATATGTAGATCGAGTGATCGAGTGATTTACATCTGTCAACTCTCTCTCGATGGGGGTTACCGTAATAGAACGGACTGGACTGCATTTCCAAACAGCGACTTCGCATAGACATAATGGAACCACGCAATGTATTCCGCCACTGATGGTTCGTTTTTTTGAGGATTACAACGGAAGTGCTGTAGCTCGAACTGCACCAGGGGCTCAGCGCCTATGCGCGGCGATCGAGTGATTTGGAAACGGTGGCAGCCTGCAAACGTGAACTCGTCCGAGCCAAACCCATAATCCACGTAACTGGCCCGCTGGTCCGATGATTCCGGTTCTATTTGCTTGTCCATCACTTTAAATGACCCGAAAAGGGTGCTACCGACAGGGAGAAGACGATTTCGGGGAAGCTCGGAAATATTCCAGATCTGGGATGCGTGTGGATCTCCTTCGAAACCTATGATGACAATTTCAGCAGATGAAACCGCTGAGCCCTATATCCGTAACACCTTTGTCCCTAGATCTACGAAGGTTCTTCAAGGTGCACGTAGGGATTGTCTCATAGAAAGGTGCTCACCCGTGTACCGCGCTGGCAGCAAATTCCAGCCCCCCATTCGTAGGACAGATCTCTCAAGCCCAAAGACGAAGCCGCCAAAGAACCCACGGGTGAATAACGCCAGTGCTTCCTCATCGCTTAGCCCCGCAACCACAGACTCTGGGAATGTCTGAGTAACATTATCCGTGGCTATTACATGATGGCGCGGATTAACAAATTGGAAGGCAGATGAAGCCAGAAACTCTGGGCGCACAGGCAGAGTAAAGTGAGACTGGCGAAGTGATTGGAGGAAAGAAAGACGCGGAAGCCACTGGGAGGACATGGTCAAAGCTAAGATGAGTTGCAAAAAAACAAATTGGGTCTGTTTTTTCGTGGGAAAAGATGAATTATCACCGTAATCTATCATGACTCATCGGAGTTAGGTGTTTACAAATAGGCGGAAGGGTTGCCAAATTGAGTGTCGTCAACTTCCCAAGTCTTTCTCTAAAATATTAACCACCTGATTGTATAATTTTTTGGAAAGTATCTGAACAAAAAAGTAAAAACAAATCCAGCATCTATCTGGATGCCGCCCTGGTTAGGCCCGGAGGTAAGAACCTTGGAAGGCTGCCGCTCGCTCCGCGGCTGCGAAAGGGTAGAGCGGCCAAAGGTCAAATGCTTGATTTTGTATAGTTGATGCCTTAATAAGCCTGAATTATAGACCACTTTCGACACTCTACTGTGTACTGTAAATTGAAGCTATTCCTACCATCCCGAGCTGCATAGATGTGTCGGAGTTTCCCATTCGACCAGAAAGCCTATAATTACCGTGGTCGATGATATTTCTAGCATCTTCAACAAGATGTACATCACACATTGAAGGTGAGCCCAACAAACTTAAACAATCATCACAATCTTGGCCAATGCCCCCTCTTCTTCCATTATTCGATGGGCCTCCACAATTTCCTCTAGTGGAAAGGTCTTAATTGGCAGCTGAATCTTGCCTGACGCTAGATCTCGAGCAATCTTCTCAATGGGCGTTTTCAGTACGGCCTCTGTAGTGCTCGCATAGGTGGTCAGCTTAACGGATGTCGGTATTGATGACATGGGCGTGAATTGGTCAAAGGTCCATTTATTGCCAGCTATACCCGTCATACAGACAGTACCACCAGGCGCCACACACCGCAGAGAGTCCTCTAGAGTGGTTACCCCAACCAGCTCAAGGATTTTGCTGAACGGAGCCCGTTTCTGGACCTCGGTCAATATCGATCCGCCATCGAGAATGACATCCTCAATACCGAGGCCACGTAAGAACTCTACGCGTGTTTGGTTGCGTGTTGTCGCGGTAACAGAGACCCCATGCGATCGAGCAAGAGCCGCAGCCGCCAACCCCACGCTGGTAGTTCCGCCGCGGATAAGCAAGCGGTCGCTGGGAATGAGCTCGAGACTAGTGAACAATGATCCCCAAGCGGTCTGCATAAGTTCAGGAAGAGCGCCCAAGATGTCCCAAGGCACGGGCCGATCGAGCCCAAAGGCAGCAGTGACATTGACGCGTCGCACTTGGCTGGCCGGCACTACTGTGTATTCGGCATATCCACCATCAAAGGTACGGCCCATACCGCCCATTGCAGTGACAACGACCTCGCCAGTGTCAAAGCCTGAGTCCGGATCTGCATGGTCGATAAGCCCAGCTGCTTCGATGCCCAGAATACGCGGAAATATCACACCGGGTGAATGACCTTGGCGCGTGAATACTTCCGACCGGTTAAGCCCAAAGGACTTGATACGTATGCGTACCTGTCCCGCCGTCGGGATTGGTTTGGGGACCGTCTGGAGCTTCAACACCCCTGGGCCACCTATTTCATGTATCACAATAGCGCGCATCGTGTCGAAGGACAAAGCCGCGGCACCCGTGGGAGAGATAACCGTGTGAGTGATAGAAATGGCAGTAACCGTGGCCTAATAATGTGGCAGTAGCAATAGCCAGAGGTACAAAATGAGAATAGTAATCACAGTCAAAAGAAGAACAAACTGCTGGTGAAGAATCCCGCGTTTGCAAGCAGAGATTATGGATATGAACTTCTCAAGGCACAAATCTCTCCTCACATACTAATAACATGCTGACGCCACGAGCGAGGTGTCATTTACTCCAAGGTTGGTTTTGACGTCAAGGTAAGCAAGTTCCCCTCTGGTGCCTAGGTGAGCGCGATATGCCTGGACGTTCGGAGTCGGCGTTGGCCCGGTGGGATTCTGATGACGCACTAATCACGAAGCACAGCGTCTTCGTTGTGGATCTGAGGGACAAGATGCGGTTTAGTTGCCGGTGGGATGGTTGCTATTCCATTTCTGGTTAGGGTTGCGTCTAGTCTATCCGTTCTGATTGGATATCGGGCCCATTAAGCACTACCTAGGTATGAATGGCGATCAGTGGCTCCATGATTGCTTCCTCACGTTGGAAGGCCATAGCTGTACTACTCAGGTCCGCTAAAGAGATCACGATGTCCTCGCGCCTTCGGTCTACTTCGGGCTCCGTTCTCAACCCTAACCCCGACCCCGTACAGCGCTGTGCTAGCGGACCATACATAAGCAGACTGCTTCTCCAGCCAAGAAATCACGGTCGAGGTATACATCTTCTGTTAGGTTTTTAATCCTACTCCAATATTACTGCGTTTGGACGAAATCAACTAGGTACAAGTTATACGAACTCTTAAATCGACCCCGTTGAACAACGAGTTTCCGACAAAACGTCAAAATGAGTCTTCCCCACGACAGCAACCGCTCATCTTCCTCCAGCGCCGATTTAGAGAAGCACAATCCTCAAGAGAATACATCTTCCGACATTAACAGCAAAGAGACAACCGTCGACGATATTTCGGCTCCCAAACCTACGGGCCCCAATCCAGCAGACTTCCCTGATGGGGGCCTACGAGCGTGGACGGTCGTGGCAGGGTCATGGTGCTGCATGTTTGCGTCTATGGGCTGGATTAACTGCATTGGAGTCTTCCAAGACTACTATCAGCGTGATCAACTCGCATCATACTCCGCATCTTCGGTCGCCTGGATCAGCTCCACAGAGACTTTCATGATGTTTCTCGGCGCACCCTTCTTCGGCAAGATTTTTGATAACTTCGGCCCCCGATACATGCTCTTCGCCGGCACAATCTGTCACGTTCTGGGTCTGATGATGACCAGTCTTGCCTCTGAGTACTATCAGTTCTTCCTGGCCCAGTCAATCCTCAGTGCCTTAGGCGCCAGCGCTATTTTCTACGGTTGTCTTAACCCTATCGGTACCTGGTTTTTGAAGAAGCGCGGCTTGGCCTTTGGTATCATTGCTGCAGGTTCTTCCCTTGCGGGTGTTGTTCTTCCGTAAGTAGCTTTGATTAATCTTATCCAGGCAAGAATCTAATTGATGTCCGATTAGGATCATGATTGACCGACTCATTCCAACTGCTGGATTTGCCTGGTCCATGCGTGCAGTGGCGTTTTTGTTCTTTGGCCTGCTTATTATCGGCAACCTGACCATTCGGTCTCGTCTACCTCCAAAGCTTACCCCCGTTGCCGTGAACCAATTTCTGGTCCCATTCAAGGAGCCTACCTTCCTTTTTGTCGCTCTTGGAAGCTTCTTTTTCTTCTGGGGAGTTTTCCTGCCGACCAACTTCATCATTGTGCAGGCACAGCACGATGGCATGTCTTTGAATCTCTCTGGTTATCTCCTGGCTATCTTGAACGCTGGCAGGTATGTCACTCTTCCTTCCAAAATTCATGCTTCATTATCGGCATATACTGATCCTAATAATAGTGTGTTTGGTCGTATCCTCCCCGGCTGGCTTGGAGACCGCTTCGGCCGCTTCAATGTCATGGTTATCACAACGTATGTCACCAGCATCATTGTTCTAGCACTCTGGATCCCAGGTCATGGCAACATTCCCATCATAATCTTCTCGGCTATCTTTGGATTTACCAGTGGCACCTTCGTGAGCATGATCCCGGCTATTGTGGCACAGGTGACAAAGGATGTCCGAACTATCGGCGTCCGTAACGGCTCGAACTTCTTCATCATCAGTATTGCAGCCTTGACCGGAAATCCAATTGCTGGAGCTCTGGTTGCACATGATGATGGTGGCTTCTTGTACCTACAAATATTTTGCGGACTCACAATGCTCGTGGGTGCTACTTTTTTCCTCGTCGCTCGTGTGGTGCAGGTCGGTTGGGTCTGGAAGCGTATCTAAGGCTACTCAATCCTTTCCTCGATGGTTAAGGCAAACTTCAAATAGGGGAATTGAGCCATTCCTATGATCCCCCGCTCAAGTATCGTGGAAAATCTCTCGTGATGAATATAATTATTGGAATTGCTAGAATAGATTGGGAGCCAAAGAAATGGATCACAGTTTCAACGCAAGAAAGCACATCATACATAGTTACCACGTATATTGTAGGCATTCCAGGAAGAGCCATCATTTCCTTTATTTTACCGCTTTATTTTACCGACGACTAGTGTGAGTGGAACCGATACACAATGAATAATACTAATCATTTAAAATAGAATGGGCGGCGTTCAACGTCCCTAATTTTAATATACTATCATCCGAGTAGTCAAAGAAATGAACTAAACTCTCATTATGGACTCAACAAGGTGCGAGATGCATGCACCAGCGTGCACAATTATCCGGGAGCGATATACAATTTGGGGGTGACAATAGCATGCTTACAGGCCATACGAATACTGTATGAGGCGAGAGAATCGAAGAAAAGTCTTTTTAATAAAAGCACGGAAAAGTTGTGTATCAAGACCATATTCATACTGTTTCCTTAATATGTACACAATAACCATATAGGAGTAGAGGCTTGAGTATTAGGGTATAGTGATACCAGTACATGATGAGGTGGATGTACATTTCTAAGTTATTTATGTTACAAATCAGGGCGAGAATATCATACAGAGAGAGAAGTGGTAACCAAGCAGTATAAAAAATTCCTCCAAGTCCACATCCAACATCCGGTAGAGTGGAAATCGAGGTGACTCAGAAATAGCCTGATTGCCTTAGGTCATGTTGATCTATGGTCCCACGGAGGTGCAACAAAGTAAACGATTCCATGTCCCACGGAAGCGACAATTGGGCCGACCTATGGGGGGATTTGAGTTAGACAAACAATAAATGACGGTGATAGACAATCCGGATCTCACCCAATGTACCCAATGATAGCTGGGAAATGAGGTGGCGACGTAGACACCGAAGCAACGAGCGGGGTTTAAACCTGTGGATGTTAGTGGGTCCATCAAAGCTGTAGATTTGGAATTTTGCTTATTACTCACAAGCTCCAGAATAGCCGCTCCGAGTGAATGCTGAGCCCCAACTTATAACACCAAGCGACATTCCGACTAGAAAGGGCGAGAGTGCTGCGCCGTATATCTGGCCCTGTCTAGGGTCAAGGCCTACTCCAAAAGAGAGGAATAATAGGAGCAGGCAGAAAATAAACTCGAGAAGAAGGGCGTCCGCAACAGGGACTAGCTGTAGGTCGATATTGCAGCCACCCACTGTGAAGCTTTTGGAGCCATAGGCCGACTGAAGTATGAACCCAGCTAGGGCTCCACCCAGAGTTTGACCGAGTAGGTAAATGACCATTCGTGGAAACGAAATCAAACGAGCGAAGAATGTGGCTAGAGTAATAGTCGGATTTAGGTGGCTGCCACTGACGTTTGAAAACGTGAAGATGAAGAGCGTTAGAAATAGCCAATTGGCAATTCCACCAAATAGAGGTCCGAGGAAAGCAGGAGTAGAGAAGACACCGGATGATGACGCAGTACTTGTTGTGAATGGCTTTTGTATAGAGACCCAGGCTGTGACAAATGCCATAAGCATGGTACCTGATTTCTCACATCAGCACTTGTGCTTTATATATGCCTCGAATAGAGTATTTGCTGGGCAAAATATTAACTAGATTTCTTACCTATACATTCAATGAAGCCGAATCTCCAAAGATCGATATCCCAGAGTCCACGAAGGTCGAATCCCTCACTCAAGGTCATTAGTGGGGCCGCATCGGGCACTTTTTTGAGTAGCTCTGCATTTTCGGGATTGCTTCGGTCAAGCACCAGGCCTTGATTGCCGCCAACCCGACCCGCAAAAGGTTGAATCACGGGTGTTAGACGTGACGTCGCGTCCTCTTGCGATAAGTCATAATCTGGCCTACGTCTTCGTAGATTGCTTCCAAGCTCAGAATCCATCGCGAGAGTTGTTATGATTTTCTTTTTTCCCTCAAGGTTTCCCTATGCCGTCCGCCTGTTGCCTTTTACTGATGATTGTGGGTCTCGTCACCATATCAACTGAGACAGAATTGAACAATTGCTCTCTGGTTTACCTCAAGGCCCAGTTTGTATACAGGAAAAGGAGTATTAAACTCCAAGAGCTTGAGGAAGAAAAAAGGAGTAATTTTGGCTGAGGCGTAAATTGGTTCCGTGTTGAGGGTCCACTGGAATGCTGACCTGACTAAGATGTGGCTTGTCCTAGACCGGAAAATTCAATGAACTCTATGTGATTTAAATATTTAATCTCATTTCTTCCAAGCTTGATAATTTACTCTTTGAATATGGCCTTCATCAGCTGTTTGGAGGGCCGAGCTCTCCATATAACTCTTCTTAGTTCTTGCGACTCTTGACTATATCAGAAAAAAGAAAAACAATGACGGGCGATACAAGCCTCTGTCATCTCCAAGTCAAACGTCTAATCGTAGCTAACTTCTACAGGCTTTGGCCTCCACGACACCGATATCTCTGAGGACATGCTCGCAGTTTCCACCACCATTGTCTCAACCTATATGATAAAATGTAGCGAAGCGACTTGATTAATTCCGTTATATAGAGGAGCTACTCCATAGAAAGAAGCTATGAAACAAAAAACAACAACAAAAAAACAACAACAAAAAACATACAACAGTGAGGATTCGCTGGTGGTCACCCACCCAACTACTAACTCACCGGCGTGTGGCTTAAGTACGGCTGAGCGGACGGGAAGCCCTGTTTTCCACACCCTATGGTCGTATGTATCATGTTACGCGCAGAAGTGGATTATATCATACAAATAGGCTGGAAGACTGAGAATCTGGGTCAGGACCATTTAAATCGCGCGATGACCACACTGATCTCCTCAACTAACATGGAGCGCGATATGACTAGATTACAAGTTGAATCTCGGATGCTTAATAGCTTGGCTATCTTTTACTAAGTAACTGTGCATACTAAAGCATGGTATACTCGGAAATTGTCAACAATCGATAGGCCAATTACAGTTACCATTGAAATACAGTTCCATAGATAGTACAGGCTAACTAATGGTAATGCCAATGCCAATTGCAAAATTTGAGCACCCAACAAGAGGTCTCACATTGTTCTTGGCCGACATTGCCAAGGAGCATATCACACCAGGGGGCTGATACAGCATTCCGAGCTATACTGCCTCGAATGGAAACGATTCAAAATACAAGATACTCGTACACCAAACAAAGTGCAGGCTAGTATAATTGATTTCCAACGCAACTGATACCAATGACAGAGCTAAGAACAGGACCCTTTTCACGCCGGAAATGCCAAACAAATGAACTCAGTGATCCCACAGAAATCAGCCCTGGCGTGCATATAGACAACGCCGTCATCCTGCACGGGATTAGGCGGGAAATCACGAGGTGACGATCAAACATGTCGACCTCAACGCCCGATCATGTTCCGGCCCTCCGAGGGGCTAATTGTACGAGGTATCAGTAGTCCCCGAGCTTCTGCCTAATAATAAAACCCTAGGATACGATATCGGGTCCCACTTCGGCAGACAAAAGCTACGTAAGAAATTCAGAGTTGCTGACTGAAAACCAAACACTAACCTCTCTGTAGAGAAAGTTATGGAGGCTGGGCAAAGATCATCGCTCATGCCGAGATCCTGGGGCGGTGATCGACAGACATACAAACACGGCTGAACCCTTGGCTTTCCCCAGAAAACTCGCCCAGGCTACTTTGTGTTGTTCTTTCCTGTTCGGGAAGAGGCTGTAGGGCCGTATGGGTATAAATAAGAGGTAATATCCCACCTACTTCATTCATCATCACATATAATCAATTAAATCAATTCAACCTATTTCAATATTCAACCTCAACTATTGTTCAATATGCGCATCGTTGCCATCTTCGCTGCCCTCCTGGCCGTCACCCTCGCTTCCCCCACTCTAGAAGCCAGACAGCAGGGTGAAGCCTGCAAGGTATGTATCATAGTTGACTTCAGTTAAGTGCGGAAGTCATCTGACATATTGATAGGTCGTCCACGGAGCCTCCTGCCCGTCCCAGTAAGTACCTTTGCACGACAGGAAATCGACTCAAGAGGTCCTAATATCTATAGGGGCTTGGTCCAGTGTGGTTCATCTTCCGGGAATGTCCGGGTCTGCTGTGTATGTTCTATCCATCTCAAATACTATTGTTGCGAGCGGGCATTTCTAACTCCCACAGAAACGCTGCTACTAATTGTCTTCATGGCGCGGAAGGAGCCAAGTATCTCCACCTGATGAACAAGCCTAGCAAGTCAACACTGGTTTACATGTCAATGAATATCCCCAGGTAGATCTACTTAGGATCGATATCAACCCACACACATAAAGCAGACAAAAAGCGGACGAAAGATAGTCATAGAATATTCCTCTGAATACTGTATATGCCCTCATTGTCGGAAATTTTGATTTTTTTTTCTCCATTGCGTTTGTTCAGAAACGCACTTGCCCTACACATCTATTTAGCTCTAATTGTAGATACACGGCTGTGGTTCAGGGACGAGGGCAGTAGTTGACAGACTGCAAATCTAGCTAAATTTGGAGCCGTGGACGTACGTCCGCCTGAGTCTCAAGTGTGTAACAGACCTAAAATCTTAGCCTCAGCTATCTCTTTTCAACCAGAGCACTTTTTAGCACCAGAAATAGGCAAACCTCGGCCCTGTACATCAGTGCTTTAAGGCTCTGTCACTTTTGGTATCCCCTGGGCTGATTTTCGTATTATAGCTAACTCTGTCTTGACAGCTTATATGTATGCTAGCTAGTCCCCGATGTATCTTAGCAAAAACTCCGTTCCCGTTATCGTATCTCCCTAGGCCTTCTGGGTCAATCCTCGTATGACTATCGACCATATAGAATTAGGGCAATAAGTAGCTGGATCCTGCCTTTCAAAATATCCGGGTTTAAAGCCCTTTTATTTCTTCTAATACTGAAAGTTATAGAGACAACACCTGTAGAAAATATGGCAAACTATGACCCCGTCTATACTCGCTGATTTAGAACCCGATGGCTTAGGAAGAAACGGGCGTTGAATAGCAAACTGCTTAACTAGAACAATGCTAGTAAATATGCTCTCTTTGACCGAGACCTTCCTCCCTCATAATCTCTATCCCGCTCCACCACCGAATCCTCATTCCCTATGAACTGTGATATTTTATCCACCAAAACAAATATATCAATGCCATGAGGAATTTTTAATAGTCGACGGAATTGGATATCACAATGTGTATAGGTCTTATTTTGGAGTGGCCGTTGCTCCTGTCAGGAGTGAGCCCGAGGAAGCCGGGATTGTCGTCGTCGTGGTCGCCCCAGCTGTTATGGAACAGCTTCCCGTTACTGTCGTTTTGGCTATTGCGGTCCAGTCTGTGTATGACGTGTTAGGCGCGTTTTTCAGCGTAGCAGCCCAGATGTTGTGTCCATTGTCGTGATAATTGAGGGTGATATCAGAGGGACAGCTGGGGTTCCCCGGAGCCGGAAAGGCCTGAGCCCATCCTAAATCCATCAGACCCCCGCTCGTGGGGGCTTTCCCACTCGCGCTGCCCTGAGTCCACTGCAGACAGTTTGAGCATCTGAAGATCAAGCTGTAGTGTGTTGCATTGATGATGGACGAGATCTGGGTTAGCTCGGCATTCCCAGTGTAAACGTCTGGCATATGGTAGCCCGTGGTGTAGCGGAAGGAAGTAAGAATCTTTTCACCATAGGGGTAAGCCAGCAAGAGAAGGGAATCAGTCATTGTACCCCCGAGCGAGACACCACACCAACCGGTGGAGGTAGCATTCTGCGAGGAACATAGCTGCGAGACTAGTTAGTAAAAAGGATAGACAGAGCGGAAACTACATAAGGTGGAAAGAGCCACACACCAAGTAGCCGATAAATTCGGTAGCGTCTGTAGTAAGAGCATCGGACGGCAGAGCAATGCCGAAAGTGAACCCTCCCTTACTCAAGGTCTCTGAAACACTCCAAGTATCAAAGGTGATGCCAGTATCCGGGTCTGTGTATGCCACCGGAGTCCCGCTCTGGGCCATGGATGTTGATAAGACTGGATGAAACCAGGTTAGCTAGTGATCCACCCATCTCTCAACAGGAAGAGGGGAGAGCTTACATAGCATAACGGCCGCAACTGCGGCAACACCATGGGCGAAAAATTTCATCTTCCTATTTGGTTTTTGACTTCAATTGCAGTGCCTAACGTTCCAGTATCGGGAGAAATTTGCGTGCGACAAGAAACGGGGTGGAGAGGCATCTTTTAAAGGAGAACACTACTGGGGCCCCCCGGCAAGACCGATGCCGGATAAACCTGCTGAGCGTCACTCTTCATCCCTGCCCCTTTTGTAATCTTGATGGACCACCCGAGGAAAGACAAGGATTAATAGCTGACACAATAATATGGAATAGTTGTTTATTCGGGCTGACTATGCATTAAAAACAGAACTGCAACGATTGGTGTATGCATGCCGTTGGCCCTTTGCGGGTCATTTTTTCATGCGACTGATGCACTCACTAACAAAGGCAAGAAGAGGCAGACGCTGCCTACAGTGACTGTTATCTGAATATGATTAAGAGCGACAAGAAAAAGGCAGAACTACACACACGTTGAGTCTTTCCCAAAATCACAAAGCTACTAAACCTAGTTTTTCCTCGAAACCGCTTCATATCCAAGGGAAGTTGAAAAAAGGGGATCGGCAGGGCGATCTCGCAAGTTTGTTTCCGTTTGATTGAGACATATAGGAAAAGAGGGCACTGAATACTACGAAATTATAATAGCTCGCTCGCTATTGGTCGAGCACAAGTCGTAGGGCAGACTCCTGTATGACCATAGACAGGCTCGTTGTGGGGAAGGTGAAGAGAGCCAAATGATTTGATAGCTCACCGATAAAAGGCCGACTGGTGTAACCCCAACAAGGGTTGGGAAACGCTAGCTCTCCTACTCCGAATTTGGGACTAACTATCGACAAAACAAGGCGGCGATCATTATGCCCCCCATCCTCCCTTGTCTAGTTCCCCCGGCAAAGGCCCGATACAATGCAATACTATCAACGCTACGCAAATGCGAGTATCAATCGTCAATTTCCAATCCCCAACTTCATTTCCCTTTTCCTCCAGCTACTTGAAGGTTTGATGAATGGGTGGTAATATTTGCCCAGGCTTATCACTAAGTATCCTGTACTGAGTGGTAGATATGGCTTCGGAAGCGGTACAGCTTCTAGGACCGGCTTTTATCTTTCTAGAGCTATAGATCTCCATTGGTCATGTTCTTATACCTTTTTTCCAAACATGTACAGGCCTAGCAAACCCCTCCTCGCCCCTCTCAACTTTCAGTATCCTCTCAAATCCCTGCGCCTTCAGCTCATACTTGAACGGTGGCCTGATCTGGATTGTATTATACATGTCTCTCAATTCTTTATTCTTCTTTGAAGCCCTCGCATAATTGGTCATAGGCTGCGGCTTCACAACGAGATAACTCCCGTCGTTCAGTACGCTTTGTATGTGCGCAAACAGCGTTAGCATCCCGGAGTCCCCGTTGTTAAGATGTATCTACTTAGTGACAGAGAGCAGTATGACAACGTCGAACTTGTCTAGCGCGGTACGCGGATGTATCCACGAAGTTAGAGTGCTCGAATGTACACGGACCCTCCGGGTACGCCGCCTTTGCCTGCTCGACTAGCCACGGGTCAATATCGCCTCATGGGTCAGTTTACCCGCATTACAGCCTACCTAGGTCTATAACTCGCGCATTGCGGAGGATATCTGATGGGAGATTTGAAAGGCACTCGTCCAGAAGGGTGGGTGCCCGGAACTTGGCGTAATATTGGTGGTAGTTGCCATGGTGCGCGGCGAGGTGCGTAGCTTCAAAGCGCTCTGCTTTGGAGAGTTCCGTTGTAGGGGGATGGCAAGCTTCTGCCATACTTGGAGATAGTGAGCTGAGAGGCACGTGTCGGTAATGTAATTAATTATCTCGAAAGAAAAAGGTGTAATGATGTGACTAATGTCAAGTTTAGGACACTAGATAGACCATGTCTTGAGATTTTGTGCTCGATGCCAAAGTTTTGTTGCATAGGGTTTGCATACTCTCAGTGAGTGCCTGAGGCACTAAGTACACCAACCCATTAGATATGTAATAGAGACCAGGGGTCCTATAATTGATACAATTTGAGTCTTGGTCTAGCCCATAGAGGCATAATTGTCCATTGATTAGATCTGTCCGGTCTCAGGAAGGAATGGCAAAGGGTGTGAAAGGGGGTTTTAGGCAGATCCCTTGGGATATCCACAATATGACGTCAGCTATGCTCACTGTTTTGTTCCGCGTGTTCGCTACTTGTGCAATCCCCCACATCCATACCGAGGTCGTACTCAACATGCCATTCAGACAGGCGCTTCAGGGAATTATCGACAAGGCAGACAAGGCTTGGGAGGAAATAACCCATGGCGCCTCTCAGCCGGCACCGTCGTCCAACAATCCTCCCCCACCGCCTATTCCAACCTCCAGCAAACCACCACTAGCCTATCAGGAACAGCACTCGCAACCCCAGATATACTGGCAGCCCAATCTACATCCCCAAGCACCAGTCTCCGCCAACTTTTACCATGAACAGGGTCAACATGGATGGGGCAACAATGAGGCGCAGAATTATGTCGACAACCCGCAAAACTCATTCCATTCAAACCATGGCGATGCGGTGATCGTGCGCGCTCTGATCAACCATGGGCATCCCGACCCTGCTCAGAAATTTACCAGCGCCAGACTATCGAGTCACCAGACTCTCAGCCGACCACGGGGCTGTCTGTCAGCCAGAATCACGGCGCCGGTGGCCCGAGGTATCTGGCCTGCCTTTTGGCTGCTGCCTAAAGACCCCTTCAAGTGGCCCGAGGATGGCGAAGTCGACATAATGGAAGCATGGAACGGCGATGCTGTCAACCACACTTGTCTGCATTGGGGCCACTTCAACGGCGAGGACTGGAACAAGCATCGCGTTCTCGAAACCCCCGTTCCCAACATTAGCTCGCCGGTGGGGGTGAAGTACGATTTTATCTGGGACGAGGACGAAACAACGGGCGGGGGACGCTTGGTCTGGTTGATTGATGGCATACCCACCATGAGGGCCGAGAAGCCACCTGGCACGAGGAAGATGAGTGAGTTCAGAATCCTCATCAACATCGCTGTTGGAGGTAATGTTTGTCAGGGAAATATGCCCAGCGATGGATACTACGATACAGTGGTTCGTGAGTTGGCCATGTGGGACGCGCCGCCTGGAGGTTGGAACGAGTTTGACAGAGCTTGGGGGAATTCCAAAGATGGCAATACCATGTAACGAAGAAATTTACATTGCGAAGTACATCAACTATACTCACATTGCCTACTTTCTATAAGAGGTACCTTTGACTAGACGAGTGAGATGAGTTGTCGCATAGTACTAGACCCAAAATTGAAAGCGATGCATCTTGGCTTGTACTTAGTTATTCTCGCAGTTCTTGCTTGCCTCGCGCAAGAATCAAATAATTCACTCCTTTCTTTGTATAACTAAGCTACCTCTGCATTCCTATTAGCCCCTTGGTTGCTATAATTCTCATATTTACCGATCTACATCAAGTTTGAAATGGCATTTACTCTTTAGACCGGAAGAATACCGCCGTTCTTCATATATTTCAGCATTAGGAATTGGATATGGTCTTAAACGTCTCTGCTACCTCGTTTGATTAGTTGATCTTCTGTTGAAGATGTTGAAACAGCCTCACCTCCTTACAAGTTGATGAATATCCGGATAATATCAGACCTGATGTGGGATATTGCAGCTCAAGGGATGCATCCAACCAAGTTATCATAGGAGGCATCATAGGAATTGGCGTTAATCGAATGCAACGACTCAAGAGAAGACTCAAAGCCATGAGATAGATATCTCGATATTGATAAACCATCATGATAGGCCACACAGTCGGAATACCGGAAATTTCTTATTTTCGGAAGAGCTAGGAAAGGTGTTGCGAACATTAAATCCGTCATTTTATCTTCTGGAAGCCTATACTGCCGGGTGCTGATGTATTCGTATAGCCCTTCTAATATGATATCAGAGAGCTTGGACAGAATAGGCTGGCGATGGGGATGAATCTGCCTGGCTCTCTCAAAATTTGTCTCCATGAAGTTTGCAATGGAGGTCGTCGGGCACCAAAATCTGGGTAGTTCCAGCCGTTTAAGATTTGGTAGGAGAGTCAACAAAAACATAAATGCATGTTTTGAGTAGCCATATAGTGTACGTTCTAGAACGGCAACTCTATGATGGCGCATTTCCGATGAAATTTGGACATGATATTTCTCCCAGTCAAGACCAGCTTCTCTCAGGACAGAAGATTCAGCGAAAAGTGCTTTAATCATCACTTACTCGAGTTCTGTATAGTCTTCTGGCAACCTAGTAGATAGACTAGCTTGGTCTAAGTTTGGGTATTCAATATAACGACCCAAAAGCGGCGTGGTAGCGATCCGGTATATCCACGTAAAAGCTGACATGGCTTCGTCAAAAGAAAAGGCGCGTTGGCGCATATCATTATGCTGCTTCATGAGCGGAGCACATATTTCATGGATATGCTTGGATGTCACATTCAAACTATCAAAGCCCTCTGGAAGAGTATGATGGGCGATCTCTGCTAGGATCTCGTTGGGCAAATCCGTGAGGTGCATAGTTACGACGACAGGAAGGGTAATCTCGAAATGGATGGAAAATCGAAATGTAGTACCGCTTCCCTATAGTTATATAGTATAAAAGAAGCATAGAACTAAGGGAACCATACTTAAAATATAATATTATTAAATAATTTTAGATTATTTAACAACTTAGATGGTTATAAATTAGTGATTATGATCTAGTGGACAAAATATATGTAACTAAATAACTGTATTTTATTAAGACATGTAAGCAGTTTTATCCACCTTAATTAGGCTTAGCGCTCGAAATTTACGTATTCGAGGGTCGCTGCGGGTCGTGGAGGGTCAGGGTCAGGGTCAGGGTCAGGGTCGGGTGGAGGGTCCAAGATCATGGACCACCCGGAGGGTCACTGCCAGGTCTAGCCCTTATTACTAAAGGCTAGTCTAGAAAGATAGCCTAGTAGTATATAAAGGAGTATAATACTAATTTATAAGAAATTTATCTCTATAATTTATTAGACTTTTAGTCGTATTATTTAGTCGACTCTATATAGATAAATCTAGATATAATAAGAGGGCTAGGTTTAGGTATATAGGTTAGTTACCTTTAGTATAGCCCCTTTATAGGTATTATAGTTCTATTATAACTAGCGATATTAGATACTACCTATATATACCTAGGATAGGATTATCCTTTTACGTATATTTCGCGGTATAACGGATGGTATTATATTTAAAGACTTTTTATATTAGCTTCTTTAGTACTATAGATAATAGCCGGAACCTAAATCTGTTATACTTATAGATAATATATTATTCTATTATTTAGAATGGATTTTATAGATATACGCGGACGCGGGGGTAAAATTAGTATATCTACTGCCATGTTTACTAGACTTAAATCCGGTTGAGGAGTTTTTTTACCAAGCTAAAAAGCTTTATTAAAAGAATTACTATAAAGTGGATCTAAATTAATGCTTTAATATATTCCTCGCATGGTATATCGATGCGGTCGGCGCAAAGAAAGAGAGTGCTAGAGGTCATTTTTGACATTTAGGCTTGAAGATAGAAGTTTGCGGAACTTGAACCCAATTTTTGACTAGTATAGAAGAAAACTGCTTATCACCCTCTAGTACCATGACCACCACCAGTGCCACCACCGCTTCCTCCACTAGACTCAGTGCAAACATTCAGAATATCAATGAGAAACTTATCAGGTCAGCTTCACTTCACCAACACAATGTTCGCGACTCACATTCTCGGCGTTGCAGCAAAGACTTCGACCCTTACACGAGCTTCCCACTTTAAATCGGTTAGCGTCGCCAAACAAAGATCCTGACGCAGAAAAACGACGGTTTTGCATACCAGCCGCGAGCGAAACCAGCTTCACAACCACACTCATTCAATGTTTCGTAGCCCCACTACAGATCCACTAGCCCCGCAAACCGAGTGCAGAATAGCGGGCATGTTTATTATTAACCATGAATAAACCTACCTCGATGAGTATTCAAGCTACCAAAACCTGGTAGCACGTTGCTGTGCAGAATAGCGCCCCGAACATTTTCCCTTTTTTTAAACGTCCTTGCGTGAAAAGATTTTTCCCTTTCGATAAAAGAAATCAGGAAAATCGAAACAGACGGAAATAGAAATCTTCTGACGTCTGTCATGTACAAAAGTCGATGAACGAAACCTGCCCTGATTTTTGTCCTAGGGCAAGTTTACTGCCTTTGATCCTGAAGCAATCAGGTCGAGACTCGGGAGGAAGCCATAAAACCTCTTCGCCATTCAATTTTATCCACTGATGATCTTCAGAGATTTCCAGGTTTGCATGAGGCGAATTGAATGTGGAAATGGCACACCCTACCTGAGTGTCAATGCCGCCTAAGCTGGTATGCAAATATGAACCGTCATGGGAAAATTCGAAAACAGTGACTATAACTTGAAAATCCCATGTCTGTTGAAGTGAGCCTGTTGCAATGTCCCAGAGGCACACGCTGCGATCCCAAGAGCCGGACGCCAGCAGCCGGCCGTCAGGCGAGAAAGCCACTGATGTAACTGAATTTGAATGACCCTTTAGGATATGCTGCAGCTCGCCTGTTGCCGAGTCCCAGAGCCGCACTCTATGGTCTTCACAGCCGGAAGCAAGAAGCCGACCATCGGGCGAAAGGGCTACCGACCGAACTGAATCTGGGTGGCTTTCGATAGTCTGCTGAAGTGTGCCGGTTGCTATGTCCCAGAGTCTCACAGTCTTATCTTGAGAACCGGACACTAGTACTCGATTGTCGAGCGAGATGGCAATTGACCACACCCAATCTAGATTGCCTTTGAGAGTCTGCTGGAGCGAGCCTGTTGCTGTGTCCCAGAGCCGTACTGTGGAATGTGAGCCAGATGCTAGCAGCTGGCCGTCGGGCGAGAAGGCCACCGAAACAATTGAATGTGAATAGCCCGTAAACATATGCTGGTGCGCTTCTATTGCTGGTTCCCAAATCCGCACTGTGTGATCGTCGGATCCAGATGCTAATCGCCGGCTATTAGGCGAGAAGACCACCGATTTAACAGAACCCACATGACCTTCGAGGATATGTTGCAGCGCACCTGTCGATATATCCCAGATCCGTACTGTCCTATCATCAGATCCAGACGCTAAAAGACGGCTGTCAGGCGTGAAAGCTACAGACTGAACCGAGTATAAATGACCCTCAAGGTGCTGCTGGAGCGCACCAGTTGCCGGATACCAGAGCCGTATTGTCGAATCATAGGAGCCAGATGCTAGCAACTGACCGTCGGGTGAAAAGGCCACTGACGTAACTGAAGATAAATGGCCCTCGAGTGTCTGCTGCAGCTCACCTGTTACCGGGTCCCAGAGCCGTATTGTCGAATCATAGGAGCCAGAAGCTAGCAACCTGTTATCAGGGGAGAAAGCCACTGATGCAATCGAATGTGAATGGCCCTTGAGGGTATGCTGCAGCGCGCCTGTTGCCGAGTCCCAGAGCCGCACTCTATCATCCTCGCAGCCGGAAGCAAGAAGCCGGCCATCAGGCGAGAAGGTCACTGACCAGACCCACCAAAATCCAGCCTCAATAGTCTTCTGGAGCGCCCCCGTCGCCGTATCCCAGGTGCGTACTGTGTTATCATAAGAGCCAGACGCTAGTAGCCGGCCATCAGGCGAGAAAGCAACCGAACGGACATAATGTGAATGGCCCTCAAAAGTCTGTTGGAGCGCGCCTGTCGCCGTATCCCAGAGGCGTACTGTGTTATCCCAAGAGCCGGACGCTAGCAGCCGGCTATCAGGAGAGAAGGCTACCGACCAAACTGGGGCTGAATGGCCCTCTAGAGTCTGTAATTCTGCACTCCATTTTTCACTAACTTGTGGCAACTGGCATATCCAACTAGGAAGGTCCGGCATGAACTCCATACGAATTATTGCCGTCAGAGGTGAAAATACCAATCCGGCGCAATAAATCTGAAGGGGTGCTTCATCGGCTATCTGGCAATATTTCAGAATAAAGCGCTTTCCATCATGAAGAAAATTAGACAAATCGGAAGTTTCGTCGTTCTAAAAGTATTAGTGTACAACTTGAATTGCCGAGGGATATGGTACTTACAGGAACAACCATGTGGAGGAGATCAAGCATACCTACCACCTTTGATACAAGACCAAGCAGGCTCATCGCTTCCACCCAATGCAGAAAATGCTTCTGGAGGAATAAATACAGGTCTTCTATCTCGGAAGATAAAACCTGACTTCGTTCGAGATGGTAGATCCAGTAGCGGCAAGAGTATTGTATTTCCATTGGAAGGTACTGGCGGATATGTTGAGGGTCGATGTCTGCCCTACGAGTTCCAGGGCTCACTAAATTGCAGATATCTTTCCGTAGATAACCCTGCATGGTTTTGAGACAAAACTGAGCAATCTTTGTGTGATTTTTCGGCTCATCCATATGAAATTTGGTTGGAGACCGAACCAAAAAATCCCGAAATGATAGATGTAGGATCCTAATAGGCTGATCTCGGTCCTTAGAAATGCTTAAAACCGATCGGAATGAATCCAATCGATTACTGATCTGGTCTGCTTCTATCTTAAGCAACAGCGATAGCGTATTTATTGAAAGCGGAACAGCAAGAAGAATGATAATACCGACTATTTTCTGGAATTCTTGTAGGAGCTGCTGCTGCTCCGCCTTATCACTCTCTTGATCGTCTAGTAGTCGCGTCAGAATTGGTAGATATGTTTTATCCATTCTCGATAAATATTTGGCTTGGTCTTTCAAAAGCTCTGCGAGGCGCAATTTAGGTTCCCATTTTGAATGTTCGATATAACGGCACATAGTGGCAGCCGAAATAAATAGTGGAACGGATATTGTGACCAAGTCTTTAATGACGTTATCGCCGGGCCAGTCTTGTGAAATATTTCTATCGTGTTTGATCCTCGCAAATCGGTCTTGTAGGAATAACTGGATGTCATGTTCTGTCAATTCTTCGGATACCTCGTGAAGAGCTAGGTCCTGATATTCACGGTCTGCGATCTCTGAAAAGCCGAGGCTGATTGGGAGTTCAGGCCTGCTAGTTAAAAAGATCCGAAGGCGAACTGCTTTTGCCTTCTGTAGAAGAGGCAGTAATCGGATTATATTCCGGATATCTTGATCATGTTCACATTCGTCCAAAGCATCGATCACTATCACAGAAATTTGAGGTTGTTGGCCAAATCGATTAAGATGCAGCAGCGGTTGAAGGAGTAGTTTCTCAAACTGCTCCCTAAGCGATTTTGACGCAATGTCAGGGTCATTATGGAGTGTCTTTTGCACGCTAGACCTTAGCTCAGAAATTTTGAGAGTGAGTTGCCTTGTCAATGTCGGAAAAAACTTCTTCGCGTTCCCTCGGTCCCCTTCACCCCTCTTAAAGAAGAAAGTTGCACCCAGATGGTCGGTGTCCTTGAGCAATTTTGCCACAGTCCGAGATATTGTGGATTTTCCTGTCCCAGCCATTCCATTTAGCCAGAAAATGCTTTTTTGGGACGGCGAGACGGCCCATTCCATTATCTGCTGGAGAAGCTCGGTCCTAGTTCCTTGAAGACATTGGACTTCGTCTCGATCGGAGAAGGATTCAAACCCTGCCTCCATCGCGCCTTCCAACTTCCGAAGGTCAATCTTCTGGTCCAAATATTCCACCGTCGTCAGGACAGTCCTATTCAAAGTTAGCGATAATGTACTTGACGATAATCAACCGAATTGCATGCTACTCTTGGGTGTTTTTGAGACTAGTCAACTCCTGGCCAACTAGAAGTTGTCAGTACACTGTCCCGAATGAATAATCGTATGAACTGAATGATATATTATATTAGAGTATATACTTATTATCATATTCAGTCACAACCAAGTCATATAAAGTTACAATTTCAGGATTTAAGGTTCTAACCTTATTAAAGTTCTTGAGCTACTCGCTCAGCCCAGGGGGGTAAGGTATCCACACGTTGCGGCCTTAAAACTAGGAGTAGCTCTCGTATATACGCAGCAGCAGTAAGTGCGGCATATTTATACCAGTCGTCATTCTTGTGGGAGTCGCAATAATCGCAGATTCCGCGAATAATCAGACATAGGATGTTGTTTATGAGACCTGCAGCCTCCATTTCGAAGCATAGAATATTCAGCTCCGGGTCATTCGCATATATATCCCGTATAGTGGCATCCTTAAGTACGGAATTCCCTGACGCAATATTTCTATAGTAAACGTGGAGAATACGGTGGTTGCGGGCGGACCACCACCGAGTGTAAATCGCATTCGTCACAATTTCGTCCGAACACATATAGATAGTTTGTAGCATAAAGCCGGTTAACAGTTGGTTGGTGATAATCTTCTATATCATCGAGACGCAGAAGGTATTCTCCGAGTCTATCTGGTTTCCTTTTATCACTATACAGTCTGCGCATCTCAGGAATAACTCCTAGAAGCTTCTCAGGCGGCGCATTTAGTTAACCTGTCTTATGAAAGTGGCTATCCTTCAACTTGCCCAGATCATATTGTATCACTCCGCCGAATCCATCTTTTGGTTGACATACGACAACATCCCCCAATCGGATATCATTCCGGGTAGTTGGTGCGCCGCCTCCGATGCCTACCATTAATGCGAATCGCAAGCGTGGAAAGGTTCGAACTATATCTCGGGCAACACGAGCAGCTGAATTGGTGCCATACCGACCGGCCGGAAGACAACCAATCACCACGTAATGCTTAGCAATACGACCGTAGACGTATGTGTTATCATCGTTGTCTTCGCTTATTTCCGGCCCGCCGTATTCCTCGTCGAGCATACGGCATGCACAAAAATACTCCTCTTCCAGCGCACAGATCCACGCTACCGTGTACGAGTCTGCTGAATCTGGATCTCGTTGCTCAGGTCGATTCATTGGATCAGTAGAGGAGCCACTGTTTTCACGTTGTCGGTTGTGTGTCGATAATTTTTGGAGTTTTGCTGGCTAGATCAAGTTTGATTTGTCGCAAGATAGACGGGACTGGAAGAATTTTGTGGGAAAAAGGAAGTGTTCCAGCTTGAGGGGAAAGGGACAGGCAGCAAAACGAGTGAGGCTGTGTGAGAGTGCGTTTCTATTGGTGCTAATCTTACGGCCCGACATGCAATTTGCTATTAATAACTATAGCGCCAAATATCCGGATGAAGCCACAACAGCTTACAGCAGGCTCTGAGATATCTTCGGGATTTTAAGCTTGGGCCACTAAAAATTCTAGTCGGTCAGTGTGGCCAGCCCTAGGCTCTGAGTTTTCGAGCTATAACTATATTTATCTAAATTTTGGGCTTTCCTTGGCGCCATACAGAGGTGAGGGTTGTCGGCTTAACATCGGCCCGAACCGACCCAGAACCATCTCGTTGCCCTGCGCCTACCTCCTCAACCATTCGGTTGACGGCGCGACAAAGGATATCATGGTGCCTCGACTTGCACCGTCACAGCTTGTGATGATCCGCGATATGATCAGCAGCAGATCGCCAACTACTTCTTAGATTGCCGAAGCGGCATTTGAACATTACGTCGATGAGGTGAAGCTAACCTAGCCAGTTTTTGATATGTATTCTCAACGTTTGCACTGAGCCTAGTAGAGGAGGTGGAGGTGGTACCGGGGATGGTGGCTCTATGGTGGTACTGGTGGTTAATCGTTGACTAACCAAGACTTTGCCTAATAGGGGCACACAAAGATGTTGGCGGAATAATTATAGTTAACTCGGCTGAGATTGCTTTGTTTCCAGAAGAGCCCTCAAGAATGAAACGAGCCAAATCGCAGATCTTACGAATAAAAATAAGGGATATAAAGACAATTTTTAATAATAGCAGCTAAGGGCCGCGTTATTACGCACTGCCTAACTAGTCACAGTTATGTTAGAAGCTTTCCTGATTATACTTGCTTATTGCTGGTCCTCCAACGTCAACGATCTGTCTCTTAACCAAGCTGCTACTCCCTAGAGTATATCTATTAGAGTCGCGGTGACTTCCTACTCCTCCTTAGTATTAGTAGGGAGTTATGGTTATATAATCTAGGCGGTTAAGGGTATTTAAAGTTCTTATAGAGTAGAATTGATATTTACCTATCGGAGGCCGAGAGTGGCTGCCTTCTAGCTGACCCTTCCTTTCTGCTGGGTGTATCGCACGTGAATACTGACTGGTTGGTTGGTTGGCTCTTGATGGCCTATCTGTATGCCCTGTGGGTTACCACTGGTTGGTGACGGGTAGGTCCGTAACACCTCCGACTATAGTATTCACTCCTTATACTAACCTTCGCAGTTGTAGTCAATCCTATTGCAAAACCAGTCTTATCAAAGTTGTAGATATTGTTAGGGTCGATTCCATATTGAAGGATTGTCTTTTGAACCAGATTAAACCACCTCTTTATAATCTTAGGGTCTTTATATTTCGCACGCTCGTAATTGTATCGTTTCGAGAATCAGGAGGAGAGGAGAGGACACCTTAGGACTTCGAAACGGCGCGCTACTTCACATATTGAAGATATTTTTTGATTCTTAAAAGCCTGGATTGCTAGTAAGATCCTACCCTCTTACTCTGTTGAATTTCTAGAGCTTTGAGTACGAATTGGTGGCATAGTGTGTGGTTGAGGAAGAAGGGATTAAATTAATTGACGCGTTTCCGGTGGGGTGGACGACTCGGGGGTGTGGACCACTCGGTGGTGAAATACGCTAAATGCTCTTATGTAATCCCTTGGGAGGGCCTTTCTTATCACCACGTGATACGATAAAAAGGTAGCGACGTCATCCCTGAGCGCCGGACTTTTACGACAGCTCAGCTGCGTTCTTGAAAAATATTTTACAAATTCTCATTTGATTTACTTCATTAGTATCAATTTCAAAATGTCCACCCTACAATGCATTCGCGCTACGCGTGGCTCTCCACTCCTGCGCCTTGGAGGTCCACAATTGCACCACCTCAACCGACCCTCCATACAGCGACTGTATCCCATCTCTCGCTCTTTGCACAGCCTGTCTAGCTCCAGCAAAGCCCGAATTAGCCCAATCTCACGCCAATTGCAATTGTCTCTCCGACCGTCGCTCTCCAACCCTACAGCTAGAACCTACGCCGACCGAAAAGGATCAACCGGCAAAGCCGAAGCCGATCTCCTAGTCGAAGAACTACAAGAGCTGTACGAGGTCGCCAAAGACGAGTTCGAAATTGCTACAGAAAGCACTGACTCATCTACCATCTACGCCGCCTCAGACCGCGAGTCTGCCCGCGATGCTCTCAACCAGCTGTCCGCAGTGTACGGCCTCTACACTGCTCGTCCTGGGGAAGTTGAGAATGAGACGGATGAGTCGCCATCTGAGGTAGAGGAGTCCGGGGAGAGTGCTATTGTCGAGACGCAATATAATCCCGCGGAGATCCCGCAGGGTGTTAAGGATGAGGTGCGGCGGCGGGTTGGACATCGGATTCGGGAGTTGAAGAATGCTATTGAGGCGCTCGAGGAGAGGGCTATGGAAGATTAAGGGCATTTTGTGGTATGGCCATCCACAATCGTGTCAATCACTTGTAAGGTACAACGATGATATGGTTTCCATATCTGGATGCGGCAATTGTATACTTTAACGTCTACATGGTACTTTGTATGTTAGGGTCCGTTACCAGATCATCAGCAAAATAAATAGAGGCATTATACATCCTGAGTCTGCAAGCTTCAAATTTTCCTACGCACGAATATCATACTTGACATGCCAGTTCATGAAAGCAAATCATAACATAATAAAACCACATAGGAAGTAGATCACCCAGGCCAATCAAAGAGTTGATCGGTCCAGGCTCTAAGACGATATATCAATTAAATCATTGGTGGAAAATCCCGGCAACATCAAGGACAAGTGGTATCAAGCTTTTTAGTAGTTCTCAAAAATCTGCAAAACGCCAGAAACAAAGTGCTTCTTAAGCATCCATAGTACGCCCGGCGGGAAATAGCGCCTGGATAAATCGGGTCGTAAGACATGACAATCGCATACAATGATGCAATTTAAAGGTGTGGTGCATTAGACGAGAGTGAAGGGGGTCATAGTGAAGTGGTCGGGGCTCGGTGATGGAAGTGTTGAGCTGGGTTCTTGTTTGTGTGTTGTTCTCTGGTGGCGTTTCAATTGGTCTGCGGAGAATTGATGTTAGAATGTAGGCGATTAAAAGCAAGGCGTCGGTCACAGAACTTACCAGGACGTGTAAAGCTCTTGGTGCATCCCGGGAAAAGGCATTTGTGTTTCCGCTCTCCGTGGGCTAGATGGAGTTAGTAAAAATAAGTTAAGCGTCTGAAATGGAAGGAGTATCATACTAAGTCTGTGACTAGACATATTGGAAGACTGGGTTGATGTTAGAATATGAGCGGGTATGTGACATATAGATAGAGGAACTCACGTCGCCCGTGGTGAAAGTGCATCCCGGCCAGGTGCATTTGAAAGGCTTCTCGCCAGTGTGGGTTCGCGAATGTGTTTCTGGAATGGTTAGCAGTATATTCAAGAAGGAATTAAAGGACGACATACTCAATTCGCTGCTGTCAGTAAATGATTTACCGCAGTGTTTGCATGTGTATGGTTTGTCACCACGATGACTGCGCTCGTGTCGGTCTAATGTCGCCTGTCTAGCAAACGTCTTGCCACACACGGAGCAAGAAAAGTTCTTGTCTAGAAAGATGCAATTCATGTTAGCACATTTGTCCAAGCAACGGTAGATAGCGATATGACGTATATGACGTACAGTTGCTGTGTGTTAGGAAATGCCCCTGAAGCTTGGACTTCTGCGAGAAGGGGTCGTCTGGACGATGGCATCCTTCCCAGCAGCAGTAGTACCCATTGCCCTTGGCACCGTTCACGGTGTTCATATGACTGGCAACGAGGTGCTCCTGGAGAGAACCACAATCGGCAAAAGTAGCACCGCAAGCAGCCTTGATTCCATGGATTTCCGTTGCCCACTTGCAGATATGCAGCTTACTGTCGGCCGGAGAAAAGTCTGGTGTGGTAAGGACGGATGAGGAGTCACCTTCGAGAGGTGGTGGGGTCTCTCCTGGGCTGGAAATGAGGTGAGAGCTGATGCTAGAGCGGGACTGTCGGGAGTAAGGAGAATACGGGTGAGAATGAGCATGGTGGTGAGCTCGGCAACGATGATGATTGCGGTGAGGCCCTTTGCGGAGAGTTTGCAGGTTGAAATCATTGGGGTTTTTGAAATGGTTGTGGACATGATGATGTTCAGGATTGAAGCAGTTGAATGCATCTGATGTGTCGATTTTGGGTTTGTCGAAGGTATCGAGACTGGTCTGAGGAGTCCCAGCTACGTGTTGATCTTGGCATATCGAGAAATCGGAACACATACCCAGCATGTGGAAAACCTCCGCTGGGTTTACTTCAGCTTGTGCGGGAGCAGGAGGCGCCACGAACATCCCTTGCCAGTCTTTCTGGAAATCATGACACTCAAAGTGGTTGGATACGTCCTGCTCGCAGTGGGTGGCATGCGTTTGGTATGAGGATCGGATGGTTTCTTGTTGAAATGGATCGATGACACCAGGGAAAGGATGCTGCATGGCTTTTGTTGTATGGCCAACGGAAGTGTTTCCCATTATCATGGAAGGAAAAACCCCCGTGTCTAGCGACAGCGGGGTGTTGAGTCCAAACAGAGTGTCGAAGCCGCAGTCTTGACTAGCAGGACCTTCGCAGCAGTGGTCTTCGAAGCACAGGGGGTCAATACTTTCACAGTGGTCGACCTCGCAGTTATCGTCGCAGTGGGTGGGATCACAATGAGTATCGTCGCAGTTGTGGTCGTTGCAGTTATCATCATCGCAGTTGTCATCCTCGCAGTGAGTAACTGAGCAGACAGTGGAAGTGTCACAGCCCGTAAAGCGGCCACATATGGACCCGCAGTCTAGCGCGCAGTCGTCTACATCACAGCAGGCCTCATCAACCTCACAATGGGGTAGTGGTGGATGGGTTTCAAGACTTGAACAGTTCCAATGATGTTGATCAACATTACCGGAGGGATCTACCGCCGCCTTGCCATCGATGTGGAACGCTTCCCAGTTGCATTCAAGGCAGAAATCGCCTTGTTGGGTTTGGGACGCCATGGTGCACGGTTCACTTCAGAGGATGGAGGGAAGGTGTAAGGGTCGCAATCGAATCGGGTTTTCTAGGAACAGTGTCGTCACAACAGCGTGTACGACGAATAATATGGGGGAAATGCAGTCGAGGAACCGAGCAGTGTGCGACCATAAGTGGGACAGTGAAGGCCCGTCAGGTACGATATCACACTACAAAACCCACGAAGCCACGAGTGAAAGTGTCACCCGTGTGTGCGCCGTTCCCGGGAGAAAGTTTAGGTTGTAATACCGTATGTTTTCCTCTCACAGCACGGATAGATTCGCAATCGAGTCATGCGCTAGGACTGGACTGGTTGAGGACAGGCGCAATCGGAGAATTGACCGAGATCGACGTGCAGGAAAAGCAAAAAGGAGGACCTTGGAGTCGCAGATGCAGGATCAAATCCAAAGGATTTCGAGAGGATCAGGGGGCATAACCTGGTGTCGACTGAGACCCCTCAGTGTAGCCGTGAGGACCTTCGGGACGCAGGAGAGGATGGGGACCTTGGGGGTTAGGCGTCATGATTTTCGAGCGAATCGTAGAGCGTGCTTTGGCGAGCAATTTCGGATAATCTTGTGATATATGTGATATAGAGTCGAAACTGCAGGAAACGGAGACCTGAGAACGAGAGAAACTGAGAAATCATCCCCAGCATTCCAACGAAGAATTCCTTTCCCCGCGGAGATAATTTCCCTTGAAGGGAAATTCTGACTAAGCTCTATTCTGCCCCTCTGGCCCGACCTGCTTTGACAGCCCTAATCCGGTAGTTTGTCTGCAGTTTGCATCCGGTACATAGGGGAAAGTTTAATATTGATTGACTCAATTAATAGAATCTATAAGCTGACAACATATTTACGTTTACCACCTAGGAATTTACTAGTAAATCCAAAGGTCTAGCCCGACTTACCGAAATCAATTATGTCCTACTATTCTCACCGCCTTTGCCCCGGATCGACTATCAGCTTATCGCAGTACTCCAACATCCACTTGCGATGATCCACGAACAACAACAACGTCCACAGGTACGACTCAATACATAGCCAGCATAGCACTTGTATTGTCTACCTTGAAGAAAACCTATTACACCCAATTGGGTCCCCCAAAGATCAACTTGGCACCCTAGCCGAAGCTCAAATCAGCGACCTTGCCTGCCTTGCGCCCACCCCACACTAACCGCGACAACAAATCCTCCGATCCCTGCGCCTTACTACACAATCACAATGGGCAACATCTGCTCCCGTTCTTCTAATCAGGCAGACCCATTCAGCCAACCGGGCCGTGTAGTCGGTACTAGCTCAGGGAGTACTGCCGCACCCCGCGCCCCACTTCCGGCCAAGACAAACTGGAAGGCTACACCCGGTCGCACTCTGGGTGAGGGCACTACAGATGCTAGTACTGCCGGAACGGATGAGGCCCGTGCAAATGCTGCAATTGCCGCACAGGTATGACAGCTCATTTCCCGCTAAGATATGCTATGCAGAGTTGCGATTGCTGACTTGTGGGTCTTATAGAAACGCGCCGAAGGTGCCTCTGCCAATAAAGGGAAATTGGGAGCAAAGCTAGCTGCACAGAAAGCACAGACCCAAGCACAGACATTGGATCAAGTCAGTCGTACAGAGAGGGCTGCACGAGATGTAGATGGGGCTGAAGCCACAAGGAGATGGGAATAGGCACACCCGCACGAAATCTTGATTTGATCATTACTGCAATTATATCCCGGCGATCTGTTTGTTGGCGTTGTATTTGTATTTGCTGGCTTATTGTGTATATTTATAGCGTATGTTTAGTTTTTGTCAAAGTCCTTTGACTTAATTGTCGGTGGAATTATGGAATCCAGTTTCTTTGATAGTTTAATTCATGCAACGATGCTGGTCTCGCTGGTGACTCCGATTGACCGATATTTCTCCAATTCCACCACTCGACATGAGTAATCATGAATAGACTATTTAGCTGCAGCTTCTACATGAATAGAGACACATCAAGGATATCGTACAATCATTGATTTAGAGTATTTTGGAGTCCACTATGAACTAAAGAATGATCTAAAGAACATTGTAGCGACCACCCACCGGAGCACGCGCCTCACCCTCTGAGGCTGCCAGTGTTGCATCCTTAAGCAGGCGTCTAAGCTCGTGTATGGCGGTGGTGACTGAGATCTCCGTCTCGCCCTCCACCAGAATGTACAGCTTGGGAAGCTCTCCGGGACTGGGTTCCTTCCCGGCGGCGTAGAAATTGCCCTTGGTGGTGATAGAGGTTCCGGATGCCTCCAGGATTTTTGCCACGTTTGTGCGATTTGTGACAGCCCAACGTGCTTTTTCTGTATCAAGAAATGAAGTGGTAAGTACTTATTTGAAGTGGGAGGAATGTGGGTAACTTACGAGGGAAATCATTGATTTCAAGCGTTGCATGGAACGCTCCGGCATCAGGGCCACGGTTATCAATAGGCACACCCGATCTCATGACACCTGCACGACTCAAACGTGCGTGAATATCTGCAACAGCAGACCCCACCTTGTCCAACGGGTTCTTTGAGGCATTTGCCGGTGCTCTCTCTGTACGATGTACAACGATCTTGCCATCAAGATCAATACCTTTCGGCACACCCGGCATAGAGACTGAAGGTGTAGCTGCTGGTACAGCCGGCTCCGCGGCGGATCGGACAGCTGAAAGAGCCTTGTTGAATCGATCGTCTGACTCCTGCTCGGTCTCAAGTTTATCTTCTTCATCATCCATGTCATCGCCAGTTTTGTATGCTTTCCGCTCACGCAATCGCGCAGTTTCACGTTCCATATTAAGACGGTCCAGACCTTTACCACCAAATCCATGGCGCGAGAAATTCTTCTCCTTGCCAGACTTGACCTTCTCATTGAACCCATCAACGAGCTTTTGAAGAGGCTCGGGGACTTCCTGTCCACTTTGTCTGAGAGCCTTTGCAATATCCAACGCATACCGATCCTGTTCTTCGGTGACAAACGTGACGGCGGTTCCAGTATTGCCAGCCCGTCCAGTGCGGCCGGCACGATGGACATAATCCTCCAGGTGATTAGGTGCGTCATAGTTGACAACGAGCTTGAGCTGCTTGACGTCTAACCCACGAGCAGCAACTGACGTTGCGACCAGGATAGGGAAAATGCCAGCCTTGAATTCTTGAATAGTGCTGTCACGATCAATCTGATCCTTTCCGCCGTGAATCGACATGCATGGATAACCCTTATACATCAATTGCTTGAGCAAGTCATCCGCGGCTTCTTGACGGTCCACGAAAATCAGCGTGCGATAGTCTTCATTCGCGTCGTCTTCGTACAGATTTCCCAAGAGCTCCAACAGGCGGAAGAATTTCTGGTCGTTATTACGGACCTCGACAATTTGCGTGATTTCCGGAGCCACAACACTCTTGCCACCTACTGTGATCTCCACTGGCTCGTTCAAAGTTTTCCGGGCCAATGCTTCCATACTCTTTGGGAATGTGGCTGAAAAAAGAACAGTCTGCCTGTCCGGTCGGATGCTAGCCATAATCTTCACAACTTGTGGTCCAAAACCCATATCGAACATGCGATCCCCCTCATCGAGGACGACATATGTGATGCGACGTAGATTGAGGACCCGTCCTTGATTTGCGGCCAGGAGATCAATGAGCCGACCAGCAGTGCATACAATAATTTCCGCGCCTCGTTTTAGCTCGGCAATTTGGTCTTTGATGGGGGCGCCGCCATACGCGCAGACAGCGCGCAAACCCAAGGCCTTTAGGAAGGGCTTGCAGTCTTTGTGGATTTGAGTGGCCAGTTCACGGGTGGGTGACAAGATCATACTGATGGGACCATCTGTACTAGCCAAGGGCCGTTGGTCTTTGATGTGTCGGAACATCGGAACCAGGAAAGCACCGGTCTTTCCTGAGCCAGTTTTTGCCACGCCGATGACATCGCGGCCAGACATGATCGTGGGGATTGCTTGCGCTTGGATGGAGGTGAGGTTTTCCCACCCGAGTTTGTGAACAACATCTAATGTCTGAACCCCCAGACCGCATTGCGACCACTTTTGGACAGGTTTAGGGACATCGCGACCGCGGACCTTGATGCCATCCAGTTCAAGTCGCAAGTTTGCTACCTCCTCCTCGGTCATTTCGGCAAGGTTGGACGGTTCGGTGTAGAATTCCTTGCGGAACGGCTCATACTCGATCTTCGTGTGGTCGATATCGGGCATCTCCCGCTTCTTTTTTTTCATTGCTGCCAGGGCGAGGACATCTTCGGCTTTCTCGTCACCAACTGCAGTCACATCCACATCCTCGTCATCGCCAAACATCGCCTCGGGTTGTTGGTGGTCGGTCTTCTTGGCAAATGTGGCGCCAATTTTCCGTTCAGGCGGCGCCGAGTCTTGGAGTTCAGCCATGAACGCATCCAGCGGATCAATTTCTTCGTCATCGTCAACTTCCATAGGGGTAGAATCGGCCTGTGCGTCTGTCGACTCCTCCATATGAACATCATCATTCTGACTTTGAAGTCGTGTATCTCGGCGTTCAGCTGCAGCACGCGCTTCGGCTGCTGCGTGTTCTTCCGTTCCTTCAACTTGCATGTCTACATCATCATCTTCCACGACATCGTCCACCTGTCCGCCCACATCCAGAGGTGCGGTTGGCAATTTTTCGAGTTTCTTGCGTGTTGATTCCTCATCTGCATCCCCAAAGCCCAGAGTTTTAGAAGCAGAGGGTTTCTCCGTTTCAGAAATTTGTCTGGCGCCCAGGCCGAATCCGCTGACATTACCTTTGGCTTTCAAGGGACCAGAGAGGGTGGCGGGAGCAGCACTAGGTGCAATGGGTTTTGTTACAGATGGAGGCTTGACAGATGTCGGGACGGCAACATCAGTACCAAGGACGGCGGGAGCAGCCGTGGATGTGGTTGATGATTTGACGATGGCTTTTGGATCAAACTTCAATTTTCCGGGAAATGCGGCAGGACCTGGAGACACAACCGATTTACGGTCAATAGCTTCGAGAATCTTTTTGGGATCAACTGATGCCTGCTCTTTTTGCTTCTTCTCGCGTTCGGCGGCTTGTTTCTGTTTCCATGCCTCGAGCTTAGCAAGTCTCTCTGCTTTCTTTTGCTCGTCTGTTTGGGCAGTGGGGGCCGGTGTGGACGGCTTTGATGGCTGCGGGATTCAATTAATATCGAAGGCTCGGTATGATGCAAGATGCGGGCAGCTTACCTCTCGGGTTCTGGACCTGGACCGTCGGCTTGGAGCACGATCACGGCTGTCATCCCGTCTAGACTTGGGCTTCAAGTCAGCAGAATCATCTATCCTCCTGCGATCCCGATCGCGGGAGTCATCTCGCCTGGAACGGTAATCCCTATCACGACTTCTGCGGCGGACATCATGGTCGTCATCTCGTCGCCGTTCTCGGGATCGATCTCTTCGAGCTGGCCGATAAGTATCTTCGTCACGCCGGTCTACGGGGAGGTCTCGTCGTCGGTATGCATCTCTATCGCGAGGGCGGTCGCGCCCGCGGTATCGTCTCTGGATATCACAAGTTTGGTCAGAGATTGCAAGATTAGATGTGAATTTGCGATGCGCGCCACACGTACCTCTGGGCTGCGGGATCTGCGGTAACTGCGCCCATCATCCCGCCTGGTTCTGTCATAGCGATCATCCTCTCTGCGAGGCCGCCGGGATGAAGAATATGTGCTGCCTACAGGTGATGGTGAGCGAGTATCTCCGTGGCGAGCCATTGTTGCAGGCTGATTAGTGAGTGTTACTGGAACGCAAAAGCACCCGGGACACGGATCGATGGAGGAGGAGAGAGAGAGGGCAAGAGAAAGCGCCCCGCGAGGAAAGGGTTTGGGACGATAATTCAATCGTCAGGGCACCCAAAAAGAGTAACGTTTGAGGTGTTTGTCTATCGCATCGTCACTTTCGCAAACCGTTGGAATGAAGAAACAGATTACATAAGGTCATGCGGAGCAGCTAGGCCCGATCCGGATAGGTACACCAAAGGAGGCGCGACTCCTGCTCCGCTTGCGTCAACAGCTCCTCTTATCGATTCTTAGCTTTTGAAGATTCAATTGCTGATTTGTCTCGTCCTTGTCTCTATTATTAAACCTCGCTCTAGCTAGTTCTTCGTCGACAGTTACTTCATGTCTTGGCAGTCGGCAGCTCGGGGGGGCTTCCTCCGCACCCTGCACCGCGGTGCTCTCCCTCCTCGCACCGGCGTGAGCGACTTGCAGAATCAGCTTAGTCGCGTCTGTTTAGCAGCTAGCTCAGGTCCGGCACGCCCTCAATTCCAATCACTGTCTCAATCGAGTTCGTTCGCGACTGCTTCTACCCCTCAAAAGGCGAGCAAGACACCCAAAGCGAATGGGTCTAAAAAGGCCGACCACAAACCGAAGAAGAGAGCCCTCAGCGAGGAAGAACAGGAAAAACAGAAGATAAAGGAACTCCGGGCTCACATCAAAGAGCTCAAGACGACTGCCCTGCTCAACCGGCCCAAGTTGCTGCCCACTTCTGCCTTCAGTCTTGGTTTTACTGAGAAGCTGCGCGAGATCAAAGGTCAATACCCGGCTAAGGAAGGATTCTTGATTGGCGTGGAGCATGCGAAATCCCTCGATCCTGAAAACAAGGAGGTATGTGCCCTTCAGCTTCTCCGTATACCTCAGAGGCGGCATACTAATACCCCAAATCCAGAGACTCGAAGCTCAAGCCAGGGCGAACGTAGCCGCTAACGCCGCTGCCTACGACGCGTGGGTCAAGACGCACACACCTCTCCAGATCAGGGATGCCAACAGTGCCCGCCTAACCCTTTCACGTATTGGCACCAAGAACTATCCTTCCATCAGAGATGACCGCTTGCCCAAAATACCCAACTCTGCCTACGTTCTATTCGTGAAGGACCGCCTCGATACCCATGTTTACCGGGGAAAGTCTGGCAGAGACACCTTCACAGCCATTTCCGAAGAATGGCCTAGCCTACCTCAATCGGAGAAAGATGTAAGGATCTTCGCAGAATCGATACATACATACCAAATTCAGGCGCTGACTATGAATCTAGCGCTACCACAGATTGCAAATCGAAGATCGTCAACGGTATGAGAGGGAGTATGAGAAAGTGTACGGAGTCCCAGCACCCAAGAGCGCTCGGTATAAAACACCGGAAGACTACAATTGAACGTGATATGTACCGGCGATTCCTATTGGTATGATGTTGACCTAGAAGCTTGTTCGTTACATGCTGTTCTCAATCCCCCGTATGGCCTGATTTACGTTCCCTTGTTGTATTGTACTTCGTCCTGTCAAACTTTCTCTTTGTATTGATTATTTTTGTTTGTTCGAGTGGAAGCGCTGCAATGTGATATCGTAGTGAACTCGTGGAGAGTTCACCATCTCCAAGCCAATTCAATCCCTTCCAAAAATGTCCGCATTAAATAAATGAGTCAGACGTACTCCGTAAAGGGACCATGAATTCTTTCTTTACGCCGCAGACTATCCACCAACCCCGCACTGGGCCCTTTTTTTTTTACTCCGACGCTCAAGTGGCGGTGTGCGAAGGATGTGTTGCGCTTGCAGGTGACCCTTTTAGTCTGGGATTTGCATAGAGTAAATTGGGCTCAAGGAGAATTTTGCAGTATGAACGAAGTACCCTATGCAGATTTTGTAAAACATATGTTGTTTATGGTCCAATGCCCAAGGGTGGAAATGCGAGCATGGCAGGCACACACGGAACCAAACGATGTGCAATAAACATCACGAAGTCCATGCATTTAGGCATGAAATTATCACTATATATAGTGTATAAATAGTCCTTTATATACTTCTATGCAATTGGACTTAAAATTGGTCATTGTACCACGGTACTACATAAGCTATATTCTCGCAATCCATGGACTTGCAGTTGGGAACCATGGAATTGGAGAACTATTATCGCGGGGTCTGTGCAACATTGGCTTGTTGACCTCTCGAGTATGCCATGCAGATTGTAGGAAAAAACCTACGCCTACATATTTTAGTATACATATATGTACAGAGTACTCCGTACATATTGTCAGTTTCAAGGAAATGCTCTTGCTCTGTACTCCGTACTTCGTACAGGTATGCACTTGGTGCTTATGTGTTCCCAGCCATCTACATATATATTTTTCATCTCCTAGGGGTGTTGTTATAAATGGATTTGTTTTTCGAGTTTGAATGACTCGAGCAACTTCTATGCCAGTATCAAACCACCCTCGACCACATTACCGCAATAACAACATCATACAAGTACATTGTACGGAGTACGGACGGAGTACGGAGTACATACAAAGTTAACTTGGCGGGCTAAATGGAATGATCTTCACCTCCACCGCCTGAACTTATCCCTGCCTCCAGAAGATCCCCTCCGAGTCTAACTTTTCCATATTTTTCTCCCTTGACTCCCTTGACTCGTTGAAATTTCTTGTGTTCAATTCGCAGCAGGTACAGTTCCACAGACTGTGTCACAGTGTCTTAATACGTCTACAAATCACTTATCAGCATCCAAAAACACCTGAAACTCGCGCCGGTCGTGCAGGGAGGCTATCTGACTTGAATTTGACTTGATATACTGCTTAATAGTGTCACAACAAGCGCTCGTGCAACCTTACCACACCTATATCCCACTCTCACAACTCCGCGCGGAAAAAACCACCGTCTGTTATCGATTGGGACAACATCCCCCACCAGGACTCGAATACAACCCACCCACCGATGCGTTCGCTATTCGACATCGCTGAGTTGCCACATCAGTGATCGGACCGGCCGTGAACTCGGCGCATGTAATTTTCGACATGGAAGCGATTGAGGGGTCTTATCGCGTATGCGCGGGGAAGACCAGCATCGCGCAGGATGTCGCATACTACACACGGAACACGGATATGGAGGAGAAATTGCTCGACGAGGTCTGGACCACTTTATCAACTAAGCTGGCGGGCTTTTGCCGGTCAGATAACTGGGTGCACCAAAAACGACATTTGGTCACCGGATTGAGTTCTCACTTTGCGACTCGCTTGCCAGAGCCACCGTCGTACGACCAGCCTCCGCCTTCCTACGACGATGTGATCCATGACCTCCCTCCCGAATATTCCGCACTGCCTCCACTCGCGCAGCGCAAATCAACTACTATTTCCCTTACGCCACAGACTCATCAAAAATCGCATAAACCGTCATCCTCGTTGCTGAAAGATCGCATGCTGGATGTTCGGATCGATTTTGAGAATCCTACCGGTGTTCGGGAACATAAAAAGAAAAAACCCGCGGGAGGAAAGAAAGCAGCGCCGCCTCCTTCTCCTTCTCCACCTCCGCCGCCCCCACCGGCAGGCGGAGCTGATGGAGGTGACGGCAATTCCAACGGCGATGCTGGGGCTGGCGGAGATTCAGGCGGCGCTGGAGGAGGCGATGGGGGAGATGGCGGCGACGATTGGAACGCATGGAATGTAAGCGGAAAGAAGGATAAGAAGAAGAAACTGGAAGAGGAAGAGGAAGAGAGAAAAGCCAAAGAAGAGGAAGAAAGAAAAGCCAAAGAAGAGGAAGAGAGACAAGCCAAGGAGGAGGAGGAACGAAAGGCCGTTGAAGCTTCTGCTGCCAAAGATCTTAGCTGGGCTGAGGATGACGGTGGGGGCGGGGGCGATGACTCGTGGGCTGCCTTCACCAATGTAGGAAAAAAGAAGAAAGGAAAGGTAAGACCATCCTTCTCCAATGTACAAGATGGGCGTCTAAGTAAAATTACAGGGCGAAATTGCACCCCCTGGGGGGTTCCAGGACATAAGTCTGGATAACGGAGCACCGCAATTGGACTTGAACTTCGATAGTCCGGCTCCCAAGACTGGCGGAACTGGCTTTAGCTTCGGAGGGTGGGGCAAGGACTGGAATACCGGTAGTAAGCTTGATCCTCTTGGAGATCCTCCTCCCAACGACACATCTAAAGACAACAACCCCTGGGGAGCACCCTCCAAGAAGACTGGCGACTTTGATTTTGACTTGGGATCCGCACCCGCCGAACCTAAGCAAGAAGATGACTGGGGAGGAGGGTGGGATGTGAGCAAAGACAAAAACGGGATGGAGCCCGTACCTGAGGCTCCTGCACCTCCACCTGCGCCTGCACCCAGGGTCGATTTCACACAGGAAGCCTGGTATCTAAATCTTTCCAAGAAAGAGCAGCGTAAAGCGAAGAAGGAGATGGAGAAGAAATACAAAGACGAGGACGAAGCTGCAGCAAAGCTGGCAGCAGAGCAGGAGGCATCAGCAAAGGAGGCAGCGGAGCAAGAAGCAGCTAAGGTTGCGGCGGAGGCTGAGGCTGAGGCAGCGGCAGTAGCTGCGGCTGTACCCGAACCGGTAGTTGAGGAGACTGATAAACCACCCGAGGCAGATACTGACTGGGGTTGGGGCGTTCCAGTGAAGACCAAAGACAAGAAGAAGAAAAAGAAGATTGACCTTTTAGCCGACCCGGAGCCTATTATCGATGAACCACCGGCGAAAGCAACAGAGCCAGTTGATGCTTTTTCTGCTTGGGGTGTTTCCTCAAAAGAGAAGAAGAAAAGCAAAGGCAAGGCCGAGCCAGTACCTGAGCTAGAACTCATTCCGGAACCTGAACCTGAACCCGAGCCAGAGCCAGAGCCAGAACCAGAGCCAGAACCAGAACCAGAACCAGAGCCCGAGCCCGAACCCGAACCAGAGCCGCCAAAGGTACCAGATGAGCCTCTGTACGCGAATTGGCGTGAGATATCGTCCAAAGAACGCAAGAAGCGAGAGAAGCTATTAGTGCGCAGGGGCCTTCCGATTCCCGGCAAGGATTTCGAGCTGCCGTCAGATCAGCCACCCGAAGAAGTGCCTGAACCGGTTGTCGAACCGGAGCCGGAACCAGCGCCTGAACCCGAACCAGAACCAGAACCAGAACCTGAGCCTGAGCCTGAGCCAGAGCCAGAGCCAGTACCAGAGCCCGAGCCTGAACCAGAGAGACCAGCCGAAGAGGAATCCTGGGGCATCTGGGGGCCAGCAAAGGACAAGAAAAAGAAGAAGAAGAGCAAGGATATCGAAGAACCTCCCCCACGCGCGCCGACACCTCCTTCTCAGGGCTTGACCCCAGAGCCGGAAGCTTTTTACGACAATACCGACGACATTTGGGCGGAACTAGCCCCTAAGACCTCCAAGGGTGCAAAGAAGACCCCGAAAGCCATCGAAGCCCCCAAAGAGGAAAAGCCTTCTAAAGGCTTCTGGTCAACACTGACTGGGGGCTCTACGAGCAAAAGTAAATCAACGAAGAAGGCGAAAGAAGAAGAACCCGAACCTATAGAAGAGGAAGACTTGCTTATTGATGTTGGCGACAAGCCCCCAGCGCCTGAACCGGAGCCTGAGCCTGAGCCTGAGCCAGAACCAGAACCAGAGCCAGAACCAGAGCCAGAGCCAGAACCAGAACCGGTCCCTGAACCCGAACCTGAGCCTCCTGTCCCCGAAAAGATATCTAAGTCTAAGACATCCAAGCTCAGTGTTGCCGAACGCATCAAGGCCTTGGAGCAGGCCAAGAAGGAGAAGGCAAAGGCAGAGAAAGCTAGCGCGAAGAGCAAATCCAAGGAAAACAAGGCCGAACCGGAACCCGCCCCAGAGCCAGAGCCAGCGCCAGCGCCAGAGCCTGAACCTTCTGTAGAGGAGCCCGCTCCAACGAAGAGCTCAAAATCCAAGTCTAAGAAAGCGGAAGGTCTTGATTTTGAAGAAAGGAAAGTCTCCAAGGACTCTATTCCCGGAAGCTTCCCGGACTTTGGAGATGATCCCGAGCCTGAACCTGAACCTGAACCTGAACCTGAACCCGAGCCAGAGCCAGAGCCTGAGCCCAAACTAGAGCCTGAGCCTGAGCCCGAACCTGAGCCGGAACCGGAGCCACCCGCCCCGGACCTTTCAAAAATGACGAAAAAGGAACTCAAGAAGTATAAAAAGGCCGAAGCGGAGAAAGCCGCAGCGGCAGCGGCAGCGGCAGCGGCTGCCAGGGAGCCAACTCCACCACCCCCAGAGCCAGAACCGGAGCCAATAGTTGAACCTGAGCCCGAGCCCGAGCCGGCACCAGAACCAGTGCCTGAGCCTGAACCCGAGCCTGAACCGGAACCGGAGCCACCCGCCCCGGATCTTTCAAAAATGACGAAAAAGGAACTCAAGAAGTATAAAAAGGCCGAAGCTGAGAAAGCCGCAGCGGCAGCGGCAGCGGCTGCCAGGGAGCCAACCCCACCACCTCCAGAGCCAGAACCAGAGCCAATAGTTGAACCTGAACCTGAACCTGAGCCTGAGCCTGAGCCTGAACCCGAGGCCGAACCAGACACAGAGCCCGTACCCGAGGAGCCAGAAGTGAAGGGCGAAGGTGCTCCCCCAATACCTCCACCCGAGCCTGCCGAAGAGCCTCCGAAACCCTCCAAGAAGGACCGAGCGCGAGCTGAACGGAATACGAACACCTCTTCATGGGGTGGCTTTTGGGGCGCCGCGCCGCCCCCAAAGAAGTCTAGTAAGAAGGAAAGCAAGGTCCAAGAGGATGCAGAACCTCCAAAGAAGTTGAAGAAGGAACCCAAGATCCAAGAGGAAGTGGAGCCTCCAAAGAAGTTGAAGAAGGAACCCAAAATCCCAGAGGAAGTAGAATCTCCCAAGAAAAAAGAGTCTACTCGAAAACCTCGAGCTAAAGAACACGAGCCAGAAGTGGAAAGGTCTTCTGCGTCTGACCGGGAGAAGCGGCGAGAACGAGAGGGGCGATCCTCCAAGAACCAACGTGGCGTGGCTTTGGCCAACATGGTACTGGGTACACCCCAGTCCAAAAGCAAATCAACTCGCAAACCTGCTTCCTCGTCCAAACCAATATCTAGGCGTCCGTCATTTGATATAGATGACAAACTGACTGATCCAGCACCTCCCGACGAGAAGCCTGAGGTTTCTGATAAAGCAGCCAAGTTGATGGGCATGGATGCTTCCAAGTCTCGACGTGAGCGACCGCGCACGGACAGGCGGAAGTCAGGTATGTACTTTCCCCTCACATCTGATTTATCCTCGCTGACTTCCCGCCTACGAAACAGTCCGGGATCCATATGCGATCGAGGATGATGACCTTGTTATGGTTGACATGGAGGATGCCGAGGGTCACTCACCTAGGGAGGGATCTAAGGGCTCAAGGCGCAAGTCAAAGAGACATGTATGTCGGGATGACCGCAATATTCTTTATGTCGTTTGTACTAACTTAGGATCTTTTATAGTCGCGCCCCAGGCCTGACGACGAGGACGATGCTGTCCTGGTCGATCCATATCAAGCACACCCCACCCCAGATGTCATGTCCGGACCCGACGATATGGCCTTTGTCGATGCGCCCCCAAGAGATCGTCGTCTGAAGCGCTCCAACACAGCCCCGCCGAAGAAACAAGAGTCCGGTGGATTCATGGGACTCTTCGACTCTCTAAGAAAAGGCACGCGCCCAGACCGCCCAGAACGCCCAGAGATGCCCGAAAGACGGAAATCTCGCTCATATCGCGACGATGACGGACGGTACCCGCCAGAAATGGATCGCGACGGGGCTCGCAGATCACGCCGCGAAGATCGCCGTCGAGGATCTGTCCGCCCAGATACCGATGCTGAAGGATTCGTGACTGACGCCGCCGGTGTAGCAGCAGGCGGCGAGATGGACGATGAAGCAGAAGCTCGACGCGCAGCACGCCATGCGCGACGTGGATCCCGCAAAGCACCTTCCGACTCTCGGGAAAGCGAAGCTCGGGAAGCAGAGGAGCGGCGCGCGAGGCGAAAAGAACGAGCACGCGAACAACGTGCTCGGGAAGAAGAAGAGGAAGAACGACTACGGGAAGAAGACCGGTTGCGAGAAGAAAAGCGGGCTCGACGAGCTGCGCGCGAAGAACGTCGTGCTCGAGAAGAGCAGGCAGCTCGTGAAGCCGAGGCTGAAGCCGCGGCTGAAGCTAGAGCGGCTGAAGCTAGGGCGGCTGAACGTCGCGAGCGTCGGCGAATGCGTGAAGAGGAGATGATGGCCGCGAGAGCGAGCCGACGTCGTGAACGTGAGCAACGGATTCCAGACGAGGTCTATCACGATGAACGTGAGGTGGATCGTCGCGGGGCTCGTAGCTCTCGCGCGTTTGAAGAACCGAACACTCGTCGTAGGAAGTCTAAGGTCGCTCCTGAGCCAATTCGGGAACCACTCATGACTGGTGGATTGAACCGTGGCGGGGGTCCGAAAGACAAGATTTCTTCATGGGTCTATTCGCAAAGCGATGAGCCTCCGGAGCCACCTCAAATCGTCCCCACTCTTATTGATCTCCCTCCTCTTGCGGCTGATGACGGAGGTAATGCCCATTCTCTTTCATCGGACGAGGAAGCCCGTCGCGCTCTTCGCCGTAAGGCCCGGCGCCGTGCTAAGTACGAGGAAGAGATGGAAGATGCTCGTTCTCGGCATCGTGGGTCTCGTCGCGAGGGTGTGAAGAGCAGTTCTGGAAGTGGCGATTATGAACGCGATCGTGGGATGAGGTCCCACCCAGGGAGTCGACAAGATGCTCCGCCGCTGAGTTCTGGGGCTAAGAAGCCCAGTTGGTTCCGCAAATTGACGAACTTGTAAACCAGAAATTCGGCATTCTCTATCCTCGTGTGGTGGCAATTTGCTCTATTTGTTTTTATATATCGGTTGCAGCGTTACTTTTGTTCTACTTTTTTTTGGGGGGTTATTTACGAGATCTGTGATGAAACACAAGACAGACCGGATTTGACGACATGTATGAAGCTCATATGATACTATGACCCAGCAATATACGCAATTTGGATTCTTTGTTATGCAGTCTTGTTATGTATTTTTGGTAGTCTATCCATGAATATCGCTGGTATCAATTTACAAATGACCTTAGACATCAATAGACAAATTATTCTGAGAGGTGAAGAGTGTCGCCTAATCCAGAAGTCGTCACCAATCGCCTGTTTGATATTCTTCTCTCTCTCTATCAGATGTGAAGTAAACCACGTCAATATCATTCATTTCTTCTATACTCTCATCTCCGAGAAACATGCGTTCTTTTCATTCTCACAAATGCCTCCTCCGAGCTGGATAAGTCTCAATATCCCCAGATCCCACCTCATCAAGGTACCAATAATCTTCTATATGCATCCCATACCTCGTTTCCAACTGTCTTACTTCACCAGGTCAATCTCCCCAAGTCTCAAGCTCGATCCATCATTCACACCCAAACCCATGAACCCTCCATTTCTCAACCTCGACGACAAAACCTACAAGGCCATCCAAACCCCGATACCTACCCACACTTCAAAACCATCACTTACTCAGTCGGCTGTCCCATTCCCCCCACACCCAGAATGTCCGAACCAAGTACCGTCTGCGACTTCCAAAAAGAGCGCTCCGACTTCCTCTCCTGGCTCGAAGATCAAGCCCGACTGATCAGACACCAACCGAAGTCAGAAACCATCACAGAAGTGAAAGTGAACATACGCGAAAATGCCGTTGAATACTTGGATCGACTTACTCAAACTGCGATTGTCATGGCATGTGAGGCGAAGGATCATATCTGCGTCACGGCAAAGCCGCCCCAGTTCTACGAGGTCGAGGTTCCGAAAATGTGCAGTGCGCTGCAGCTGAGACTACCACAACTGGCTTCGAGGCTCGCTATCAATTCAAAATGCGACATGTGTGTCCATTTCATTATCATGAACATTCTGGCGGAGCCTGGGTTCTAGGCTGCTTAATTGGAGGTATGAATTGTTGTGAAATGCCAATAGAAATTATTTTATCCTAACTGTGCCTTGTAGATATGAGCTTCAAAGATCATGCTTGTTACACGTAGATCTAGCCAAACGTATGTCGGGTATGATATTTAGTAGAAATAAGAGTTGTTGTGTCGGGTCCGTTTGGTATTTTTTTTCGTAGCACTGTTCGGAGTGCTTCTGAGAGTCATTTTGGGAGCCTTTCTCAGAAGGTCTTTTCAGATGATCTTTTTAGATGGTCTTTTTCCATATATGACCAGCGACATTTTCATACCATCGAAATACTCTCTTAACAAAAGACCTTCGTGATACTTGAACATAATTCATATTCTGGACTATCCTATCAATGAACCTCAATTATCGCAGTAGAACTGCCTTTCCAGCCTCCAGGTCATCAATCTCTTTTTGAAGCTGCAGCCGTCTGCGCTTCGACGCCCTCCCTTCTCCAACGATCTCCTCCAGTCTCTCATTGGATAAATCATTGACCCACGACGGTGAGAACAGCTTCATAGGGGCCTCGGGTCCAGTGACTAGGTAATGATCTGATGCTTGCATGCACACATTGTCAACGAACCTCTTGCGAGCTACCTTGTAATACGAATCGAGGATGTCTTGGATGTCTTGGACCGTATGATCAACATTGCTCATGTGATGTTGGTGTGCAAGGTCACTCAGTCGGACGACCTCTCCGTGTTTACAATCCTTGAAAGACTTTTTGGCCATAGTCGAATGCAATCGCTTTTGTCGACTGCAAGAGGTTAGCAACCAGCCAAAACCATAACACATTCAGAGAAATCCAGCTAACTGACCATTTTTCCAGATTGTCATTGAAGTAGTGGTTGAAGGTAATTGGAGTCCCTTCGCGTTCAATTCTCAACAGAAAGTCGACCGTTGAGATGGCCTGCTGGTATTTTTCGATAAGGTCGTCCATTAGGAGGGACATGATACTCGAGGAAATCTGCAGATCTTTGGACACAACTTCGAGTGCTTTGCGTATAAAGGCATGAACGACGCTAATGATGTCGCTTATGTAGCCCCGCGCAAGAATCGACCATTTGACCGACTGTTTCTTCATGAGGGTAGACAGTAACGTATGGTTGAATGTACCAATTTCAAAGCCCCGAGAGCTAGAGTAGACACCCTCAATCCAAGGAAGAATACCCCCTTTGATAGAGGGTTCCACGGGCTCAGAAACATGCAGGATCTCTCCGAGGTCCTCTACCGAGGTGTCTCGAGTCGGGTCCCAGCTTTTCCGGCTCTGCATGACATTTTGGGATTCAGTATCGGCTGCATCGTTGCGCCTTTCTTGACGATCATCAACGCTGTCGTCTGTCTCCTCCGGTTTCGAGCGGAAAGTGTAGGTGTGACCATAATGCGCGAGGTTATGCGAAAACACGTCATTTCTGAGTGAGACTAGTGTCGCTAGTCGTAGGTCCTTGTCTTCATCGAACATGTCATTGACTCCGTAATTTGTGGCCAGCGCTTGCTGTGTGATTTCTTGAAAACCCGACACAACATCTAGAAGAATCCGCCTCTGCTGCTCTGCTGTTTCTCGCTGAACTCCCAGAGATTGCAAAAGACTTTTCGAGTCTTTCAGCCTTTTGATCACTTCGGAGCGCACCTTAATAGCAAAGCATTAGCAGCCTTATTCACATCAATAGAGACTCATGCATACCGATGGGAACTCGCGGCGGACGTTGGATGTCAGGAGCTCTTGCAGTCGAACCATCAGTGCGGAAATCCCGTAATTTTCGGGCGGAACGCGATTCCAGGGTGTATTTTGGTGAAATAGCCTTTCTTCAGCATCTCGATCCACATCACCAGCCTGAAGTTGCTGTTGGCCGAGATTTCGAACCAGGATCCAGCCCAGCTGCCCGTTCAAATTCCCATCATGGATGAGCCGGATCACGTTTTGTTCGGCTCCTTTGTCAACGAGATCCGGCTTGGTGAGAATTCGTAAGGTTCTTCCTCCTTCCGGGTCGATCTCACTAGCCATCTCAATAATCTCCTGTGTAGCGATGTCTACGTTTGCTGGAACCACAGCTAACATAATAGATCGTTGGTTTTGCATGTAGCGAAGGACCATATTCCTAACCAGCGCAATGTCGTTCTTCGTTGTTCGATCTAGCGTTGTATTCTTGAAGATTCCAGGCACGTCGATGACACTGAGGTGATTCTCATTCGGACCACGAATCTCCAGTTGTAAGACGCTGTTGGAAAAGGTCGGCCTTTGGTCCCCATGAGATGAAGAAAGGTTCATAACCTCGTGGACCTTGCAAGCCAGAGTTAGCGCAAAATGCCAAAACACATTTCATATAAGCATAATACCTCTTTCATCGTATGACCGAAATCCTGAGAGTTCAGTGACTGAAGAGCGGAGGCCTTCCAGCCCCGCAGCTTCTGGTCCTCCTCTGGAGTTGCATCAGATGAAGGTATTATAGACGCAGATATCTCCCGTTCAACCAAGTTACTGTCACGACGGAAGATGATTTGGGTCGCAAATCTCGTGCACAGCCCACTGTCTCGAGGGAAGTTTAATTTGGTCAGGCCCTCGAGGACCGAGCTCTTACCGCTGGATTGATCGCCAACAACAACGAGCTGGGGAAGACTGATATACTCCCCCACGTTGCAGGCGAAAAGTTTGTCAATCTTCTCAAGTAATACTGGATCAGCCAACTCGAAACTTCGGCTGTGGGATTCTGTAATCGTCATGGTTTTGGGTGTAGCTGACTGAAACTTTAGGATGTATGAGAGATGTGAGAAAGATGTGCACTGGAATTGCAGTGGAAGTAGGTAGATAAACGAGCAAAGAACAGGGACTGAGGGGATGAAAAGGTCACAAGGTGGAAGGGTAAGAGGAGGGGAACAGGGGAGGATAGAAGAAGAGCAGTGAAAAAGGCAAAGGCAAAGGGAAAGGTCAGGATGGGAAGGAACCCAAAAATGAAAGAACATCCACCACAGCTTTTGCAGTCTTTCTCTTACTTGAGCATTAAACGTATACTATGGAGTACGGAGTATCCATTCATTAATATGCGTTCAAAAATTTTTCATTTTGATTATCTTTATAATTCAAAACGGTAATTTATGTTGAAGGCTATGAATTTCTTTGATTCCATTTGAGACCCGGACTGAACTCCATAGAACCACTGACTCATTCGACCTGGAAAGTATCTTCGTCCCATCCATACAACGCCCTTAAACGCCGGGCCATCATAAGAATGTGATATCCTTCAATCTTTGATTGGTGCGGTCGGTGCACCGTGAACGACTTCTTCGCCGTCATGCTATCTGGGGGATAGAATGTGTATACAGACCCGTATTTTGGGGATATGGAGAATCCCAATTTCGCCATCGCTTCGGCGAAAGCCGCCCAGGCCACTGGGCCACGCGATTGGGATTTGGAAAACAACCTTGAGAAGATCTCCGCTGTTGACTCGTCTATCTTGAAGGTCGGTAGCGAAGGTGGCTCCTGCGGATGAGACAGCTCTGCGGGTGTAACGATCTCGTAGATAGATGAATGTGAGGGACGTGTCTTTTCTTTTTGTTTCCGCTGTTCGACCCGGATCGCTGTCGACTCCGGTGTCGTTGTTGGTGCAAATGGCAATTCAGCCTTCAATCCCTGCGCCAATTTCACTTTGGCTTCATCACATTGAGTTTGAACACCAGATAGGCAGTCCGCGAGCATATCTTGGTACAAAAACCCCATTTTTGTGCCGGACTTTTCGATGGTGAATTCATCTAGCTTTTTCAGAGCTCCACGGGCCACTCCCGGCTCTAGGAGGTTGTCGATGGGAACAACGAAATCGAGCAAGTCAAGTTGATCCTTGACCTGGTTCAGCTCAGATTCCAGCTCCAGTGATTTAGAGGGAAACATTTGCCCTTTGTTGTTGGAAAAGGAAGGAATGGGAATCACAGAAGACAAGTCCTGGATGAATCCAATAATTATAGCTAGGTCGCCCAATGAGTCGGCCTCTCTTTCCTCCAGCTTTTCCCGCTCCCGAGGATGGGTTTCGTGGAGCTCGCTGAGCTTTTTGATCCAGGTTGTGGCAGTGGAAACAGTAAGCTTTGGCTGGCAGAGACGCAACATATAATGAAGCTGTGGGTCAGATACGGTAAGGTCTTCCGGTTTGCCTTTTACGGCAACGCGCGGATTCCTGGCGCTGTCATACATGTTGGAAGTGCGCTTGAACCACTTAGATCCCGTTGCACTCTGAACATGGCGCTTGAAAAGAGTTTGCGCACGAGTGAATTCCAGTTGACATACGTTGGAGATCTCCTGAAGAAGAATAGCTCGACAGGCTTTATCCTCGGCCGATTTCTCAAGCAGCTCGAGGAGACTAGCAATGTATTTCCAGATGGCAGCCCCTTGGATTGAACTGTGGATAGCCTCCAAAACAGCAGCACTGATATATTTATCGGTGTGAACGGGCAAGCGGCGTCCTTTTTCGTCTGGAACAAGTTCTGGACGGCTGAAGAACCAAATATTCACAGCGTGAGCAAGCACAATTGGCTCAGTGGAGAGCAAAACGAGGTACTCTTCAAGTGTGTCTTGGTGATCACGAGCACTAGTGACCAGGTCGGAAAGTGTAAGCTTCTTCCGAGGGGCCCGGATATTTAGCTTTGACAGAGCTGTTGCCGCCTCGTCTTCAGTGGTCTTCTTCTTTGTTGGAGCTTTTTGGGCTCGAGTTTGCGAGCCTTGCTCCAGAATATCGTCAATGAGAATATTGAGCATTTGCAAGGTGTAGGTCTGCCTTTGGACAATAAACTCTCCAATCGACTGAGGAATACAGACTCGAGCGCGGATAGCTGGTTCAAAAACAGCTAAGGCTTCTTTCGCCATGAGTTGGAAAGACGTGGCATACATGTCGCCTTGGAACATAGTGTAACAGTTTTTAAAGGGATTGGTGTGTTTGAGTCCCCGTGTGCGCACTGATTCCTCGATCATAGCGTGATCTCCGGGACCGCCATTGGAGCCTTCACAGTACTGTTGAAATAGAGATGTGGAAGTTCGATGTTTGAGGAGGTCTAAAAGGAAGTCTGGGCCGGATGTGAGGTCGCGCAAATTCAGCTCTGGTATGATTTTGTACACATCACCCAGAGATCGATCCAAGGGGTGTTTCAACACAGCACCATCTGCAGCTCCAGTTTTGAAACATTTTGCTCGTTGACTGGGGCTAAACGACTGCCAGCTGGTTTCGACCACGGCGGCATGCTTTCGGTATTTTCGAGCAAGGTCGCCATGGAGCTCTTTCAATAGGATTGCATTCTCGTTGTCCATATTTAGAGTGGAAATCGAGGTTAAACACGATGAGATATTGCGGACTGTGAGAACAGGGAAAAGGAAAAGAGTGAAGGTTGTTGTCGTCTTAAAAGTGACGGGACAAACGTAGATCAAACGCAGATCCTAGACACCTGAGGCCAATATTGGATCACACTAACCCTATTAGGACTAGCGCGGTTCTATACACTCCAGGTACAAACAGGAATTTATAAATAAACCAGACACAATAAAGTGAAAGATATCTGATCTGGAAGTAAAATGGGAAACAAAGAGGGAAAAGTAAAAGATATTCACTTGAAACAGGAACTAACAGCTAGAACTGCATGACTAACTATCAATTATTCAATCAACCCCTTGACAATATCTCAGGAATGTAATTCCCTCCACACAGGTTCGGTTTTGAACAAGAATCCGATGGATCCCTCATTACCTGCAACCAGTTGCTCTGTTACTCAAACACTGATCCACGAGAGTTCCCTGCAACTTGACACCATAGACCTCACAACTGACATTACTAGTGCCACACGCGTTAATGCAGTAGTTCGCAGCATTTGTGAGATTTTCAATCTGGAAAGTGGCATTCGCACTCCAACTGATGCAGCAGCCGTATTTACAGATACTCCGGGGGCTGCCCGACTTCCACGTAGCATTACCTCGGACATTCTCAAGGAGACTTCGGCAAGAGTTCTTGACAGCGAGGTGGGCAGATGAACAAACTTCTCTGACCCAGCGTTTGCTTTGGGGGCTTGTCTTCGATTTGAGACCTTGGAAGGCTTCAGCCAAGAATTTTGAGCTGGAGGTACTGGCGTAAAGCTCGGCCAGGGTGGAATCGACTTTGCCGCTGTCCTGATCTGTGATAGCGTCGAGGAGTGACTCCTGCATCTCCACAGACGAAGCATTGAGATACTCGCCGTGACCATTCATCGCGAAGGCACTGTACAAGTAGACAATGTCTCCCCACTGGCCTTGCTTCGCGGCTTCTTGTGTAAGGCCAGCGAGGGTAGTGAGCGTCTCGAGATTGTCCAAAGTGTGGATTCCGAGGTCGTTCTGGATGTGTGGAAGTTTATCCGCAGCAAACCCAGTAACGTTGAGCCATACCGTTCCCTCGGAAGAGTTCTCGGTAGCCACGTTGCCGTAGGCTAGAGCTGTGACGCTGTCTTCATAGCTGAGCTGCTGGCATTGTGCGGTGGTGGCTAGCACAGCCAGCGCCCAGGCACCGATGGATTGTCCCTTGAACATCGTGTTGCGAGAATGAGAAGGAAATCGAATAGCGAAGAAGGATTGCACAGTCAGAATTGTTTAGCTGATCAAGGAAAGGTTGTTCTCGTGTTCTTTTTCCAGTGCTCTGTACGGGTGTACATGGGGCCTTTTATATTTGGCCTTGCTCCCGTGTCGTCCGTTTCTATCAGTCTCGATACGAGGTGATATGTAGATATAGACGCTTTCCCGTTGAGGTTATGCTGATTCGCTGTCACGGACATGTTTTCTCCATAGAAAATGTTACTGTGATCCGAAGCTGTCAGACTTAGAAGAATCGGGCATTATGCAGCGCCCTTAGTGCCGGAAGTCTACTTTGTTCCCGGCTAGCGTGACTTGGCGCAATTCAGGTCACCCCCGAGAATACCCAGAATGCGTCCTAGGCTTTATAATTGCTGTCCTGCTTAACCACCGGAATATGCATCATCAAGGTACGTTACGCAGTATCGACAAGTATCGACAGTGTGTGTTTGATAACATCGAGAAAGTTTGGCAGGCCGGTCGGTCGAGAGATTGCGATCATTCAGCCCCCAAGAGTACATAGTGAGAGCCACCGGAGAGAGCCATCCTCAAAATGGAAGTCTCCAGTCAGCCGAAGGACCCTTACTTAGCTCAACCTGGAAAGGATTTCAATAAGCTTACGGAGTACATGTACTCCGTACGGAGTAAGCAGGTACAAGGCACCATATTAGGCAGCAGCGTTTTTCATAGCCAAATAATGCTTAGCTGCTTCCAAGAATTTCTTGGCGGGGCTTCTTTTGGTCAACGGCAGTGGAAATTATTATTGCCCAGCATAAACAAGTCCCTTAATGAAGATTGGGGGCGGATTCTGAACCCCACTAGCTTGAATAAGAAGCTGACACGGATGGTGGAATTGAGTGTCAGATTAAATTCTTCCTCTGAACCCGTTGGATATTACCTGCTAGATCCTCAAAGAAAGCAGTGAATCTCATTTATAATTCCAAGTGTAGAGGAAGAGAAAAGAGGAAACGAAAGGGATTGATTGGAGTGTTTTTGGTGTAAACAATGCAAACATCTCGGAATGGACTGACAAAATCCTGCAGAACCCCTGATCGCCCCCATGTTACATCGACTACAACAGAAGATGTGAAAAAGTGAGATTATGACCGACGAGAGCTCCACTATCTATCTTAGTACGGAATGGACTGGAGTTGATTATCTGTGAACATCATGAGATACTCTTAAGCCTTGGGTATCCAGAACTTGCCTATTCTCCCCTGGCCTCCATATGATAAAGCACAGGTTCAACCAATCGCCCATCTTAGCCCATCTCTGTCTTGCCCCCCATTATCTTGCTCTAATTTCCTTAGCATGAGAGCCCTTGCAAATTGAATGCCCACCTGCTTACCTTTCAAGACCCCCATGTGCCCCTAGTTTCTTCACTGCAGGGTTCCTTATCTAGTTAAGCTGACTCGTGGAGAAAGTTTTCTCTCCAATTAGCATTCGGAATGCATCCTACTTTGAGTCAGATCGTATTTGCAAGTTCACCCTCGCGGGTCTTGAACATTCTGATCAGCCCAGGAGGAGATGGAAATCTGCTAAGCCAACTCAATGATATTTCCCTTTCCACGACCATACACAAAGAGTTCACATTTTCTTCCTTCGCTCTCATTTCTAGCCAGCTGTTGGTTTCTAGCTTAGTATGTTTCTGCTCTGGATTGAAGTGAGATTAACTGATTCTAACCGATTCTTGACAAGGTTCGTTATCTTCTTGGCCATGTAGTAGCGACATCTTTGATCCTTGAGATTTCTCGGACAGATAGGGCTTTGTCGGATCAAGAAAGGGAGCACAACAAACGGCCTCTGGCCTTCCGGTCCATTTACAAGGCCATACATCGCATATGTGCCACACAAAGTCTTTACACCTTCTCTCGTGCGCTTGTGATGGGTCTTGTCTACCAGGTTACTCATTATGCGATCAGAGCTTGCCTGGAAATTTCACTTTTCAGACATGAATTGCTGACACCATTTGCATATGCTTGTTCCTCTGTTCTCTTATGCAAACTTCATTTAATCTGGACTTGTGCTACTATCTCAACACATCGACATCGGCTCTTTGCTTTGACAGAAGATGCAAACCAAAGACAATGGATCCACCTAGCAGCCCCCAGTTTCACATATGGGATATGCCAAGCCTTGATGCACGAGGCTCAAAGTCTAGTAAAAGGGTCAATGATTTCTCCCATAGAGGAAATGCCAATCTCTACAAACAGGCGCGCCGGTGCCGAGATTTTTGCGGTGGTCATCATGCTTGCATTCCGTTTCTTCGGGCTACTGCCAGCGTCTATTACTCTCATATTGACGGAAGCAAGCCTTTTACCAGGAAAATTGGAAACAATCATCCCTTCTGCGACAAAGAAACGTGGATCGACAATTGCAGAGCTGCGTGGAGGAGGCAGAATCCCTCCGGGACTTGCTGCATTTGGAAGTTCATTGAAGGGCTTCGGAGTGCCTCAATTTTTGTGGCTGATTGAACTTCATCTGAAAAAGTGTTTTGTCCAGATAGCAATTGAGTTGCTCACTCTGCCAATTATTATTCTCAGCATTCTTTAATTTGGACCATGACAATCAATGTTGAATATTTCACCTGAACCCTAGAGCCACAGTGGAACCACAGTCATACGATAGTAATCCGGATCTACGGATATCCCAATATGTACCTATCTACTCCCTACATTCTACTTTCCTACATTAATTATACATTTTTGTGAAAAAAAAAAACTTTCTATTGCCTGATCCTATATTGTTCAAAAATTACTGTTAGCCCCAAAGTAGCCACTCGTCCGGATCGCCACTACTACATATCCATTCAGTCGTGAATATCCGAATGTCCACGGGTCTTCCCGCCCATCTGGCCCCACTGTGCTGAAATAGGGTTAGCATCCTCGACCGAGGCATCAGGGGTGGCAGTCGCTGGAAGGGGGAAAACGTCCGTGCTCATCAGTTCGGGTGAGTCTTCAGGAGTAGGGGAGGCTACAGGGAAGGGTGGGGTAACCATGCCATAGGAGCTGTCTGAGCTCCATGACTGTGGGCTCTCCGGCTGTGGAGGAGGCTTGTCAAATGGCGTAGTGCGCTCTGGGTGGAAGAGGTTAGTAACAGCACCGGCGAGCTTCTCAATCTCAGCGACAGTTGGGGACTGGTATTCCGGTTCCTTGGGCTTAGGAGCAGCCTTGGCTTTGAGGACCGTGCTAGTGCTGGTGCTGTTTGTCCTGGAGACGAGTTTGCTCTGGGTTAGCTTTCGAACGGGGCCAGGGATAGGACTCTCACGTTGTGATACTCGACCATCGTCGTAGTGGCGGATCGAACGACGCTCGCCACCAACCGAGCGTTCAGTGGTAAAGCCGTTGTTGGGTGTTTCACTAGGAGCTTTTCCAGATCGGTTAGATTGCTTGCGTTCGGGCATGTCGGCGGTTGATAAGACCTATGTATCTATAGCGAGAATGGTTAATTTGTATGTCCTGGATGGACTGTAGGAATGGAATGAGCAAATGGAATATTCCTAAAAAGCAACAGAAATGGGGACCCTTATATAGTTCAGCTGATAGTGTCCTTGAATGAGATGTGAACAAAGTCTTTGTCCTTTGTTTATTGCAGTGGCTTTGTTTCAATTCTTTGTACTTAGTTTCGCGCTTTCAATCTTGTTATATGCATACAATAACAAAGCGTTGGATTTATTTCTTTACTTTAAAATCTCAAAACAAAAGGGGAGACAAATGAAAGGCCTTGTTGCTAATCAAGTCAAAGAAAGCATCCATACATTTCATCTCACTGCTTGAATGCCTATCTATATCCACCCCCACAGCCTTAGCCAAAGGGGAAAAAACAGGAAGATCTTCATCTCCCCTATTAGCCACTTTTACGTCCTGGTGCTACTACTAGAGAACCAAGATGTCTTCCACACGAACCGTATTTCTCCGTAACGGCCTTCCTACCATCGATAAGTATGGCCTTTTCCGAGGCACTCTGTGGTTTACAGCGAGATTCTCAAACAAGGACCGTCAATGTTCTGACAACGAGTTGATGAATCTTGTCATTCAGCGTCTTCAGATTGGAGAGTTCACAGTCGACTCCGGGCCTATACACCAGGGGAGGGGATTCTGCATATCATTTCCGGTCTCCATTTATGGTGCTAGTTGTAACGAGTGCCTTGACATCGTTATAAGGCTTGCGGAGTGCTATAGGAAGGATATCATGTCTGGGGATATTTCTATAGACCGGGACTTTCTTTTCAGAAGTAGGGCTTTCATCGAATAAAGGGATTCCTCGCAACAAATCATCTAATTATGTAGCATTCTCAGACTTGGCTATCTCTCATAGCATCCACAATAAGCCCATCTATCAGTATGCTTGCCATAGGAGGGCGAGGAGGGTTCAGAAAACAAGGCAAGACGCGCGGAAAGGGTGTGCGTTGACGGGAAAGGGCTGAACTCCAATGTAGAAAGGTGCGCCCGACACAAGAAGGGTGTAAGAAAGATGATGAATTCAATTTTGATACCACCAAGTACTAAAAATCGAGACTCTCAGCGTAGCAGCGAGAAGTGACGTCTCAAATATGATATGTGAGTGAACCTTCTGATTGGTTGTGTCAGTTGCGCTTGTTTACTTTGCTGCTTTTGTCGAAAGCTATGTTACAATACATGACTGGGAACCCGAGTATTCAACACCTCGGAAAATACATGGACCGCTATGATAGTGGGCCCCATACAAATTGCATATTAAGCTTAGTCAGTTATGCCCCAGCAAATTGTCAAATAGGGGATTCTTGTCATTTTAGTTAGTTAGAGTCATACACATCTGTCATTTTGACAATACATTGCAGTACCGGTGATTTCCGACAGCTTTGTTTAATTTTTTTCTTTTTTCTACACGGTGAACAGTGGCAGAACATCGGGTACTCAGGTGATCTACGGAACCCTGAGAACTCTAATCTCCCAAGATCCTCCAGAGAGGTTTTTGACCTGAACTGAGTCGTGTAGGAGGTTAGACAAATCCCTTAATCTTATGTAATGATATGGGCTCCTGTAACATTTTTATCAGGGGCTCTGACGCCCTTTGTAAAAGTTAATAATGCCATTGATAGGGTCTTCGGGTGTGGCTATATATATTCCGTAAGCAGACCAAGACTGGTGTGATCAACTCAAGTTTATCTACGCATTTGGTCTACTCGGAACCTAAAGGCACTTGAAGGGCTACGTGGAAATAGCATATTTTTACGAAGTAAAATATGACATATGAAACTGTATTGTGGTCTATATATAACTTTGAGAGTAAAGGGATGGATGTCTGGATGGAAAGAAATAGAATTGGAAACATATGATCATTTTCGCACATGCAAATGCTCACCGCATCTTACAATCTACTGAGAGCTAACGAGTCTCGCAGTACCTCTGAGGGTGACATGGAACTCTCTAATCTGATCCGCAGGCGTCTCAATAATGTGTCGCCAGAGGGTCCAGATATCCTGGCCATCAGAGACAGCATCCGGGCCCTCTTGCTCAATCTCAAACTCCCTGATTGATTCGTCAAGAGTGGACCCAAAGAATTGGACCAACGCAAGATCAACAGGTGCAGGAGGGATCTCAGAGGAAAACTGAGTGAATCCGAATGTCTTCACTTGCGCCTGGACTTTCTTCCACTGGGGTCTCCACTTTTCGAAAGTCGCCGTCCATTCGCGATCGGTGCCTGCATCAGCAAGTGTAGCGCACATGGTCCAGAGAAAATGAGAGACGTCGATCCAGCCATCAGACCTACCCGACGCAATTAGGCACTTATCTTCTTCGCGGCGGACTGTGAACCGAAATAAGCGGCGAGATTCATGGTTTGGTCCTAGTGCTATCGATAGCGGCGCAAAGTCAAAAGCATTCAAAGTGCGTTCTGAACCAGAGTCCTCGTCGTCTGCATCCCAGCTTTCGTCAGTATCAAGAGGGATGTTCAGCTCTTGGTACTTAGATGGGTTAGGCATGATTGAATTTTGTAATCGCTTGAATGTATAGATAATTGAAATACACTAGTAGTGTCTTGATCTGCAGTAATAAGTAAGGTGGGAACATGGGTTATATAGTTGAAGGCCTGGTCATGCAATTATAATTGAGTACAAAGATATTCTTTGTCCTCTTCTGACTTTTGTTCTGTATTAAAGCACGGCCTCGAGAGACTAAAATACAATGTAATTCACCAAAATGGGCCTTTCTTTGTTTATTGCTAGCCAATCACTTTGTTTTCAAAATAGAATCAAAGGGAGGTGACAGAAACCTTGGAAAACAAAGGAGGATCCTTTTCTCAAGCCTGGGTTACAAGGGTCAATGATGGAAGATTGTGAGGCGAGCATCCACACCTTTTGACTGGCAGCGACGATAGCGCGAGGAATGAAAAAATCGTATTCTCGCATATCGTGAAAGGTGTGTCATAAACAGCTTGTAGAATATGTACCTACTTAGGTATGGTATCTTGCTTAATTAGTCAATTTTACTAATAATTTGGAGCAGTTTTCATCCTTCTGCCGGTCTCAATTCAGACCTGCCGTATAGTGCAAAAAGCTTCATTGTGCTAATACAATAGAACTATAGAGCGACCTTGAGCGCTATACGCCGTCGTAGAAATTCCCTTATATTCAAGGAAAGTAAAGCAAAAAAGCCAGTTTGATTTGTAGGACATGGTTTCATCAAAGTAAAGTACAAAAACTTGAATAAAAGCCGAAGCCAACGTATAGCTAAGACTTGATATAAAATAGATGCCTGATAATTCTAGTCATTAGAGACTTGTTGTAGCTGTAGCTATGTCTCAAGTTTGACAGCAGAAGTAACCCAAGGCACGACGGTTAGACTTCCGAGTTTCGAGGTCCCGTAGGCTCTAGACATCTACACTTTGATGTCTGTCTGAACCGAAGTGCTGGAAGCTCGTCATAATTATACGGGCTTTGGTGAATATTTTCGTCTCGCGAAGATTGATCATGCCTCGCGCTTAAATCGGGACCATGGAGAGAAGATCGCCATTTATACCAATACCAATCAGCAAGGGCTTCCGATGACAAAACCAACCATCGAATATATACCCCCGACGATAAAGAAAAGGCAGAGCTGATATGTGTCGTCAGGAGAAGACATTATTGGAATGATTCTTAATGTAGATGCGATTTGAAAATTTTGCCAAAGACCAAGATAAAGATTGATAGAAAGGTAGAAAATGGAAGAAAGTATCTCTCTGGGGCTCTATGTATGTAGTCACTACGTATTTAGGACTATATATGACAGAGCTATGAACAAGTTAGAGAGGTTTATAATTTTATTTATAGCATCCATGGATGTCCTATAGCCTCTCTAACGATAGAACCATGGAAAGTTTACTGATTTCTAAGCTCCGGTATTACTCTAGGTTAAAGGTCAGCTAAAGTACTAGCGGAGCGTCTCCTTTAAATCCCCTGTATACTCGAAGAAACCTGGAGTTAACGTAAAAAACATAATATCGAGTTTAGCGAATCTTTCATTGAACGTCTGACGGAGAAAAAAATATGATAATAAAATCAAGAGATCAAAATACTGTACAGAAAAGCATATCAGATTGGGTCTACCAGTCCAAAGTTCCTTCTCACTAAACGACCTCCTCGCCTTCAACAGCTTGGTTTGGAAATTTCCCACTGACACGGTCCCGCTCTTTCCGTCGATTCTCCAGATAAAACCGGCCTCCTTCATAGAGGCTGAGATATAGGCCCAATGCAATCGCCGTCCAACCAGCCCGTATCAGTCCGCCCTTGAACAAGCCACGGATGCCCTCATGACGTATGATATTGCGACCGACAGAAATGAGAGATTTGTTGGGTTTGTTCTTTGTCCGCACCTCCGAAGATGGCGCTTCACTGCCACAAGCACCAGCCCCACTACTCCGATCTTGAGGAGGAGCGCTAGCATCACTTGCCGAAAGCATAACGCGGGTCTTTATTACATCAATTGGAGTAGTCACCGTCGCCGCGATGGTCCCCGAAAACGCCGCAGCTATACCCGTCAAGCCGGCCCGTTCGACTAGTTGATCTGACTGTTCCGATGGCGGTCGGCTGGTGTTGCTGCGAGCCGCTTTCCGTTGTCTCCGTCGATCAATCAGGTGTGATCGCACATACTCAAAGAGTGGAAATTGTAGAGCTGTACTTGGGAGGTTTCGACCAACCAATGCTGTATACCCACTCCATAGGCGCCAAGGATGACGTCGAAATCGCAAAAGTACTTGTCGCATGGCGGATTGGTTTGTTTGGGAACCTTGAATCATCTGCGCATTTTGTTTTAGTACCTCTGCCGGCGTGAGCATGAGGCACGATACCATCTCCCCGGTTGAAGAGGCAATTCCATGCATAATGGGAGTAGGGAGGGAGTGTGTGAACGGCAAGCGAAGACTGTTCAGAGAGCCATCGGGGAGAGTCCTCTTGCCATTTGTCATACCGGTGGTGGCTTCTGTTGAGGAGTTGTACATAATGCTCTTCACAGCTTCGTATGTGGTAAAGAATGCCCCAGCTAGATCAAGTAGATATGATCGTCAGCTGCGATGTTTCTTGTATCTCGTTCATCAACAAGAGCGAATACATACAAGCTGGAATCGTTGATAATACCACACTCCAGACCCCTTGGTATAATCCTCGGAAGAGTACATTGCGCCGCACTGCTCCTGTGTGTGCATTTTTGAAGACCTTGTCATAGTCTGGGGATTGGACACGAGTCTTGAGTGTGTCGAAGGGGTAGACGATAAAATCGACTACGACTGCAGCAAACGCACCTGCCTATCGAGGAATGTAACCGAGTTAGCGATTGAACTCTAAAATGTGTATCCTTTGTCAAATGTAGGAAAGCACCTAGTTTGACTGGAGATGAGTTGATCAGGTGCGACTCACAACCCAAATATCGGAATGAGTGTTGTACATGGAGAAGATATATAACACAAGAGCTTGGATTTCTGTGCTAGAGACATCGTAAATTATTTAAATGTTGAAGGACGAGAAAGTCATTGAACAATTCCACCTGAGCATTCACTTGCTGATCGATAGTTATCGGTATGATGAGCAACTACGTCATCGGTTCTATAGTCACGTGAATGTGATGTGACTTGCATGTGAAAACAGCCCTGATGGTCGTAACAACAACACTACCAAAATTAACTTCCTATTGACCTGAAAACACTCCGAACTGTTAATATTGTTGACTCGAGGATTTCTATACTTCTGTTTTTAACCCCTCATCATTAAAAAACATCGAGGTTCCATCATTTTGCGACAGGGATAATATACACGGCCTTCTCATTTTCCTCTATAGCCAGCCCTTAGGTCCACCCCAGTTACCCTTGATCATGTAGTTGAAGTATACCCAGGGGAAGAAGTCCTTCTTCAGGTACCAGAATGAACGACGGGGCTCAGCCTGGTCAATACCGAACCAGTCTCCGAATGTCTCCTTGGGAACTCCGCCATACTTGAACTCAGCGAGAAGGACCTTGCCATACTCGGTCAAGAGCGGGCACGAGGTGTATCCATCGTAAGAAGCATCCAATTCCTTGCCCTCCATGGTCTGCAAAAGGTTGCGAACGAGAACCGGTGCCTCGGAAGTGACTGCTGCAGCGGTCTTGGATGTGGGCAAGCTGGAAGCATCACCAGCAGACCAAACATTAGGGAATTTCTTGTGCTGGGTGGTGTTGTCGTCCACATCAACGAATCCGGCCTCGTTAGCCAGAGCGCTGTTCTTGACGAAACCATAAGCACCCATCTTGGGGGAGACGTGCAACAAGTCGAATGGTCTGGCGACCTCTCCCTCGGGAGAGGCAAAAATGGCAGACTTGCCGTCAATGGCAAGGAGATCGTGCTGGAACAATCCCTCAACACCGCGATCCTTGCGCATCTGCTCGAGGACGACGTTGTACTTGGGCACACCGAACATCACTGGGAGACCGGTCGCAAAGCTGATCTTGACAGGTGAATCAGCGGGGTTGGTAGGGTTGTAGAGGCCAGCTCGTTTCCAGTGGTCCAACGCAAGCCACATGATCTTTTGCGGAGCGCCCGCACACTTGACCACACCGGCTGGCTGGGTGAAAATGGCATTTCCTTCACGGAAGTTCTCAATGGTGCGGAAAGCCTTGTCGCAAGTGTCGTAGCTATAGATTGTCGAAACAGTTGAGTTCCGGTCTGCCAGAGCCTCAGGGAGACCCTTGATACTGCCATAGTTGATGCTAATACCGGGCACGACGACCAGATGCTCATAGTTGATCTTATCACCATTCTCTAGGGTGAGCGCATTCTCAGCGGGGGCAAAGGCGCCAACACTCTCGTTATAAAACTTGAACTTGGGATCAATCAAGCTCTTCAATGGTTTGCGCAGCTCCGTTTTGTCCTTGAGGCCACCGCCAACCAGTGTCCAGCCGGGTTGGTAGTTGTGCCACGTAGCTGGATCAATCACAGCAATGTCATCTTGCGCAAATTTGCCAGAGTTCAAGAGTTGGTGGCTGATGGAAAGACCAGCAGTACCACCGCCGACAACTACGATTTTGTGGCTTCGTGCGGAGCTCACGGGGGACGCAGTTGCGAGACTCCTCCATTGAGCGACGGAGCGCTTGGCAGCAACTACTGTGCGACGCTGAAACATCTTCGAATATAAGGTGAAGAATGACAAATGATAAAAGAGCGCTGAAGTACCTAAAATAGCTTCAGGGCTGGAACTTACGATGTCGTGATTTCGGATTAACTCGTTCCGATATCGGGGAGTATCGGATTTTCTTCGCCGAATACTTTCGGGCTTCATTTAAAAGGACGAAAAGGAACATATTTACAATTCATTTGGATGTTTCATGTTTTAGTTCAGATATGTTTCACTTTCCTTCTAAGTATCTCTCACCTTAGGGACTAATCGCTGGTGCATGTGGCGTTATGCATGACTCGATTTTGATGTGACATTAAGATGCATAACATCAAGGATTAAAGCGCTAGCAATTTCTAAAACAATGCACTTCGCTCATATGCGAATTTGACAGTTTGTGATAAGAAAATCCGAATATATCCATTGGACGTTGTCCATAATGACTCTTTTCAATCGGCGAGCATTAAGCGGCGACCTCGATGCTCACCGAGTCGCCGACCCAAGCCTTTCAAGTATAACCACTACGACAGCTCTTGCACCTCTCACCAATTTTTATTCATCAAATCTCGAATATCATGTTCAGAATTCGCCAGCAATCATCTAGCATCGGCCGGCAATGGTCGTCAGATCTTTTGGGATCTAGCAGGCCCATTAGAACTTCAATGCTGGCCGACGTTAGACAATTGCGTCATATCCAACAAGCACAAACAGGTGTTTCTCATACCCCCAAATCTTCAAGGAACGACACTTCAATCAGGGGGATAGTTCGTCAATCACAAGCAAGCCAACCGGTTCATGGCTGGAACCAACCATTCTCGCCACATTCATTTTCTATCCCTACAAACCATCTAATCCCACATCGAGCCACATATAGTACTGCATCCACTAGATCTACTGAGCCTGTGATTCACGATGTCTTCGAACCCACATCTGGGACATGGCAGTATCTCATCGCCGATCCATCAACATCAACAGCTGTCATCATCGACCCAGTCTTGGACTATGATCCTGCCACTCAGGCCGTGACCACCCAGGCAGCCGATTCCTTGCTCTCTTTCATCAAAGCAAAAGGCTACAAGATTGACAAGATTCTCGAAACGCACGCTCATGCAGATCATTTGTCTGCCGCATCTTATATTCAAAAACGTCTTGCCCAGGATCAAGGTCATAAGCCGCCCATCTGCATTGGCAAACGCATTGAACAAGTGCAAAAATTGTTCGCCGAGACCTATGGTGTCCCAAAAGAGGAATACAAAGCCACATTTGACACGCTCTTCGATGACGATGAGACCTTTACTATTGGGAACCTGAAAGGAAAGGCTATTCATCTACCTGGGCACACCCCAGATCATCTTGGTTACATGATTGGAGGTAATGGTCTACCAATAATAACACCCTTGTTACGCACTTTACTCACAACTATTTTCCAGATAATCTATTCTGCGGTGATTCTCTCTTCCATGTGGACATCGGCACGGCACGCTGTGACTTCCCCGGTGGTGATGCGAATGACCTCTTTCGATCGGGCCGCAAGCTTCTAAGCCTCCCTGACCACTTCAAGATCTGGACAGGTCATGATTATCCGCCGGAGGGACGTGACCCTGTACCTTGGGTGAGCGTCCAGGATCACAAGAAGCTGAACAAACACCTGAAAGATGGTATCAGCGAAGAAGAGTTTGTGACTTTGCGAAATGAACGTGATGCAGGATTGGCGGCACCTAAGCTGCTTCACCAGTCTTTGCAGATCAACATTCGAGCAGGACACCTTCCTTCTCCCTCGAAATTTGGTCATCGGTTGCTTCACCTTCCATTGAAGCTTACAGGGGAAGCATGGTAATCGAAGTATACGTTTATACAATTACCAACTGGAACGGAGTACATATTCATCGACTCATGCTTAGTAGAGATGAAAATAAGTACATTCAACAGGCCACAAACACTCCTATTGTTCAATTACATCTATTTTTACATTACCTGTATAGTCAAGCGACATCAAATCAAGCAATACCTTAGTATCCTTTCATATTTCGATAACTTTGCTCATCTATACGATGAACTCCCACATGTTATGCAGAGTATGATTCCTGATGAGAATGAATTACTCTATGTTCTTCATGGTTATAAAGGACGTTGTCTCTTTGCTTTCCCTACTTCTTCCCCCCCTTTCGAGACTACAATGGCCTTTGTGTTCGGATTGCTCCGGGGACCAAGGAGGCACGATATAAACAAAGGATCTTTTATACTTCTATTGTTCTCATCCTCCAAGCTGGGCTTCATCGAGTATTCAAAATCGAATACTTGAGAAGCATAAATAGCTTGGATCCCACCTCGATATATTCTTACCAAGCAACAGTGTATCCAACACACTCCTCACAGCCCTCACAGCCCTCACAGATCAATACTAACCTTCTATTACTTCCATCACCCACCATGACTATCGCTGACCCCGACAGTATTTACCGCAAGGAGCGCAGCTACTACCTTGATCTCCTACAGGTCCAGGTTGTGCAGCTCCGCACTGACCCTGGTCGTCGCCTTCACGTGGTTGAGCAGCTTAGGGAGCTTTCTCAGTTGACACCCGGCTACATTGAGGCTTCGCTTCTCATCGGTGACACTCTCTTCCATCAAATTTGCTGCGCTCTTCAGCCTCTGTTCCTCACCGCGATTGCCACCCTGGTGGGAGATACTGACCCCGTCGCTGGTTTTAGAGTCGCCGATACGCTTGAGGATACAGTTCCCTTGGAGGTTCGAGACCCCTTCAAGCATCCTGCCACATGGTAGTTGATTTTGTGCAGATGCATTCACCACCATCCGGGTTTTAGATATTCGATTTCATAGATCAATCTAACCCTACATTCGTCTTAAGAGTCACTTCTTTCCATCCGTAGATTATCCTATTGTAAACAAATCGTACATGAGAATTTGACCTGTTCAATGTGTTTGTTATATTCTAAACAAAATAAAGATTCCCTTCTATGATCGAATAAAAGTCGATACAACGCAGGAGTCTAATGCCCAGAGACTCAGCTCCGCTCATAGAAGAAAAAAGAAACAGGAAGTCATATTAACATCCAAAATAGAGAACATTTTCCCTCCCTACGCCGTAAAAAGGTCATGCAATACCAGAAGCGTCGTGTCTCCCCTTCGCAATCATCAACGTTTAGTTCGAGGTCTCGTTGGGCAGCAGGTTGCCCTTGATGGCAAACATCTTGCCCGTGCTGGACGAGACGAAGCTGTCGACCTGGCGCGCGTACTGGTCCACCTGGCGAGTGTTGAGCATGCTCTCCAGACGGCTGGGCTCGGCAGGAAGCTTGAACAGACGCTGCCACTCGTCCTCGGGGAGGAGGGGCTGGTTGAGAGTAGCACGGCTGGCGTTCTCTTGTGCGCGCTTGGCCTTCCAGGCGTTGATCTTCTGCTGCTCGCGGCCGAGCACACGCTGGTAGTATTGGTAGTTGTTGACCTCGGTGTTGTGGGTCTCAATGCTGTCCAGAAGGAGATCGCAGTTCTTCTCCAGGAAGGGATCGATGCTGAGGGACAGGTTGTCGAGGTTGGGGGTGAGGGTGGAGGTTTTGCTGAAGGGGCTGGACTCGAGGGCAGCCAGGGAAGAGGGGAGCTCAGTGGATGCTGAGGAAGTAGGGCACTGCAGCTGGTGGATGAAAGAGGTGATCAGGTGGGAGTTGTGGAGCTTGACAGGCAGTTCCTCGAAGATGTCGGGGTGGCGCAAGTTGGACTTTTGGAGGCTGCAGATATTGTCAGTATTGATGTCGCTCATTTAAATTTTTTTTTTCATTGCTCGAGCCATTGCACGTACTCCTCGGAAGTGAACTTGTTCTCCTTGAACGCAGTCATGAACTTGGAGGACAGGCGGAAGGCACGGAGGCTGAGGCTGCCCTGGGCGCTGCGGCTGACATCGTGAACGAGGGCGACTGTGCGCTCGTTCAACTGGCTCTGGTAGTAAAACTGGTTCTCGATCACGTTCATGTTGACAAAGTTGCCCATGTTGGCACTGGTGTACCATCCAACGCTGTTGGCATCAGTGTTGACCTCGCGCAGCATGCGGATCATCTCTGCAGAGTATGCGGCGTTTGCCTTGGCACGAGGAGCGGCAGCGGCCGGGTTGGGAGCGGCGTTGTCAAAGTGCGACTCGGCGGGGACTTCGACGACGGGGAATGGGAAAGTGTTGGTGATCTCGAGGGTGCCATCGACGTCCATACCGACGATAGCGCCGGTCGCAGTGGAGGGGAAGGTCTGGGAGCAGTGCTTGATGATTTTCATGACCACCTATAACGTCCGACGTCAGTATTTCTGGCTGGCGAGGACGGGGGGAGATTTTCGTCGGGGAGACCATACCAAGGCCTCGACCTGAACGGCCGCGAGGGGAGCTGGAGTTCTGCAAGTCGGTCAGCATTATATTCTCACGGATCAAAAAAGACCATCACTTACTCGGCCATTGTGAAGGATTGCAACAGTTGGGCGGTTGTTAAGGTCGAGACGGTGGACTTGGAGGGTTTGTGTGAAAGGGACCATTCATTCCTGATTGGGATTAGCGTGTGACGAATACACAACGAAATTTATTACATTTTTCCACTATGTAGATGGAGGGGCAATACGGTCATATTACACCACCAAGAACTTGTCGGGGAATTCTCATTTGACCAAAGACTCTGCGTACTGTGTTTTGGTCCGAAATTATACCGGAGACGAGAAGAGAGACAAACAAAATGAGCAGAAGACATCGCGACATTGGAAGAGGCAAAGCCAAAGTGTACCTACAAAATGATAGATAGTCAAATGGTATCTAACACTTTTTGCACTACGCTCCTCCTAACCTGCCCGTAATCTATCGACATGTCCCACTTCCCCATAAATCAATGCAACTCCGCAAGGCACCATGTCGGATCACTCAAGTACACAAACCGTAGCCTATGGCTCAATCCATAATCTGCAAAGCATCACCGTCACAACTTTAGCTCCGCACAAAGATGGCTACTGGGTGATGTAAACAAGTCCCCAGCTCAATCTTACCCCAAAGCAATGCCTAACGTCCGGTCTACTTATCTAGCTACATCCACGGCGGTGCCTGGAGGGATCCAACAGTTACATCAGCTTCCTTCAATGCCACGGAATCTATACTTCGCGAGAAAGGCCTACCTATTGCCGGCTTCGCCTCGATCTCATACCGTCTCAGCGCACACCCAAACCACCCGCAAGACCCAACAAATACCGACCCGAAGGACTTCCAAGATGCGAAACACCCTGATCACATCACCGACGTGGAGGCAGCGCTCGCGTACCTCCAGAATACATACGAGTTCGGTGCGCGATACATACTGGTTGGTCACAGTTGCGGCGCAACGCTCGCCTTCCAAGCTGTGATGGGCGCGGTCTCAGGTCATCGTGAAGAGGCCTTCGCTGGTCCCCGGCCATCTACATTGACAGCGCAGCCCACTGCTATTGTCGGTGTGGCGGGTATCTACGATCTGCGACGGCTGCGGGATACGCATGCTAGCATCTCGGCTTACCAGGAGTTTATTGAAGGAGCTTTTGGGGCGAATGAGACGCTTTGGGATGGAGTATCGCCGGCCCAGGTGACTGGCTCTCGTGGAGTCGAAGGCGGGTGGAAGCCTGGAAGATTGGCGGTCCTGGCGTATTCCAAGGACGATGGATTGGTGGATGCGTCTCAGATAGAGGTTATGAAGGAAGCTTTGGGAAACTGGGAGAAGGCAGAGGCACAGATACCCGTGCAAGAGGGTTCAAACCGTGCTAGACGGCTCCGCGTCTTGTCGATCAGCGGTGTTCATGATGAGGCATGGGAGAAGGGCGAACAATTGGCTCGTGCGGTAACCTTCGCATTCGAGCAATTGCAGGAAATGGGGCTGGCGCCATAGTTCTGATGCCGAGAAGGACGTACTTTTTGAGCATTTAAAGTGAGCACTGCAAATAGAGTACCCATAATAATATATGAGTTCTTGTTTAGTTGTGAGTTTATCATCTCTTAGTAGCCTGGCCAAACAAACCGAGCAACCATTTCCATTACAAAAAATTGGATGAAAGTTATGTGGTTTCAATTGAGTCCTGATTTCCCCTAGAAATGGCCTAGGAATGGACTAGACTGGTAATTTAGGTACAAACGAAGTCGGAGAAAGAAAAAAACCATCGCAAAGAGACCATGCGACCCTGTCAACGCCGTCGTTCGTGAAAAAATCTTAAGAAAAGCACAAGCATACCACGTATCCCTCATTGCGCCGAAATGTTGCCCATGAAAGATGGGTAATGAAATCCATGACTGTCAAGCTTACTTAGCGGCAGTCATGCGAGCGGAGGTTGCGTCAGCGAGGGTCTTGTCGTTTTTGGCCGACTCCGGGTGAGTCTCGGCATAATCCTCGTCGTACTCGAATGCATCGTCATCACTCTCACTGTCCTCAATGAATCGGTGGTTGATATCGACCTCGGCGAGACGCCACTTCAGATCCTCGCGTTGATTGTCCTGGTAACGAGCAAGCGCAGCTGCAGCGTGCACCTTGAAGCCGTAGATGCGGGGTTCATAACGGCGACTGCTCTTCTCGGGGTTGAGAGCGGGATACACCTGGAAAAGGATAGAGTGGAATGAGGTACCGAAGTATGCACCATCGATGGACGAGTGACGGGACGATTTGGGATTGTAGATATCCTCGCACTTGGGGCAGTACAGCTTGACGGTGCTGATATTCGGAAGATCGGACTCGCCCATGGGAAGCAATGCATGTCCATCGCACATCACACGAGGACACTTTCCGAAGTCGCTCTTCTTGTATTTTTCGAGCTGCAGGAAGGTTAGTACTTTTAGTCAAGCGAATAATATGCAAGCAGGGCTAGGGCTCCAACATACCATTTTAGCAAGACCTCGAGTGGTAACGATGTACCGGGCATGAACCAAGCCATAAAGGTGACGGGCAGACTTTTCGATTTGCTCACGCAGATCGTCGTCCGCATCAAGATCGAAAACGTCGGTCACAAGATCAAGGGCGTATTGGTAGTACGAAACCTCGGTGTTCAAACCAGTGAGGTTAAACCGGTCAGTGAGGTAGTCTTCGTCGATTTCACAGAAGTATTCGTTGCCGCGGGATGAAACAAACTGAAAATACATGATTGCGATTAGCACGATCATGATCAGAATTGCATGACTGTATCGACCAGAACTGGTAAAGTGGGCAGAATCAGAATAACGGGAGGACGCCCAGGACTCCCCACGCCCAGGGCCACGGCGTGGAGGTTGGGAAGAATGGCCATGGGGTTGCCGTCCGCTTTCCCCGGCACTGGAATCTGGACCAGGAGGCCCATTGCTGCCATTGGGCCAATTTGGGTTAATGCTGGAGGGGTCCAGCCGTAGGAGGATGTAGATGGTGAGAGCCCGGATGAAAAGTTGGATACAACTAATCCCGCAGAAGACACACAGGACGGAACCAATGAAATCGTGATCACGCCCGAACTGAGCAGCTTGGTAAAAGCATGCAAGCGCTCCCGCGAACGAGAAGACTAGCGCGGCGTGGAGAAGCGCGCGAAACACCTCAGGCTCCATGACGATAGAGAATCAGGTAAAACGAAAGTGAGAGCCAGAGATGGTGAAGGTGAGAGATTGAAGAAGAAATTTGAAAGGATCGGAGCATGGGGGCCTGGTATTTATGTCGTGAAAGGCACCCCAAGTCCACTGTCTCGTGCCTCGTGTCTCGTTTCGTGTTGGGATCCGGATCGTCGGGGACAACAATGATATCGTCGGGGACAACAATGACATCGTCGGCGCCGAGACCAGTCGTCGCAGCAATGGACTTGAGTCCGGACCTTGAAATCCATTCGGGTCGCAACGCGCGCAACCCCTCTATTCCCCATACCCACGATGGCCCTGCGTCCTCCACACCTCGCTCATGAGGGAAATCAAATCATGAAAAAAGAAATTCACTCACCCAGTCTCGCCAATAGCTGGTATAATCACTGTCGGTTTCACTATTAAAGTCCTCCATGATGGGACAATGCGCACTTTCGCTCTATCTCCCGATGGTGTTGGTATCAAAGCTAGGTGGGTGATCAAGCCCAGGGCGCTGAAGGACCCAAGCCTACACAGCTGGAGAATGCAGGTGGTTTTGTATGCAACGATAATCTCAAGAAAGATAGGAAGCTTTATTAACGGATTGGCGCAGGTGATGAAGATGAAGTTGGAAGTGGGCAGTGGGCAAGATATCCCGCATTTCGTTACTGGGCGGTCAGCAAACTGCTCGATATTCAGACCGCCCTTCGGAAATTTGTTTACCCGTGCGCGGGCAAACATGGTCCGTGCGCCTCAAGAAGCAAGTGAAGCAAATACATTTCCACATGTAACAGTGCCAAGCGCACAACACACATTGCTGTGTATTCTAGTGCTGACGTATCTGTATCTTTGAATTTCGGGACAGCTGATTGTTGAACTCTTCATTTCCATAGCCAACCATTCCAATAATCAACCATTTCTATAATGAACTAGAATCTATACCGACAAATAAAACAATCTGAGGTATCATAATGAACGACACTATTACTGGACTCCCGTACCCAAAATCCCATGGGAATGCTCCGATTGTCAATGGCAAGAAGAAATTATCGGCGCAAAGGAGCATTTTGGGGACTATTGTGTACATTCACTCAACATGGATCCCCTGAATGGAAATCATATTTCCATTTAAGCCCTTCATGGTGGAGGCTCAAGTAACTTCGTGCGGAGCCCTTTGTGGCTAAGCTTGAACATAAGTGAACCCATCCGCGCTAAGCAAGCATGTATAGTGCGGACTGTAGGGTACATTGATCACGATGACTATTCGGCTCCAGAGGGACAACAAAGCAGTCGATGATACAGCCTGGACTCGCGATATCCTCGAGGCTAGAGGCTCTGAACTAGACAATGACTAGACTCGTAGAATCGAATATAAAGCTCTGAGAATAGGCATATTCGAAGGCGTACCTATATCTGGTCAGCGGCACCTCTTGGATTGATTGAAAAAAAAGCGTACGCCCTGAGCTCCGATTGAAGACGAGTAGTCACTGCACCTCACCGGTCCATGTTCTCCCATTCCTCTCGCCTGATCGTGCGGAGTTTCTCTATCTCCCATATCATTACTGGCTTATCAAGCAACGGGCTCTCATAGTTCATAACCATTTGGTAGTCAATAACCTTCGTAGACCCCGGGGCCGCAAGTTGAGATCGCGAGAAGAGCGACGGTCCACCAGCTTCGAGGCCGCTGGGTGTACTAGTTCTGGCCTCCTCACCGCAAAAGGTCGCCGCAATTGGTGGAATAATGCTTTGGTTGAAGTCTCGCGTCACATTGCCCTCGCTCTCTACCAACTGGGGAAGCAGATTCGCGCCCATTGATCCGGGCCTTCAAAGTTCAGACATATCTCAAAAGATCGTGCAGCAGCTGTAGCAGAGGGATATTTACCATCATTTATAGCTTTTATAGCAAATAAAAGGCGACCACTCCTGCTCTGTCAACTTTTTACCNGGGGGGGGGGGGGGGGGGGGGGGGGGGGGGGGGGGGCATTGTTGTTGTGGTTAAAAGAGATAGATTATTATTGAAGTGCATTTTTGATGGGATCGCTCGCGCGGCCGTGGATCACGTTATTACAATTTTTTGGTATATAATAAGGGCCTAGGTACAATTAGTACATGCTGAATAATTCGAAGCTGATTAGGTAGGGTCAGATGGGATTGTGTTGGATTATCCTATGTATCTCGAAGTCAAGTCACTCGCACGAGAGTCGCAAGTGTCCATAATATCTTGCCCACGAGCCCTAGGCCAATCACTACCTTGTTCTTTTCTACGTTCCGCTCTGCCTTTGTCTTTCGGTGAGCAGAGCGTCCCAACTCTTAGTCTCCCGATCTCTCCTGGCACTAGTATAGTCCACACTGTATGGATCTTGCCATTTTCCGGGCAGGGGCACCTCTCAAGGACACAACTAGCCGGAGTCCGTATGAGTGAGGGATTAATTCTAGCTAGGCAAGAGCTAGACAAGAGCTGGGCAAGAGCTAGCAGGAAATTGTTTCCGCCGTACCACGGAGCTAGACAAACAAAATGAAGCTTTAAACACCCCAATTTGAGAACGAATGACTTATTACGTGAGGTGATAAGGTAGTGAGGTGGTGATATGCAATCAGTCCTCCATTTAGCACTTGAATTGTTTTATGAAATTCAATAAGAGACGGTGCAATGACGGAGTGATAGCTGTAATGTTCATCATCGAGGTGACGTGACTTGATAAGAATACGTTTCTGCCAAGGGATTGCCAAGACACTGCCAAGTCGACTCGGTTTTGTGTGGATCCGGAGGGAGATACCTAGGGTTTTGGAAGCAACACGAGGGCCAAAGATCTTAAACTAGTAGTGATCTCCGTAGGCAAATTTATTCCAATTTTGAGGCTAGGAGAAGTTCGAAAACCGCACTTATGTGTCTAGCCATGGATTGACTTTAGCACCGACTCTATCATAGTGCCTTTAAAGCAATGTAACACCACACGAACTTCTTCGACCTATGGATAAATCCACCTACGTACTATAAACAGAGCGAGCACAGTCAAATAGTTAGGGTAAGGGGACATACGCACTTTAGAACTTGTAATTCTTTTTTCCACGTTGCTTCCAAGATTTAACTCCGAGCCTCATAATTCTTGAACTTCTCTTATTACTTGCAGGGATGCAGCTCTCAGACCTCACAACCTTCCAGGAAAACCCACCGCACGGGGATAGCCGTGGCCCTGTGGCCCACTGGGGCCAACGGACCGAGAGTGGACCCTGACCCTCTGATTTACCGTCTCAATTATGTATTTGATATTTACACACATACGCGTAAAGCTTGTATGTTGTATACAAAGATTTGGGGGCTAGAGCATGGTACATATGTAAGTCTAGACATTGTCAAATTGATTCCACAGCGTACAAGCAAAGACCAGAACTACCTAAGCTGAGCCTTTCGTGACCCCTCCTCGTTTTTTAAGCTTTCGCCCAAGGTAATTAGCATAGCCCTTCAAGCTCACTAGTCCTATCGCAATTAAAAATGCTAGATGGTGAAATCTGCGGTCGCAAACCTCCTCCGAGTTCCAATGGCCACACACTGGAAGAGAGCCAAAGAGAAAAGCCAGGAGTGTAAGGAGGGTTCTATATTCCCAATACATTTAGTAAGTATCGCCAATGGTATGTATTTATTTGCTTACAGGAAAGTATGTTTGACAAACGGTGCCATGAGGTATTTGACGACGAGGTTATCGGGATAGGAGTCCACAATCAACATGAGGGGTGAAGTAGGTAGCTCATCGTCCAGCTGGCTTCCCGCAGAGGATCCTAGGGATGGGATAGGTGTTGTTTGGAGGTCTTCCTTCTCCATATTGGCAAGACTGGAAATGCAGAGAGGTACGTTGGAGAACTGTGAGAACGAGAAACTTGGACAAATGAAGATGGGAAGCACAAAACCAAGTTTGGGCGGTGAAACATCACCTTATCTCCATGATGGGGAACGTTGTCTTACAATAACAATAATATTAATGATATTCTTATAATAATACGTGACTGTAATGTATAGACAGTATCGAGCTGATACCTACAACATAGGTAAAGAATTATTAGAGCCCTTTGGACATAGAGTAGATTTAGTGGAGCTTGTGGAGCTATAGGGGCCACGGAGTACAATAGTACATCCTCCGGACATCAACGATCGATTAATTATGGAGTATTCTGGTAAGACATTCCTCATCCTGGCAGTTGAAGTTGCAGAGTATCAAGGGTAGTAAAATGTCGAGTGTGACTTCCATGCCTTCACGGGCCAAAAAGAAATCTATAAAGAGGGCGCTCAGGGACGTGAGAATTGAGAATCTAAACAATTCATTGCCATCATCTCTCTCTTTGCAATCAGAAATCTCTACAACGAAGCTCCTCCATAGCCTTGGTTTCCTCGTTGTTGCTAATGCAGCAGCTTTATCCTTCCTGTGGCTGATATCTCTGGGAACACCAATTTGGTCCCAAGCGAGATTGTTGGCTATGGTACCAATGAGGTCGAGATCCGTACTCCAAATGAAGCGAAAGTTCTCGAGGCATGAGTTGCCCCAAACTGTAGGAGGATTGGCAGCATCATCTCACGAATCAGTAAGAGCAGTGCGGTGTAGGTTGCTTATCATCTCCTTTTCCTATTCCTGTTCCTGTTCTCAGGGTTCAAGTTGCAATTTCAATTCAAATCGCTTACACTTATATATATAAAGCGCTGCACTACTCCACCTGAGTACCGGTGAGGCCAAGAAGGTCTGTGAGCAGGAAAATTCCCCCAACTGCGTGAAATATATCGGTTATGTTCAAAGTGCACTAGACATACTCTTCCTCGCGGCTGACATACTCCACGGAGCAGTTGGTACTTCTTCCACCGCTGAGGACTCCAACCTTGACCCTGGTCCGGTGCGTTGTGGCCTGCCTACAGACACATTCTCCGCAGATGCTTTACACGCTGCTCTCCAGAATGATGGGTGGATCTATGACCTCTTGGAGCAAATCGATGTCTCTAGCCTGAATCTTGAAAAGCGCGACTCTGATCCCCGGATGACTCAACGCTTAATTGCTCGCAATGTGACCCTCGACGACCAAGCCAGCGCTTCTGACATTGCATTCAATTACTTTGACAACGGCGAACTCAACCTGCACTTCCCCGGAGGCGCCGGCACCTTCCCCACCAGCAATGCTCAGAACTCGCCTCTTCACGCGCGTTTCGATGGTGCTGGGTTCAAGGTCTCTGCCACTACCCGCAGCCGGTCACCGTTGGCTCGTGACCAGCAGAAGGCTATGGCCCACGAAATTGCAATGGATTGGGCGTCAGATGCATGCGCTTATCCCATGGCTGATTACATGGGACTGGTCAGGACTGATAGCCACCCCAACTTCTACTCCCGTATCATCCCTGAGGTCAGGGGCTTTGGTCTGAACTATGAGTCCGTGGATATTTGTGGCCCATTGTATGAATTTGTGTAGTTAAGGATCATCTACTCTTGGTGCCACTGCAAGTCAAGATCCGTGACTATCTGGAACATATGTGGGGAATTATCAGAGGACCTGAACCTGTGGGTGATACGGCGGGGATGTATATACATGTATTTTTGTCAAATGTTCCACAGAGCCAACATATGTATAGTTTAATAACTCAACTGCAATTTCAGGCAGAGACTCGAGACCGCCGTTACATAATTCATCCATTTCTATAGTTAGCATTTCCAAGTCTGATGTCCTAATAAAAAACATGTACAAATCCCCATGTCTCACATTTGCAAAAGTCATCTGAAATCTCCGAAAAAGAGAACTGGACTATGGTCAAGAAGCTATTTTGCAAGATATTTAGGGCTGCCAGCTCAGCCTGGGAAACTGGGATGTTGAACTCCCAAAAGAAGCTAGCGCCACACATGGCCTCCATTTTATCGAATTTAAACACACTATACTAGGTAGATTTAAAGTATACGACGAAGGAATTGCGAACTAGAGATTTCTATCCAAACTCTAAAAAATACACAATATGCAAGAGATAACGGGGTGATTGTAAATTGTAAATCGTTGGATTATAGACAATATAAATCTCCTCGACTTAGCATGTTGACAACCAACAAACTAAGAGTAGCTTTTAGAAAATCCGAAAGTTTCCGAATAGACATGTTGTTTAATAGAATCTCTTTTCAACTCCCTTGTTAACTTAAACTAGTAATTGTTGGGGATGTCGATAGTATGGTAAATAATATTGCCATCATGTTGATTGTCATTCAGTCAAAGATACGAAGCATTTCTACCGATCAAAAACCTTCCCAGGATTCCTATAATAAATAGCGAAGTTAGATTAAAACAATAGAGGAGATGGAGTTGGTGGTTTTCACATACATAATCCAGTGAGGGTCAAAAGTTCCCTTGAGAATTTTCTACGCCGAGGATATGGTTAGCAAACTTCATTCATATCCCGGAGTGCAGAGATTCGTTGATTCGAAACGCAGACAGCAAAATGAAACATACCATGAAGGAGATAGTCGCATTCCCAACCTCCTTTTGAAGAGCCTCCTTTTTACCAAACCCAATACCGTGTTCACCCGTGCAAGTTCCCTCCATATCGATCGCCCGTTGAACCATGTTTTTGACAGCCTTCTTGGCTTTCTCATACTCCTCTGGCTTTGTGCCGTCGTATGTGATATTCTCGTGGAAGTTACCATCGCCAACGTGACCCTTGACGCAAGCGTTCAAGCCCAAGGCGGCAGCTTCTTGTTTGCTTGCGACAATGATATCGGCTAGATGGCTCAATGGGACTGCGACATCCGTATTCCCTGAGAGACAGCGTTAGTTGTACTCAAGGCATTTTCACCAAGGTTTGAAGTAGTGTATGGACTTACACATTTCTTCGCCCTCCTTGCGAAGCGCTAGTAAAGAGTAGAGCGACTCTTTCCGCGCAGACCAGAGAAGTGTCTGCTCTCGCTCGTCACGAGCAAATTCAAATCCTTGTGAGCCATAAGCTTCAGTAATCTGTTTCACATTCTGAATAGCCTCTTCCAACATAAGCTTAGACCCAGAGAACTTGAAGAAGAGAGTTGGCTTTTCCTGCCATACTCGCGGCCGCGTAACGCCACCCTCATTCACGATACGCATCTGAGTCTCGTCCATGAGTTCGAGGGCGGCAACTGGAACTCCTCTACGGATGACCTTGGTAGCAGCCGAGATAGCATCGTGAACAGTGTTGAAAGGTACCACCGCAACAGAGTAGTTTTCGGGCAGAACGGCCAATTTCAGCGTGGCTTCGGTCACAATTCCGAGAGTACCCTCAGAACCGACGAAGAGGCCGTTAAGGTTGTATCCGGCGCTGGATTTGCGCGGGCGCTTGCGAGTTTTGATGACGGTTCCATCGGCGAGAACCACGGTGAGATTGATGACCCAGTCGCGCATGGTACCGTAGTGGACTGCATTTGTGCCTGAGCAATTCGTGCTGATCATTCCTCCGAATTTAGCGCTGGGGGCTTTTTAAGAAGTCAATAAGAGTCATGACAGTGAGATAGCGGGTATCAAGAGGGTAACAAACCTGGATCCATTGGGAAGAAAAGTCCAGTTCCCATATCTTTTAGCTTTGCGTTCAAGTCCACCCACTGGACACTGGGTTGAACCACGACATCCATATCATCCTCATTGATCTTTATGATCTGGTTCATATACACGAAGTCCATGCTGATACCACCGAAGGGTGCAGCAGTGTGTCCTTCGAGACTACTGCCGCCGCTGTACGGGATGATTGGGACTCTCCTTTCGTGGCAAATGCGCGCAATCGTGCTAACTTGTTCGGTGTTTCGAGGATACGCGACAGCGATGGGTAGCGTGTCGATATTGACAGATGACCACTCTGAAAACCCGTGCATTTTGAGATCTTCATCGTCAGTTGAGATTATATCTTCTGTGTCGCGCAATTCGTATTCGATTTGAGCTATGGCCTGTTTAAATAGAAGTAGTTAGCTTTGAGGTTCTGATGTGCGCATCGCGGCGCGCGTGGAAACAGATATGTGGAGCTTGCACAGCGGGACTTACCTTTTGCATGTCTTCGAGTGTTGCATATTTGACTGCAGGAAGTCGCTCTTGGTCCAGAATAGGAAGCGTGCTGCTTGATTTGTTTGTGTCGCTAGTAGAAAGTGTTGAGATGCCATAGCCCGCCAGGCCAGCAACCACCGCAACACCTACTGTCAACCCTTTCACATTAAACGTTTGTTTTGCGGGGGAGGAGATTTCAGGTGAGTTCTGTGCCCTTCGGTTGGAATTGGTGTTGAATCGACGCTGTGCTGGACCACGGCAAACCGACGCAATGCGCGGACGAAGAGTGAGCCTCGCAACTTTCATTGAACAGCGCATTTTCTCTGACACTCTATGTAATGTTCTTGAAAAATTAAGGAATAGTTCGAGGTGAATGTACTATGGTTACTTTTATGAGCTCCCAAATAAGCTTGAAAACAGCTCTGGAAAAATGTGGACCTCTGCTCAAGTGGCGCGATTCGGCTCGGGGAAAGTGTCAGCGAAACTGGAAGTGACCCATAGACCCTCTAGGCGACTCAGTTCTGATTTCAAGCAGAAATCAAAAGGTTTGGAGTATTGGGACTATTTTGCGAGGAAAGTATTGTACGCGGAACTAATTGGGCTAGATGGCTATCTCACCGTGAGAAACTTCCCGAGGAGTGAACTACCTCAGCTATAATACATTCATTCAATAGGCCATATATCATAAATCTTAAGTTAACATGAGATGATCTCCCGTCCGTTCCACGACGCTGCGCCAGCCAGAATGCATTTGCCGATTTGTTGTTGGTCCCTGTCTCCAAACTTCGTGCACAACTTGTATACCTGTCCTCACGGCCTCAATTCCATATACTTCTACTCGCTCGTACCACAACCTAAAGCGTTCTTGATGTCTAGGCTCAAAAGCCTCGGTAGCACCCATAAATGCCGGCCAGAAAAGGGGAGCAGCAAGTATTTTGGTCTCCGCTTTGAGCTGTTCAATGGCTTCGATGCTATCTAGAACAGCCTGGACATATTGGCGGAGATACCGATGGCTCATCAATCTCACACTCTGCGAGAAATAGATGACGAGAGCATTGAGAAATGCGCTGGTCTGGTGGTAGATGATGGTGGCACTGATGCCATTTGTGGACGCTTCGTAACGATGAAGACGCTCATCGAGTGGCCAATCCATGATCTTTTGTTCAAGGTCATCACAGATTTGATTCAGACTTTCTGGGATAGATGTGTCTTCTGTATTCATGCGATGGTGATTCACCTCGTCGATGACCTCGATGGATTCCTTCAAGAGAATCAGAAGACTCTGCGGTATACCGTATATACATTCATATGCCGACATCTCTAATAAGTTTCTCTCGCCCGTCATCATATCTGCTCCCATGGCAATCATGGACGAAGGTGATTCATCGTCCTCGATGAAGAGGTGCTGCTTGGGAAACACAGGTTGCGGACCGAACGTTCTTTGTGAGCCAAGTGATGGCGAAAACCTGGACATTCCGCTTTTCGATCTTCTCACAGCGGTACTTTCGTAGATCACGCGCAGGTAAAGATAGATCCGATGGAGTGATTGAGCCTTGCGGGAGAAAGTGGCCTTTCGAGTATTCATATGGCTTATAAGCCTTTCGGCTCCATCCAAATGCACACTACATGTACTTGTATCTCCAGACATAACCTGAAAAGTCAAATGTTAGCATCACTATGTCAGGACGCAACCATGGAGGGGTATCTTACATTAATTGTAATCATAGAAAGCATAGTGGCAAGAAACTCCTTGTACTTTGGTCTCTTGTCGGCATAGAGATCGGTTTCGACAGCGTATTTGAGAAGTCCAATGGCATCACAACGATATCGCGAAGCGATTGTGCCCCAACTCTTAGCTTCACCTTCTCGGCGATGAGATCTATGATCATTGGATAGACAAAATGCGCTTATGGAAAGCAACGAATTTTTTAATGCGTCGCGGATTCGCGTTGTGGTGCATCCAAAGCTTAATTCACCGGCAGATTGCAAGACACGGGGCAAGTGAATTGTCTTCCAGGGACTTTTGGAATTGTCAATTACACAGAATAGGTTGACCACTCGGTGGCTGTAGTGTCTCATGAGGAGTCGCTCCTGGGATGGAACGACCAGGCTCTCGAGTGTATTTGTCAGAGGGGAAGAAACATGATGCGATTTGTTTGAGGGGATACTCTCAGTCCTCTGCCGCGGAATCAGCTCCTCTGGCTCGAGAGGTTGTGCTTGTACGGCATGACGTGCATAAGCTGGAGAGTTTGAAACATTGCCCGACGGTACTGTGACAACAGCAGGGGCCAGTTCTTGTTGCTGAGTGAAATCCAATGCCAACGGTTGCCCATGAAGATTACATAGGCTCCATGCTGCCCCTGCTTCAGAATTATCATTCCATGGCTCTGACTCTATGGAGACAGATTCCGGATCGAAAATTATATCGTAGCCATCATCGGGCTGGCAGAGTTCAGTTGTGCAAGGAGCTGTGACATTGAGATCATGAACACCAGAAGGGATACTTTGCTGAACGCGGAAGACGCCGAAATTCTGAATATTGGCACTAACATCCTCACTGCGAGGGTTGACAACAGATTCTAGGGAATCAAGATAGTGGAGAATGCCATCTACCTGCTCCCAGTCTAAGGCATATTCTATAGGCTCTAAGATGCGCGTCAATATACTACACACCAAAAGAAATCGCAATGCGCCACAAGGCACAATCGGATATCCATGAAACTCACCTGCAGGCATGAGACGTCTGAGAGATTGGCTCACGGAACCCGCTGGTGGGTCCACCGACCGAAGGCCTCGCTTGCCTGTGGCTGGTGTGAGCCACTGCAAGCGGGCAGAGTATCCCTCACAGCTAAGTCCCTTTTCATAGCATTGACTACAGCATGGCTTGGCCTCATCGCACTTGATCTTGCGGGTCCGGCAAGTCCAACATCCTGTAAACGTTTTCGTACGCTTCTTAGATCGTACTGGGGCGGACATGGGATCGAGGCCTCCACCCACCCGCTCATGCGACAACCAGCTGCAGGTTGAGTAGACAGGTCGGTGAAACTAGGTCAGGAAGAAAGACACTGGATCTGGATCATCGGCTCCAGGAGAGTGTGGACAATTCCAATTGTCAGCATAGAATGGGATGGGGGGGGGAAGTTGACACCGTGGAGAGGTTTACTCCACGATAACTCCTAGCAAGTGTGCCCCGCCGCTATCAAACAGATAGCCATGACTATCTCTATCTCAAAATCGAGACCGGGGAAGTGGGCGCTGCCCAGGTGAGTGGCGTTTTTTCGAGGGAAAGTCACCGCGTCGGCGAGGCTTTCCTAAAGTTGGGACCCACTTGAAATATTTGACCAATCATAGCCAAGTAGAGGTATGTCTACAAGGGTTTCCACTTTCAGATGTGCTGATCATTACATGCAAGTAATTCCGAATTCACAAAGACTTTGGTATATCTTGCCTCCGATATATTAATCTCCAACATTTTAAATTCAAGAAATACCGTGAATCGAATCAACTTTTGGCTCACGAACGTTTCAAGACTAAAGACGATACAACATTCCTGGAATTATTCAATATGACCACAATTACCACTACCCACTCGCTCGAGGAGCAAGGCAACTCCATTCCTGTCAAGGCGGATGCTCCAATCCAAGCCGCCGGCGCCCAAGCAGCACTCGCAACCGGCGGTTACGAGTTCCCCGGCATTCCCAAGATTGACGACCTCTATAAAAAGCGACAATGGCAGCTTGAGCACATGGCTGGTGCATTCCGGGTCTTTGCACGGAAGGGATATACGGAGGGCACTAGCGGTCACATCAGTGTGCGCGATCCGATCGATCCATCGACATTCTGGATTAACCCGTAAGATTTGAAATTATCCGACTAGTCTCTAGAAAATTGACAAGGCTAATGTTCATCAGCATGGGAAAGCACTTCGGGATGCTCAAGGCCAGCGACATGGTGCACATTGACGAGGAAGGCCAGGTTATCGGCGGAAACAAGACTGCCATCAATGCAGCTGGCTTCATGATCCACAGCGCCATCCACAAGGCACGACCTGATATCCATGCTGCCTGCCACACGCACTCTCCGGCTGGAAAGGCCTGGTCCACATTTGGACGGCCTCTCAACATCATTAACCAAGATACCTGCAACTTCTGGGGCACACAGGCCGTCTACAAATCATTCGGTGGAGTGGTCCTGGGTGCAGATGAGAGCGATCGTATTGCCGAGGCCCTGGGCGATACAGGTCGGGTGATGGTGCTCCAGAATCACGGTCTCTTGACTACTGGTGGTACTGTTGACGAGGCTGCTTACCTGTTCACATTAATGGAGCGCTCCTGCGAGGTTCAAATCATGGTTGAGAGCACCGGGATCGCTCAGAACATGATTGGAGACAGGGAAGCTGAATTCACTGCTAAGGTGAACGCTGATCCAGTAAGTTTGCTTCCAAAAGATTGCATGATTTGAGATGAATGGTGTTCTAACAGTCAATACAGGAAACTCTCTATACCGAATTCCAACCAGACTTTGAATATGAGATCTGGAAGTCCAAGGGTGAATTATGCAAGGGGGAATAAATTCGAGGTCTACACTCTTTTTCATTGGGATTATTCAGATACGATTTTTAGAAAGTACAGCCATGAAATAATTTGTGTTATCATTCGCTTTTTATAAATATCTATACATATCCAATATATATCCAGTTTCTACTCAGCTCCTATCCTTTGAACATTGTCGCAAAGTTGTTGTAACTACTTTGAACATATTTCTCAAACTTTACTAACGATAGACATGAGTTTATTCTCTGTATATCCCGATTGTACTGCGAATATTATTCTAGCGCGTGACACCTATCTCCAAGACTGTGAGCTGATTTAGACTTACCTAGCCGACCGTTGCAAGTTCCAAGCTTGGAAGGTTGCAAATCAGAGTTTCATGCTGGGTGGATCGACCAATCAAATTTGTTTGATTTCCCTTCTTATTTTGGGTCAACCAACAGACTCGGTAGGCCATAGCGACAAGGCCCACTATCGGTGTGTCACCGACATCGCCAAAGATTAAGATAAACTGGAGACAATGTGTTGGTCAATGCAATTGACATCAGCCGATGCATTTAAAAAAAAATCATATATCAGCTCCCTAGCTCTAGAAGCTATCTACCTTGGCTTCAATTTTTGTATATTCACCCCAAGTCCCTTTCTGGCCTCTAATTACCTTCTAATATCACTTTTCACACCATCGATCTTGAGCTACAATGGCGAACCGGGGCAAAACTCACAATGAGGAGGTCTACTGTATCAAAGACCTCGAGCGACTGGGCTCAAGCAAGATGCAAAAAGCTTATCGCGGTATGTTGGCGATCTACCTAGATGGGGAATTTTCCACTTGGTTGAATCAACCATTGGACTGCTTAATGGCAGAATAGCTAACAAAGATGATTAGAATATTACAACGAGGGAGCTATGGACCTCATCACGTATGTCTATGTTCTATGAATTTCTGATTCTCGTATCAGCCGACTGATCGTCCGTAATAGTCTGCGAGAGAACGAATCCGCCTACGATCGATACATGATCCGTCCTCGCGTACTCCGCGATCTTTCCAAACTGGACACCAGCACTTCCATCGTCGGATGCAAGGTGAAGTTCCCCTTCGGATTCTCTCCAACTGCCATGCAAACACTGGCACACCCGGAGGGAGAGGAGGGAACATCCAAGGCCTGTGCCAATAATAATACCCTGATGGGCCTATCAAACTACTCCACCAAGGAACTTGAAAAAGTGATCTCCCACAGCAAGGGAAACCCGTACGTGATGCAGATGAGTCTTCTCAAGAACAAGAAGGCTATGATCCAGATGATCAAGCGAGCAGAAGGTGGGATCTTTCTTCGAGCTTGAAGCAGAATAATTGTGTCTATTTGCTAACTTCAATCCCAGCCGCCGGCTTCAAGGCACTATTCCTTACCCTTGACGTACCGTACTTGGGTCGACGACTCAACGAGTACCGCAACAAGTTTGCCGTGCCGGATGGAATGGAATACCCAAACCTTTTCCCAGGCGTTGATGTGACCAATCTTGAGGATGGCGATGAGTCAATGGCCTACGACTCCTCTATTGAGTGGCCGCAGATTATGCCTTTCTTCCGTCAACACACAAAAATGGAGATCTGGGGCAAAGGAAGTATGTATACCATTTCCTTCAAAGTATTGGTCAAGAAAGTTCAATTTACTAACATTGTCCGTTACCAGTCTACACCTCTGGAGACGCCGAGCTCGCTATTAAGTATGGCTTCGACGGAATCGTAATCTCAAACCACGGCGGTCGCCAGCTCGATAGTGTCCCCTCCACCCTGGACGTTCTCCGCGAGATTGTCCCCGTTGCAAAGGGCAAGATTCCCATCGCTATTGACGGTGGTATCCGACGTGGTACCGATATTTTCAAGGCTCTGGCTCTTGGTGCAGACTTTTGCCTTGCTGGTCGACCGGCAATTTGGGGATTGGCTGTAAGTGCTCTATGGATTTACTTGTGGAACATGGGTATTGACTTTTATTATAGTACAACGGCCAAGAAGGTGTGGAGCTTGCTCTCAACCTGCTTTACGATGAGTTCAAGACATGCATGGCACTAGCAGGGTAAGACATTCAACTGAAGCTAACACATCAATTGATTATCAAATAACTAACAATATTTCCAGATGCAAGAATGTGTCTGAAATTCAGAAGGAGCTGGTCTCGCTGCTGCAGCCTGATGGTCGTTTGTTGAAGTTGTAAAGCAGCTCAACTTGTTAGAATAGGGAAACCATAGCATGTTTTTAGTATAGCGAGAATTGACATGGAACCAGAAAACTATTTTATCAAACTTGGAGTTACACATAAAACTCCATAATTGCTGAAGCAAGGATGCTGCATAGTGTGACAGCATCATGTTTTGTTTGTTGTGTGATGCAGTGTGAGTTGACGAACAAAGAATGACAATTGTATCATATTACGATTGCTTCATACCGTGAATACAGACAAATCTAAAGTGGTAATTAAGTATCTGTAGACAAGGTATATCCATTTGAAAAAGGGCGGACAATATCAATGAAAAGACCCTAACCAAGTTGATAGTTGATCGCATTAACTCATATTCATTAAACCAATTATTTATTGATACGGGTTATCAGCAGTGAACTTAGGCTCCCACAACCCCTTACTCTCCTTAACCTGCAACTGCAATCCCTTAAGAATACCATAAACCGTACGAAGAGTAGGCATAGGAACACCCTTAGCCTCACCCTCTCGCAAAGGCTCACCAACAATATTCTCAACCTCAAACAAATTCCCCTTCTCAATATCCTGACACATAGAAGGCTTGAAAGCCGTATCAACAGGATCACCCCGAATAACACTCTCAACAAGCTCATCTGGGAAATCCGTAACACCGTCCGCACGCGCAGCAGCCAGAATCTCCTTCATGATAGGACGGATCAGGTCATCAATGACATGGGCGCTCATTCTCATGCGCGGGGTATCCATACGCAAGATTGTCGAGATAGGGTTGTACGAGCCATTGTAAAGCAATTTTCTCCAGCGACAGCGACGGACATCTGCGTCGTAGATCAGATCGAGCTTGCCGTGCGGGTTGTATATGTCGATGTAGCGCTTTGCTGCGTCCTCAGCGACCTTGGCTGGCACTTCTGGGCTGGAGAAGGGGCCAATCTTTTGGTCGTCTGGGTCATCGTGCAGGATATCGCAGTGTGAGCGTGTGGTTGCGCCGACGAAGGAGACGCTGCTGATGAGGGGGTTTGTGGGGAAGCGGGGGATGATGGGCTTCTCGATATTGATTCCGTTCTGGGAGAGAACGATGACGGTTTTGCCGGGGGTTACGGCGGGCGCGATGATGTCGGCCACTGTTGGGGAAACATCCGGGATGTTCTTTGTTGTTACCAGGATGAAATCAAATGGTGGGAGGCTCTCCTTTACGACGTCTGGGACGGCTTTGCAGACTTTAATGATAGGTTAGAATATAGGTGTTTCGATGTGTTCATGATAAAAGGTTGGACTCACTATTGGTAGGTTTGAATTTGATGCCATTGCCGTATTGCACGGAATCGATGTTCACGCCGTTCGCCTTCACGGCTTCGTAGTTGGATCGCATAACAGCCGTGACCTCGGCTTTGCCGCCCTGCTCGAGGGCGTAGGCTGACATGGTACCGACACCACCGGTGCCGACAATGAGAACTCTTGCTTTTTGCTCGGACATTTTTGCGAGACTGATTAGACGGTAATAGTGAGAAGCGTTAAAGAATGAGCGCGTGAGAGGCAAGCAAGTAGGTCGTTTGAAGGCTTTAAAACAATGGACGAAGCTCATGGAGATATGTAATATGACAGCGTGCGAAGATAAGAGCTGTAGACTCACAAGTCAATTCTACGCGGGCTTATTAGTACTGAAATAGGAAGATCATCGCGACGGGGAAAAGTATGGAGAACCCCCACTACAGTACAGGGTCCACTTTTTCTAGAATAGGCATCTCATGGCGGAACTAAACTGCGATGTCGATCGGTAGAATTAATGACAGTATTAAGTAAATGTTGTTAGTGGAAGTTATCTCTGGATAATATCGAGGCAACTATCCTTAGATAGGACTCAAATGGAGGCAACTTCAGCCCGTGGTGAAGAATGGCAGTGTTTTTGTCGACACGCCTCCCCTCCCTTTCCTAAGCGATGTTTACTCCCTAGTTATGCATAGAAAGGTCCAATATATGATTTATGCGCTTTACCACCTCTGTATACATTTAAAATGAGATTTAAAAAGAATATCCGAAGACATGTCGGTGTGTGTAGTTATATATATCGTGTTTAACAACACCGTGCATCACATATATCGAACTAATCAAGCCTTGTGCCGTCAAGGACAGCGGCTGCATAAGCGACTATTCTTGTCAAAAATAAACCGAAAGGAGGGAAAGCAAAAAGGATAGTTGTAATTTTGAAATATAAACAGACATTGCTATGGAAAGCTCAAATGTAGCACAAATTATGGCGAACAATGCCTCTATAGACGCGAAACAATACCAGCGTTCAGAGTCTTTACAACCTCAGCAGCGGCCCGCTCTCCGCTACGAATAGCACCTTCCATATATCCCTTCCACTCACCAGCAGTCTCAGTGCCGGCGAAGTGCAAGTTGCCAGAGCTTTCGCGCAACGCATCAGGGCCCAGAGTATCAAGGACACCAGGAGTCAGAGCTGTGCACGGACATCCCCAGCCGGCCCACTCATCATTGACCCATTCGTATGCCGTCAATTGAATGAATTCTTTGTCGAGGTTTGCAACTCCGAAAAGCTTTCCAAGTTGCTGCAGCAAGCTCTGCTCGCGCTCCTTTTGCGATAGCGCAGACCAAGCCCGACCAGGATCGCCGGACATGAAGCAAGTAAGGACATACTTCTTATCTTCGGGACTACAGCTGTCTCGTACAACACTAGCAGGGCCAACAAAAGACTGAGCAAGGCCACAGAATCCAGCCTTCACCCAGAACGGAGAGCGGAATTCCATCATGGCCTTGGTGTAGTATCCGTACGTAGTGGAGTCAATCCATGCCTGCTTCGAGGGAGGGAGCTTGGGGTGGAATGAGATAGTCTTCATGGCAGGAGAAGGTACGGTGATGATGACCTTGCGGGCACCATATACAACACCTCCCGCTTGAACCTTGACGGATTTGTCGGCGTTCTGGATAATTGAGTGGACAGGACTAGAAAGTCGCACTGTGTTCTCCGGGAGAGACGATGCCAATCCCAGGGAGAAATGCTGAGTACCCTGTCGGATGCGGAGATATTGGCCGCCGTCCTTGCGATCGGATCGCATCTGCAACAATCCACCTCCGGACTTGCAGTAGTTCAGGAAGTAGAGAGCTGAGATATCCTGCGGATCCTGTCCAAGCATTGCCCGGGTCCAGACCATTCCAGTGGCAATAGCCACCTCGCTCGCTCCACGAGATCGCAAGTAGGCCTCGAATGTGATAGAATCCAAGCTAGTGTCTTGGGGCCTCCAGGTGTCGAGAGCTTGGCAGTCAGCTTCGCACATATCGCGGATTTCAGCCAGGTGGGCTTGGGTAGCTTTATCAAACTGAAAAACAACAGACCGTTAGCTTCTGCTATCTACTAGATTGTCTGTTCGTGGTGGATGGCTTACACTGGGTAGGTCACCATAGACAAATGGAGAGCAGTTGCCATCGAAGTCCTGTAGAACCGCATTGCCCTGAGTGTTCTGCACAATGACCTCTGCACCGTAGCGCTTTGCCAGAGCATAGACCTTGCTCTGGTTAGTGTCGTTGATCCAGCCCGCGCCCAGGTCAATTACACCACCACCATTAAGGGGTGAGCTCCAAGTCTTGCCTCCAACACGATCGCGCGCCTCCAGAACGACGCAAGACAAACCCGCGCGCAAGACATCATGTGCGGCGGAAAGACCAGCAAGACCGGCGCCGATGATAACAACGTCGGTATTCTCGTTGGCGGATGGGAGGACAGGGGGCAGGGAGGGCTCTGGGAGGGCGATAATAGCGTCAATCTCGAGGAGCCATGACGCGACAGCAAGCTTGGGAACGGGGACCAGAGTGATGGCTGGTCGGTGGCCATTGAGGAATCGTTGGATGTGTCGGGTATGCTTGCGGTTGGCTGCATCATAGTCGACGATGAAGAGTTGCAGCTTGACGATGTTCTCAATTGAAGACCCAGCGGCGATGATGAGCTTGCGCAGGTTCAGGAGAGCCAGGTGGATCTGGGACTCGTAGTCCGCTGGCACGACGCCATTCTTTGTGCTTCCGGGCTGGCCAGCGATGTGGATGATCTTGCCAGCGGGTGCGACCGTTGCTGGTGCATAGTACGCACCGGCGGTGTTGGACAGGTCGACGGTCTCTACGGTCTTCGGCATTTTGAGGGATGTGACTTGGGGGCAATGAAGAAAAGCGACCAAGTGCAATTGTCTGGTTATTTATGGCAGAGATAACGAGGGTTGGTGATAGGCTCATGCAACGTCTTTGGCCATCACCGCTCCTTCGGATCAATCTCAATCTCCATGCATGTTATCGGTCCAGGCCAACATGCCATCATCAGGCCCTAAAGGGAAGGAGATTCCAGAGAAAGAGGGGCTCAAATAATCACACCGCATCTCACTGGTCAAGTAGGGGGACGATGTCAAAGTGGTTGGGGAATTGTCTCTGTGGCCTTCCCCAGCCGGGCCCCAGCGCTGTCACCTACCGAAAATCCATGGACTCTTCGGAATGAACCCCGAACTTCAACAATTCCACTGTCAACATTGCGGGGTTGATAAATTGGGGTCTTGTTAAAGAGTCATTGGACGCTTGATTTTAGTTATCTCTAATATTTTACTGTTTTAAGTACCTCCAATTTAACAATGGCTACAAACATCCAATTGAAGGACCCGTCCTTGCTGGTCGGTCAAAATTACATTGATGGAAAATGGGTCGAAGCTGTGTCTGGAAAGCGATTCAACGTCACAGGTAAGCTGTCAACCCCCAATAACTTCCTGATAAGATTGAATACTGACTATGCGGTCCTACCACAGACCCTGCGAGCGGCAAACTCATCGGATCTTGTCCGGAGTCAGACACCAGAGATGCGCTAAGAGCAATTGAATCTGCAGCAGCCGCACTTCCTGCCTGGCGCTCTCGAACTGGTCGAAACCGCAGTCGGCTTTTGCGTCGATGGTACGAGTTGGTCATGGAGAACCAGGAGGATTTGGCTACATTAATCACCTGGGAAAACGGCAAGGCTAAGGCAGATGCTGCTGGTGAGGTTCTCTTTGCGGCCAGCTTCCTTGAATGGTTTGCAGAAGAGGCTGCGCGGATCTATGGCGATGTGATTCCACACACTCAGCCCAGTTTCCGAGTGTCTGTTCTGAAGGAACCAATTGGTGTCTGTGGTCTTATCACGCCGTGAGTGCGCCCAACATCTCAAATATTCTTTGCAATGATTGTATTTTACTGACAGATTACCCTTTACAGATGGAACTTCCCCGCCGCGATGATCACTAGAAAGCTTGGCCCTGCATTGGCGGCTGGCTGTACAGTTGTCGTCAAGACTGCCGGCGAAACCCCCTTCACAGCCAACGCCTTGCTGAAGCTCGGCGAGAGGGCAGGAATCCCTACAGGCGTCATCAACAGCGTAGCTGCGTTAGAAAACACTCCCGAGATTGGTCAGGCCCTGTGCTCCTCGAACACTGTGCGGAAAATCTCCTTCACTGGATCCACTCGTGTCGGAAAGCTGCTCATGCAACAATCGAGCAACTCCTTGAAGAAGCTGGGTCTAGAGCTTGGTGGTAACGCTCCTTTCATTGTCTTTGAAGATGCGGATCTCGGTTTGGCTGTGGATGCGGCGATCGGTAGCAAGTTCAAGTCCTCTGGACAGACATGCGTGTGCTCTAACCGGATATTTGTCCAAGAGAGCATCTACCCCGAATTTATCAAAAGACTCAAAAGCGCAGCCAGCAAATTCCAACTTGGTAATGGCTTTGATGCGAAAACCACTCACGGTCCTTTGGTCACCCCCGCGGCCGCGGAGAGAGTTGCCGGTCTTGTGGATGATGCTGTGAAGCGTGGTGCAAAGGTGGAAATTGGTGGAAAGAGAAGGTCTGACATGGGTATGTCATATACTAGGTTGCTTCATACATGCACTTCTGCTGACGAGATGTTTCCGTTTAGGTCCAAACTTCTTCGAGCCTACTATTCTCACCAATGTGAGCCCCGATATGTCTGTGGTCAATGAAGAGATCTTCGGCCCCGTGGCCCCCATTTTCTCCTTCAAGACGGAAGATGAGGTTGTCGCTACCTCTAATGCTTGTGATGTGGGATTGGCATCATATATCTTCACCCAGGATGTCACACGTGCTAATCGAGTTTCGGAACTCTTGCAATTTGGCATGGTGGCCGTCAACACAGGCGTCATTTCTGATGCTGCAAGTCCGTGAGTTTTCCACTTACCTATTCCTCCCCTATCCTCTTCCTTTTAGTCTTTAGCCTTTTGGCATATTCTAACAATCTTATAGATTCGGTGGAATTAAACACTCAGGAATGGGCCGTGAAGGAAGCAAATATGGTATTGATGACTATCTCCAGACAAAGACTGTCGTCACTGGAAACATCAATGTGGTGCATAAATCTTCTCTATAGACTGTATCTATCTATATTTTTTTAGCACAGTTAAAAGCCAAATTACTATTCAAGATCACCTTTTCAACGAAGGTAGAGAGAGGTATTTATGTTGTGTAATAAATTAGTCATTGATCTCTATTCCAAATTCCTCCCAAGTACACTTACAACATAGGTGCAGCATGGGCGTCTTACAGAAAGGCAAGGGGAAGAATGTTTTCCGACGGAAATCTGGCCGTATAACATGCACAATTATATAGTTATGTATGACTCTTATTTGTAATGATAAACTTGGGAGAACAAAGAATTTTAACGGACAATCGGAATGTTCGATTGTCGGTGCAGCGAAATAAACAAATATTGGACCGTAACATTCCTGAGGGACTACAGTCCCTACCTATTTATCATTTCTACCATTCTAATATCTAGCCATGCAGGCACTGACATTTGCACATATCCCACTAAAGTACAGCACTCGAGTTGATTCTCAGTTATAGTAGTCTCATCGTGACTTTCCCGATCGAACTGCTAACAGTATAGCTGCTGTCAAGCAATTCTATGGACGAGATAAATGACAAGAAAAACAGCACAGGATTTCGAGAACCTGAAGACTGTAACCAATCAGCCAAGATATGTTGTGAATTATTATAAGTATGGCATAAGTATGGCCACCTAAGATGACGCCTAGGTACTTCGATCCCTGTGTTCTTCGGCCCGGAGCCGCAGGTGGGCCGCGCCAGGATTACCGCTGTCCCCCGATCCACATTCGTTACGCACCCATTTCTTAGTGTGGCTACTTATGTTGCAAGCAAGTTAGTTGATTAATAGGTAATAGCTGTACTATGGGGCATAGAGAATAGGGGTGCAAAAGAGGGGCAGTAACAAGAATACTATGGAGTACTATGTGCAACTCATACGAACTAGTGTTTCATTCAAAAAGCAAAAAAGAAAAACAGACCCTGAGACAGGAAATTTGGTATCGATCTTCGCATAGCACAGAAAAAAATTGCGTAGAATTTCTAGGTAATTAGCGAGTGTGTAGAAAGTATTATGGCACGTTTAATATCAACCTTAGCAGTAGCTACACCAAGATTATCACGTATGTAGTAAAATGTCGTATATAGTTGATCTCATTCATAATTTTGAACTGCTCCTTATATGCAGGTGCATAGTGTTGCTCACATATAGATCACAACAGGACTCCATTCCTTCGTTCCTCTAAAAAAAAAACCCCCTTGTACTCATTGTTTCTGATACAGTCATCGCTTACTATAACTACTTGCTGGATCAAGTGCTTTGTCAAGGTAGATCGAAATACCAATTTGAAATCTACCTGGGCAAACTGTTCAGTTGCATTAGCCCCCAATTTCCGGTTTGCCGAATGCTTGACCAAGGATCGGCGCCACATACGGGACTAGGGACTAGTCCTTGCATTGTATACAGTCCACGGGTACATTTATAAACCCCTCGGAAAAGTAATAATACAACACGAAAGAAAGACAGAAAAAGAAAATCCCATGGCCAATTTCGCTGCGCCCCTTGTTGACTCGCTACCCGTCCATTACTCGGCATCAGAGGTTTAGTTCTCGACAAACTCAATAGACCACGGTCGCATCTCTCTTCCCCCAAGTTTACCCTAAGGCTCAGGATAATCAGTCACGTATCAATATTGTCCCTTTGATCCAATTTCTGAGGTGGCGGCGATACCACAACCTCTACCCCTTATGGACGAAGACCCGACGCCCCATAATGCACAAGCCAAGAGCCCAGTGCCCGTAGTGGCTGAGTGCACTACCCACTATCTCACGGGTATCAAGCTCTGGCTGGTTGTTGTTTCAACTACCCTCGTTTCATTCCTGATACTTCTTGATATGTCCATCATCGCCACGGTATGATGACATCTGTATTGCTCGGAAATCAATGAACCACCCGTAATTGACTCCAACTATAGGCAATCCCACATATAACGAGCGAGTTTCATTCCCTAACTGACGTGGGCTGGTATGGCAGCGCGTATCTCATATCAAAGTATGTCTCCCATGGCCTTCACCTTGCTGCTGGACCACATGCCCGCGACTAACTAATACAGTTGTGCTCTCCAGCCCCTAGCTGGCAAATTCTACACACAGCTGGTTTCGAAGTATACTTTCCTCACCTTCCTTACGGTTTTTGAATTGGGTTCAGTATTATGTGGTGCCGCAACTACATCGAATATGTTAATTGTCGGGCGAGCAATTGCAGGAATGGGGGGTTCGGGTCTCGTCATTGGAACCTTGACAATTCTCGCGGCCGTGGCTCCTAAGCACCAACAGCCAGGTTAGTCCTGAGAACCCCGAAACGCTTCTGATTGCTATAGATGAGCTAATTTAGCACTCAGCTTTGATCGGACTCACGATGGGTCGTAAGTGGTCTCTCAAATGAGTATACGTACCGCAAATCGTTCGTTATCTAACGTTCTACTTCAGTGAGCCAACTTGGTGTAGTGTGTGGACCTTTGCTCGGGGGTGTATTTACCCAACACGCCAGCTGGCGATGGTGTATGTTGCCATTGGCTCTTCCAATTCCATGTTCCTTGATATACTGATTTCCTAATTAGGCTTCTATGTAAATCTCCCTATTGGGGCTGTTGCTGCCCTCATTATTATCCTCATCCAGATACCCAATCAGAATTCATCTCCTGCCAACGGAGCACCGATGGAGAAAGCGATGGGCAACACACAAAGCCTCCTTCAAAAGCTAGACCTTGTGGGCTTCGTGATATTTGCCGGCTTTGCAGTCATGATTTCCCTCGCGCTAGAGTGGGGAGGATCAACTTATGTCTGGCGAAGCTCTACCATCATTGGCTTGTTTTGTGGTGCGGGATTGGCTTTGGTCGTGTTTGTGTTATGGGAGCGTCGCGTTGGGGATGCAATGGCTATGATTCCGGGTTCGATCGCTGGCACACGACAAGTTTGGTGCTCTTGTCTTTTTATGGGGTTCTTTTCCGGCTCCTTGTTCGTCTTCGCTTACTACCTACCTATTTACTTCCAGGCTGTGAAGAATACTTCCCCCACAATGAGTGGTGTGTATATGTTACCTGGAATCTTCGCACAGGTTCTTACGACGGTGATTTCTGGTTTCGCAAGTAAGTGCGAATGGCTGTTGTGCCTAATTTTCCTATCCTAATTCCATCATTATCTCTCGCTTCCACCAGCAGTTGCATCAAATTTGGTGTCGATCATATACTCACCACCAACTCAATAGTCGGAAGGACAGGCTATTACTGGCCGTGGGCACTACTGAGTGCTGTTCTCGCTGCCATCGGTGGAGGCTTGTTGTCCACCGTTCTTGCCCATACAGTTATCGTGAGACCGATAATGTATCAATTTATCGCTGGATTAGGTCGTGGTTGTGGAATGCAAACGGTAAGCTATTTTGAATCCTCATGCTGCCTTGACCTAGGCTTTCTCCTTGAATCAAAAATTGGGCTCAAATGGCCGAAAGGCTAACGTGGACACTCAATTCGTTAGCCGCTGATTGCAATACAAAACACACTTCCTTCTGAACGGGTCGCACTCGGGACCTCCCTCGCCGTCTTTGCACAGACATTTGGAGGATCTCTCTTCCTTAATTTTGCTAACCTTGTTTTTAATCATGGGCTCAAAGAAGGCCTCCCTAAGTTTGCCCCCACCGTGAATGCGGAGGCAGTAATTTCGGCAGGAGCAGCATCATTCAGAAGTGTCGTCAGCAAGCAGGACCTTCCGGAGGTTTTGAGCGCTTACAGCTCAGCAATTGGTCAAACTTTCTACTTGGCAGTGGGTGCCTCGGTGGCTACGTTCGCTTTTGCATTTGGGATGGGGTGGCAAAAGATCAAAACGAAAAAAGATGCTCAAGTCGCAGCTGAGGCTCAGGCTCAGGCTCAGACTCGCGGCGATTCTCACGCTTGATATGACTGGATTCTCTTTCATCATATTAATACTTTCGGATATACCCATGTGTTATTAATACATGTATAAAATCATAATACTGTCTTCTCAAAATTGAATTCATTGTTGTAAGTCATTTCTATCTATTGTTGGTGTAAATATGTCCTCGACTTTTGGCCGTGGTGCCCCTTCGCAGGCCGCTAGAAATTCTTTTGCTAGGTATACTAAATGCTCCTGGAGTTTTAGTACAGATCCGCATCACCTGCTATGCACATGCCCCGGAATTATACGGCTTTTGGAAAAAGTTACGATAGACAAGCTGAATGGTGAGCAATATCATTTTGTCAATTGATACTGTAAAGCGTCAATCTTTGCACCACCGGGCCTAGACTCTGCTATCTCCAAGCGTCAAACCTTCCACTAAACATAATTCTACACCAGCGTATTCTGTGCGTGGCCCAGTATGTGGGAACTATGGAATTTCGCGAGAGGCGTAGAATCTGGGGATCCCAAACTTTGTTGAGGATTTAGTTCATGGTGTTCGTCGATTGGCCACGCTGTGAGATTCCCGTTCAGGAGCCCCACACGGACCCCCGATAAGCCCGACGTCTGGGATTTTCAATAAAAATAACAATAGTATTACATCAACATTATCATAGCTTCTTAGTGCTAGCTAAAACGGGTCCACTATGCGATATGAGATTTGGGGTTGTGGTAATGGAAATGATTGAGCGGAGATACGAAAGTTCAGAATCTAATGAATTCCTCGTATACGGAGTAGAATCTTAAAGTATAGTTAACCAAGTGATATTCAATGCAGTCTCATTCGGCGTGCCCTTCCACTTAAAAGTATCATGCAACTGTCAAAACTGGTATGCGAAAAGTTGCTATTCTCATGAAATACTAGAATCTATGACTTCGGATCAGATATAAATTTGTCGATTCTTTAGGAATAATCAAACAAAGTCCTCATCAATTATGTCTTCTTCAAAAGTTGCTATATTGAGCCAAGATGCTCCTGCTCCTAGCCCTCTAATGTCCCAAGGAATCATCTGCAATGGAATGATTTATTGTTCTGGGAGTCTTGGCCTTGACCCGAAGACAGGAAAGTTTGTCAGTGGCGACGCCGCCGATAGAACAGTGAGTTAAGGGATGACAATTGTTGTCATTCATCGTTTTAACGGTTAGGAACTAGGTCCAAGCTCTTCGGAACCTTGAGCAGGTCCTGATAGCCGGCGGCAGTGACCTCAGCAAGGTTGTCAACACACCATTTTCATTTCTAGCATGGATCACTATCCAAAGGTGAATGAGGGATATGCGAAGGTGTTCACCCACGACGTGAAGCCGGTAAGTTTCCCCCTAGACAAGGTCGGAGTATTAACCATTGACCGTTAAATTTTATGCATAGTGTCGCACATGTGTTGGAGTTGCTAGTCTTCCTTTGGATGCTGAGGTCGAGATTGAGGTCATTGCATCGATCTAGTTGGATAATTCACATGCTTATAACGATTGGAAAAGGCTACACTTCAAGTGCTATCAGAACTTGGGAGCTTGAGAGACCATTACGTACATAATGAGACATGTCCTTCAATTCAGTATCTCTAGAAGAACACACCTAGGGAAAGCTATTGATCTGTTATTCTCCGTAGCGTACTCCGTACTAGGGTAATAGTTATATCCATGAGACAGAGTTTGTTAGCCATATGTGCATACCCACGTTGTCATTACGTCAACTAAGCCCTGCAGACACATTGCGCTTATTCACATCTATAGGGTGAACTTGTCTCAGTCCCCCAAAGGACCTATGGCCTCGCGTATCCGACAGGGCGGCATTGTTTCAGGCAAAAACTGGATATATGGAGTTGGAGATAGCACGTAGTAGATTCTCTCGCAGGTTACGGTATAAGGCAGGCCATAGCGAAAGATAGCTACCTGATCATTGGCCAACCTATTACCCCATCACGAACTGTCCCGCAGCTCCTATCTCATATGTCTACATATCTGGGGTAGTGGGGCCGTAGCGGATAAGTAGGGCTTTGCTCCAGAACTCTTCTTATCTCGCCTATACTTTCCTCCCGAATTCCAATCCCAGTACCAACCCTATTGGTCAATAGTTATCAACGACAACCGGAGGTCCAGTTGATATATCTCCGGGTTTTTTTTATTGATATAAAGGACTAGAACTACACACATAATATGTCTCCATTATAACCCTTTCAGTGTTCTGGTCTTGGGATAATATTTCACTCTCATCATGGCGGAAAAACAAAACAAAATCCCAGATGACATTGAGGCGTCAGGGCCCATCACTTATATCCCTTCACAGACGGGTGAGATACTCAAGGATGAAAATCTCACTCACGATCCTGTTTTTGGTGAGGTCACTGAGGATGGACCTAACTATCGCAATGTAAGTTGCTCTCAAGATCGGGCGTTATGACTCACACTAACGAGAATAGGTTGGTTGGCTGGGCACAGTCGCTTTAATGATGAAGACCCAAATCGGTTTGGGTGTTCTTTCTATTCCGTCTGTCTTCGACACACTAGGGATGATTCCAGGTGTCATTCTGCTTTGCATCGTTGCAGGAATTGCCACGTGGACAAGTTATATGGTCGGCATCTTCAAGATCAGACATCGCGAGATTTACGGCATTGATGAGGCTGGTGGCTTGATGTTTGGCAGAATGGGCAGAGAGGTGTTTGGTATTGGATTTTCCCTCTGTAAGTGGTGCTTCCTTTGCTTCTCTGTGTGTGTAGCTTTGAAGCTGACCTTTTCCAAAGACTGGATCTTTGTTGCAGGATCAGGCATACTTGGCATTTCTATCAGCTTAAACGCCATCTCAGACCATGGAACATGTACTGCTGCATTTGTTGGCGTTGCGGCTGTTATTGGATTCTCACTCGCCAGTATTCGAACGCTGGGCAAGATTACTTGGATCGCGTGGGTTGGATTAGTTTGCATTCTCAGTGCCGGTAGGTCGCTTTAAGATCTTGCTCCCGGTCTCATATCTAACAAAATTTGATAGTTCTGATTGTCACTGTCAGCGTTGGCATCCAGGATCGACCTTCCTCTGCGCCCCAGGAGGGCCCTTGGTCTTCAGACTTCAAACTAACCAACTCTCCAACTTTCGCACAAGGAGTTGCAGCTGTCTCATCACTGATCTTCGCATGATCCGCCACACCCGCCTACCTTTCCATCGCCGCTGAAATGCGTGACCCGCGGTTGTTTACTCGATCGCTCGTTGTTAGCCAGCTTGGATCGACTATTATCTATCTGGTCATCGGCATCGTGGTCTATTATTACTGCGGATCTGATGTTGCATCACCTGCCCTTGGCTCCGCCGGCCCGCTTATCAAGAGGATCTCATATGGAATCGCTTTGCCTGGCCTTATTGCTTCCACCACCATTGTTCTACATGTAAGTGGCGAAAATTTCTCACAGCCCGGCCTCCAAACTAATTTATTCTAGCTTCCAAGCAAATACGTCTTCGTTCGCATCTTGCGAGGTTCGGATCATCTGACCTCGAACACCTTGACCCATTGGGGCGTCTGGCTCAGCTGCACATTTGGTTCTACCCTGGTAGCCTACCTCATTGCCAGTGGTATTCCGTTCTTTAACAGTCTCGTCTCCCTCATTGGGGCGTGTCTAGGTGCTTCATTAGCTTACCAACCCACCGGCTGCATGTGGTTCTACGATAATTGGAGAACCACTGACAGAACTTGGAAATGGAAGTTCATGGCATGCTGGAGTTTATTTATCATTGTGATTGGAACGTTCATGACAGTGGCAGGTACTTACGGCTCGATCGTTAGTATCATTGATTCACTCAAAGCTGGGGGGTCAAAGCCTTGGACTTGTGCGGACAATTCTAACTCTTGATAAAAACATTTCGATGATTAAAATGAACCTTACTATGATCACTTCTTCCCTGCAAATATCACGAAAAAGATTTAAATAGCCAAATCGAAGAATATAAATTTGAAACATATTATGGCGGACGAGGGCAATTAAAACACGATGACTAAAATTGATTCATAAGTGAAGGTTCAAAATTTGTCCTCGCTATCCCACTATCGTGAATAGAATCTTCAATACGATACATCATCTCCATTCCGTCTACCTACTAGCCTTGCCAATTCCGCCGATTCAAAGTGAGGGGTTAGCATTCTGAACAAGCTGAGCAAAGTACGCCTGTGAAGTCATTAGCATCGTATAAAATAACCCCCTCAATTAGGGCGCTCTTACCTGGAACCATGCGCCAGCTTCGGGAGCAGGTTGAAGAGCATCGCTGTAGCCACAGTGGGAATCATAGCGAGTCGCACTGGAATCCGAAGTACCATCGCTCTCGCCACCGGGCTTCACCCAGACAAAGGCATCGGCCAAGGCATCTCCTGTCTCAGTAGTTGGTCGAACACCGAAACCAGTTCCTTTGACATTGCACCAATCACCCCAAGCATTTTGCGAAGTGGGCTGGACTCCATTACGGCCTAAGTAAAAATAGTCAGTATGGAATCTTTGACTCATGGTAGAAACCCGTTGCTATGGTGTTATTTTAGAAGGTTTCCAGATTACATACCGGTATCGGTGATGAAGTGGGCATCCCAGCCTGCACTCCTAAGCAGGGGAGCAAGGGCGTTGATGTATTTCTTCTCGTCGCAGTTGGCATCTCCCGAGGTGTATGATGGGCAGGTAGTGAGGGACCAGCCGTTGTAGTTGGCAACGTTGGTGGCAAGTCCGCGTAGAGATGCGGGTTTATTGGCAGTGTTGTAGACATTGGCGTATAGCGTAGCTGCCGGGCTCAGATTGGCAGGCCAGCCAAGCCATCCGGCATGTCCTATATCAACAGTTAGTGGATGTATATAAGAAATGATTGCATGCCTTTTAGCGCCACAGGATACCCTGGTTACTGCCTCCAGGAACTTGGGGAAATGCTTACCGGCGTCAAGATACATGGCAACATTAGCCAAGTTCAATTGAGTGACAGCATAATTAGTGCACTCCAAGTAAGCGTCATGTGCGCCGGCACACTTCGATACACCCATGTTGGTAACCAAATTGGCCAGACTATCCGGTTCTAAACACGAAGTCAGCACCAACTATTCCCTCAGTCCACACGTCAAAGTGATCAGTTAGCAAGGCCTACTCACCAACAACGAGGATAGTCTGAATATCAGAGTATTCAACCAGCACCTTGCGGATGGCGTCAATGTACGCCTTGTAGTTCGCAACACCACCATTGGCAATAGAGTACTCTCCATTACTAGCCAAAGCCGCGCAGTCACGATCAGGCAGATCATAAACAACAAATTGGCCAGCAATGGGCGGGCTAGCACCGGCTTTGTTTTGAGCCCTGATGTCAGCTAAGAACTCTCCCATCTTTGGTACCTTGTCAGCAGTATCCCTGACAAAGAAACATTAGTATTGTGGTCGAGTTGTATAGAACATCAATACAATGAACTCACAGCCAATAAAAGGACGGAACTTTAGCGGCTGCACTGGCAGCGGTTTTAGCAGCACCTGTCATGGATGGCAAGGCCGATGCTGAAACTTCAGATGCATAATACGGATTGACGTAGAGCTGGTGTCCTGAGAAGGGATTTCCCGAGGCTACAGCAGTTACGGTTGGGCTAGCTGTGCTTGAAATTGCAGCAGCTGCTGACAATGAAGCCAGCAGAGGCACAAATGGAATGAGAGATCGCATCTTGCTGGTCTGGAAGCAGTAGGTTTGAATGTTTCTTATTTGTTTGTGATGCTGTGGATAATTGTGTAGGAATTATATGACTTTATATACCTTAGGGAGACGCATGTCTTCCTGCTTCTGCGGAGATTGAAGCCGTAAACCCGAAGATTATGCCGCACCACATCGAAATATTCGAGTATGAGATCAGAACTATCTCCGCTCAAATGACCATTCCCAGACATTGCCAAGACACGGCATGCTATGTCCTACACGTGGTTAAAACTGGATGAATATTGTCTCGTCCGGGGTAGATGTAACACAAGGCAGAGTAATCTGCGCCTTGAAACCACTATAAACTGCCTAGATAGTCAAGGGGAGAGGGTGGAATGTAATATCAAAACCCCTGCATCAGCGCGGCATTAATGCCCCGTCCCCGAATAGGACACTTCTCGTCGATCCTCCCCAAACTCGGTGCGGGAGCACCGTTTTAGGCTTGCTCCATATTGCCAGGTCAAGCTATTCGTCTCCGCTTAGCTGCGAGTAGAGGAAGTTCCTCGGCTGTCGCAAGGTGAAGTAGAAGGGTGTCAGAACGATTGAATTTATGGAGAAAGAATGTTGAGAGACTGTTGCAATGGAATGGATATTGTTCTAGACATATAGAGACTATGACATCTTCAAGGTCAAGGTAATTGCTGCAGAAACGCCATTTACTTTTGACAAGCCACATTATTCACATCCCTCAGACCCCGCACCGTGGCGTGTTCTTCAGCCGGATTAGTCTTTACATGAAACGAGGAGATCTCACGCAAAGGAAATTAAGGGTGTATCAACGGACACTTGTACCGTACAATCCTTTAGGCCGTAATAATCCAAAGACCCTAAATTGAGAGGGATGGATCAGTATTGAGCCAGGTCAAGGGCGTCCATAAAGGTTAGCTGATACTCTGGACTGCCCTGGATGTATTATATCGACAGTGACATTGATTTAAAGCAAGCGAGTGGGTTTCAATATGACCTCATTCATTTGAGTAAATCTAACACTGAAAGAAGTGTTAAAGAGTGGAGTGGTATCTGTATCATCATGTATGTAGTCCCGGTCTCAGCCTGGGATATGTGCCAAAGGAAAAAAAAAGAAAAAAAGAAAAGGAAAGAAATAAGGAAAGATCAAAAGAGTGATGGGAGAAAGGGAAAAAGGAGAAAAATAGGACGCAATCCAAGCCCGTGTTCCTCAACGCTTAGCTTGATCACACTCAGCTAAGAACTTGTAAATCCCCTCGACACCTTCATATGCAGAGTTACTCTCCGGTTGGCCAGAGCTGGAGATTTCCGGGAAGAAAGGCTGATCTCCGAGTTCACTGATGTTAATACTAGAGTAGCTCTTGGTGGAAGATCTCCATGGATTGGCACCAAACAGCTCACTGTCCTCGAAACTGATGGCATTGCCGGAATCCCGACTGCCACCTGGTGATGATTGCGTGCAGCTTTCTGGTGTCATCATCCCTTGCCAGTCAAGATCTGCGGGATACTGTGCTTGTGACTTTGGGGCCTTTTCAAAGTAATAATCAGTGTCGGAGGAAGTGGCAATGCTGGGTGCGAAAGGGAACAGGAGAGCCAAATCAGCACCATTGCGAAGATCGAAGTCTTCATCCTGCACGACTTTGCCACGCTGAATCCCGGCCTCACAACACAGTTGCTCTACGGTGTCCGCATCACAGCCCGGGAAGCGCACCCGTATAGTTGATCTGTCGTGAAGGGAGATCGGAAGATCACCAAGTGATGAAAGACGCTTGAGGTCGTTCATCACGGCAGAGAAATCCTTCAAGGCACGGGCAAAATCGGCAGAAAGCAGATCCATAAGACCCTCGGAGTTCAGAGAGTCACACGAGGCGGAACGGTCCTGCTTGCCGAGACCACCAACAGCACTGAGTGCAGTGATGGTCGGAGAAACTTGGAAGTCAATGTATGAGCCAGCCGCGCTGTGCAGGTTGGCATTCATCTTTTGCTCTGCCTGGTCCTGCAGCTTGCTCACTGACTTATACCGCTTCTCTCCGGTGTGGGGATCAATGCCGTCGAAGCGAACTTTCTGCCCAGACAAGAAGAAAGCGCGGACACCCTGCGACACATTCTGAATAACTTGTGCTGGTGCTGCAGGCCCATGGGAAAAGTATCTAGCTCCACCAAAACGGCCCGCTCCAGCAGCGTATCCTCCGGCAGTCCGACCAAGGGTCCCACCGGTCAGATTGGGACGAAGAGTTGAAGCAAAAGGTGCACGGCTGCTGAGTCGACTGATATTAGACACAATGCGAGAGGTGGTACGTGCAGTGGTATCCGCTCCTAGGCCGGATCGAATCGCAGAGGCGTAGGCACCGGCTGCACGGGTCGAGAAGTGGCGACTGCGGGCTTGACGGATGGCCGCGGCACGGCTGATTGGCTGGCGAGGGTTGATTCGGGCATAGGCAGGTTGGTATCGCACCGGATAGTACTCTGTAGGCTCTGGCAGTTTGGATCGTATAGCCTTAGAGGCCTTTGCGTAGGCAAACCTAGGAGGATGTTAGTCAATGGCTCCATAGTAACTCGAGAAAACAGGGGAGACATACCTTGCTGCCCTCCATATTTTAGGAAGCAGCAGGTGGCCTGCTGAAGGCGCCATGATGATATTTCAGAGATGAACAACAGTTCACTAAAGATGGTGGGGACAGATGCTGAGGAGAGAGGAAGGATGTCTGATGACGATGGGGTCCACGGGTATACACCCTTATCTCTCCGCCTCAGGCCCTAGGCTCCGCAGTGGCTGTGCGACGCCACTCTCGTGACCAAAAAGTTTGCGTTTCTCTTGTTTGCACCATACGTTATGTTTGTTGTTATGATGTCATCAATGGAATTGGAGCGATGTACCTTGCTTAATCAATATTTGGTTGCAATAAACACCTTTTTTTGGGCAATTAAGCTTATTCGCTATATAAATATGAAGAAGCTGTTTATGTCATGGCCAAATCATTCTTTTGGTATCTAAAGCCTATGTACTCATAAAACATTGTATCATTTTCGACATATTTACTCGTCATCGCCAAAGAACACCTTGATCGGGAGCCATGAGTCACCGCAGACCTTGAAGCGGTCCTTGAGGTTATCAAGCTGGTTAACCTCATCGGCAGTCAATTCCCAGCCGTTGATATCAAAGTTGCCCTCAATGCGAGACTTGCTGACGGACTTGGGAATGACACTCCAGCCCTTCTGGATACCCCAAACCAGGAGCACCTGCTGAGGGGTCTTTCCCTTCTGCTCCGCGATCTTCAGGAGAGTGGGGTCCTTGTACAAGGGAGAGTTGGTGGAGCCCAGGCAGGAGTAACCGGTAGAGTGGATGCCCTTGGAGGTGTTGTAGGCGACCAGCTTGGGGGAGGGGTTGTTGGGGTGCAGCTCAATCTGGTTGACGGCGGGCACGATCTTGCAGCTGGGGTCATTCAGGAGCTTCTCCAGGTTCTTGATGCCGAAGTTGGAGACACCGATGTTGCGGACCTTGCCAGTGGCAGGCAGCTTCTGCACTTCTTGCCTGTGATGGACACGAGGAGTCAGCGATGGTTTCCCAATGGAGAAATGTGAAGTGTCACTTACCAGGTCTTAATGAAGTCCCAGTCGGGCAGGTGCTTAGACAAGTCATCGGGGTCGGTGGAGCTGGGCCAGTGAACCAAGTACAGGTCAACGTAATCGGTACCGAGGTCCTTGAGAGAGGAATCAATGCCCTCAGTCACACGCTTGTGCCAGGGGTTGTCCAGCTTGGTGGTGAGCCAGATCTCCTCGCGGGGCACGCCGGAGTCCTTGATACCCGCACCGACCTCGGCCTCGTTGCCGTAAGCCAGAGCAGTGTCAATGTGGCGGTAACCGGCGAGAAGAGCGTCCCTCACGGCCACGCGGACCTCATTAGGCTTGGACTGCCATGTTCCCAGACCGATGGCGGGGATCTTAGCACCGGTGTTGAGGGTGTAGGTCTTCCTGTAGAGGGAGAAGGGTTAATGCGATGGTCTGAGTGTATTGCATTGCCAGGGACATACTGAGTGTGTTGGTTGGACATTTTGGGTATATTTTGAGAGATTGAATAATAAATTAAAAAAAAAAGGGGGGCTCAAGAGACAAGAGACAAGTGTTCTTTATATAATGTGCTGACTCTAAAGTGGGCAGGTCCAAGAGCGATGATGTCGTGGTGAGGGGAGGGTAGAGTGGGGTGGAGATTGGCCATGTTGGACGTTATTCCGCTTGATTCCCTTGATTCCTTTGATTCCCTTTACTTCGACAGAGTACCGCGTCAAACCCGTGTACGAAGTGATCAAAGAATTTACCCGACTGGCCATATCCAGTTCCACTGTGAGACTGCTTCTGAAGGTATAACCAAGGACAGCGGACACATAATTCTGGCTAAATGCACGTTTCCACTCTAACTGGCCCACATCTTCCAATTGAGATCGACTCCCCAATTCTCCGAAATCTCCGACTTATCATTTGTCTTACGCGAAACTTCCCTTTCCAGAAATTTCTCTGTCTTATTTACCCAACATTATTATTCGCGTTTCGGTCCATTCCACGTACCCCACATCCTTTCCCGGCCCCCCGACGCCGGATAATTTCGTATTCCGACCGACCATTATACCCGAGTCCTACATCCCGTGACCTCATAATCATTTTACCCAGCCTCCATCACTATGTCATCAGGCTTCGTTTCATCCGGGACAAACGAGCAGCCGATCGAGCGGGACGATGAGTGGCTCAGAGCGCAGCAGGAGCTCGAGGAAGAGCGGAGACGAAAGGCCGAGATAGGGAAGCAGGATGACGGCAAAAGTCTCTTTGAGGTGCTGGAGCGCAATAAAAGTGAGCCCAACTCGGTTACCTGGCCCAGTCTGCGCAAACGGAGAAAAGAGCGGACAATTCATCCAGGGAATCTGGCTAACATGTTAGGGTGATTTTCCTCGGTTATTATGCAGTGGCCAAACAAGAAGCCTTTGAAGAGAAATCCCGTCTCAAAAACCAATTTCGATCCCTCGATGAAGACGAAGTCGACTTCCTAGATTCAGTTCTCGAGTCAACACGCGCCAAGGAGGCTGCTGTAAAGAGGGAGACGGCAGAACAACTTGAAGCCTTCCGTCGACAGCGCGAGGAGGCCCAGAAAGCTCTACTTCAATCAACCTCCTCCGACGCGACACCCGTGCAAGGAGAAGAATGGACTACTCTGGCTCGCAAGAGACGGCATGATAAACATAGGCACTCATTGATTCCAGGAAAGAAGCGCAAAGCTTCAGTCGCCGAGAACGCCGCTGGGAAGGACACACAAAATGGGAAAGACTCGCAGAAACAGGCAGGAGCTGACGGTTCAAGTACCAAGAAGCTGGATCAAGGGACTTCCAAGTCCGGTCAACCTACACCCGCTACTTCTGCCACAGCATCTGAAACTACAAATCCTGCCACAAAGTCCAAGGTGGTAACAGATACAGAGAAGGGGCAAGTAAAGCCAAATAGCCCACCGAAACCGCCCCCGGTTTCGCTTGGCCTAGGAGGATACAGCTCGGACTCGGAATGATGGGCCAACCTCTATGGGACCTCGCAAGTTCGCTACCACAAATATCTATGTTAGCGCTGTATGATATAAACCAAATCAATGATTCAAGAAGTAAATGTCTTGACAAGTCTAATAAGAATGCATAGCTTGGCTTTTTACCAGCATTTCACCTCATCTCTACTATTGTGTGTGTTGACATTTGAATAGGGGGGTTGTGAGTTTTTCAGGTTGTCAGTCGAGTTTGGCTTATTAGTCGCTACTAGCGACTAACTAGTTGCGTCTAGTGGACAACCCCGGACAAGCCGACGACGTCCGCACTGTTGACATTCTCAAGTGATCTGTTCTGGTGTCTTTGCTTATATATTTTACAAGACGACAGCAATTTATGGACATTTCACTCCACAGGTCACAACTGTATTATTGTATCTCAATATCAAATCAACTAATCCCCCCCCACACATGCAACACAAACACTTTCCTCTACAAACTCCTCCCCTGTGGTTACGCTCTACTCAACATGGACCGCATTTTGCTTCACCTCCTGCGCCTCGACCTTGCGCTCCAGATCATGAGTCATATAGTCTTCCTTGCGACTTCCAGGCACAATCCATGGTGCATTTGTGAACATTTGGTTCATTTCCTCGAGAGGCACGCGCTTTGTCTCCGGAAGCAAGAGCCAGAAGAAGAGCGCATTGGTGAAGTTACAGACGACAAATAGGTAGTAATAGCGATACCCAATATTCGTCATTGCAATGGGTGTGACCTGACCGATCATTGTGTTGAAAGCGTAAGAAATCATCGTGGCAATCGAGACACCCTTGGCACGTGTGCGAGTATCGAACACCTCGGCTGGGATAATCCAAGTCAAAGGACCGCAGGTTGCCGAGAACGAGAAATTGTACAGCCAAGTCATGATGATGAATCCCCAATGCGCGCCGGTGTTGTTGCTTGTTGGAGGGAACTGTGCGAGCAGCACGGTTGCAACGATAAAGGTCACCATGTTGCCGAGATTACCACCGATCAGAGTCCAGCGACGACCGAAGCGATCAATGTACATCATGCACAGGAACTGTCCGATCAATGCGATGATGGAGTTGATTGCCTGGTACTTCAATGTGTCTTCGTTGGAGATACCGATTTGGCCGTAAATTGTGGGCGAGTAGTATCTATGGACGAAATCTTGTTAGCTGGTTGATTCGATGTTGACCAACTGGCAGTGGTAAGTCATTGTGCACTTACTGAATGGCGGATACACCGGTCATCTGGCCCGATGCTTGCAATGCACAGCAAAGGAACAACCGACGGAACGAGGGGCGATTTGTCAACAGCTCCACATATGACTTTGCCTCGTTCTCGTGTTCAAATGTGATGCTCTCTTGAATCTGGGCAAATTCGGCCTGGACCCAAGTATCATTTTCATCCCCATGGGCATGAAGCTTGGCCAATGTACGCAATCCCTCTTCGGCTCGGTTGTTGTCGATGAGCCAGCGAGGCGACTGGATAAGCGTTAGTGAATGAGGCTGACCCGATGGAAATCAAAACCCACCTCAGGGAAGAAAGAGATCAAAAGACCCAAGAACACCGCAGGACCAATCTGCAAACCGAGAGGAAGTTGCCATTGTGCATTGTTATCCGGCGAAAAGCCGGTGTACGTTCCGTAGCCAATCCATCCGGCACACAGCGCTCCAATACCTAGCATAAATTGCTGCAAGGCCGTCACTCTACCACGGATGCTGGGGTGACAGATCTCGGCTTGGTAGAGAGGAATCATCATCGTGAGGAAACCGACGCTAAGAATCAATGTCATTAGTGTTTGCTAGAGTATCTGTTTATGAGAGAGATCACATACCCTAACCCGGCCAGGAATCGTCCACTGTATAGGTAGGCAATTGTTCTCGCACCGGTTTGAAGACCACCTCCGAGGGTGAAGATAAGACATCCCAACGAGATGGTCCGTCGTCTACCTAAATAATCGCCACTGGGACCCGCAAAGCCAGCACCGACGCATGCGCCAGCTGTGAACAGAGACACAATTAAACCTCTGCAAAGTTGTTAGAGATTTTCATATTTTGTATGGTATGCGAGACTCACGTTTGAGTATCATTTGCCTCAAACTTTGCTTTAAATGATTGACAGACAAGCACCTCGGCGATGACACCCAGATCATCTGCGACTATATTAGATCCCGTGTGTCAAGAACGGAGGTTGGAGACATACATCCATAAAGGAATGATCCAAGAGAGGCAAAGACGCCAACCAGGAACTATATCAAAACATCAGCTCGGTCTTCTTAGTGGGAGTAATCATTCATACCTGGTACCATGCTGGCGAGAGACGCATGGTTTGGAGAAGTGGATATTTTATAGAATAATATGGGGATGAAGATCTACCTCCACATGTCACCCATTGTCCGGGGTATCCTCTCTACATATACAGAGGAGCCCGGAAATACATGAGCCCAAATGGAGCAATTAACCATCACTCCGGAGAATCGTATACTTCAGCGGACAGACAAGGCTTGAACTGCACTAACATCACGTGGTGCAAATGTGGAAAATGCCGAACACTCGTCTCCAATCGCTTCTGATATTTTTTACTCCGTTAGGAATGATCCGGGATGAAAGTTCATAGCATGCGGGGAGGAGTTGGCAAAGAAATGTGGCGCGCGATCTCGTCTGTGATTGACGGAAGATCTTCCACATTTCTCCCATCTCGGGGGCATAATGAGGCTAGACTGCCGAGACATTGGTCTATTGGTCTATGTTGGATCCAAAGACAACTAAGGGCTTGGTGTCGTTTTCCCGGTAGCCACTGTAGGCGCTACTAGAGTTAATACAGGGGTCATCATCCGGATCCCACAACTGTTCCCCCGCAGGAGTTTTCCCGCTTCAAGGCCCGAGACATCGGTTATTTTGATAAATCACCTGTGATCAAAGTACATCTCGCTTCTTTAATTTGTTTTCCTTGAATCGCGCCTTTTAAACCTTAACAAGGACGCCTTTTCCCTAAAGTGAATCGCGACTTTGGATCAGTTAAATCGCCTATTTAGCCAGAGTGACGCCTCCAACATAAACAGTAGAAACAAACTTCACATTTGTACAGAAGATGACGACCTTTACTAAATTGGAGGATCATGAGACGCCTCTCATCTCCGTGCACCCATCGAGGCGCATCTCCAAGATCAACCCGAACATCTATGCCGGCTTTACCGAGTAAGGCATCTCGGACCTCTTCCAGTTTCATGATTTGAACTAACTAGTTTTACAGGCATATGGGTCGCTGCATCTATGGTGGAATCTATGACCCTGGAAACCCGCTGTCAGACGAGAAGGGATTCCGAAAGGATGTCCTGGAGGCGTTGAAGGGGCTCAACATCCCTGTCGTTCGGTATCCCGGCGGCAATTTCTGCGCGACCTATCACTGGCTCGATGGCGTCGGTCCTAAGGATCAACGGCCAGCACGGTACGAATACTTCTCATGTGATATTTATTTTGCTAGAACTTTGCTGATGTTGATCTACTGAAAGACCAGAGCTTGCTTGGCTCGGAACTGAGACCAACCAATTCGGCACTGACGAGTTCATGCAATGGTGTGAGGCTCTAGGCACGGAGCCGTACCTTTGCTTCAACTTTGGTACCGGTACCTTGGATGAAGGTACGTTCTCATTTAACCCTGCTTTGACACGAAGGCATACTGATGTTGAACCTCTTTAGCCTTGGGCTGGGTTGAGTACTGCAATGGAACTGGCAACACTTACTATGCCAATCTACGAAGGAAGAATGGCCGTGAGGAGCCCTACAATGTATGTTCAGATAAAAATTGCAACCTGTTGAGCTGCGATCAATCTAACAACCTGAGCAGGTCAAATACTGGGCCCTAGGTAACGAGTGTTGGGGTCCCTGGCAAGTGGAGCAGATGACCAAGGAAGCATATGCTCACAAGGCGATTCAATGGGCCAAAGGTAATACTTCATTTCATTACTAGCAGAAACTTCGCGCTAATTATTTTCACTTCAGCTCTCAAACTCCTGGATCCCACCCTCATATTGATCCTCTGTGGCCAAGATGGCACTGCTTCATGGGATTACTACACACTAAACCAGTGTCTTGTCCCTGCCCATTCCGCGTTGTCAACCAGCTCAGTCCCTTTGATTGACATGCACAGCATCCACCTCTACACATCCTCATCATCCCATCTCCACAATGTTACCGCACCATTGGCAGCTGAGCGTGCAATTGAAATCACATCCGCCTTAATTGATCTCGCCAGGGTTGAAAACAAGGTTCCCCCCGAGCAACTTCGCCCAACAATCTGCTTCGACGAGTGGAACGTCTGGGATCCCATCCGCGCAGAGGGAAGCCAAGGCGCCGAGGAGAACTACACACTCTCCGACGCCCTCGCCGTCGCCGCCTGGTTGAACGTCTTTGTCCGAAAGAGCAAGGATGTCAGCATGGCGTGTATCGCACAGACTGTTAACGTCATCTCACCCTTGATGACCACCCCAGAGGGAATTACCAAGCAGACCACCTGGTGGCCGCTTTGGCTGTTCTCGCGCTACATGCGCGGTTGGACCGTTGCCAGTCATGTTTCCAGTGGAACATACGAGGGTGAGACTACTCCTCAGTGGATTCGAAGTGCCAAGGATACCCCCTGGTTGGATGTCAGTGCTACTGTCGGAGATGATGGGTTTGTCAATGTTGCTGTGGTGAATATTCACGACACTCAAGATTTGGAAAGTCGGGTTGAGGGTGCCCAAGGAGAAGTGGCTGTGTTCACGGTCACCGCAAGTGATTTGGCCGTGACAAATATGAACGGCAAGGAAGAGGTGGCGATCCAGGAGTCGACCTGGAATGGAAGTGGGTCGTACGTTTTCCCACGACACTCGCTTACTCTACTGAGATGGAAGGCTGAGTGACTTAACCTATGTGAGATGGTTTCATGAGGGCAGCAATAGACTTTCAAACAATAGATGTTCAATTGGTTCAATTTGGTCTTGGAATTCCAGCCTGAAGTGCCGGGTTAAATATATATATCTTAGCTCTAACCGTAGTTCACATCGTGAACAGCTCCATCTTCATCCACATGGATGTTGAGTCTAGATTCAATCGCACACGGTCAGCGACATGGTCATTACCTTCATGGCGCTTTGCAATGAGGCTTTACCTGTTCGGATTATGATCCATGGTCTTCATGTCACCTGGCTTCAATACTCGATGAACATCAGGAAGATCTTTCTTTGCAAAGGACTACCAATTAGTCAGATTAGGATGCTCATGTCGACAATTTTTCAAAAGTGACGTACTGTCTCATTACTAGTGTTGCTAATGGTCTTGCCCATGAGCTTGTTGACCCACTCGGACTTGTTCCCAAATGAGGAGTTGATTCCTGGAACAACGAGTGGCATAATGGCTGGTTCAACGTAATCAATATATCCAAAGGGACGTGTAAAAGAGAGAAGCAAAGTGAGGTTTGTCGCTGATATACCGCATCCTGAATCGATGACGTAGTATCCATATTGGGACTAGCGTCTTATCATCCATGCGCCTCTCAAGTTATCACTTTCCTCATTGGCCTCGGCATATTAACGACGTCAAGTTGGGGGAATTTCAAGATTCTGCACCACACAATTGGTCTCTATGTATTGAATCATATAGGACTGCGCGTTGAGGTAAACATATGAACAGACCGGAATTGCCGAATGCTGAGTCATGATCTGACGCGGGGCATGATGTGACGCGGGGTAGTAACAAGGCATTTCACGAGGTCCAACAGGGTGCATAACATATGCCGGTATTCGAGAATAACCTCAGCCGATAAGCTCAGGGCATGGAAGTTAAAGGACAAATTCAACCAAACCTGGGTAGTAACAGGCGGATAAGATCTGGACGGTTCAGTTGAGCTCCCGCATCTCGACGAATCGGGGCAGGTCAACCCCCTCCATCACCTCGGCCCTGAGTTGTTTGCGCTCGAGTTAGATTCGTAGGTAAGGGACCTCGAGGCGCTGTTCTGGGGTAGAACACACTTTCGGATAGGAACTGGTGGGGAAGAAACTTCCCGAAGGAAACATTCCACTTACTTATGCGAGTGACATCGGCATACATATTGCAGTGCAGCATTATCATGCTCATTAGACTCACCAAGAAAGCTTGACCTGCAACAGACCAGTAATCACTAAAAGCGATCGTAAAATGCAGGAGTGATACCCTGGCGTGAGTCTATAGCCGCAGAAGCATACCATGGCGAAGATGATCCCAATGGTCGTGTCATCAAGGGAATCAATCCTTCCTGAAAACCTCCGAGGTGGTTATCGAGGGATTTAGGATCTGCACAAGTTAACTCCGTGATTCACCTGCGATCTCGGCCATCTTGCTATAGGCTTATCTAGCGGGTCCTTTCAACCTCATATTGCGATTCTCATGAACCATCTTGCGCAATGCTGGCGCAATACCTTCCAGTTCACATACTATTATTTATCGAATGTAACAGAAGGAACAGCGCTTACTTGAATTAGTAGAGAATGCCAAGTGAAACATATGATCCGACGCGGAGGGTTATGGATGGTTATCAACTTGCGTGCTAAGACGCAATCTTATACCATCTTGCGTCATGCATTGATGCCAAATCAACCCAGAGACACAACGATTTTGAAGTATTAAAAGAAGATCTATCCTCCATAAGATGAGAGGTAAAACAGTATCCGACAAGAAAATAAAGCAGCTCAAAAGGTTGAAAAAGAGTCACTATGGCGGAATTCATCAGTCTCACCTTCCCGAATGCCTCTACTGAGATCAATCCCATCCCCAACGCTTCTATTGATCCAGAGTATCTCGTTCGCTACGCTCGCAACCTTGATGATTACGGTTACAACTACACGCTGGTTCCCTACGGCTCCGCATTTTATGATCCATTCACCATTGGAGCCACCATTTTGGCAGTGACCAAGAACATCAAGGTCATCATTGCTCTGCGACCCAACACACTGTACCCCACAGTCGCAGCAAAAGCGCTAGCTACACTCGACCAGCTGAGCCGCGGTCGTGTCGTTGTTCACTTTATCGCAGGTGGAAGTGACGCAGAGCAGGCCAAGGAAGGTGACTTCCTGAGCAAGGATGAGCGCTACGGCCGCCTTGAAGATTATATTAAGATTCTCCGTCGTGCATGGGAGTCCGCGGAGCCCTTTGACTGGGACAGCAAATACTACACCTTCAAGCAATTCAGCAACCAAGTACGACTCACCGGTGCCTCAATTCCAGTTTCAGTTGGCGGCTCATCCCCCGAAGCGTACCGCATTGGAGGCTCCCTTGCTGATATCTTTGGACTTTGGGGTGAACCTTTGAAGGAAACCAAGGAACAAATTGATCGCATCTATGCTGAGGCAGCAAAGGCCGGTCGCCCAGAGTCCGACAGACCTCGCATCTGGGTGACCTTCCGTCCTATTGTCGCAGAGACCGAGGATCTCGCCTGGGCCAAAGCACACCGAACCCTCGATGCCCTGAATGCCAACCGAGCGAACGGTCAAAGCAGAGTCCCTGCGAATGCGCCTACCCCACAGAACGTTGGCTCTCAGCGTCTTCTTGATATTGCCACTCGTGGAGAGGTCCAGGACCGCGCACTTTGGTACCCTACTGTTACCGCAACAAATGCTCAGGGTGCATCTACTGCCCTTGTTGGATCAGTGCAGACTATTGTCGATTCTCTTGTTGACTACGTTGATCTTGGCGCAGACCTCATCTCCATCCGAGGCTATGATAATCTTAATGATGCCATTGATTATGGACGATTTGTTCTTCCCAAAGTTCGGGAAACGCTGAAGGAACGGGAGAATGATGCTTCAAAATAAATAACGAATATGTGAAATAGTCTTAGTATATATCATCACACCTCATTACATATATGTATCGAAATATACCTTGCACTTAAGACCTTTCTCTTTCCGCTCTAGTTCTGACCTCTTGCCACCATTTGATCCCCGAGTAAAATTAAGCAACTCGCTAAAGCTTCTGGAGGCTTATGTCGTAGAATCGTTCACAATAACTGAATTCTATACCGTCCGATTGTTAATAACCGGAGTGGCAGATGGATGCTGAGACATGAGAAAAAGGATGTGTGAAAAAGCTGTTCACGCTTAGAGATTAGTGTCTCGGGATGGTGATCAGGCTTCGCTATTGGAAGCTAGGCTCCGACATCCAAGCGGGATCTCCTTGTTTTCAAACCAAATATCGCGAAGTTCCTTCCACATCCGAGCTTGAAGCTTCCGTCCCTCACTTGGGGGTATTACAAGACTACCAAATGCTTAGATAGTGTGAATACTAAACGGAAACGGAACGAGTCACTCAAGTAAGTTGTTGTTGATCCAAAAGTTTCCACAACCATCTGCCACGAGCAACGACGCCCTTAGCAAGGGCTGTCCTCCCATCTCCGCAGATCGCCCGTCATATATGTTCAATGACTCCATTACAGTTTTCCGAGGCTAGGAGAAGTCTCGGGTAATATTTGCCACTGTCTAGCTGGGGCAGGCTGCATAGAGAGTGGTTGGTCCAAAGGCGCAACCAAATAATCGCCTATCAATCCCTACATGATATAGACAACCAAGGGTTTGGTGATGAGATATGAGATTCGCGAGTGAAACGACTAGAGCTAAATCAAAGCTTTCAGCACTTTGGCAACATCGACAGCTATACTCTCAGTCACCTAGACGTACTCAACGCTACCTGTGAGGGTGAGTTGTCTCGGATGCCCGTTTCCCTTTGACCCTCGTTTGAGGAGGGAATGGTAGAAAATAGGTGACGAGCAAGGCTGTGGATAAAAGATTGGCTTGTAGTGATGACTCCCAACCTGTGATGTTAACTACTGAATAAGTTCCAGGGATGACTCCAGCTTGAAATATGGCGACTTGCAGGCCATCCCCTCCGACCTCCTGCTCTAAGCTGATGGCGAACCGCCTCACGCTTTCGAACCCATTCATGTCAAGCAGTATGGAAAGAATACTATCACATTTGCCTCGTTCCCACGTGGACGCTTCAATATTATGCTTGACCGCATACCCTGTTTCAAATATTCGGACTGCGGGCGACTTAGTACCAAAGAGCTGGTTTAGTACATGGCTTCCGGCCGGAATAGATATAGCAAGTCAAGAATGAGGGTCACTAAGATATAGTCAATTATTCAATGTATCAAGAATAATATGCGAATATGAATAAGTTGGTAAAGATCTCAAGTGTTTTTTCTATCGTGGGATTCTTCTTTCACACCGCTATTTAGCGATTCAAGATGCGAGGGATTGATCTAGAAGGGGTTAGTGGACGATCCCTGTAAGTACGCGATGCGTCGCATGAGATAGAGCACACATGGAACTGTTATAAGTTTTGGCAGAGATTATTCCATATTTTTCAGAGAACCCAAGACAAAGTCCGTCTTGGCATATCCAAAGTTGTGATCATTTGACAACATGACAATACCTGAAACAAAGAATGAGTCCGTGAGGACATTTGAACCATTCTATCTCACCTGCTTAGATCACACTGTGGGACCGATTTTCATGAATTTCTTCATATCGTTCCGCTGCAGCAACATCGAAGAATGCCTCGTTACCATCAACCAGGGAATTTCTGGTCTTATAGATAGGCTCCCTTTTTTGAGCGGAGATGTCATTGAAACGACCACACCAAATGGCAGGAGGAATGTAATGCAGGTCGTGCCTTCCTCAATTCTGATCCACGAAGTTCCTATGATTTCCACGAAACATCACCCCCACCACGTCATCCCAAATACACCACGCCAAAGCAAAGGAAAAGTTCATACGACCGAGATATTTGCATCTCTTGACGACTCATATGTTCCTCCAGTCTCCTTGTTGCCCCAATCACCAGGCCCGAGGCCCGTTTTCCGTCTCCAGGTCAATGTCCTCGCGGATGGACTTGTTCTAGCGATAGGGTTCCACCACAGGGTATTTGATGGTACAGGAGTCGGGCTGTTGATCGAAATGCTAGCCCAGTGCTGTCGCAGCCCCGGCTCACTGGGTTTGACACGCTCAAGTGAGCTGAAGGATGAGATTAATTTGAGACGTCTGGTTGACGATACTGGGATCTTAACAGCCGGGTCACCCTGTTGGCACAAAGAAGAAGGCCAGAACAGCAAGATAGAGACGCCAACGGCAGGTTCGAAAGGGGTCCTGCCGAAACTGGATATCTACTCTTTTCAATTCTCGGCTGCGACCATCGCACAGCTCAAGACCGCTTGCAACGGAGTATTGTCGGATATCCTGTCCCGACAGTATGATGACGCGCGGTCTATGGGTGAATCAAAAGATTCTAGGCCAAAATTCATCTCCACCAATGACATGTTCACCGCTCTAGTTGCACTAGACATGTATAAAGCTCGAAGCGACCAGATCAAAGACGGTCAAACCGACCCCAACCCAGAGATGATCATGGTTGTCGACCTGCGTGAGAAACTTGCCTCCCTCCCAAGTACTTATCTTGGGAATGCTGTCTCTGTCGTTACAGCAATTGCGCACTCCCATGATGGGATTCTTAACACGGCTTCGACAAAGAGACAACATCCGACCATAGGCAATACCGAACTTCTCGAAATCACAGCACTGGCACTGCAGCTTCGCCAAAATCTCGCCTTGATCGACGACGCACATGTGCGCGAGGATCTAGCACGCCTGACAAGGAAACAGGATTGGAGCCAAATGCGTGCACGCCTCCCGGACACGATGTTGTCAAGTTGGCGACACCTCAAGGTGTATCATTTGGATTTTGGCCCAGCTCTAGGTCGAGTTGTTGAGTTCAACCCCCGCGCTGCGCTTCTGGACGGCTTGTGTAATATCCAGCCTGAGCGTGCGGGTGATGGGTTTGGAGAGAAGGCCGGGTGGGAGGCTTATGTTACGCTACAATCTAATGTTATGGGATCATTGCTTCGAAATGGGTTATTGAGTACTTTGTCACAGGACAAAGTTGCAAGATATATTTCATAAATGCTTGTTTGGACAGTGACATAGTATCAAGAGCTTTCGGTTATTCTTTACTTTTTCTTTTCTATTATTCAGGCTTCGTTTTTCTTATAGCAAAATACTTGAGTAAAGATGAAAATAGCAGAAGAAATAGGAGATTAACGAAAATATCCGCTGCCACAAAATTCCTTGCTAACACAAGATATTTTCCCCTACCTAGCTCTATGCAATGTATTATAAGAGCAGAAGTATACCAAATCCTAGGTATTACTAGCTATAAAGGCCGTCTTGGACATTCGTGGGATACACCAATCACACAACAACTTATTCTGAGGATGATGTATCACTCCATTGATGACTTATTATTTAATGAGACCAGATTTCAGATAAACTGCTGCATTCATCATGTGTAAGCCACCTTTGCAGCTACAGGATGTCTTGGAATGAGGCGAGGGCTGATGAAAGACCCCCTTGCATATATATGTACTGACTCCTAGCCAATAACATAATCTTTAGAAGTGGGACTAAAATATCGAGTCCTTCTACTCCGTACCTCGGAAATTGAAGTATTTCCATTAACAGTAAAACCTGTGGGAAATATTCTCTCCTTCCATTGCCAATCTGCAAGACAAAAGAACAGGAAAGATGTTTCAGTCAATTGAGACTCGGAACCAAGACTAGAAGCTCGTGCCGGTCATTCCCACGGCAGTCGAGATCCCGGGGTAAAAGCAATAGCTGTAGTATTAAGTAAGTAAAGCTAGCGATGTTGAATATTAATCTAGAGCAGGAAGATCCCGTCATTAAATACTCCCCATTGACTTGCGCCGTCCAGGGGAACTCTTCTTCCCCCCTGCGAGCGCCTATAACTAATCCCCAATATAAATATATATATCAACCGAATAATCTAGAAACCAATGTCGTATCTTCCATCATAACTGTTATTCTCGCTTTTGGCCCTCCCTCACAGGGCTGCCGTCAACTTCTTCTTTTTAACCGAAATCCACTGGAGAGACAATGCCCCAACTATTGAAAGAGCACTCATTGCGACTGCGATGTAGAACGACTGGGTGACAGCATTGTTGTACGCTTGTAGAACGACATGGATGTGGTCAGGGAAAGTTTCCCGTAACTTTGTTGCTCCCGCCTTGACAACCGCTGCTGGGTCAAGCATCGGAGCGAATTTCTGAACATTTGCAACCAGACGATTCTGGAAGACATTTTGGGCAATGGAAATAAAAACAGCACCCGAGAGAGTTTGGGTAAACGCGACTAATGTAGTCGCAACGGGGACATCGGCTTCCTGAACTGCCGCCTGCACAACAATCGTTGGCAGCTGCATCCCCATGCCTGCTCCAATACCAGTCATAGCTTGGTAGCCTATCCACTTCGCAGGGCCAGAACTAGGCTCCAAGGTTGTGAGGAGGCCATTGCCGACGCTGAAGATTACCGTCGCAGCCAGCACGAAAGGATTGTAGTATCCAGAAACCGTTACGAGTACGGCCGAAACCATTGTAAAGATAGTGACTCCTAGAATCAACGGGAGGTTCATCACGCCAGACTTAGTAGCACTGGCCCCTTTAATTGCCTGGAACCAAAGGGGAAGCTGCGAAACGGACGGTTAGTAGGGATCCCCAGGTCGGAGAAGAGAAACATACATAGTAGACCGAGACGAAGAACGCGCCGCCGAGGCAAGTGCTATAGGCCAATGCACCCCACACGTTGCGATTCTTGATGATTCGAGGGGGTACTGTCGCTAGATCCTGTCTAACATGCTGAACGTACATCCAGAAACAAAGACCCAACCCAAATAGCACAAATAACACGATAATCCGCGGATTTGCCCAGGGGTATTTTTGACCTCCCCATTGCAAAGCGAGAAGGAGACAAACGATAGTGGGTAAGAAAATGGCGGTGCCAATCAAATCCAGACTCTGTAGTTTCTCGCGGCTTGTGAGTTGCTTCTGGGGTGGTTTATCCTTGAAGAAAAATGCAATCACCACAGCTGTGACCGCTCCCAATGGGAGGTTAATGTAGAAACACCACCTCCAGGTTGCATGATCTGTTAAAGCACCTCCTAACCTGTTGTGATATGAGATGTCGTTAGTGAGAGATCAGAAAAATGGATCACCGTCCGTAAGATGAGAGACATGACTTACAACGGACCAGCCACGCTGGAAATTCCAAATATGGCTCCAATACCCCCGGTAAAGATCGCACGCTTTCGCAAAGGTACAAGGGTTGCAATGACAAGAATGGAGCCCGAAAGAAGGCCTCCAGCTCCTACACCCGCTAGAGCTCTCCCAATAATCAAACCCGTCGAGGTTGGGGTAACGCCGCAGACAAGGGATCCCAGTTCGAACAAGGTCAAGGCCGTCATGAAGGTCCATTTGGTTGAATAGTAGGAGTAAAGCTTTCCGAAAATGAGGGTTACCGCACATGTAGTCAACATGTAAGCGCTACCATACCAGCCCATGTCATCAAGCGAATTGAATTCGGCGGTAATTTTTGGAATTGCAGTCGCGACGATTGTGTTGTCCTATGCAAAGTGACGGTTAGTAGGCTTATAATGAGGTTGTGGGATACATAGCACCATACAAGGGCCATACAGAAAACAGCACAACAAAGCCCGATCATGACAGGAATGAGTTTCCAGATGGATGGATACTCTGCTTCATCTTGGGGGCTATCGGGCACTCTGGCTTGTTCTTCTCCTTCCTTGCGTAGCAACTCTGTCGTCGATGCCGGTGGTGAGTTTTTTGAGCCATAGTGGCCAAGTTCGACATAAGCTGATTTGTTGTCGCTCGCCATGGTTGACGTAAAAACAGTCGGCAATAGCTTTCAGTCCGAAGAGTGTTGATTTTGAATAACAGTCACCCTTTTATCAGTCAACACTCGGTTGTACAATGCAACGTCAGGTAAGGGGTGGCAGTTCATAAATAAGCTTGCATAAAACTGAGTATACCTGAGATGAAGGTTGAGACCGAAGAATGCGGGCTGAGTGTCAATGTGGCAGCATTCCGCACGCCTCAATGTAGAGTGATCATCATTGTTTGTGTCACCAAAACATGATGTTTCAGCTCTATTTCACTATTCCACATTCATGCTTAGTATCCCCTAAATGCAGCATGGGCATCTTACATAATTGTTCCTTGGGGTCTAGTGGACAGAACAGGATCATCGAAGAGTAGCAACAAGAAATGCACGGCTGTTCATCATTTGTTTATTGGTGTAGCTTATCTGGTGCGAAGTAGCAGGGAAGAAATTCCCAAAGGAGCCGTATTGGAGGGATTTTACTTTTATAACGCTCCGATCCACGGAGAGCACCCAATTACTCTATTACTGTGTAGTGGCGCCAAGGCGGGCAACCATGGTGTGGACTACTTCTTGGAGATTGCGGATGTTGCTACGGTGTGCCTGTGGCAGGGTGCCGTTGGCCGATTCCTCGGCCACAATATAGAAATAAATTCGAACTGGTTGCAAAACATGGTCAAAATCTTGGCGCACGGTAAATTTAATATTCGAGATCCCCTGGTAGGAATCATATGTTGGGTAAAGGGGTTCACAACACGTCAATTGAAGGAGCAATGCTCACGTCAGTGGGAACCTGACTACCAGGAACTGGCGCAATCGTCCGGTACACCTAGCTTGTGATTGACCACACGCAGGGGAACTTGCCATAGCCCTGGAGGTAGTTGTCGCACTTAATGCTGAAGATTGTGCCAGTCATAAAGATAGACAGCGCTTCAATTCGCTAGACAGTTTCTCCGATCGGGCTGGTAGCATTCTTCCCCGTTCCAGTCGTTAGGACTTCGTAGAGAGGGCCCACGAACCATTTACCCCTGGTAATTGGGCCTTGTAAACGTACAGCATGGAAACCAGACAAGCTCTCAATCGAATGTGAGATATCGCCGAATATATCTGTGTGTTTGGGTTTATATTTGAACTCAACGCGTTTCATGACAAGTGGGTTACGAGAATCATGCCAAAATACCCTGAAGTCTCCTAAATAGAAGGATGGCATCGGATAGTACTGAATGCGCAAGGACGCCCTGAGGCCGTGGGGTCGGGGTGATGAGGGGAGGGACGGGCCGCTACTATGATCCGTGGATGTTAGTAGGACTCTAATAGTCGGTGGTTGTCTTACCTTTTGTCTGGTGGGTTTAATTGGATGAAAACTTGTTGGACTTGGTTGAGTGGAGAATGTTCAATTTGATGGAGTCGATGGAAGGGTGGTATGGAGAGAAGAGGAAAGGGATGAAAACGAAAACATCTTAATAAACTCCCTCCGTTCCATCCAACTCAGCATAAAGTCCTACCAAATAGGCTTCAACTATTATCATTTACGCGCTAACTCATCTTGCATATCCGCTAAAGACATTGTTTCCTAGTAGCTAGTTGTGCAGTGGTCATATACCAATCCAGGCATACAACCTCTATTGCCCCACAATCACCCCAGATGAGACTACATCAAATCAAGTCGAGTCCTTCAAACCCGGAATCCCTCCGAGATGCTCACCCATCACTTCTCCCCCAACCACCAAGTTATTTACAGGAATGGTGACTGCTAACATCCGAGCCCAGTCGGAACTCACATTCTTCCAAGAATGCATCGTTCCACGCTGAACCACCACCTCTCCGGCGCGAATATTCTCCGTCTCTCCCGAGTCCAACGTGAGCAGCATCTCACCGCGAAGAACAACCAAGAAATCGATCGACATTGTGCGATGTAGAGGTGATTCAACGCCTGGCGCCATGTCATAAGATCGGAGAACTGCTGCATCCGAGATGGTCAAGCCAGGGGGATCTTTGAGTAGCGCGCTGTAATTGTTGACATCCGCATCCTTCGTTAGGCTAGCAGGAATCTTGGTAACGTATGTCAAGGAGGCTGAGGCTCCTGCCTCTATCTCCTGGACAGGAATCTCACGTGGGAAGGACCTCTCGAATACGGACTTGCCGTCTGGCGTATGGGTTGTGATTACTCTGGTTGGAGGGGGCAGAGTGGTAGGAGGCACTGGGCCATTGTCCGCAGGAAGAGTTACCGTCATGGCTGTTTCACGGCTGTTTGTTTCAATTCCTCAAGTTATTAAAATGTGATTGAGAAGAGCGGTAGACATGTACCTAGAAGAAAAGGGGTTTTATCTTTGGTCTAGGAAAGATTAGGTCATGAGTTTAGTTACGTATCTTTGGAAAAAGAAAACATATAAAGTCTAATGGTATACGGAGTGCGGAGTACTCCAAGCTGATTTCGGACTAGTAGTATGTACCTACCAACTAAAGTAGGCAAGTGTGAGGCATTATTCTACTAGATGTTGGACATCGTCGATATGGAGTACTCCAGTCCTTCCCCCCTTCTCCCCCCTATCGGTATTCCGTAAATGTAAGCTTACATTGAATGATAAGCATTCAGGTGCATGTTGGTTAATTCCGGGCTGAGTACTCCGTACGGAGTACAGGGATGATCACCTTGGACACTTTCCAAAGTGCCAATCATCATTGGCCACGAACCATTCCCTGATACTCCGTATGCAACCGGCAATTAATCCATGCGTGGATGCCACACTGGAATGGAAAATTGGTAGCCTTCTCGCTCGGCAACCAATGTGTTCCCACGTGAGAGCAAAATCCGAAGGTAAGTCCGAACGTTGACAATTGCTTTTTTTGACCAACAGGTGTGGTCGCGTTTCGTCCCTGCATCGAGAACTACCCACTACATTTATTCACCCTCATCTACAGCGATTTTCTTAGGCTGCGGGATTCTAACATGCTATCGACACTTGCAGGGCTTCTTGATGGCTCTCTTGTGATAATCACCTCCCTCGTCGTGCTTGCATCTCTAGCATTTTTGCAGTACCGCTCGACGCCCCCGTTTCCTGTGATCAACGTGAGAAAGAAAGATTGGACTTTGAGCAATGGGAGAAATTGTTTCCTAACGAATGCGGCCGACCTCTTGCTCGAAGGTCAAAGACAGGTCAGTACTCAGAACCCATCTCGTGCGAAATGCTAACCACTCTCATTGAAAGACTGATGGCCCGTTTTGCATTATCACCGATCGAAAAACCATGACATACCTTCCACCACATTATGCGGAGTATATCAAGAATGACCGACGGTTCAGCTTCACGGAATACGCGCACCGAGTATGTAGACTCACATCATATTCTACACCCCCAACTTAAATTGCTTAAGCTAATATTCTAAGGACATGATGGGCTATTTGCCAGGATTTGATGCTTTCGGGTCCTTACTTAAGTCCGGGATTCTCATTGAAATAGTTCAGAAGAGACTATCCCCGATGATTGACAAGATGAGCGGCATTCTTTCCAACACCATGGATGAAGCCCTTCAAAGCCAATGGAGTGAAGAAACAGAATTTCATGAGATTCCCCTTCACGCAACCGTATTGGCAATGGTTTCCAGAGTGACCGGACGAGTCTTCGTCGGTGCCGAATTATCCAACAATCCAGACTGGTTGCGACTCAGTGTCACCTATACGGTGAATGCATTCATGGCGTCCAAGGAACTCGGAAAGTATTCGTGGCCCGTACGTTGGATCGTTCAATGGTTCAATGTTCGCGCGCAGCAGGTTCGAGCTTCTCTCAAAGAAGCACGACAGATCCTTACACCTATTCTCGCCCAGCGGGCGCAGGAAAGAGCCGCAAATGGAGGCATGAGCACAACGGAGGATGCCATTGAGTGGCACCAGCAATTGGTGGGGGACAGAAAGTCCGACGGGGTGGTCGTTCAAGTAGGATTGGCCCTGTCTGCTATTCACACTACGGGAGATCTGCTTTTTAAAACCATCGGCCAGCTTGCTCATCACCAGGAGGTCATACCGGCAGTACGCAAAGAGATTGCGGACGCTATATCAACGCATGGGCTGAACAAGACCGGTGTTTATCATATGCAGCTTCTAGACAGCATCATCAAGGAGACGCAGCGCCTGGATGCAGTGGCACTGGCCATCATGAACCGGTACGCGACCGAGGAGGTCGAATTGCCGAACGGGGTGACAATTCCCAAGGGATCCCAGACTTCAGTTATCACGGATATCATGCGCAGTGAGAAGACTTATGAGAACGCCAAGGAGTGGGATCCGTATCGCTTCTATAACATTCGGCGAAGTGGCCAGGAGCAAAAGGGTCAACTAGTCTCTGCGACAGCGGAACATTTCGCCTTTGGTTTTGGCAAGCATGCGTGTCCCGGACGGTTTTTTGCAGCACACGAACTCAAGATTATGCTGGCGCATATTTTGTTGAAATACGACTTTGAATATATTGGAACAGACCGGCCTAAGGTTAGAGTGGTCGGGACCGATGTTCTTGCAGATAATAGTCCCAGGATGCAAGTGCGCCGTCGACATGACTATGTGATTCCGAGGGCAACGGATGAGACAGCTTAGCATTACGTGGACGTACGAGGATGGATATATGTCTACATGGCTACCTAATTAGATATCAACGTTTTAGCATAGAATTATTTAGAGGGTCTTTCATTGTGTCTCTGCTGATAATAAATGCAGTAATCAGCTTATTACCCAAACATGCCATATTTGTCTTTCAACATGCCTTTCTCTTTATTTTTCCCAGGGTATTATTACTGCCCATAAGGCCGAAATAGAGATGCTTGGGCGGATATGGATCTGCACTCTAAAGTCCGGGCGTTGTTTTATGGCGGGATGGGCGGATATCCATTGAATATGATTAGACTTGGTAGATGATCATCGTTCATAACCCCAGACACAGAATAATAAGCTTACATCATACTGCATAACGCCCCTGGAGGAACAAAGAAACGGTCAGACCTATGCGAAATGAACGAGAGGGGATAAGCTCTTAACTCCGACCCCTCCATCTGGCACAGCACGTATCCCTTCGTGCGACATCGTATCTAACTTCGCTTTCTCCCACATCTAGTTTATTCGAAAATCAACAATCACCTAACTTACCATGGCCGCTACGAAGTTGACTTGGCTAATTACTGGCGCCTCGTCGGGTATCGGGAAATCCCTTGCCTCGGAGGCTCTCAAAGTCGGCTACAAGGTCATTGCGACAACGCGTGATGTTGGCAAGGCTGAAGCTGCCTACCCAGACTTTTCAACCAAAGGCGGAATCTGGATTGGACTCGATCCTGCTCAAAAGGATGCCTACGATCAATTCGCCAAGTACTCCCAGGAGCACAACGTGGATGTTCTAGTAAACAATGCAGGCTATGCTTTCATTGGCGGTGTTGAAGATACAAGGTTTGCAGCTACCGGCGAGTTTTGTCTATTAGCTGGGCTTGTGAGCTAAGTGTTGGATAGTGAGGCCGAAGTTCGCAACCAAATGGAAGTTAACTTCTACGGGCCTCTTCGTGCTGTTCGAGCCTGTCTTCCAGTCATGCGTGCACGAGGCTCTGGTCATATCATCCTCATCAGCAGTGGTGCTGGGTAGGTTTATGTCCGATGATTGAGTTTTTATTTGAAATTGGCTAATTGAGGTATTTACCAATAATCAGCTTCATCGCGCGTCCCGGGAGATCGACCTATTCAGCTAGCAAATTCGGTATCGAGGCTGTTCACGAGTCCCTTTCCCACGAGGTTCGGACTCTCGGCATCAAAGTCCTGATTGTGGAACCTGGTGCCTTCCGAACTCCCTTCTCAAGCCGTATTATTACTCCCTCTCACCTTGAGAATGGTTTCAGCGACGGCTATAAGGGTACTGCTGTGGAGCAGATGGTCACTGGCTCTCGATCGCTTACCTCGATCCCGGATTTTATTAGAGGAGATCCAGACAAGGCGGCTCGGGCAGTCATTGATGCTACCGTGACCGGATATGATTATCTTCGCTTGCCACTGGGGAAGGACTGTGTGGTCGCCTTGGAATCGAAGATTGGGGAGCTTCAGAGAGACCTAGACGCCACCCGAGCAATTGCTACGTCCACCGATATTGATTAAATCACGTTGCCAAGGTACTTCAAATCAAGATATTTTAGACTCATAGTCACAATGGAAAAACTAGATTGCAAGACCCAGATATTCCAAGTCCTCAAACCACTTCCGATGTACTTGTCTCAGATCTAACTTGTTATATATATATAATTCCAGGGCTTTAAGTTCACAGACCGTGTACACCCCTTGGTGGTTCACCCCCTTTTTACTAAGGACCTAGTCGCAAACCTATTCTTATTTTTCCTCTCTCGGTCTAGGCCACTTCGCTATACCTACTAATTGTGATATTGCACATCCAAATTATTCTTCGATTGCCTTAATATGAAGCGTAGACTAACATCTAGATAGATCCCCCAGAGGTCCTCTCAGATTACCTCACAAACACCCATGCTGTCGAAAGAAAGTCCCAACTTCCATCCTAATTTCAATTGGCTCGTTTTTTGAACCAAAATTTAGTCGTAGGATCGACAACCGTCAGCACACCTGCAGCGGTTCCCATTGGATTTGGGGCGGTGGTATCCGATAGCTTGAAATCGTAATACTTCAAAAAGCGCGCCAGGACAACTTTCGCTTCGTGGATGGCAAAGAAGCGACCAGGACAGGCTTGAGTGCCCAGGCCAAAGACTAGGTGATCATTCCCGGTACCAACGGCCTATGTAGATACGGAGTGGTCAACGAAAAAGTCTCAATAAAACCCCAGAAGAATAATACATACCTGAAACTTTGAGTCTGAATTTGGCTCATTGCGCAGTCTCTCGAAGCGAAACCCGTCAAAAACTTCTGGGTTCTCAAGCGTGGAGTGTTTGAAGACATTGTGGTTCGTGTCTACCCCAACAAGAACACCAACGGGAAGATGGGTACCATCTGCCATGGTGAATGGGGATGTGACCTTGCGAATTGTGCCAACTAAGGAAAATCAGTGATGGGATCTGTGCTGGGGAATCGGTTTGCACCTACCAAGCATGAAGAGAACAAATCTCTGGCATTCCCGAATAAAGGAATCCATCTTTCGAAGCTTGGCAACGTTTACTCTGTTCATTGGGACATCACCTAGAGCTAAGACCTCTTCACGAAGCGGCTCGATGTACTCAGGTCGAGAGGTGAGATCATACATGAGGTGAGTAACTGTCGAAGCAGTTGTAAACAAAGCGGCACGACTGGTTCCCACCTGAGCGGTGATTTGAAAATCCACATCTTTGCCCTTGTCTCCTTTGATGGTGTCCATAACCAGTTGAATCAGGTCATCGGGCGGGGTGAAATCGGGCTTCTTACTGTCTTCGAGACGTTTCTGGATGACTGGCTGGATGATCCTATAGACTTGAAGTTAGTAAACTTACAGTATAATGTATATTCGAAAGTAGAGTAATTCAATTAGTACCTTTTGGCCTCCTTTTTGGCTTCTCGAACAGCGTGCAATTTTGGATGTCTCCAAGCGATGAACGGTCTGAGGAGAGGATGGGCGGGCCATAGATCAGGAACGCTGGCAAATGCGCCTTGGGTCATAACTGTAATGGCTTTGATCTTTGAAAAGGAACGTCAATATTAGTCTGATGGATAACGTTCGCGTTTGTCTCGGACTCACCCATTGCTCGTCACGACAAAGGGGCTCCCCAACAAAGACACGTTGGGAGACCATGATAATCATCTTCACTGCCACAGGGAACAGTGCAAGTTCTGTCCACTCTTCGCATTCGCCGACCTGGGTTTTAATTGCCCGGATGGCCTCATCATCCACTACGGTGTAAACCTTATCGAGGAGACGACCAAGGTGACCCCGGAGTAAGGAAGCAGTAGCCTTCTCATGCCCTGTAATCCCCGTATGATCACCTAGGAAGAAATCATAGGAGCCTTGCTGGAAGCTTAACTTGGTATCAGTTGAATTTTTGATCACATCCAAGCATTGATTTGGGATGATGACAATCTCTCCGGGGAAGTGTTTGATGCGGTAGGCACTCGTCGGATACTACTAGATATGTTAGAAGATCAGGTTTCGAAACTCGCAATCTGTCAAATTGTGCCTCACTTGGGTTGATCCACGCGCCAAAGCTTCGCGATAATCGTTGTTCTTGACTTCCACTAGTGGAGCATTGACCTTCGGTTGGGCCCAAGAGTCAAGCCAGCTACGGGCCACAAAATGCGATGGACGCTTATTGAATGTTTGAGACAATTCGCGGTAGAAATAAAGAACCAGCGAGAGGAGGAATGTGGTCACTGAGGCTGTAACAAAAGAAACCGAGGAAGAGCCCAGCTTGTCGCTCCATAAACTGGAGCTTAACAACAGGACAACGGAAGAGGCCATGTTGCTTTGCTTTGGATTGGATTTACTTTTCTCTCTATACAATGAAGGCTTTCAGTCCTCACTTTTGATGTTCATGCAGAAGGCCTTGCATAAGAGGTCACAGAAGCAAGCTTGGAATAGTTACGCTAAAACGTCCAGATAAGCATGCAAGGCCAGAAACTTGTACAACATCCCTTGCTCAGCAATTGTTAGTGCGTAAGCGAGGCTACAAATAAGCCCAAATATGTATTTTCCTAGTGCTGATTATGTTTCCCATTCCCAATCCAACTTTACACGTTGCACTAGTGCTTATATATCTGAACATCAGCACTCCCCAGGATTGGGAGCTCACCAAAAACCATGCGATTTAGCTTACATAGAATGCACCCGATAATTATATTTCCATGCTTGGAGTAATTGCCAACTCATAAATATTTTAATTAAAGAAACAAGACCAAAGACTATCTATGAGTTTCACTGTAATCAGGAACCGTAGATCCATCAAGCGGGAAAAATACATCATTTTAGTCCACGATGTGCAAGTAGAATGATCAAACCACATTAATTTATATTGAAGGGAACACTGGATATAGAAAGAACAACATCTAAAATGCCATATTTTCTACTATAGACACACGCATATCAACTGGAGTTCTTCGCCCACTCTTCCTTTATACGTGGCACTAGCCCCAAAACAGCCAAGCTATCAACAAACTCATCGATCCTCTGGATCTTTCCCCCAGTTTCATCCATCTTCAAGATAAAAATGTACTCGTTCTTGAACGGTCCCAAAATTGTGTCAGCCGTGCCGTGGGCGTGCAGAACAACAGTCCTCTTCTCCACATCGACAACTGTCTCGCTGTCGGCAACATGAACTCGATAGTTCTGAAAGAGCCTGTTGACACTTGCAAGGTATGCTGCAAGGTCCTGGTTGGACATGCAAGGTCGGTTCATCGACGCCGGATGAAGCTGGTGCATACAATCTGAAGTTCGAACTCGGAGGGCACCTTCCACTGTCCACTCGTCGTAGCTTTTGGAGAAGGAAGTGGCCGTATCTAGTAGAGTCTGTCGGTCGGGAGTCGTAATGGTCATTGCGTTTGATTTCGTTGCACGAAAGCTTTTATGTAGAGGTTAATTAGCGATTCTGAAGAGCATAGAGCACAAAATGTTCACCTATTCAGATTGACTGCAAGAGAGATTAAGTTAATTTTTGGGAGAAAGAGTACAGATTAGAGTATTATGAGGACTAAGTGAATGGAAAGAGTCTAAGTTATCATAGTGCGGAAGCAATATTATGTCGGAGTATATCTGCTAGCGCTTATCAACATGCACCTACAAGAGTGTAGAAGTCCACATCAAGCATTGATTACTATTCGCACGGTTCTCTCCTCACCAGGATGTATAATGTCAGATCCTGCCTTTCCACCACTCTTCCAAAAATTCACGTGGATTGGTAAAGGAAAATGCAGGGAGAAGCGAATTCCAATCTTCTGTCATGACCCATTCGGCCCTTGAAATGCCCTTCAAAGCCTCTAGATTAATCTTGCGACTCATTAACTCTAGCTGGTCCTTCGGAATAGAAGGATGCGCAAGAATCGGACACCAGGGCGATGTAAAATTTCCAGCATCGAGATCGGCCTTGCTTATGCGGTGGATGATAAATTTCCCACGAAGGCTCTCTCCAATACGTACAAGCTCCGCCGAGGTTGTTTGCCACCCAGCAACTCCTCCATTTGGAGGCCAGACACCTTCGTAATCGATAGCCTCGGCAACAACTTGAGCCAAGTCATCAATCAGAGTGAAAGTCACTGGTTGTTCCCCATCGTCAACCAAAATTGCCTGCCGTGTCTCAAAGTCGGTATAATGCTGTGTGATTTTGAGATGTTTTGTGGATTGCATCGGGTAGGTGAAGTAGTCCAGAAAAAGGCCGGGCTGGAAACAGGTATATTCCAGCTGTAGTGCGGGAGTGTTAACTGACTCAAGGTATTTTCGGACTTGAGAACGCGATTCATAGAACGGATTAGAGGTACTGGAGGTACTGGAGTATATGTCAGCCACTTAACCGAAAAGGGGTATTAAATAAAAGAATGGAGATATCAGCGTACACTGCCCATTCTGATGGTGCAAACCTCCGAACACCAACTTTGATGCATGCGTCAATCAATGTCTTTTGAGCGAGATTATCCTTGTCACCGAATGGTAAAATGAAGGATAGAACAACATTGACACCCTTGAGAGCGGCGCACAAGCCGTCTAAATCGTGGTAGTCAACTTGCTTGTGTTCGGAAAGGCCCAGTGTGAGTGATTCTGGTGGGGGCTGTCAAAACATGTGTCAGTATAAGAATCCGTATGTGAAGATCTCAACATCGCCACAGGCAGACCTTTCGAGAAAGCACCACTATTCTGTGGCGGTTCCGTGAGATTAGTGCGTCAATGATGTGAGGCGCAACGTCTACCAAAAGAATGAGCTATCAAAACTTCAAACAACTCTGAAATCTCTCATACTGCCGTTGCCGCCCGCTACTGCAATGACAGCCATGAGAGCAAGGGGGGTTGGTGGTTCACTGGAAATTGTAGTACAATGGAAAATCCAGAATGCGTGTGGATAAAAATCCTTGTTGCCTTTCGCAATCTCGGTAGTACTCAGGAATGCCCAGACCTATGAAAAATCGGGATTCCAAACATAATTTAAGACTAGGACCCTGTCAGCACCATTCTCGCACATTGAAACAAGCTGCACTGCTTACTTTAGTATGCCGAGGTTGGTTGCCTACATGCTGATAAATGGGTGCTAGGAATTATGACCATTTCGGTAGAGATATGCATGCATGGATGACCGTAGATCACTAGGGGGCCTTAATTCTGTTTCTTTGTAGCTTAGTTTGTTCCATTGGGTTGGGCTAAAATTGATTCACTGCAAGGAGAATATGAGAACATCCACGGTTTATCTATTCTGAACTGTCAGTCATCATCTAGTCTTAGCAAAAACTATCTAAGGGTTCTTTTTTTAAAAAAAAAAGAAGTATCTATCTGTTCTAACCAAATATCCAACTCTTTGTAGCGCACATATTCACTCCGATATGCTTAATCTCGCCCATGGGGAAGCATTAGCCTTCAACAAAATGCGTAGACAGCCTCTATGACCCTTTACAGAAGCCAGGTGAGCAGCCGTCCAGCCACCATTATTCACGGCATTCAGATCACATCCCTTACTCAGCAAATATGTCATTACTTCCTCATGGCCAAAATCAGCAGCCACATGTATGGGGGTGTTCCCCGCAGAATCCCGTTTGTTAATGTCTAGCCCCGCCTCGATCAACTCCTCAACCACGCCCACGTGTCCGACCTCGCAGCAAGTATGAATGAGATGGCGCCAAGGGAGCTCTGGCTCGGTCAGAGGCGTTGTAGTCCCAGAGTCGACTGTCCCATCCCTCGAAGACCCGTTTGATGACTGTGTCCGGAGACGTGGTGGATCCGCAGCCTCATGGAGATTCATGTATGTGGGAGTCCGGTAGTTGGGATTTCCTTGCGTATCCATAAATCGGTGTGAATATGTGGCGTTCGAAAATTGGCGCTGGGGTGTGCTTCTATTGGGGGGCGAGGCGCCGCCGGTGCGGTCTTGCATGTATCCTTCCGATGGGTGTAATGAGGGGGGTCTTGATAGGTGAGACTGTTGATTTGGTAGGTTTCTCTCGGATACCGACATTCCTGGCGTGCTTCCGGCAGGTGTCATGCCACTTTTGGGTGGGCACTGAGAGTTAAGGATATCTAGCCGTGGGCGTCCACGAGCAGAGTGGTTGGTGCCCGACTGGTTTTGAAAATTGTTCTCTGGCACAAAGTGCTTGGGGGTCGCTAGAACTGGCTGGTTTGCAACGAACTGCTGTACGCTTTCGACATTCTCTCTGTTTGGTGGTGTAGCATGCCACCCTATACACTGGTGGAAGGAGAAAACATCCCCTTCTGTGGTGACTGGTGGTGAATCCCGACTTGACGTTGAAATCGGGTGGCTGTTCAGATCCGAGGGATCCACTAAGCCCTGAAGATGGGAGATGAGAGGACTGAACTCGTTCTCCGCTCGAGATGTGCCGGTTGCCATCTTGTATGGGGAGATTGTTTGCCCTGATTGTTGCAATGGATTTATATCCATATTATCCGACTGCGTAAGTTCCGGAAGAGCTAAGGAAGTATTCTCGGAGCTACTGTCGCGTTTTTTAGTTGTTTTGTGCTCTTGTATGTTGTTGCTCGCTCTTTTCCCTACATGGTGTCAGTCTAGTTTGAATTTGGTGGTAAATCTCAACTGAGATATAAAACTAACTTCGATAAATCCGCTGAGCATTACGATTTTGAATTTTCCGTCGCTGGGGATGGTCGATTGGGAGGTTTTCATAAGATTCGAGACCATATACTCGTGCACGTGGCATTTCGTCCTGAGTTTATTCATTGGCTTAGTGCGTTATCCAACACTCAGGGCTTCTAGCGGTAGATGAATGAAAGGCATACGTAGACCTCACACACCGAGGCAACCCATGCATTGAGGCTAACCATGCGGCTTACTGGTTTACTCAACTAATAATATGCATCTTACCTTGGTTATGGTTAAATTCCATAACAAAAATGTGATTCCTAGATAAGGCGTTCACTCACGGGATGTTCATCCAGTGCCCTTCATGGACGTACCTGCAATGTAACACACCAAAGTGCGGGAAACAACCCAATAGGCGGGTGATATTCTAGTCTGATTATACGGTAATGAATAAAAGTACTATGGAGCCCACCTCCCAAAAGGGCCAACGGTTGGAGTTAATTCGAAACTTGTAGTCCATTGGTTTGGGATTATGCGAGCGCATGCCTGCTGGTGGGATATACCTACCCCTTGATGCAGTCAGATGTAGACCCAACAGGGGAGGCCAATCCTGCTTATTGCTTGTTTCCGCCCAGTTAAATGCTTTTCACTGTGCCGAGAAAGAATACGAGTTTATGTTCATGTAGGATTCCTCTTCGGTGAACAAAGAGGAGGTGAAGGAAGAGAGAATGAGAGAAAAATGAAAACGAGATGAGAAATCAGCATTATCCTATGCAGATATATAACGTCACACGAAACTTCTACAATAATGGAGTCAATGTAAGTTCTCTTTCCGCCAGTTAATGGTTTTTTGCAGCTCTTCAACACACTCAAGTGGACGATCTTATGAAATCAATTCAAATTATCTTCAACTCTCTAACTAAAGTTTATTGAAACATAAGCTCAATGGTGCAGGTGCGAGAGTGAAGTGCTCAGTCAATCTCTGATCAAACTGATCCAAGCTCATACCAGGGGCCAACCGAACATCATAGTCAACAACAATGCGCGCAACTGTTGCCCGGATATTCAACAATGCCAAGGGTCGCCCAATGCAGCCGTAAGGCCCTGCAGAAAATGGCGCAAAGCCTGACGCGTCTTGCATCAAATCCGGACGCGAATACCATCTCTCCGGAATGAATTCGTCGGGTTTGCTGTAACATTCGGGATCTGTTGAAGACTAGACGTTAGCAAAATAAGCTGAGAATGACAGAATGTATTTTTTGTACTCCGACCGAGGACGTATTGCGGAGAATACACATTTGTATTCCCGGGAATAAATGTCCCGTCTATAGTTAGGCCTTCTGGTGGGGTTAGGCGATAAAGTGCCGATGGAACCGGGGGGTAGAGCCTGAGCGATTCGTTGATAACACCGTTCAGATGCTTCAGTTCTGACAAATCAGGGGGCTGGTAGTCCCCAAGCTCTGTACGGGGCAAATTCTCGACCTCAGAACGCAATATATTGAGATGCTGCGGTTGCTCGACCAAAAATCGGAAGATATGTGTCAATGTAGCCGAGGTGGTGTCACTAGACTCTCCTTCATCAGATTATGGATATTGTGCAGTGGAACCGTGTCACCCACCTTCCTGCAACAACGATGAGCTGTGAGTCCCCCTCAAGCAAGGTACGATCAAGTCCAGTAGGAGTTTGATCGCCTGAATGTTTTAGGAGAGAGCTCATGATATCTGGCGTATTTGGCTTCATCTTTCGTCAAATGTTAGAGAATGAAGTCTCCAGATGTGCATGCTAATTTGCCTCACTTTAATACGTTTCTCCATCTGCGAAGTAGAGTAGCTCCTGAATCTCCACCAGTCCCTCGCCATTCCAGGAATTGCCGTCATAAAACGGAAGAACCACATAGGAAGCATGTATGCCAAAGGGGTCAATCCTGAGTTGAGTAGCCCGATTGCTTCATGTTCTTTGCTCGTCTCGAGCATGTTGAATGAAGCACCAAAAGCGAGATCACCCATCACGTCAAATGTGTAAAGATTGAACCACTTTGCCATGTCAATTGGCTGATTCTCAGACTTGTCGATTGCTTTCACTAGGAGAGCACGATACTGGACCATGCGCTTCTCGTAGTCCCGCAGATTCCTATCACCAAAGGCCCCGCTCCAAATGCGACGCCTCTGGTCGTGTAGAGGTTTGTCACGAGTGCTCTGCAGCGAGACCATGGGTTGTGTCAAGTCATACCAGGCTGCCTTCCGACATTTCGAGCCAGGGCCATAGATGGCTTGCACAGCTTTGGGATGAGCCACTGACACATCATTCGAACCGATTCGTAGGAAAGGCCCATATCTGTCATGAAGTTTTTCCAGTTGACGGAATGCATCCTGTTTTATTAAATATGTTGCAAACCAAGCACTAGAGATTCGACATCCCAGAGGACCAGGGAAATTGCAAAGCGGGTGAAATATACACCGATAGACAATCAAGCTTGCGTAAATGCCAGAGAGGTAGCACCCAGCAAGCGAGCATGACCAGATAGCAGACCCAGAAATCAATCTATTCGAGAGTTGAGTCTGTAGAAATATAGAAAAAATTAAACTTCCAACGGTAGTGAGGGCGTAGCGCATGCCGTAAAGGTGATGCTCCCCAATGCGAAAAAAGGCGATATGGGAGAATACGCCAGCCACACAAGCCATAGTGGCTATGACTGGGGAAATAGCCATCATGTTCTCTCTCCAAAGAGCTTCTCGTGAACTGGAAGCAGAGGGAATCGGGGTATTAGAGCTGATGGCGTAAAGTTCTACTCTGCTCAGAAAGAACTGTTACTGGTCCATATATCATGAAATTTAGGCTGGCCTGTTCTATATTCTGTACCCCGCTTGTAGAAGGGAGATCATCGCCGAACTTGGAAAGCTTGGATAGTGCTGATTAAACATGTCGTTAGCTGACAATTCAGCTGATGTAGCTGACACATTGCCTAGTTTCTGCTATTTTGCTCCCTATTATTAAAGAATAGAGTAAAATTGGTATATCGCCATGGCCACCTTGAATTCCATAACAACCTCTAGACTAATAAGAGCCACTAAAATATATCCTGATGCGAATCGTTAGGAAACGAGGTGTGTATTAGACTAAGTGCAGTGGTGAATACTCCCACAGTTTTATCAGTGGAGCCCCTACATTCTTCAGGTAATTCCAATTTTAGTGCTTACTATTAAAGTATCCTTCTTGAAGGTTGACTTAGTAGCATAAGTGGAGTTCCTTCATTCACCGTAAAGAAATACCATACCAAAACATTTAATCTTCGGAGTCAATAATCATTTTGGAACAGTAGTTCTCCATCGTACTATTCTATCTCTTCACTATGGTGAACAGCACAACATTTTTCATCGCTCTAGAATACTTTGATATCACCTTGAAAGCATTCCTAAGCCTTCGCGAAGGATGGCCGACTCTTTTCACTCTGCAAAATGTCTTCACAATACTTGCCTTATTTCTCGCTGTGTGGAGCTACATGCCCACTTTCATGGGAGTCAAAGCCCCATACGCGGGGTATTCTTCGAATTTTGTCCCTGGCGCCTGGGCTCGCTTCCAGTTTACCAAGGGTGCTCGGCAGATTGTTGACGAAGGGTACATCAAGGCAAGTACGCCGAGATACTCCCATTATAAAAGGGCTACCGCGCTAACGATAGACGATAATGAAGTGGAAAGATGTCATGTTCAAGCTCTCACGGACCGATCGTGACATTTTAGTACTCCCAAATAAATACATAGATGAGTTGCGCAACTTACCAGGCGATCGCCTTAGCTCGATGATCACGTTGGTTCGAGTTAGTACACATCCTTTCTTTCTAGCCCAAAGGTTATACTAAGGCCTTCAATCATTGGTTTAGAACAACTCTGGAAAATATGGTGGTACCGAAATTCTGCTGGAAAGCGGGATAGCATCCCAAGCGATACAAGTGAGTTAAAGAAAAGGAATGAATTGAGAATAGTACAAATATTAATTCCATTGGCGCAGACAAAGATTACTCCTCAAATTGCGTTGCTTATGCATCCAATGAAGGAAGAGCTCGATCACGCACTAAGCATCGAAGTCCCGGATTGTAAAGGTGAGTTTCCAAGTCCGCCTCGCAGATTAAACAGACCGCACCAAGTGGACACAATGAAGCCTAACGTGGCTATCAGACTGGACGTCGATCAATGTCCATCCTTTCTTCGCCAACCTAGTCGCCCGCGTCTCAAATCGGGCGTTTGTAGGGAAGAATATTTCTCGTGATGAGAGGTGGGTCAAAACGGTCACTGACTTTACTTCCAACGTCGCGATGACCACTATGATACTGCGTGCCATTCCACCAGTCTTTCATGGCCTTGCAACGTATTTCCTGCCTTCATCGTGGACAGTAGAGCGGACGATTCGAGATTCGCATACCATCCTCGGCCCAGAGATTGCGCATCGACGGAAGGAAGAAGCACAAAACCCGTCGTATAAGAAGCCAGTAGATTTGCTGCAGGGAATGATGGATCTTGCAAAGCCCGGCAGCAAGCAAGGAACAGCTCAAGATCTCGCTCATCGGCAGTTAGTCATGAGTTTGGCCGCTGTACACACTACAGCAGGGCAAGCTGCTAACACTCTGTTTGATCTCTGTGCACACCCAGAGTACTTTGATGTTCTCAGAGAGGAGATTCTTACGGATGTTGTCAATGACCTCTCCGGATGGGACAAAACATCTCTGAGTAAGCTTAAGAAGATGGACAGCTTCTTTAAAGAGTCGCAGAGGTTAAATCCGCCTAGTCTACGTAAGTTGCTTCCGCCGTCTCTTATGGAGCTTCTACCTCCAGCCAACATTGCTAACAGCAGCTTCAAATAGTTGGATTCCATCGCAGTGTCGAGGACTCCAAAGGAATAACACTCCATGATGGGAAGTACCTACCCCGAGGAACCCATATCTGTATGGCTTCACATGCTACGACAAGTGACCCGGGAATTGTATCCAACGCGGCCAGTTTTGATCCTCTTCGTTACTGGCGCATGCGGCAAGAATCTCCGGAAAATGCAAACAAGCACCAGTTTGCCATGACAAGCAACCAGTTCTTCCATTTCGGACACGGGAAGTTCTCCTGCCCAGGTCGCTTCTTTGCGTCAAATGAGCTCAAGCTGCTATTTTCCACCCTTTTGCTGCGCTATGATTTTAAATTTAAAGAAGGTCAGACGCGGCCAAAGTGCCTCAATATTGACGAGTTTTTGTTTGCCGATCCTGGCGTGCAGGTGTTGATACGTGAACGGGAAAAGCCAATTTACTTCTGAATATCTACACCCACAGCATAGAGTGTGTTGCTATATATATAGTTAAACAAATTTGACCCATTATACAATTGCGAATGAATCATTATATGAATATCATGGATCTGTTCAGCTACGTCTATACAGATCAAGCAAGAATGTAATCAACGTAATTCAATACAGATTATGATCTAGCTACTGCCATAGAGTTCTCTATGTAGCTCCATGGGGACAAAGGTAGGACTGACTAACTGCAGGCAAGCAATCAAAGCCTTGCTGACACATTGCTGCCTGTATGCCTGAGTGCATCAAATATAAATATACTTGGGCGCTTTTAATTTCTAGGTATCAAAATGGGTGTTGTATTAAGTCTACCTGGTAAGATAATCATGAACTTCCTTTATGTTGATATACTCCAAAAATACCATGACCAGCTGTCAAGGCGCCACTGGAAGCCTTGGAAGGCATTGCTTTCTTGGAATAAGCACCGTAGACCATACAGTTGGAAACATAATCATTCTTGTGCTGACAACAACTCTACTTCTAGTTTAGGGCTTACAATTCCCTGTATGGGTAGCACAGAGCCTCACTTACTCAGCCTCATATTGCTGGAAGCTATAATGGATATCTCGGCGGCAAATTCGAATGCCCTAGAAGTGTCAAATCAGTTGACTGTGTAGTAGGACCAATTCTATTGCGCAAGGAAATTCCAGTTCAACAATGCGTCCCCTTTCAACTGCTCCATTGCTCAGGCAGGCCAGCACCTGCACCTACCCGGCCACAATTTATGAGGTTGAAGGTGAATCAAAGGAATTGAACACTAAAATTCCGCAGCCACCGAAGGCAAGTGAAAGTCCATGGATTTGTATCATCTGAAGGCTAACTTGCTTTTAGAATAACCTTTCCGTGATTCGAACAGTCCGAAATTTCATGTGGAACTTGTGGCTCTTTACGGAAAGCGACTTTTCCACATTTGTTGGTCCTAACAGTGCTTTTGGGATATTTGGAGCTCTGGCTGGTCCACTCCTTCTAAAGAATGCCGACGATCCTCTCACTGTGCTTTCTCGAGTCCCGATGGTGATACTTTTCAATTGGAGCAATTTGTTGATCTTCGACCTGGCAAACCAACGCCTACCCGAGTCCGTTGAAGAGGACCGTTTAAACAAGCCTCATCGTCCTCTGCCCTCGGGCCGGATGACGCCGCTTAATGTGCGTCGACTTCTTCTTGGTTCTTTGCCGATTGTGTTTACAGTCAACTATTTGCTCGGTCCCTGGGTTGAAACGTCACTTTTGTTCAGTCTGACTTGGATGTACAATGATCTAGGGGGTGGTGATGAAGGTGAGTTAGTTGGTGAACTTCCTTTTTCAGGCATCTTCTAACATGAATTAAAACAAATTACAGACTTCATTCTCAGAAACCTCATCATTGGCTTCGCTTTCGGCTTGTACAACGCATCCTCGCTCAAAATAGCAGGTGGAGCGAACTCGACAATCAATGAGCAGGGTGTTATGTGGACGGCGATCATCAGCTCAGTCATCTTTACAACCATGCATTCTCAGGACATGAAAGATCAGAATGGTGATCGAAGCCGTGGAAGAAGGACAGCTCCCATTGTTTTGGGTGATATTGCGGCTCGTGGTACTATTGCGATCCCAATTGCTGTGTGGTCTATCGTTTGCCCGTGGTTTTGGCAGACAAAATTTGAGGGATATATCCTAACCGTTCCACTGGGAGCATACATAATCTGGCGTCTTTATACCGACAGAACCTTCAAGGGAGACCGGGCATCGTGGAAACTATGGACACTCTGGACTGCTCTTTTAGTAAGTCGTGACTAGTTCCGGATATCCTTGCACACTGTCACTAACCTTTCTTTTCTTCAAAGTACATGTTGCCAACAGTGAAGCAAATTTCCTCGCTGTAGTTTCAATCCTACCGGGCAATGGTAGGTAAGAATAATACGCAGCCCCTCCAGAACGATCGGGTTAGGAATTATGAACATCGGCGGACAAAGTTAAAGCGTTGAATATGTATTTAGATATACAGCCAGAATACATTATGCCCATTTGAATGATAGAAAGGCTCCCATTGGTTCCCATCCACTATATTGCCTCTGCAGTTAGAATTCGAATTTCTTTTAATCTTTACATTGATGCAATATATAAACTGGCAGAAAGAAAGCAGAAAGAAAGAAACAAAAATTTGAGCTTCTGGATAATTATTTGGTTTAGGTTGACAGCTTGAGTAATATAACGACATAGCGTGTGGACACCCAGGTACTTTTGTGGGCAATATATTTCTGACTAGACCCCACACCCGTCGATTTTCCGGCCTAGGGAGAACTAGCTGGCTTAAGTTGTTACAAGTCTATCTCCATATCATGTAGAGGGTGCAGTTCTTCCCATCTCAAGATCTTACGTACAGTGACTTAGCATATTGTTTCAAAAATCTTACCAAGGTCCCACGAAAGGGGTTGAGCAGGACACCCGCGATTCCAAGAATTCATCGGTGAGACTAATTATGCAGCTCTGACGATCATCCGTCGTAGATCAGCGCTAGCACTAGTGCTTATTCTTGCTTATTCTTGCTTATTTTTGAATGTTTTTGAATGTTTTTGCTTGTTTTTGCTTGTTTTTGAAAAAGAAAAGAAAAACAAAGTGAACAAGGTTTCTTATTAGTTCAGAAAGATATGCCCTAAGCAAAGGGGTATTCTGCTTCCACGACCACATAAAAACAATAAAACTCCAATTGGGAAAATAATCACCCCAGAGTGCTAAAATGTCATCTTCACTACACTGGCAAGAGACATCCCCCGGAACTCATCAGAGAGACATTGATAGCACGGAAAGATTTTACGTCTCGGCTTCTCATACCAGATCGCCAGTTGTGAATAAAGGAGACTGGTATGTAAATGCGGGTGTCAAGCTTGAATGCTCGCGCCCAAATTTTGTCGCCGATATTCAAAAAGCATGGATCAGGACGCGTTTCGACTTTCCAGGATTAGCGGCAACAATTGTGGAGGACAAATGGAGTTACAAGACAGCAGACAAAGCCGAGCTCGAAGGGTGGCTAAAAGAAACCTTTCATGTCCACCTCCAGCCCTCAACCGCAAGACAATTGATATCTGAAGATAAACTCGTCCCAGCATCTAGGGTGACTCTTCATGTCCTGCCCAATACCCAAGAGCTGATGATCCAAGGTCCGCATACGCACTTGGATGGGTTTGGAATCATGAAGACTCTACAACATATCATATCCTACGTTGTACAGCTTCCGCTCTTGTCGGACGTTGATCAAATACCGGTCGCATTTGGACACGAAGCACACAATTTGTCACCTCCGATGTCTTTGACATGCCAGACCCCGCCATGCTCTGCGGAAGACAGGCAGAAGTGGGACAAACTGATGGAAGATTTCATTGACCCCAAGCACAAAATATACCTCAACACGCGGAACGAGACGTCCCCACCACGCTTCTCTCGTACTCAGTGGCTGGTATTTGATGCGACTAGTACCAAAAGTCTTCAATCCGAAGCGCAGAAGCACGGTGTGTCTCTAGCCGCCGTTCTGCAGGGAGCGATTTCCCTCTCAACCCGCGTGCATGGTGGTGGCGAAGATCTTGCCACGCGTCATGCTATTCAAGTGCTTTACAGTGCTCGGAAGTACATTGACCCTACGATTGGTTCCGGAGAGAATATTGTCAGTCCGCTCGTCGTGGGAGTACCATTGACCTACACGCTTCATGACGATTTTCATGATCTTGTAACAGATGCAAACGAAGTATTGCTAGAAGGAAGAAAAGATAAATTTGGTCTGAAGTGCGGCCACCTTTGGGGCTCAGATCTTCCTAGGGCTTTCGCAGCGCCGCTCCCGAAGGGAAAGCGAATTCGAGCAGAGGCACAGATGAGTTATATGGGAAATATTCAGTCCTATATTCAGGAATGGACTGAGGATAAAGCAATCGGAGGTTCTCTAGCGCACTGTGTCGACTTTTGGTTGTCATTGGATATCCTTTCCGCCAACGTCGTGATCGAAATTTACATCTTCCGAGGTCGTCTCAACCTATCGCTGGCATACAATGAAACCTTCCACTCAGAAGAAAGTATGACAGAGTACTTGCAACTGGTCAAAGGGCATTTAGATGACGGTCTGGGCATCCAGACAGATGCTAGTGTGAGAAGACCCGGTCGAGAGGAATGGATGTAGGGGATGACATCTCTTGTGGAAGTCCAAATATAACAGTGGCATTTATTTCACGTTGAGATGTAATGCTAATCTCTAGTCACATCATCTTACTTTCACATTATCTTACTTTCGTGTATGTTGAAGTTGCATGTCTGCCCAATGTCAATTATTAGTCAAGGAGCTTCGTTCTCGATTGCCAATTGGGTCATATCTCCGCAATCACACTTGCATCCTGCCCCCTCTCGGTCAGCCCTTTCCAATTTCCCTACCATGGCCCAGGAGTCACCTAAGGGCGATGTGACATACGTTTATATGGTGATATTATCATCTGATCTAACAAGAAAAAGGAGATTATCATTCTACAGACACAATCCTGCTTAGGGAAGTATACGTTACAACAAATTCAACAAACTACTAGAAGACTCAGGGGCTGTTCAGGTTTAAGATCTGGAGGTACTTGTGACATAAAATTTAATAAAAACTAGTCTGTCCGATCCATCTCTATAGCAAAGCAAGTTAGCAAATTTGTCTATGGTCTTCATCTCGAAGTCAAATCCTCCCGAAGGAACATTTCGACCTAAATCTGAACGTCCTCGATATGAAAACCAACATGCAGTTTGTGAAGTTCAAGACCATCCTGGAAAGTAACAATTTGTGCAATCCGTTTGACACCCTGACCAAACGCACCTAGAATGAATGATCCGACAACCTTACCGATGGGCGTACCCATAATAGCGGTAAACTCTGGTAAGGGATAGTCCCAGGTCTGAGGCTCCGCGGATGGATAGCTAAGTCCCTCACGGGAAGGGTAGATTCGTTCCATGACAAATGTTTCAGTTGCGTGTTCCTGTATCTCGTTGACAATCACATACTTCAGACTATCCAATGGAAAGTGCGTTTCATAGGCCATCTTGGCAAGTTGGGACATGTACGGATCGTTCGAAGGAAGGGGTCTTCTTTTAATGGAATAGATAAAAAGCACGCCTGGTGCAATTGTCCCGATCAAAGCTGCGGTTCCACCAATAGTCTTGATGATTGAGTGTTGTAGACATGGCGACTCTGTGGGATATAGATCGTTCGGAATCAAGTCTCCGATTGGCAGACCGAGACCCACAATAGAGGCAATCTGTTCTGATGATAACCATCCTCTGGAATGGTTGACACGCCAGTCCGTAGGCCGTGGCAGAGTCTCTGTGTTGAGTTCAGATATTTGAACTGGGCATCCAGGCTCGTTTACATTCTCCATCCATCGGATTAGCTTTTGCCCGTACGGCTGAAAGTGAGGATACTTAGAAGCCATTGTAGGATCGAGGTAGTGTGTAGATCTCAATAGAAAGTTGGGTACCTCCACCAGAGTTATATAGGGGATGTGAGCATAGATAGCAGCGACAAGCAACAAAGAAAACTTGATAATGGCATTGTGCAGCACACTGGACTCTTTGAGAGTCTATTAGCCAAGTAATCAAAGAACTCGATAGTATTCCAAGGTTCCGTCTGGATTTTCCTTGGCTTTGTCATGGACAAAGCGAAGATTCGTAGGAAAGGTATTCGGCCGCGTAGGTGGCGGATAGAAAGGTATGGTACTTTGTAGGAGAGATACTTAGAGGCGTAGGTAGTCTTCCGCAAAACCCAGTAAAACCCAGTCTGGAGCCCCAAACTGGATTACAAACTATACAAACACGCTAATTGTGTACATAATTCAGCTGATTTAGCTAGTTTATGACCGCCAAGACCTCCTTTTATGCCTAAACTGTGTTTTCTGGGGCCCCAGTCACTGGGTCTGGGTTGGGTCCTGGGTCATGCGGAAGTCTAGGCGTAGGTAACGAATGGAAAGGTATATTCTTTTGTAGGAGAGATACTTAGCTGTGTAGGTAGCGGATGGAAAGGTATGGTACTTTGTAGGAAAGGTACTCGGCCGCGTACATGTAGGTAGTGGATGGAAAGGTATGGCCTAGACATTTGACGATAGTGATGCTGAGGATGCATAAAGATTCCCCAGAAAATGGCTCGTTTGCAAAAGCTGAAGCTTTTCTTATATCTGTAGTGTAAAGTCCAGAAAGTATGAGGAAACATTGGGAGATATATGAATTGGCTATCGATAAGAGATATCTCTTTTGACTGTCCATCCTAAAGAGGAATCGATCGTATTTTGTTTGTTTTAAAACGCGCGTTTCCCCCTCCGCCAGTGGTCTTTTTTTCTTCATCCCCAATCAAAATGGATGTCCTTTCTATCGTTTCGCAGCTGGATACCCTAGCCCGCGCGATAGAGTACCTGAAAGACCCATCCAATCCCACCTTTCATCTTCAGAACTTTATTGAAAATGAATTCCTTGATTCTGAGCACACATCGGACTGGATCAATTCGCTTTCCCCTCGCTCAGGTGAAATCCTTCTGAAGTTGCCTCGCACTTCCCCAAGTGTCGTGGACTACGCAGTCAATGTCGCATCTCGGGCACTTCAAGCATGGTCTCAAACCACCCCTCAGAAGAGGTCTGAGGCTCTGCTCCGAATTGCATCAATTCTGCAGCAATGGAAAGAGGTCTTTGCGGTCTGGGAAAGCATTGACCAAGGCAAGCCTCTTCTGCGCGCGCAGGCTGAAGTTGACTACGCTATTGAACACTTCCGGTTTGTCTATTCCCATTCCACATTTGAAATAACCTGACAATTGTACCTGACAGATACTTCGCCGGATACATTCTGCACCATGAGAGCGCAGTGCGTCTCAACAAAGGCCGAGAAGAATCGACTCTGACGTACGAACACCGCGTCCCGGTGGGAGTTTTCGCTATTATCGCTTCCTCTAACATGCCGCTTTACATTTTGACCTCCAAGATCGCCGCTTGTCTCGCCTTTGGATGTACCGGTGTCGCCAAGCCGAGCGAATTGACCAGCATGACCGCCTTCTGTGAGTGATTTTCTAATTTTCTGGACTTACATAAATACACTAACCCCATTATAGTGCTGAGCGAAGTGCTCCGACAGGCCGAACTACCATCCGGCGTTATGAACATCATTTTCGGAGATGGACCCAACACCGGCTCGACCCTCGTGAAATCGCCGCTCGTGCGAGGAATTTCGTTCACTGGAGGAAAGCAAACCGCAATTCAGATTCGAAAGGACACTGCCACCGAAATTGACAAGCACTTGTCTCTCGAGGTCCAAGGAATTAGTCCAACTCTGGTCTTTGCCGATGTCAATATCGACGACGCGGTTTCTGCGGCAGTTTTTGCGGCGTTTGAGAACAGTGGACAACTCCGTCTGGCCGGTTCTCAGATCCACGTCCACCGATCGATTTACAATACGTTTCTGGCCAGGCTCACTAAGCATGTCCTCCACCATTGCCGGTTGGACAAGGAACTCGGCCCGGTTGTTTCTCAGGAGCATTACGACAAGGTTCGATCTTACCTTTTACAGGCTAGTGAAGAAAATGCTTTGCTTGAAGTTGGAAAGATCCCTAGGGAGATTTCGAAGGAAGGGTTCTGGGTCAATGCCACGGTCTTGAGCAACGTCAGCAAGGATACCATTGTGGGACGGGAGGAGATCTTTGGACCTGTGGCGACTGTCTTTTCATTTGATAAGGAAGAGGAAGTTGTCAGGCTGTGCAACGAAAATCCCAACGTGATGGGGGCTGTTGTTTTGACTGATGATCTATCCCGGCAGAAACGACTTGGAGAACATCTGGATGCAGGCTTGGTGTGGGGGGGCTGCTGGCTTGGTCGTGAGCTTGGGGCCGGATTCACCGACATCAGGGCGACTGGCATGGGGCGTGAAGGAGGTGCACATGGTCGGGATGTCTTCACACGTTTGCGGGCATTGCACCTTCCGTCTTACTAGCGGATGAGCGTGAACATTACATTACCTGGACAGCTCACCAAAGGAGATGCAAGTCCATGGCAGGTGGTAAGTGAGATATGGACTGAGGATTGCTTTAGGGACAAAGGTGGTTTCTGTACATAGCAACCTCAGACAAATTCGGGTTTCGGCGAAAACCAACATATGCTGCAATGTTTGAAACTAAGGTACGAGTATAAGGGCACCTCTGGACAAGTTGGCTCATAAAGACATTCATGTGGTCAAGTATGTGAGATCGTTTGATCGATTTCCTCCGACCTACCCCTATTGAATGTTCTTCATCGCATTTTGGATTTACTAATGTTTTCTCACTTACGGTTGCCCAGGTCCCTTGATGAGTCGGATCTCTGGGGATGAATCTTTACGATTACCCGAGTGGGCAACTTTCGGGGTCAGGGTAAATGAGACTTTTACCAAAGGTTTGTTTATTACTTGAGCGGAAGCAGCTTATCCTTTGCCTGATAATGCCTCAACAAATACAGAGAACTCCTCTGAACAAATACTCACCAGCAATAGCCATTTCCTTTCCGTTTGCTGCCACGGAACAAGCCACACTGTCCTTCATTCTTTCCACAGGAGCAAACACTTCCTACTTCAATTTAAAGAAGAAAGCCTTTTTCTGCTCTCCTAATGAGCATGACTCATATCCAGCCAACCCCTTCTTCTGTTTTAACCCTGTCCTTTCCAAGAACCTGTGATTACTTTTCAGTCTCCATAATGCTAGCAAAACCATACTTGCTTGACTGAGGATCATGATGCGTTACACGCCGGTGAAATCTGCCCCGGTGGCTCCCTCCCTCGCGGCTGCCAGCCACATTCCCCTGAGTCAAGAGGGTAGCACTACATACGACGTTATTAGCGAGGCCGAACCTCCTTCTCGGGTCACCAATGACCAACAAGATCCCACCTCCAGCCCAGCCAGTCAATTCCCAGCTAGTTTTACACCCGACAGTTCACAAAGCGGGAGTTCTATAACATGTTCGTCCCCAAGGGTCGAAGTCGCTGAAGGGATAAATGAAGATAGTGTGAAAGAAGCTATTCTGGCGGGGGTTGCGGGTGGTGTTGGTGAGATATATCACTCTCCGCTCACAGATGAGCTCTTTGCTGCAAGCCCAGCTGCGCTTGCTTTGGTTGAGTGTGGTCTCCTCGCCCGTATTGCTCAGATGGCTGTCAATATGCGTGCCTTAAATGAGGACTTAGTCGCCATACGGGCACGTCGGGAGCAGCTAGCTGCTTCGCGGGTTATTACTGGCACATCTCTGTCAGCCTGTTGATCTGCAGGAATTACTTCTCCCGGCGAACAGCTGTAGATACCTGGATTTTGTGGTTCTTTTTCGCTCCTAATATCACGGGATGTGACAGTGAGATATTGGCGTGAAGTCTAGTACTTAGTCTGATTGCTCGCATAAGACCTCTTTTACTTTATCTCCCCCTGTCTCTTAAGCTAGCTCATCACTACGTTTATAATCCTTCGTAATTTCTTCTTATTGTATCGAGCTCCAATTAGAGCGTGCTTGTTCTAAACTTAGCATTTTTGAATGATCCTCAGGTATTAGTAGACTATGGCCATTATTGTGCGTAGCCTTTCCCATGAAGGCTAATACAACCTGCGGCTTAGAATAGTACTGTTCCAACAAAGCAATTTTTGTTTCGCTTTGTTTGACTCGAGCTCTTTGTAGATGTAATTTTGTACTCTTTCTCATGCATCTATAGTCTCTTTGTACTAAATTGCTTCACTCCCCTGTATCTTCAGGGCTTTCGAGGCTCTTAGGTATGCTATTTCTGTCGAGGACCTGTTTCTTTCTTCCTCATTATGAAGGCCAGTTTGCCAGGACTATATAACTACAGTGTTTCTTGTTTTCTTGTTTGCTCATTCCAAGTATTCATTCAAGATACAAAATTACAACACACAATCAGCCACACCGAAGGTTCACTCTCTTTTCAACACAACATAACACAAACGAAGAGTCGCAGTATAAATGGCAAGTAATAACTCATCAGAGCCACGCAAACGTAGGCTCAGCGACGACGATAACAGGGGTTCTTCTCGCTCCCCAACTCGGCGGCGTCTGACCTCTAAATCCCCAGAATCCCCAGAACCCCCAAATTCCCCTCCCCCATATCCCATTCCAGACGACAACAGTTTATCCAGTGATGGAAAGATACCCGCCACGCCTACTGGATCTGGAAGTGAAGATAGACCCCCGGTGTCGGAAGCACAAGTTGACGAGTATTACCGAATTGGAAGTGCATACCAAGAATGGATAGCCGACCCAACTCTGGGAGGATGCCCAGGTGGGAAATCAGAAGATACATTGTTCAAACTTTTCAACAACCCCAATAAGAGGGATCGATTTACTTGTCCAGAGAATCATTTTGTCTACCCGTCGACACCCATTGTGGAGGATTTGGAACAGTTAGGACTTCCAAATGACAAAAGGTACCGCTTCACAAGACTCGTCCTCCATGGGTATGATAAGGATGGCTACAAAAGGGAAAGCGAGTATCAACATTCCTTTACAAAAGGAGTTCTAGTTGGCGAATGTTTTTACAGATACACGGGGCCCCATTGGTCCAACATCGCTGTTGCTCAATATAAGTTTGACCACCCCATCGATACTCTCAAATATCTTTATTTTACTAATGTCCAGAACGAGGAGACTCTGCCCTACGTGCAGGAAATCCTGTACCCGAGACACAACGTGAATTGGCCCATGACTAATCGAATTAAGAGTCAGGTATGGGAGTATGGTACCCAGGACTATCGAGAGATCCTGGGTACAAAGCTGGGGAAGGCAGCGGCCTGTCTTGTGCTAGCGGCCTGGGATAGAGGTACGCATCGTATTGCTAGAGTTCATACTCTCGGTCGTATGTGCCAGATACACCTACGGTTTGATATTGAGCCCCTCCCTGCGTCGCTAACTGTTTGATCTTACTACATAGGTGGGTGTGGGGTTTATGCACATGTGTTGTGTCTGTGGATGGTTCTTTAACCCGGTTACTCTCGTTCATTTCTAAACTGATGGTTTGATAGAAGCGTTCAGGTCATTCCGGCTACATTATGCGGTGGATCAATTTCCACGGGTAGAATGTCTTTTGCAATGGTAATATATGATTTTATAAATATTTTCTCCAATTCTCCAATGCTGAGGACGAGAGCGAGCGTGACTATATATATCGACAGCTTTAAAATACCATCTTCTTGTTTTCCTTCCACGAGTTGTATTGGTTGCATGAACCTAAACAGGGGTAGTCATGTTAAGTCAAGGGCTGTAAAATGATGCGAGCTATTTCGCTAGGAAGTAGGTTTATTCTGGTCCGGATTCTTCGGATTTGTTAAAGTTTTGTACTCCCCGATCTTCTTTATGGTGGCTTCTTTGGTTTTATGTCCTTATTGTTTTCATTTTTACATAGCTTACATCCTTCTGCTTTGAAATTCACACTATATTTAATGGTAATAGGGAGAATGATGACCTCGAAAATTATAAGATATTCAAGAAGAACTAGCAGGATATTTAAATAGAGAGCTGCGATCGACTCCAGTAAACCCAGACAGCGTGAAATTGTCAATCAGGATAATCCTTGCGATTTAAAACTATCCATATTCCACACTAACCAGTTAATTCTGGATGTGCCTAGGCTCTTGCACGTTACTCCCCGGTGAATTATTTCAGTCAGAGTAACCCTTACGCAAGACTGCCGTCAACCCGGACTATAACCTGGTCTTGTGGCATAGTATATAAAGTGCGTTTTTACTCACCAATATACTTCAGGATCAATACTGTCCATCTACTCGGATTGCACAAGCACAATTTTCCATCATGCTAGTCTCTATTGTTATAGGCTTTGCTCTGGTGTTCCATCCATTAGTGACTTCTGGTCAAACTGATATTTCTACAAAGCCCCGTATCTACACGAACCAATCCTTCTTTGCTCACAATCAGGAACTACCGCTTGATGGCTCGTGTCAAGCGCTAGACAGACAGTAGTAAGTCCACCTGGCTTAATCTTGGCAAACCGGACTAATCTGTGGTAGTAATCGCAACGTCGGGTCTGTATATATCCCCTGCGAGGCAGCATCAGGCAAGAAGAACATCTGTACACTTTACAGGTAGGTGCCAGCCATGTTCTAATACAATACTTTTGATACCAATTGTCCGAATCAGTGATAAGAAATGCGACACTGAAATAGTCGCTTTCGATCGCTCTCATTCTGCCATGTTCGAGGCATCTAAATCAGATAGGGGCCCCATAGCCTATGTTGGCGGTCTCGTGGAGAGCATCAAGTGCCAAGTCGTTGATAGTGACTATCCGGTGTCAAACACGAATGGCCACGTCTCAACTAAATCTCAACATAAATGCCCAGGCGACTCTTGTTCATCAAGTGGAGATTGCTATTTGTCGTCAGAGCCAAGGACATGCAGCTCAGGCAGATGCCAACGGACGTGACTGTCCTCATTTGAGAAGCCCAGTAATGGCTGATTTAACATAATTCAGAGTTTTGATTGAGTCAACGGATAATCTTTGGCTTAATGAAGTTCCAAATTGTCAAATTTTGGGTTATCTTTTGTATGGATCATGGCGTGGTGGAAATAGTTTATTTTAACTCAATGTGCAGACTGGATGAAACTGGACACAATGTACTCCGTATATCGGTTCCTGTTAAGCCTCGGTATCAATGGTGTGAGATTGCGGTAAGGGAAATGAGAATCAGTTAAATGATATCTGCTCCTTTGTATTCTCAATCACAACTATGATTGTCCACCACACGAAAGACTGAGATCTACCGAAATATTTGCTTAACCTTCATAGGCTCTGATCTGCAGGACTCGATCTGTAGGACTCGATCTGTGAGACATGTAAGGGGGTGATGTAGATCTCAACTAGGCGAATCACTAGTGTTGACGATCGCTCCACCTACTTTATAGCAAGATGTTCTTCAGACCTGATGTTGCAGCCTTAGAACTCTCCAATTTCAATACATTCATCTGCTTACTAAATTTCAGACTATAGATCGTGAACTTAAATAGTTGGAGTCAAAAATGTAGAATGTGCTTCCCTTTCTTCTTTCGCCGATAGCATAAATGCTCCAAAGTCCACTATTCCTTGAAATATTTTCCGTCTATTTCCGAAATTCCATCGATATTTTTCCATTTCTCCTCAGAAGGTCCATATTCCACATCTACAAGATGCACCTCTTACTCATCACCATCCTCTCCCCCTGGATAATGTCTCAAGTGTGCGCGAGAAAATTCGTGTGTCCGGAGAAAGATATCATCGAAACACAATGCCGGGGCCCTAAAGACTGTCTTTACCACAATTCTCCCGAGTGCAACACTTTTATCCATTGCACAGTCAATTCCGATGGAAAAACTGGAAAACCCACTGTTCACCCTTGTCCTGCCGGGCTGAAGTGGAATGATAGAAGCAAACAATGCGACATGCCTGCGAACTCCACGTGTGGTGAAGAGACAGAGGACGATGCGGTCACCGAGTCCCAACCTCCGTCAAACGGCACTTTGGATGACGATTTCGACTGCATTGAGGCTGAGGAGGACTTTGGTTGTGAAGGAAGCACGAGCATCGGCATTGACTGCGTTTTCGTCGATCCTACGACCAATAAGTCATACATTCAATGTATCGACCAAGTTGCATATACCGTTCCGTGCGAATCAGGAACTACCTACAGTGATACTATTAAGGTTTGCGAATAAGGGGTATGGGGATATTGGTAAGAATGATGGGAAGGACGGTGATTGTGAGAGAATTCCTGTTTGTATGCTTCACTTTATACTATTACGTATTCCTGGGTGCGAATTAGGTACTATATGTAACCGGAAAATAGTGAAATATTCAACAATGTCAGTGTACAATTGGGATAGTAAAAACGCTCACATTAACCCGCAGATCAATCACCCTAACGTTCATAGATGCAACGGTGATAACTCAATCTTGAAAGTTGATGCTAAGCAACAGGGTATGGATTTCAGCTGTTTCTCTACGGATTGTGACGAACAATGCCGCTCTTCTTTGTGGTTACTATTTGTAGTTGGAATGTCTGTTCCAAAGAACATTAGCAACCGGGAGATTACTGTGAAATTATTATCTAACTGTTTTTACTATCAACAAAATCCGCTTAATTATCTATCTTCTCATCCGCTGGATATGAATTTTCATCTGACACATCACCATCTTGCCGGCTTGGAAGGGGCGAAAGCGACGATGTTGGGGAAAGAGACGCCCATGATGGCGACCTGATTGGAAGGTTCAAGCCAAGGCCCTGGACACCCGCAGGACCAAATCGGGGTGCCGATCCAGGAAACGTGCCTTTCACGGAAGACTGGGAGTTGGATCGCAGACCAACTCGGGAAATTGCACGCCGGAGCATCTCACCTGAAGCATCCAGGGCAATAAGGAAGCGGGCCAGCTCGGCACACAGCTCCCAGTCTCCTTTTTGGGAGGCGAGAGCAATCAAACGAACAACGTATTCTTCGATGCGGCCATTATGACCTTGCTCCTCATCCTCGAAGGCTTGCAGCACAAGGAGGTACCCAACTGCAGTTTTGAGGGAGTCGAGCTTCAAGGCCTGTTCAAATAGATCCTTGGGCGGAGGCAGGTAGGTGAAAAGTGTGCGCCATGATCGAAGCTCTGTTTTTCGAGTGCATTGTACAACAATCTCAAGGTAATCTCTGGGGGGGAGCGAGGCTTGGAGGAAAGCAATGACGATTGGGAGTAGTGGTTCTGCTCGTGCTTGTGGATCCTCACTTTTATTTGCTCGACTCTCATTATCAACTTCGTCGTCCAGCACGTGGTGGAGTAGGATTTCCAATCCATGAGCGAAGTAAGACAGATGAGAAAAGTGGCGGCAGAGAGCGAGAGCCGCAGGTGTTCCAACATTGGTCAGGCCATATTGGAGGAAATACGGTAAGAAAAGGTGTGTCTGAGGCGCACAGGTTAGCACGAAACGTTATTGACAGAGAAAACAACTTACTCGGATGGCGAATTTCAGGACAGTGAATGTCACATCACGTCGTTGCATCATTTCCGATTCAACGCCGAGCACAATTCCTTTATTCAGTAACACAGACAATGGATAAAAGTCCAGGGGGATGTTGAGTGGTGCCGGCACCAGGTCCTCCCGCAACACATCTTGAATATCATTCCAAGCTAGCAAGTTTTGACCACGAAACATCCAAAGAGAATCCCTGAGCGAGAGACTGCTGTGAGGTGGCTCCAGTGCCATGTCAACCGAAGGGCTGGCGGGTAGGGATTCATCAACCTGTGAGGAAAAGTTGAAGGAAATCTGGTCGCGCATTAAGATATAATACTCGACATCATGGGATATGATGCGCATGTCGTATTTGAGATCGCCTGCATCTGAGACCGTGGGCTGCAACAATACCAAATTGCCGTCCACGAGAAGAATTACGGATGCGACCTTCACGTCTTGAGATGGATCACCATTTCCTGCGGTGTTGTCAGTGATGTGCTCAGATAACTGCATAAAAAGGCTAACCCACGCATCTGCTCCTCGGGCAACACCCAACTGATCGATCGGACGCGAGAGGGTGCCCGAACAATCCCATTGAAGGCGATTTGTCCAACAGGGACAAGAGTGATCTGAGGCTGTGTCGAATTAATGATATAATGGTACAGAATGTTATCGTATGTATAAACCAAGAGAGAATCTTCCCCAGAGGGTCCAATGAACACAACGGGTGATGGGAGGTATTCGATGAACATAATCGAATTGTTGCCGAGAGAAGCCTCGCGCGAATAGAGACGAATCTTTCAATCGAAATCAGTCCTGCATTTAAATAGCGCACGTGGGAGAAATATCGTACCTCGTATGACCCGTCACTCTCCACTGCTGCGATCAGTATGTGACCGTACCAACACATGCCTCCTCGCACAGCAAAAGAGTTTTCAGCTTTTGAATCCTCGAATACCTTCCACCGGCCGCTGTTGACACTGTAATGTGCAAGGCCACGCCGACCTGCAATCGCAACATACCGTCCATCCTGGGACACGACGCAAGATCGAATCGGCCACTGGGAATGAAGATAAGATGGAGGATACTGGGCATGATGCCACAACGAATCCTTTCCCGAGATTGTCATGAGATCTGGAAGATCGTGACCGCGGTAGAGGATAAACTCAGTCCCAGTCTGCAGCAGGCCTCTAGCCAAGTTTGCAGGCGAAAAACAACCAGTTAAAGCACTGCGAGCTGTCTCCAGAACCCACACGCGACGGTCGTTTAGTCCAGACAAAATTATGTCGGACCCGCCACCAATCCAACACCCATCTGACACCCCATTCAACCAATCCTCGGAATTGGCCCTGGCCAACGCGCTGTCCACGGAAAAGCTGTTTCCTCCGGGCTTCCCAAAGACACTCCATGTTGCCCAGCCATTTTCGAACCCAGCAAAGAGACAATATCCATCTGGGGAATAGCTCATGAAAGTCAAAGCGCCGGTGGTTGTGGGCGATGCTGGTAGATGGAGCTTTTGTGAAAGTGGAATGTTGCCCATGTAATCTTTTGCAGTGTAAACCAAGACATCACCATTTGCACAGCTCACGGTCAACAAAGAGAAGCGTGCATTTACTGTCACTTTCACAGCCTTTTCCGTGTCGTCCTTCGGGTTATGGAAGCAGTGTCCGTGGAAGAGTTTCTTGGCTGCTTCAGGATCCTTATGTGAGCCCGAATCTCGTTGCACAGCATATGCCTGGCCACTGCTGGTGATCCAGATGAGGAGATTCATCGCACGATCGTAAACCATGTCCACGATCGAGACCTTCTTCGATATCCCTAGGATGCGACTCAATAGCTCGGATGTGGTCTGTGCTCCTCCCGCCTCGGCCGTCCACCTAATGCATTGTATGGCCGGTGGTTTAACGGTGGCGACAACAAGCTCTTGGTCTAGCGCCAGCGCCTTGACGATTCCCGACTCGATCTTGATGGCCATTCGGAAGCGGATCGTGATGTCTCCAACCACATTTGCCTCTTCAACTGCTGAAAACCTGGCTAATTGTTGACGACGAGGGTGTGTAGAGTGATCAAATCGCTGCTGGTAGACTTGAGTTGTTGAATCCGATATCACCGAGTATGTGAGTAGGTACCCATTGAGGGTCTGTACCACCAGGATCGTTGAATCTGGGTGCATAAGGAGTGAAACATTTGTACCGTATGTTTTTAACGAAAATTGAGACCGAGAGATTGCTGTAACTACTGCTGTAGGCTGCCAGAATTGTTAGTCACCAGCTCAGAATTCCTCGTGAACCATAACGTCGCTATCGACATACCCGAGTCTGCCAAAGAGCAATTGATGACTCTGACATTGTGGCGAATATCTGACCAGATCTAGAAGCACAGATGTCCCTAATAGCTTCATCTCCCCATTCTGATTTGCCAGTGTCCGGGGGCGAGTTGGTTTGCGACTCATGGGGCCGGGTGTCTGCGGACTCATGTTGACCGTCGTCCTCTCTTGCTTCCGCATTGTCATCGAAGGTATTGCGCTCGTTGGTTGGAGTAGTATTCAAGATTTCGCGATCCTCGTCGGAAGAGGTATAGGCAATATCGGGTCCATTGACCGCGTAGACCCTGGGAACTCCATGAGGCCAGTACATGGCTCAGGTCGGGTTCAGGGGTTAAGATGGACAATGAAGCTCACATGGAGTCATCTCCAAGGAACCAATTCTCCGTCAGCAACGCAGACAAGAACCCCCAAAGCACAAATTCAAATGTAAAGAAACAAAGTCCAAACAACGTGGATGGAAACAGACCGGGGAAACGATAAGCTACGATCACGTGCAAAAGCTCTTCCCCCGCATTGCCTCACCTGGTTTTTTCTTCCATCTCAGTCGCTCCTGAACGCTGTTTATCTTTCGTTCGCAATAATTATTGAAAGATCACTATAATGGTAAGCTTCTCACGTGTTGCGAACGATTCATGGTACTGACTCATGGCAGGCTCCTACAGAAAGCAACAAGCGCTTGGCCTTGGCCATCATTGATTTCCTTGGCTCCAGCCTGAAAGATGGCACCCTCACCGCCGACGATGCCGAGTCGATTGAGATCGCGCAGTCCTGTATCGCGGATACCTTCAAAGTTGATCCTACTGATGAGGCCGCTGTGAAGGATGCTGTGGGTGGACAATCGTTGGCTGGAATCTACAGCGTCTACGAGAAGCTGCGCAACAAGTCGGCCCCGCAATCGACCGCAGGAGCTCAGACCCAGGAGAAGCCGAAGGCTGGCGTGCCCACACCGGAATCCGACAAGCTGAAGTCTGAGGGCAATGCTTTTATGGCCAAGAAGGACTACGCCGCTGCCATTGAGCAATACACCAAGGCTCTCGAGATTGCCCCGGCCAACCCCATCTATCTGTCCAACCGCGCCGCCGCATTTTCCGCTTCGGGCCAGCACGAGAAGGCCGCGACAGATGCAGAGATTGCCGCCGCTGCCGATCCCAAGTACTCCAAGGCGTGGAGCCGTTTGGGTCTCGCTCGCTTCGATATGGGAGACTACCATGCCGCCAAGGAGGCATACGAGAAGGGTATTGAGGCGGAAGGCAACGGTGGCAGTGAGGCCATGAAGCGCGGATTGGAGACATCGACACGGAAGCTCGAAGAGACCTCCCGAAACACTGAGCCTCCATCTGAGGAACTGGACACTGCTCCTGGTGCCTCGCGCGGTGGTGCCGGTGGCATGCCTGACC